TAGCTAGGATGTGTTTCAGAACCTAAATTCGGTTTCCTATCTCTCTAAATTCGGTTCCTTATCTCTCTAGATTCGGTTGCTTATCATTCGGTTCTTTATGTTTCGTTTCAACGTTTCAAAATTCAAAGAATTGAAAGAAACACACTAGTTTTTTTTTTTTTTGCGATGTTTCTGTTTTCGTTTCGTATTTTCTTTTGCGCTCCGACTGAATTATTGAAAAGCTCGGTTCTTCCTCGTTCTTCCTTTTCGTTTTTCCTTTTTCCACACGTTTTTTGATGATTTCGAGATCAATATATCTTGAAATAAGCTTTTAAAAATGACCTTCGCCATACTGACTTTCGAAGTACTACAGTTATCTCTTTCTTCCTTTCTTTCTTCTTTCTTTCTTCTTCCTTGTCATCCCAGTTCATGTAAAACACAGTTATCTTCAATAAATGAATTGATTTCACATTGCTGACTTTTCCCAAAGCTACAATATCTTTGTTCTTCTTCAATTCATTTGATATTTTCAAATTGAAATATATAAATTATCTAAAAGTTTGAAGATGTCATCGGACTATATTTTCTGATATGGACTTTTTCGATCTTCGTCGAATCTCAAACAGCAAACGATTGCCAAATAGTCCAACGGAGATCATCCCAAATTTGAATGGGGGTGAGTTTTTTGAAGAAATTTTTGAATAAGATCCATTGATTTAAAAGATTATACTGGATTTGTGTTGGCTTATCTTCTCGAAATTAAAATTGAGATCGGATCATCGGATCTGGATGTGCTTAAGCACAAGTTTTGTGTGGAATTTTTGTTTCCATTTAGGGTTCGAATTTTAGTTTTGAATTTTTGAATTTTTGATTGCTTAAAATGTTTCGAAATGTTTGTTATTAGGATTTTATTTGTTGGATTTTGTTAACTTTTTTTTTAAATCGATGAGCAGATGCTTTTCTGTAAAAAGTGGATTCAGCTGTTATAGTATTTTTGAATAAAAGTACTTTGGTGACGAATTCTAATATTTTTCAAGCTCTTAAATTAGTGCTAAAGCTGTTTAGAAGTAAGATGTGAGAGTTGAGAGATCAATCTATTTACTGACTAACAACTACTGACTAACAACGACTCACTAACAATTACTCCCTAACAACTACTGACTAACAACTGACAGTCTACTCAATATCAGTTATAACTTTACTATAACTTTTCGGGATACTGTAGCAATCAGCTGGTGATGGTCCAGTTGAATTCTTATTGTAAATATTCTAATAGAAAGAGCCCTCTAATAGAAGGAGCGTCGTGTAGTCGAAGTTTACACTCAAACAAACGCTCATATCTTGACGCCCAGACATTTCTTTCTGCACGTATAGGTATCAAATTAAAGTAGAGAAAATGGGTGAGGCTTACTGTAAGAGCTTTTACAGTATCCTTAAGTGCACTTATTGTGATATTTAAATCAGAATACCGAAATGTCACTTAAAAATACTGTAAAGCTTTAATCTCTTGTACAGAATGGTTCCTCTTATGATCCGTATTGGAGGAAGTAGGAACTTTTAGCTTTACTTGGTTAACTTTTTATTCCGGGATACCGTAGTGGAAACTTAGTGAACCATAGTTTAGGCCTTAGTGGAACCGTAGTGGAACGTAGGGAACCATATTGGAACCGTAGTGGAATCCTTAGTGGAACCATATTGGAAGTAGTGGAATGTAGGAACCATATTGGACCGAAGTGTCACTTAAAAATACCGTATGGAACCGTATTGGAACCGTAGTGGAATCGTAGTGGAACCATATTGGAACCGTAGTGGAACCGTATTGGAACCGTAGTGGAATCGTAGTGGAACCATATTGGAACCGTAGTGGAACCGTATTGGAACCGTAGTGGAATCGTAGTGGAACCATATTGGAACCGTAGTGGAACCGTATTGGAACCGTAGTGGAATCGTAGTGGAACCATATTGGAACCGTAGTGGAATCGTAGTGGAACCATATTGGAACCGTAGTGGAATCTTAGTGGAACCATATTGGAACCGTAGTGGAATCCTAGTGGAACCATATTGGAACCGTAATTTAGCTGTAAGTACTCAGCCAAATCACTACAGTATCTCAACAAAACTACAGTGCTCAGCTTTCGTAAAGTATCCAGCAACTGCAGTCTACAGAAACTGTAAAGCGACAATCTCTTGTACGGTAAGGCTAAATTAGCTGTAAATGTTCAGCCAAATCACTACAGTATCCACCATTGACATTTAAAACAAATTTCTATTTCCAGGTTTATAAAGTTTTTGATATTAGTAGACAAAACTTTGCAAAAATTTTCAGATTTCATAGCAGATGCTTTCCTATCAAATATCACCTGTTTATGGGTGTTCCCCATTCCCATTTCTCTCTATTTTTCCGACTTTTCTCCTCTTCTTCATGGCAAATGGATGGAGAAGTCAATTTTGAAGAAGAGTCAGTCCTTTTCCCTCTATCTTTTCCCTTTTCTTTTCCCTTTTCTTTTTCCCCATTTCCCCTTCTCATATCATATTGCTTTTGGCCTTCTAAGGACTTAAAAAAAGCGAAAAATACTCTCATTTTCATTTGAAAAAGAAGAACTTTTTGAAAAGAACAATATCTCTCTTTGTTCTCTATATTACTGAAAAAAAACATTTTGTCTGACTAGTTAATCTTTTCATTTGATTCATTTTGAATTTTAATTTGATTTTTAAAAGCTTCTTTTGTTTCTAGCCGTATTCTCAAATCAATTGTTCATCCTAACCTAAACTCTTACCGCAAATGCTTGACGACTTATATCCGGCCCATCTTAGAATATGCTTCTATTGTTTGGTCTCCCCGCGCACAAGTCTTTATTGAACGCTTGGAGAAAATTCAGAGGAGGTTCACAAAAGTCGCTTTATGGAAAATTGACTATTCTAAATATTCTAGCTTTACTTATGAGGAGAGACTTGCTTTTTTTGAACTAAAAACTTTACAGCATCGTCGCTTTGTCATTGATTTAGTCGAAACTTTCAAAATCCTCCGTTGTAAACAGATTAGCCCTTTGTTTATAGACTTTTTCAAATTTAAACCGCGGTCAGGGCCCAGAAGTGGCTCATTCCTTTTGCAAATTCCCTTTGCTTCCAATGCCTCTTTATCAAATTCATTTCCCGTTAGAGCCGCTAGATTATGGAACTTGCTCCCCAACGACATACGAGAAATTCAGTCGCTTTTCATATTCAAGAAACGTATCGATGCTTTAGATCTAGTGGCTCTTTGCCGTAAGTAATTGGCTTATTGATTTCAGTATGTATTGTATGATTAAGTATCACTGTGCATTTCTCTATGATTTCTTTCACTTTATCGTTTGAATAAAGTATTATTATTATTATTATTATTTCATGGATTTGATTTAATTTGATTTGATTTGATTTGATTTGATTTGATTCATTTCATTCATTTCATTTCATTTGATTTCATTCATTTCATTTGATTTCATTTCATTCATTTCATTTCATTTCATTCATTTCATTCATTTTTTCATTTGATTAACTTCATGAACTTTGTGTACTTGTTTACTTTATTATTAAATCCTTATTAAGTTCTTATTAAGTTCTTAAGGTTTACTGTTAAATGCACCCTCTTTGGCGCACTTAATTCTGCGTTTTTCAACGAGAACCAGGGAATCCAGTGCAGCAGAAAGGCACAATTATTAGCACAAAGTATACCAAATTCCAGATTCCATTAATTACAATAATCATTGGATAGCTTATAAATCATATCTAGTCTCTGTTTGTTTAACTCATGCTCACTTCAACAATTCCCAAAAATACTGTAAAATTCACCGTCTTTTCTCATTAGAATCGACTTTTCAGTAAACGAATTTCAGAGATTCAAAAGATTTCAAAAGCCCCCCATTACAGGGATTCATTTTCTAAAATCTTTCGACAAACCACCGTAATCTTGTCTCTTGTCGTAATCTTGTCGTAAACTACCGTAACTTTTATCCAATCCATTCACTTTTTGTATATTTCGGTAGACTTAAGATCAAAAGTTGATAGATTTGATAAAAACTGAAGGCAAGACTAAAGGTAATTTGTCGAAAGGTGGCACATTTTAGAAGACGAATCATTTGAGCGGAATGATTGATGACAAATTTTGGAGATTTTTAGCATACTGTAGTGAGACAGGTTTCTGGGCTAGGCGGATATTTTTAATTGCGATAATTAATTCTTTTGCGAATATTCTTTTTCGGATAATTCCGGGCATTTTGCCTCTTGCTATTTCGTTTTATTTTCCGTTCTACCTAAGATTTTCGTCCTTGAAAAAACAAAATTTCAAAGAAAAAAACTAGATTTGTATAAGAATTACAATAAGCGTTGATTTGAGGTGCTAGGGCGAGTAATTTAGCTGTTTTCGAGGTTGAAATGTAGCTGTTTTCGAGGTTGAAAAGATTGAAAAGTGAAAGGTGATATAGTGATTTTAATAAGCGCAAATTTCGCGTAAAGTGCTACGACGAGTAATTTACGCTTACCAACACACTTTCCTACCAACTCTGATTGATCATTTATCTTTTTTTTTCAGTTTTTCCTATGATGGGATACTATTTTGCCACCTTGACCGGATCTGCAAATGGCATAAGATCAATATAAAGTAGAAAGAAGAGTAGAAAGCTCAATGGGGGACGAAAAGTAGCTGTTTTTGAGGTCTTTATAGGTGTTTTCTACTTGAAAACAGTGAGAACTAAAATTGTTAAGGAGAAAACTGAAAAAAAGTTGATTAGAAGTTGGTTTGAAGTTGGTTTGAAGTTGGGAAAAAGTTATTGAAAAGTCAAAAGTGATATAGTGATTTTAATAAGCGCAAATTTCGCGTAAGATCAGAAAGGAAATTTGAAAGTCGGATGCAATTAAATGCAAGAGTAAATTTGTAGACAGATCTTAATTTTGATATCGCTCAGTTGCTTCAAACATTTCTATGAACTTGTTTCATTCATTCATTCATTCATTCATTCATTCATTCAATTTTGGCAATCTTGTAGATGAGTGAGGGCAAATCCCTTACGCTGTCTATTTTCCTCTTCGCTCACATCGACGGTTTCTTTCTACCGGCTCGTCGTAACGACGCACTCCTTTCCCGTCCACTTTCCCCCAATCACTCCTCGAATCTCCATTTTGTTGGCGGGGCAGCTGCCCGTATCGGTGCCGCTTATTTCCCCACTCCTCCAACCATCCTCCAACTCTCAACAGTCATTTCACCGCATTTCACTCATGCCAAAAGTCGACTCAATCCATCGATGGGTATCGATTTTGAGCCATTATCTGGGCAATGGGTCGCCATCATTACTTCACATGTACACGGTTGGTTTAAAAAGCTATTTCTCATTAAAAGCTAAAAGCTATAAAAGCTATAAAAGCTATAAAAGCTTTCATTTTTCTATTTGCACTTGGTTACTTGTTTCTATTTTACTTGATCAAACATCAAATGTTTTTTCGCAAAATTCGTTGACGCTTGTGAATTTTCGAGTAGTGTCTCGTGGCGTTAAGAGATCAACATCAACAATCAACAATCAAATGCATACTTGTTTAAATCACAAAAAACAATACTTGTTAAATGATTGATTCTCTTTCAATAAACTGCTTGATTGTGGACAAAATACTGATTGATTAGTGTGGCTAACTTTTCAACAACATTCCCTCGACTTAATGAGGGTACAATGGCGCAACGGTAGAGATAGGTTCATTCCTTGTCGTCCACCATTAAAACAATGCTATTCCTAAGCAAACGAATTTATTCTTTAAGCTTCAGCTTATTTCTAAAATCAAAAATCTATCAAATTCCCGGAGAATAGGGCTATTTTCCGGGAATTTGATAGCTTTTTGATTTTAGAAATAAGCTAAAGCTTAAAGAATAAATTATTAGTCTTAATTACATAGTCTAATTGAGACGTTTAAAATACACATTTATTCACACGAATAATGTAGTACAAACAATACACAAGCACCTCTAAATCTAAGCTCTAAATGTAAAGGAAAAAAACCAATAAAAACCCCAATTTAAATATCTTGAAAAAAAGAGGCAATGATCAAGACGAACCCGCTCGACTTGACCGCTCGACTATGATACACGGCTCTTAGCCAGTCGACCATGTTACCCATGATTTCTTCAATATTTATCTAGTTCACCTTCTCTCCTGTTCTTTTTCTCGTCTCACCTCTGAGATTCTCGGGGTCATGATGGAGCAAAGAAGGGAAAGGAGGCGGAGGCAAAAGGGGAGACTCTCTTGGGAAACCCTTTGGGCCCTTTGCTCCTCCCAAGAGAGACCCTTTTCATTCAGCTTCATCTATGGCAACCAGGAAAAGAAAAGGATTATAGAAGAGATGAAAAGGAAAAAGAAGGACACAAATATCTGATGATGAGAGGGGTGAATCGAAGGGGCGAAAAAGAAGGGGTACACGTGAAATGAGATCCCCAGGGGGATTCTCTTTTCCTTTTTTTTTTGGTGTATGCTAGATTTTCCCTTTTCCTCTCTATTCATTAGAGGATTGATTAAGCCGCTAAAGGTATTCAGCTGTTATATTCTCTAATTCCTGGTATTTCTTTCGCTATTGATCTGAAAAATGAATGTGATAAAAAGAGCTGAACGAGAGTTTTGGGAAGAAGAGGAGAAGATGAGAATGCTTCTCGATTCACGGGAAATCTCACCGATGGGTTTGTGATTTGAGGGGATCTTTGTTAAAATTGGGGGTAGGCTAGTTTCCGCAACAAGGTTATTTACGCAACTGGGCCCTTTGCGCAACTAGCCATAACTTTCTTCTAAGTTGACCAATCTTTAAGGTTTTGCTTTCATTTTGTTACACTTATTGAGATCTACAAAATGAAACCAAACCCATAAAGATTAGTCCACTTAAAAGAAAGTTATGGCGACAACCAAATGGGTCGTTTGCACCAACTGGCCCCTTTGCGCAACTCGCCATAACTTTCTTCTAAGTGGACTAATCTTTATGATTTTGGTTTCATTTTGGTAGATCTCAATAAGTGTAACAAAATGAACACCCAAATCATAAAGATTGGCCCACTTAGAAGAAAGTTATGGCTAGTTGAGCAAACGATTCAGTTGAGCGCAAAAAAAATTGCGGAAACTAGCCTACCCCCAAAATTGGATACTTCTAAAGGAAATTTCTTTTAATAATGTTGAGTTTTTTGTCTCATTAGAGTAAAAGGTATTCAATTGATAAGATTAAAAATCTTTTAGTTTATTCGACTCTTCCTAAAATTCAATCATCAATGATTTTTTTAAAGCTAATTTTAGCTCTATGCAGAAATCTATAGAGTGGATTTCTGATATTTCTTTAGATTCTTTTAATTTAGATTAATCTCTAGCTTCTATTGTGCTTTATCTATGTGTTTCTTCTCTAAATCTCTTTCACTTTCTCTATAAGATCTCTTTATGTAGATAAATCAGTTTCGAGAGTCTAGAATCGACTGAACTACTAGCGATAGAAAATACAGCAAAGATATAATTATTCTTCTTTTCCACAACCTCATTTATACTGTAGTGAGACAGTATATTGAAAAATTGACAATACTTTTATACAGTGCTATTTTTTTTGACAAGATTTTTATCCAGAGTAAAGCCTAGACTCGAATCTCCGATCAGAAAATTTGTATTACAATGTTTCCGCAATCTAATTCACTAATAAAGATGTTTTTGGGGAAATCAATCATTTCCAACAATTAGTTAAACCAATTTTTTGTGAGATTCTCTATTCTATAGGATCTCTTTATGTAGATAAATCAGTTTCGAGAGTCTAGATTCGACCACTGAACTACTAGCGACGGAAAATGCAGCAAAGATGTAATTTATTCTTATTTTCCACAAGCTCATTTATACTGTAATGAGACAGTATATTGAAAAATCGACAATAGTTTTATACAGTCCCATTTTTTTCACAAGATTTTTATCCAGAGTAAACCCAGACTCGAATCTCCGACCATCAAATTTGTATTACCATGTTTCCGCAATCCAATTCACTAAAGAAGATGTTTTCTGGGAAATCAATCATTATTATTTATATAAAACATATAAAATGATTTTAACTAGATGACAGACCAGTAACGAAAGTAATTCTAAACATTAATCACCCACTAGCCAGCTTTTCTGGCCGATCTATTAATCTCGAATCTCCGTCCATAAAATTTGTATTATTACAATGTTTCCGCTATCCAATTCACTAAAGAAGATGTTTTTCTGGTAAATCTCTGGTAAATCAATCATTTCCAACAATTAGTTAAACCAATTTTTTGCCAGATAAAGATAGCTTTTTGTAGTGGATACTTTAGTGTTTTGATGATTCAATTTCCATTTTAGATTACTCAGCGGTTGCCTTACTTCCCGTGGCGGTTGTCGTGTGTCTAGTGATTGCCGTAGCTGCCCTTTATCAGTGTAGACGGTGTCGGCATCACAGGAAACAGGTTCCCAATTATGAAAAAGTGTTTAACTTTTAAGCTCTGGCTTTAAAAAGCTCTGGACCTAGACTCGGGCCATGGAGCAAGCTTTTAGACCAAGTTAAAAGCTTAAAAGCTGCTGGATCATGATCCGAGTCCAGATTTTGCTAGATCTAGTAAAATTTATTAGTTTCTAGGGGAATAACTTCTTTTAAATTCAATTTTTTTGTTAGCTGTTTGTTTTTTAGAAACTAAATGCAACTCTGCCTTTGCGCACATAAAATTATTTTAACTAGATGACAGAGCAGTAAATAAAATGATTTTAAACATTAATCACCCACTAGCCAGGTGAGGAGCCAACATTAAGAACTGTTTTTGACTGAACTTTTTTACTAAAATTAAACTTAAAGTCAAGTTTCTTTGATGGCGCATGGAAAGAAGTGAAAATTGAGTCGTTTTCGATGTTCAGATGAACTTGACTTCAACTCAAACTTGAGTAAGACGGTTTCGCTAAGCTTTCTAGTTCTTTTTATCAACTATTGACAAGAAGATTTCAAGAAAATATCAGATTGAGCAACTTGCGTGGGTGTACGATGTGCTAGAGGATGCTCTCCCCTCTCCATTACCCGTTCAACGACAACACTCGAAACCGCCCACTCCTCGCGCGTTTCGACCACCCGATTCACCGCAGGTTTGTTTGAAATTTGATAGACAAGATTAGGTTTTATGAGGAAAGCGAAGTAACTCAACTTTTTCAGCTCTCCCCAGCGCAACGAGTTTCTCAAGCAGTTCGCCCACCACCCGCACATTCATCGCCATTTTTTCAAGTAATTGTAAAAAGTTTATTGAATTAAATGTTTTGGAGAATGAAAAACATCAATAGTTACTTATTTAAGAAACTAATTTTTAGCCAGCTTGCAAGGGGAGAGCACTTCGATACGATAATTTCACGAAAGCGACTTCAGCTACAGAGGTTAGTTTAGATTTAAACCCGGATTAGATTTAAAAGCAATAAAACGTCAAAGATTTAAAAAAAATATATAGTTTTTATATCTTAACAATAATTGATCAATACTAGCGTTAATAATTCGCAAAAAAAGGGAGTAGGCCGGATTTTGCTGGAAGGAGTTGGAAGGAGTTGGAAGGAGCTGGAAGGAGTTGGAAGGAGTTGGAAGGAGCTGGAAGGAGCTGGAAGGAGTTGGAAGGAGCTGGAAGAAGCTGGAAGGAGCTGGAAGGAGCTGGAAGGAGTTGGAAGGAGCTGGAAGGAGCTGGAAGGACTAGACTTGTTGTTTATAAAGATATTGTAAAGATGTAAAGATATTAAAGAAATAAATAAAATATTGTAAAGATAAAGAAAGTTGATCTAAATCATTAAAATATCTTTGTTTTAATGTAATTTGCAAATGTCGAAGTCAATTTTAAATGCTCGGATCACTAAAAAACAAAGGCCGTTTTCAGGTGATTTTTCACTTCACTTCTCTCCTCGACGAGAACTCGACGAACTCAATCGAGCAACATGTTTAATTAATGCTCAACGTTGGCTTTCCCTTAAAAGACACATGCTTTACTTTGGTTTATTTGTCAATAGGTTTTAAAGGTTCTAAAAAACTTTCGAATTTGATCTTAAACGCATTATTTGAAACTGAAAACTCACGGGTTTATGAGAGAGCTTTTTTTTCGTTTTTTTTTTGTTACTTTCCGGGCTGTGATATTTAAAATACGAGTATAAATGTTTTATTTACAAAAAAATTTGTTTTAATTAAAAAATTACAATCTTTGTAATTAAAAGAAAAGAAATCAAAATTTCTGATCAAAAGAAATCTTTATCGGTCCCTTTCTTCCGATTTTTCTTTTCTCCGCTAAACGCTCTTTCCAACCCTTTGATTTCGCTTTTATTGTGGTTTGATCGATTAGATCAAAATCAGGGTTTACTGTGGTCTGTTCGACTTGTTGTTCCTCGATCTCAGCGACTGTAACCGTCACTCTAAGCCTCTCTTGACCAACTGTTGTGAAAAGTTTCAAAAAGAAACGAACAAGAGCTGCTGTTTCACGACCAGCCATCAACAAGAGATGTTTAGCCTGGAAGGATTAGATGTGATTGATTAGATCAAAATCAGGGTTTACTCTTGTTGCTAAAACTCTATGCGTATTACTAGTACTAAATATACTAGTAGTACTAGTACTAGTCGTACTAAATGTACTAGTAACTCTTGTTGTGTACATCTCTAACAGCGTTGTTTCCTAGCTGGTTTCTAGCCTAGTCTGCCCTGGTTCAGCTTTACTGCAGAATTGACAGTTCCGGGGACTGTCTTAAACTCTTGTTGTGTACTTTGACTCTCAAAAGTGTAAATGCATCTTTTCTGGTGCACTTGTGCAACGAAATCTTTCCAGTAAATGTAACGAGTGTTTCAGAAAAGATGTGCTTCCATTTTTGACGAGCTCAAAGCACAGTAGGCATAAAGATTTCTAAATTTGCTCGATCACTGACCTCCCAATGTCTCTCTTCTTCATTGATCTCATTGTCCATGACCAATGTTCTCAATTCAGCCATCAGATTCAAAGCATCTTCATAAACATGGCGAACCTGGGAAATACTTTATTTTAATAGAACTCCTCTTATGAGTTTACTATGAATATATTATTACTATTATAGTTATAGAGCTCATAAATTCAGTATCAAATTACCTAATGAATTTGAAAGATCTAATGGATATATCATCGCTAATAGATGAGCCATGTTTATCAGATTCATGAAAAAGCGGAATAACCTAATCTAGTCTCAAAATTGTCTGGTATTAAGTATTAGAATTAGCCTGCTATTACTAGTAATAAATATACTAGTAGTATTAAATGTACTAGTAAAAGCTAGGCTCGGGAAACAATATTAAAGAATTAATTTTTTGTTTTAGTTAGTCGAGAAGTACAGTACCCTTACCGCTGAAGTAAGGTAAAGTAAAAAAGAACGAAACCTTTTCGTGAATCTTTCCACTGTTGTCACTGAAAAAGACACGGGCTTGTAGCTGAAAGATTTCGATTTCGAAGAGTATCAAATATATCTCACCAAAAGATCGTTAATCGCCAACTCATATCCACTTTTCATTTCTTCTTTCTCTTTTCCCTTCTTCATCACTTTTTTCTCATTTCCTTTCTTTACTTTCTCGCTTTTATTTTCTTTTTCCATTTCTTCAATCACCGCATTCACTTCTTTCCATTTTGGTGACTCGGTTGATGGGATTCCAGTCGATTCTTTGTTCTCTTTCATTTCCTAGAATAGAATATACCTTAAACCGTTAAACTTTGTGCTAAGTAAACCTTTTTCTCTCCCGATTTTCTTGTTTTTATCTCATTCTCCTGTTCCAATGAAACAACTTCGTTGCTGTCAATCTGAAATTCTTTTGATCTTTAATTATTATATTTATAAGGATTACTAGAGTTTTTAGTCTTTTAGAGAAACTTAAGCATAATAAATAAATTTGATTATAATTCTAGCAACTTAGAAAGTTCGTAACTATATTGTTTAAATAGCCAACACACTTCCACCTGCCAAGACACACTTTAAAATAGCCAACACACTCACCTTTCTACCCGAACAGCACTCAACAAGGGTGAACACAAAGAGAAACAAGAGAATTGAAGAAATGTGTTTCATCTTTGAAAAATAAACCAGTAAACAATATCAGGAATATTTTTAAGCCAAGTATTCTTTGGATCCTCATCGCTTTGGGCGGTGTATTTATAAGGATTTTCGGCGAGGCAAAAACCCAACGGACTGCAAACAAAATCCACGATCGTAATTTGCATATATCCTCTTTGCAGACCTATTTTCATCCCAGATCCTAGTTTTTAGAGGGGTTTAACCAAGAACAAACAAAATATGAATGTTTTTCGTGTTTTAAGTGAAATTTTGGTTTAAAAACTGCTTCATCAATTCCCTCTTTGAGAATGTTTTTAAAAAAGAATTTCTAACAGAAATTTCGAAAATGAAAAACCATCGCAATGAGATTCAAAAAAGAGTAAAGGAATTTCTAAAAATAAAGATTAAAAAAATAATAATTCAAGAGGGTGATTGAATTAAAATCAACGATTGAAAAGAAAAGAAATTGAATTAAAATCCTTCTGAACGGCATGCTCGACATTGATTGCATTGATTGCAACATTGATTGCATTCTTGACGGAAGCCGAAGTTCACGTTTCCACACGGACAGTGCCAATCATTCAGGCGAATTTCGAGGTTAGCTCTTCCTCCAACGCGACCACCTAAAGAAAATCTCAATTCTCAAGCAAATTCTGATATCAAAAACACAAAACTCTTTGGCCACCACGTCTGCTGAAATCACCTTGTCGGTGTCGGTCTCGATCTCCTCCGCGGCTGTCAAATCCTTCATGATTGTTTCCACCAAAATCCTACGCGGTCTAAAAGATTGTAATTTAGCATGATTCAAATTCCTTTACCTCCTCTATCACTTCCACCTCCACCACCATCAAATTCACCCCCCGTTCTCACGAGCATGGAATCAGACTTTTTTAAAGAATTAAACAAAACCATAAGATATACTTTAGCAAAAGATAAATGCAATAGATAATCTTTTGATCGGTTCCTGGGAAAGGTTGTCCATCATACATGATGATCTTTTGCGTGGTCGCAGGCTTGGAAAACGTGATCATCCCTTGTTCTCTCCAGTTTGGCGGTTCGTGTAAATTTTGATTTTAAAGAAAACTTTAAAATGAATAAGTACAGAAAAATAATGCCGTGGTTTGTCAGTTTTGTCATGGACGGCGATTCGTCAAGTTATGATTTTCGATAAGTTCACTTTTTTGGGAAAACATTCATGTTTCATAACGTTTTCTCCTCGATTTCCACACATTAAAAGCCGTTCCCACACGATTCGACAAAAGGCTCATAAAAAGTTGTCAGATCGTCGTTCAGAGTAGGAAAAAAGTTATTCCATTTTCTCTCGATCAATGTATCAAAGTGTTTCCCTTTTTCTTCACTATATTTTCCTATTTGTCGGATTTGTTAATGCTGAGTGTACAGTGAGTTTCTGAGAAGATTTTATTGTAGAATTAAGCCACAAAGTTATGTACAATATGTACAATGTATTAAGTTATGTACAATTCGTTTCACGCTGTACAATTGTGTTCTTTGTGAGTAAAGTGTTTTCAGTAAATTAAAACGGTAGGTTATTCGGAAAGTTATCGCAATCGCAAATCACAAGAAAGATTACGGTGGCTTACCAAACTATCCCATTTTAGAAGACACATTAAATGTAAACTTACAATTAAATAACAGATTTTATAAACCTTATAGAATATCGTTTTTAGGTTGGGAACTGTGCGAACAGAGTCCACCGTTTTTGACCTGAAATGTATCGGCAATCAGAATGGGCAGAGTGTTGAAGAGTTTATTGGTGAGGTTCCATTATAGAATACGCTCTTTGATCTTTTGAAACTTTTCCCAGTAAACACCCAGAAATTTCCCCAGTTTTAAGGCATTCCGAAAGTTCTGGGCCAGATCCTGGCTAGCTTGTAGATCCCATGGCCTAGTTGGATCATCACTAATGCTTTTAGATTTCTAAAAGCAATAGAATATTCTAAATATTCTAATTCTCAGGTTGTAAAGCAAAAGACATGCTCCGCAATCTTCGCCACGTCAAAATCGGCACTCGTTTACTTCGGGAACAATTGGAGCCAACTGGGGTCTCTTCAGGTAAATTCTAATCAGAGAACTCAATTTATCATAATTTAACATAAATAAACCGGTTTTTAAGAAAATCTTATCAAAATATTTAGTTAATCTTACTTTTAGACAAGGGATTCATCTTTTTATGCAACAAAACCAACAATATGGCTGTTTGGGAGCCGGTTGGTGGGTGATTTTTAAAAAGCTCAATGAAATTAAATCAAAGATTTTATTGAATACTTTAAAGCTGAATTGAAATTGAATGAAATATACCGTATTCTCTCTAAGTAGTGCACGCTGAGCGTCGCCTAAATTCCTCGAAATCTGTAGAACCGCTTATCAGAACCTATCGATTTGGGGTCGGAAAATGTAGCTGACGATGAGGTCTAGTTGGGGATTAGAGTGTTGAGCTTCTGCGAAAGCTTAGAAACCGTAAAATAGTCATTAACTCGACGGGGGTGCACTACTATTAGAGAAAATACGGCATATTATATTATCTTGTGGATTCTGAAATCTTTTCAGGCTGTTGGGCCCTCTCCGGCGCCAATGTTTCCCACTTTAACTTTGGACAGAAAAAGGAAATCAAAGGTTTTTACATGAGCTTTCTTCTGAATTAAGAATTTTAATCTTTTCTTGATTAAATAAACTTGATTGATTGTTTTTTGTTTATAGAAACTTTTCAGATATGACTGGGAAGAAGAATCGAAATATAACGTGTGAAATGATCGGCAAAAATGCCCACGTTTTCGCGAGTCAATTGATTTAATTGGAAAGGATCATTGCAAAATCAAATAAAATTTGAATAGAAAAGAACTACCAGAAAACTGTTGATAATTTATGCGTTTTCTAAGACGGGCCAACTTTCAAAAGCTATTGTAATCATGAAAGAAAGATGACCCGATCTAGAAAACAGAATTGGTAGATCGTAAAGTTTTCGAAATTGAAAGGAAACGCTTTAGGAAAGCATTTGGTGTCTGTAAACAATCGATTATTTTTAAAAAGCCCATTTCACTGACCATTGTTTCGCTGAGAGTACTATTTGCCTTAAAATGTTTCTCTTTTCTCTTTGTTCTTTCTCGATTATTGAAGACGTTTTGAAGAGTGAAAAGAAGAGAAAAGCCAATGAAGTGACAGGGGAAAGGAAAGTGGATTATCGGGGGAAAAGAAGGGAAAGAGAAGGATGTGCAGATGGAAGAGAATCTTCTTCTGGAGAATCTTCTTTGGAGAATCTTCTGGGAGTCCATTCCATCCTTTCCCCTTACTTTTCTCCTTTCCATTCCACCAAGAATCCTGCGCCAATTGCCCACTAATGGCTTTAAACTTGAGCAAATTTCAAGTCATTTTTTCTCTAATGTTTTTGTTCTAGAAAATCTACAAGATTATGTACGATTGTGAAAAGAAAGGTTCTAGAAAGCAACGAAACCAAAGCATTTCTGGAAAGCAAACGCTCTAGAATACAAATGTTCTAGAATACAAATGTCCTAGAATACAAATGCTCAATGTGGATGTGTCTAGTCTGTTCTGAAGGTCTGAAGATCCAGATTTGCTCCTAAACAGAAGTTTATCCTTGGTATAATTCGAGAAATCTCCATTTTAAACCTCTCTAACAGCGTTGTTTCCTAGTTGTTTTCTAGCCTAGTCTGCCCTGGCTCAGCTTTACTGCAGAATGGACAGTTCCGGGGACTGTCAAAGCACAGTTATAATTCTGTCTTCTGACTTAAAAGTTCATGAACATTCTGATTCATAATTGAGTTCTCCTAGTTTGATCTAGCTTTACTGCTGACTAAGGCTGGCTCGCAAAAGCTACTTAAATCGATCAGAAATCGGACCTTCGTACCTGTCAAAGGCGGTAGCGATAGAAAACGGTGCTTTTTTTGGCCGTAAAGTTAGACGTTTAGACTTTTTATAGACAATGAGCGCCTAGGTAATCGGCTTTAAAACATAAAAAGTTTTTGGCTTCAAAGAGATCTAGACGTTTGGCTAGAAATGCTTGAAAATGTTCTTTCAATGAAAGTGTCCTTTCAATGAAAATATTCCCTTACAAAGCTAAGCTCAATTTCTGGATCCCTTGCTAGAATAAATCCATCCTTTTTTTCCAATTAACACCCAAATAAGGGCGGATTTTTTGAGGAAATCGAGAAAAAGAAGAAGAAAAGAAAAAAAAGGGAAAGATTGAATGAAGAAAAGAAAAAGAATTCTGTGAGAGATAAAGAGAAAAAATGGAAAAAAGAGGTGCCTTGATCGATTGGTCTCTTTTGCAGTTGGGCCATAGGAAAATCCTCTCTTTCTTCTTTATTTCCCCTCTCGCGCTTGACTTTATCCGGGTTTTTGAGGCGAAATTTTCTCATTCTTTTGTCAAAACCTCTCAAATCCTTTCGAATTCTAGCTTTTCTACATCTTTTTTCCTCAAAAATCCTTGAAAATCTCTTCCTACAGCTTCCCAAAGTCTTTTTTCTCATTCTACTTTGTGGTTCTCATTCTACTTTGGGGTTTTTCTCATTTTACATCTTTTTTTCTCAAAAAATCTCTCAATGACTTCATCTTTTTTTTTTTCGTTTTCTTTTCTCATTCTATTCCTTTTTTTTCCCCCTCAATCTTTTTCTTCGAAAAGCCCCGATGCTTTCTTTTAAACAGCCTGGCCTCTTAAAGCCTTCAATGCTCTTTCCCACCTCAAAAAAAACCTCTTCCAATCACCACCCCTTCCACTCCTTTTCACATCCCTCAAGACTTTTGTTTCCGCTTTCTTATTTTATATTGAAAAGTTTGTTTTTAATGATTAAAATTGAGATTTTAGGTAGTAAAAATGCGAGGTTTTACTGAAGACACTTAGCACTCAAAAAAGTCAGTCAGGATTTAAAAATGATGCTGATTTTCACTGAAGACTGACTTCAAATAAAAAAAAGTTTACAAGAAAGTTTACAAAAAAACTTTTGAGAAAAAAGTTTAAGTTTTCTTTAGCTTGTGATCAATTCAAAACTTGTTTCGGTTGAACTTAATGTTTTGTAGTGGTAGAGCGTTTTGTATGTTTTGTAAGTAGCTACAAGTAGTAGAGCGTGTAAGGAGAAACATTTACCCAAAGTTTTCTTTGCTTTCAAATATCAAAATTACGCTAAACATAAGAAATAGCTTTTTTAGTTTATTGAGTTCTAAGTTTAACTTAGTTTAACTTATAGTTAACTTTTAGTTAATTAACTTAATTAAAAAACTTCTTGAGTCAACTTTTTCATCCACAAAGCTCACTTGAGTTTTGAGTTGATGATTTCAATAATTAAAAACTAGTTTACTTTCCAATTAGTTAAAGAGTTGAGCTCACTGGAGCTGTTGAGCTCACTGGAGCTGTTGAGCTCACTGGAGCTGTTGAGCTCACTGGAGCTGTTGAGCTCACTGGAGCTGTTGAGCTCACTGGAGCTGTTGAGCTCACTGGAGCTGTTGAGCTCACTGGAGCTGTTGAGCTCACTGGAGCTGTTGAGCCTGGCGCTCACTGGGTGTTGCCACTAGCGTGCTGGGCTGGCTCACGGCTGGAGCTCACTGGAGCTGTTGAGCTCACTGGAGCTGTTGAGCTCACTGGAGCTGTTGAGCTCACTGGAGCTGTTGAGCTCACTGGAGCTGTTGAGCTCACTGGAGCTGTTGAGCTCACTGGAGCTGTTGAGCTCACTGGAGCTGTTGAGCTCACTGGAGCTGTTGAGCTCACTGGAGAATTGATTGATATTTTAACAATTAAAAACTAGTTTACTTTCCAATTATTTAAAGAAAGTTATTAAATGCTTATTGTCTCTGAAAAATCTAAAAGCTAACTAATAGCTGATTGTGAGTTATCACTATATATATCACTATTTGTTTCTAGCGATCCTAGAGATCCTAGGGATCCTAGAGATCCTAGAGATCCTAGAGATTCAAATCACCTCCAACAAGCTCTTCTCAGCTAATCCCAAGAAATCTATCTAGATCCCAAGAAAAGAATTTCTTCTATGGCTAGCCTCAATAACTTTTAACATTCTTTTGAAAAAAAATTGAGCCAATAAGGAAGCCAAGAAGAATTCTCCCAATTCTTTTCCGTACTTTAAAACTTTTTCAGAAGAAAAATCGACGCCTAATTAGTGTTGCGTTGAAGAGTTGAACTTCTTTTTTGCGTTGAAAAGTTGAACGCTGACTAAGCGATGTTTTGGAGAATAAATTAAGGCACTTGTTTCAGCCGACTTTTGGAGTGACTATTCGGAGTGACGTTTTGTGGCGATTTTATTATAACGATTAAACAATTTCGCAACCAGACCAACCACTTTATGCTTAAAAATGGAAGCACACCCTTTCTGGCGCACTCGATTCTTTATTTTCTTTGCCAAAAAGTCTCGGTGTCGCAAGAAAATGATGCGCTAGGAGGAGTGTAGAGTTTTGGGCGACAATCTCAGGAAGTCCTTGTCTTTTCAAATCTCAATCTATTCGTTACCCAAAAGCCACAATATAAGATTATTCGATTTGTTGTTGAAATCAAAATGTTGAGGATTGCATCAGTTTCAATTTTGGCATTGGCAAAAAAGAACCAAATTTACTTTACCCTTGTTAAATCTAGAATATTGAGATGTTTCAAGTCTGGAGCTAAGTCTGGACGATTCTAGATAGGGGATCAGTTCTAGATAGAGTTCAGTTCTAGATACCAGGGTTGTTCTTAATATGGCATTTTCAGCCTACAGTCGCGTAGTCGTTAACAATTTGACTTTTAATTTGTACTAATCTGGAGCCAAGTCTTGTTCTTAACATCGCTTTTTTGGCCTACAGTCGCTTAGTTGTTAGCAGTTTGACTTTTAATTTGGTGAAAATTCAAAGATAAACTAAAATATTATAGTCATTCGATAGCTCTAAATCTCCTCTTGAAAACTAGAAAAAAGTTACTGAGAATTCTCTGCAAAACAAATAACAAAAGTCCTTAAAAGAATTGACACTAGAAATAAGCGTCATTAGTACGACCGAATGTGTGAAAACGGCACATTGTGGATTAGACTAACTAGCAAAAAAAGTAAAGGAATGGCAAGAAAGATTTCCGGAGAGGGGATTGAACTCTCGCTTTAAGCTATTCTCTATTGCTTTAAGCTATTCGGTAGCCAACAACAACAAGCCAATTCAAATCTAAAAGTCAAATTTGAGTAATCCTGTGCTTGGTTTTTAGTTTTTAACCCTGCTTTTAAGTTCTGAATTTCTTTATAAACTGCTGAAATGAAAACTTCAAAGGTTTCTCCTATTGACCTTGAATTCCCAAATCCCAATTTAAATCTTTCACTCAAAATAGATTCAATAGAAGAATTGTTTGGAATCGAGTTTCGGGGATCGAAATGTTCTTCTCTTTCACAAAGGCATTGATTGATTGAGATGGAGAGGAGAGAAAAGGAAAAAGAATCGATGTGAAAGACTTCCTTGTATTTTTCTCTTCATTTTCCTCTTCATTTTCCTCTTCATTTTCCTCTTGACTTTCTATTCCTCTTGACTTTCCTCTCCACTCCTCTCCCTCCTTCGTACTAATCGGAACAAATGATCACCGTTCGAACAAATACATTACTTTTTTCATTGGAGTTTTTGTTGTTTGTTTTAAAGAATTGTGAGATCAAGCTTTGATACTTTGAAATGTCTTTTCAGTACTTTTCCAGTCACTTAGCACTCAAAAAAGCCAGTTAGGATTTAAAAATGATGCTGATTTTCTGGCAAAGCCAAAATCAACAACTATTTTGCCTAGAAAATTGATCTTAGACTCCCGTATGTAAAATTAGTTGAGAATTATTAAGACAATTATTTGATTTGATTGCATTTTGCTTAAGCAATCGGTGTAGAGAAATAGGTACAAAATCTCAAAATACTAGCAATTTCTAAAACTCGCTTACAACTTACAATAATTAGCTTCAGATCTGAAGCCCAGTACTGGCTGTCTAAACGATCAGCTGATCAAGAACAAGTTCAAGCTGATCAAGAACAAGATCAAGCTGATCAAGAACAAGCTCAAGCTGATCAAGAACAAGCTCCAGCTGATCAAGAACAAGATCAAGTTGATCAAGAACAAGACCAAGCTGGTCAAGAACAAGATCAAGCTGATCAAGGACAAGCTCAAGCTGGTCAAGAACAAGCTCAAGCTGATCAAGGACAAGATCAATCAAGCTCAGCAGTAATAGATCTTTTGTCAATTAAAGCTGATTTTGAGTCAAATTTTCTCTAGCAGATCACTAGCAGATCAAGTACGAGAACTGTTTTTCCTCAATTCACTCGATTATTGTCTTCTTTCTCGATATCTTTAAGACCCGCTCCCTCTTCTTCAGCATCCCATATGCCCTATGTTCGATCACATGAGAGAGTCGGCCAGCCGTCCCTCCGCCCTTTTCCGGGGGAATTTTGTTTGCACCCCTTTTCCCCTTTTTTCAACCCAATCCCCTCCTTCATTCTCTTTTTCTCTTTTTTGATGGCTTCTCTGACCGCCAATCGAAATGCTCCTCTTTTCAACGTTTTCAACTCTTCACCTTCCCTATTTTTGACGCTTTTCTTGTCAATAACGTTTGTTTACTTGGTGACTATTTGGCTACTAGGGAAATCTACTTATTTGCTTCAAATTTGTCATATTTTCTTGGTAAAAACAATAGTTTTTAACAGCTTTCTACTAGCTGGGCTGATTTTTTTTATCAGTTGAACATCTAATTGTTAAGTTTGGACCTTGTTTTGTATTTGCTTTGATTTTGCCTTGTAGAAAAAACTGAAACATCTCATGTCAAGAAGATCTTGAAATTTAGACAAAAAAAGAAATCCTTACGTACAAATCTCGAGTTTCCTATTTTTATGCATGATTTCTAGCCAATTTCTATAAAGATTCATTTCAACAAAGCTACGTTTTCTAAAAGCATAAAGTTCTTACAAGAATCGCGCTTTAGAAAACGAAGGATGTTTGCTAAAATCAGGAAGCTATATAGGTATTACAGTGTTCTTAAAACTCCTAGCAAACCAAACCAAGAGTTGAAGGTTCTTTTATCGGTTGGAAATGGGAATCCAAAAAACCGACGGTCGATGCCGGGACTCGAACCCGCCACCTCTACCAATGCTCTACCAATGAGCTACAACGAGGCATGCCGTGTTCCCGCCAAAGTAAGGTCTTGTCATACTTATGTTATTTTTTCATTTTGGAGTTTAAAGTTGAAAATTTTGAAGTGAAATTGTGCTTGATTTTAGCTTAGCTTTCTGCTAAATCTGAAAATTTTGGAAGGCAAAACTACGTTTTCTAAAGGATAAAGTTCTTACAAGAATCGCGCTTTAGAAAAAAAACAAGGATGTTTGCCAAGGCAAAAACTCGTCTAGTAAATTAGATTGAAATTTCAAAATTCTTTTTATTCTTGTTGTTTTTGGAGCAAGTCCAGAGCTGCCTTGTTATCGATATTTTCTCCCTTTTCCTTTTCTTCAAACGAGGAAAACAAATTCTCTTCACTCTAGCTTTCGGCTTTTTTTCCGAAAACACTCAATTTATATGAAAATTATTCTATTTTTCTGTGAATAGTTCTTTTTCTAGAAAACACTTTTTATAATATCGTATTTTCTGTAATAGTAGTGCAGGCAGGAGGGGGGTTGAAAAAATAGTAGTGCGCACTACTATTACAGAAAATACGGTATTCATTGCTTTTGACTTTAAAAAAGTGATGATTTCATCTAGAAAAAGTTTCATTTTACTGTTTTTTTTTTTTTTTTTTGCAAAAATAATCTTTTTCTAACAATGACAAATCGGATTTTGTGCTTTCCAATGATCAAAATGAATGGACAGATGAAGAGAAATGCAATAAATTTCATGATCTCTTTCCCAGTTTTGACACTGCTCGTATCGATGAATCCAAAAATATCCCTGGGAGAGAGAGAGAGAAAGAGAGAGAGAGAGAGAAATTTGAGCAAAATTCGATCAAAATTCGATCAAAATTCTGTGCGAAAAGGAGATTTTCCCCTTGTTTTCCTTTTGTTTTTTTCTGGTTTTGTTTCACCGGAAATTTGGGTAGATTTTTTCCTACTTTTCTCCTCCAAAGAACGCTCGAAATTAGGCGAAACGATCAATCACTTTTGTGTCATTTCGAGATATCGACAACACTTTTCTTTCATTTTATTTTTTTTTTTTTTTGGAATGTAAATGAGAAATTTGAAGGAAATCATTGATTTTCTATATAATTCTAAGTAATTCTAAGTGCTATTTAAACCATTGATTTAAAGCTTTTTCTATCAGTTTTCTTCCCAGATTCTAGATCTTTTCGAAATCAAATAAATAGGTAACTCTTTCATTAATGTTTCAAATGGAAAATGCTTCAAAATGTACACTTTAGTTTTGAAAAGCTAAACACACCCTTTCTAGTGCACGAAATTGTTGTGCTTTGAGAGAAAATGAAGAAACAAGTGCACTAGAAAGGTTGTGTTTGCAATATCGAGCATAAAGTACTTGTGAGTGATTTGCGAATCAATTACGCAAATGATTGTATCTGCTTACGATTCTGGCGCACTGATTTTCTCATTTTTTTTTTCCTCAAAGTCAGCTAATTTCTGTGAGAAATAGAAGAAAGAAACGAGTGACAAGTGCATTAGAAAGGATGCTTTTACAATTCTCCATCACAAAGTATGACTCAAGAAAACTCATTGCTAACTAAAGACTAAAATTAAAAACTAAAATTAAAGACTAAAATTAAAAACTAAAATAAAACTATAAAACTTGATCTTTTTAACTCATTTTCTTTTAAAACTCGTCAATTTCTTGGCATTTTTTTCATCTCAAAACCTTTTCCCTTTTGATCGCTTTTGAAAGCACTTCAGTCAACAAGAAACTTTCGGAAAAAAGAGAAAAATGTGATTTCCTGCAGAAAGATCTCCCAAGAAACTATTTCAATTGATTAACTGTTTCCATTCATTTTCCTAAACAATGATATTCTCGCCTTTTACAGTAATCCCTAGTGGTCACTGGTTTCAACCAACAAACGATTCAAGGCGGATGGCCGTTTCGACGGGAAAAGTCTGGGTGGGACCGTTGTTGTTGATTTTGCTGATCGCTTTGATCTATATTTTCTCACTGTTACCACATACACATCACAAGGTTTGTTTGATTAGTAAAACAAAGAAAATAGAGCTCTATCCTTTGGAATCAGGATGTTTTAGCTTTAGGTTTAGCTTTAGGTTTAGCTTTAGGTCTTGCTTTAGCTTTTGCGTTTGCTTTAGGTTTTGCTTTTGCTTTAGCTCAGGATGCTTTAGCTCAGGATGCTTTAGCTCAGGATGCTTTAGCTCAGGATGCTTTCTCGGTGCTTTAGCTCAGGATGCTTTAGCTCAGGATGCTTTGCTCGTGCTTTGCTCGGTGCTTTAGCTCAGGTGCTTTAGCTCAGGATGCTTTAGCTCAGGATGCTTTGCTGGTGCTTTAGCTCAGGATGCTTTAGCTCAGGATGCTTTAGCTCAGGATGCTTTAGCTCAGGATGCTTTAGCTCAGGATGCTTTAGCTCAGGATGCTTTAGCTCAGGATGCTTTAGCTCAGGATGCTTTAGCTGCTCAAAAACGGTTCTCTTTAAAAGAATTGAATCCTTCAACTCTCTTAGTCAATCATTTATTGCAAAAGCAATTTCAAATTCATTAACATCACTCAAAAAGTTGAGAAATTTGACCCATTTCCTTGAGATAGACTTCTGAATCAATATTTCCACATATTAATAGCCGATATTTTCTTCCTAGTTAAGGTGATTGTGGCTCATTTGGACTTTAAATGAAAACACACGCTTTCTGGTGAACAAAGTTCTTTGTTTCTCTCAAGGCTCAAAGAGAAATGAAAGGTTTTAATCCAATAAAGAAATTTCCAATCCAATCAAGAAATTTCTTGATTATGCATTAACATACATTAGATTCTGATGATTTAAATTAATCAATTAATTAAAATCTAGCATACTTTCAGAATTCGTATATCTATGGAGATGAGGATCAAGTGGAGTTGACGAATTTCCCCGTCGAGAAACAACAACATCGAGGATATGAATTCTCACAGAATTCTCTCAAAATCACCCTCAATTTGAAGTTAGTGTTGAAATTTTAATGCTTAAATAAACGAAATTCAGAAGCCAAAGTCCAATGTGCAATTCTCGGGGTTCCGCCATCATGCACAGTGACGGTTCCGTGAATTGCGAGTGCTTGGATGTACATGGGTTGCCGCTGTTTTCCGGGAACAGATGCGAGACTCATTTGTGTTTACACAATGGGACTTTGGCGTGAGTTTTTTTTTTGAATTTTAGAGGAGTTAGAGAATTTGAAAGAAAAGCTGAAGATAGAATTTTACCAGGGATATTCTAAACAAAATTCTTAAGCCATAAAAATCGTTTGCGACAAGAGTCATAACGTTTTGCAATCAAAATCAAAACCTTGTTTACAGAATTTAATTAGAATCTCTAGAGTTTTGCTGATAACTCCAGTAAATAAGTGAAAGAATTAGCAAGAAAAGGTAGATTTCTGAGGAAGGAATTGAACCCTCAGCCTTCTGCTTTCCTTTGCTTTCCTCAACGTTTGCTTTTTCAATTGTCTTAATAACTTTAGCTATAATAAAGTAATGATAGAGTTGACAAGAAAAAGCAGATTTCCGGAGAGGGTTGAACCCTCGATCTTTTGCTTTACAATTGCTCTAACCATTGAGCTATTCGGTACCTTAACTTACCAAGAGAAAGAAGGAAAGATAAAGGGGAAGAAGAAAGAAAGAAAGAAAGAAGGAAAGACAAAGGGGAAGAAAGAAAGAAAGAAAGAAAGAAAGAAAGACGTAAGTCAAATTTCAGAGACGACAATAATTCGTGTCATTGTGAGGGCCCGTGGATGGGAAAGCATTGCGAGTATCGGTGTCATGGCAATATCAGCAGAAATGGCACTGATGGTTAGTTTTAGACAGTGTTTAAACTTAAAAGGAACAATGATTTGATCGTAACTTCCACTTTTAGCAATCTGTGAATGCCAGGAAAGGGATTACGGTGAATACTGCCAGCTACATTGCAGTGAGAAGAACGCAATCTGGGATCGCCGCTCAAAGATGTGCACGTGTTTCAACGGTGAGCTTTATTCAAAAGTTATAAGCTGAAAAATTATCTATTTATCACATTTCTAAGCTTTTGAACTTGAAAACAATAAAGCAAAAGGCTTAAAGCTTTTCAAGAGTTTTCTGTGATGGGGAATCCAAATCCGTCATTAGTTTTCAATTCTGAATTCACTAAGATTACCACCACTTGGGTACACACAAAAACTTGGGTAATTAAATCAAAAATTAACGCATTTCTCTATTTAGAGTATTTGAATATGTTGTAAACGAAAAATAAAACCGGATTCGGATTCCTCATCCTCGAAAACCCTAATACAAAATTTTCAGAAGTCTAATTCATTTCAAAACACCAAATATTAGGTTGGTGCATTGAAAACTGCCGGACTTTGAACTAAAATTTATTCAACATAAAACCATGAATTCATTCGAAATAATTTCCATTATTATTGACGACTTCTGCCCATTTTACAGGCAATTTGCGGATTCCTCTTTCGTGGTAGGATTTTGGTTTGTGTGTGAGACAAGTGTGAGACTCAAAAATCGAGGACTGGAGATGTCAGCTGTCAGCCCAGTTTGAGCACTTTCTTCAAAAGAAACCCATTTTGGTGTGAATGGAAAAGTTGTAGAGAATCAAAAATCAAGCTTATATCCAAATTTTCAGAACGATTCAAAAACTGGTTTTCAAGAAAGGCGAGATTTACGAATTTTCACAAAACTTGCATTTTAAGCGGAACTACGAAGTGTATCTTTTTGGAAATTTGGATATAAGCTTGATTTTTGATTCTCTACAACTTTTCCATTGACACCAAAATGGGTTTCTTTTGAAGAAAGTGCTCAAACTGGAACCTATGACAATAGCTCTCAGTTTTCAATTCACCAACCCAATATATTAAGCTGTGAATCCAAATCGACTTAAAAAGATGGGGAATGAACTAAATAAACACTTTTTATATAAAGCAAATCATAAATTAATTAGTGAATTTGCGATTTTTCAACAGAAATAAGAAAAATGACAAGCCGATTGGCAAATCGTTGGCAAATCGAAACCTTAAACTAATCTCTGATGTCATTTTAAAATTAAATTTGACAATTAGATTAATAATAACTTAAAATGAGCATATGATATCACTATTCTATAAAACTTTATAAATTTAGCTATATTTATCTGATTATAGCTAAAATGTTGATCAATTTCTAGGCTACGACGCGCCAAGCTGTATCCTCTGTCTCCGTCCCGAGTGTTCCATCGCTCAAAGTCAGCATAAGAAAGGTAAAGGATTAAATGTAAATCATAGCAAAATTTCTCGAATTTCTAGGCGTTGTCAACTCTCGTCTAACACTTTCCGGACTCTCGTTTTGTTTAATCACAATTGGACTGTTGTGTATCACGGCGAGGTTTGGTTTATCTTTGGATGAGTAGGATTGAGCTCGATTTGGAATCTGGATTTGTTGTTGTTTTCAATTGTAGTTTTATTTGTAGATTGGATTTTATAGATTGGATTTTATAGATTGAATTTGTTAGTTTTCAATTGTGAAAAAGTTTTATGACTCAATTTTTAGACGAAGACGAATGACAGCAACGGCTTTACCCGGCTCAGATGAAACGTGGTATCGAATCTTTCAGCCACAGGTTAGAAACAGTTTGAATAACGTGGATACCTTGAATACCTTGAATACCTTGAATATCTTGAATAACTTGAATGCCTTGAATACCTTGAATACCTTGGATACCTTGAATACCTTGAATATCTTGAATAACTTGAATGCCTTGAATACCTTGAATACCTTGAAGAACTTAACTACTGTTGATTGAGAGATGAAAGAAAAAGCTCTGCCTAACAATAAGATATTTAGGCGGCCGGTCGACGGTGTCGTCACGATTTTGTTTGCGGTGGCTCGTGGATTCCGAGAGATCGTGCGCTCTTGGTGGGCAATTCGAATCGACAACCGACACAAGCGAGATTAGCCAGAAATAACAGGTATTGCAATACAATATATTGTCTATTGTGCCCATGAGTCAATTTCATGCAAAAATATTTTTTCAATAAACCCATCTAAATCAATCAAATTAATTTTCATCTTTTCGATAATGCCATTATTTTTTAGAATTTTGTGCCCATTTTACTGGTAGAAGGAGAATTTTTTTCTCTTAAAAAGAAGGAGAATTTCTTTCTCTTCTCTTCTTTCTCTACTTTTAAGTCAAAGTATCCATTTTTGGTTTCTTTTTTGATCTTCAAAGTGCTCTCCATCGCTATAGAATCTTTTTCAAAGTTTATCTTAAAAATAAATGCAAAACTCAGACTTATGGCCTGGTTTTACAGCAAATCTAGCTTTTGCAAAAGCGCCAGGCTTAAATCTGGTACTTCTATTCGGAATCTGGCCAGGCTTGGCTAGAGCAATTGCAATGTAAGACTAAATCTCTCGATTTCTAGATCCCTCACCCCACCACCATCCTATTGTTCTGTGGAGCATTTGGACGGCTCATCCGGCGCTCCACCAACTTATGAAGAAGCTGTGCATCGGGGTCAAAACATCGACATCGAAATGCATTTGGATCGAATCATCGAAGATGGCGATCGCCAAGAAATCGTTGAAGATAAAGAACAATCCACCACAATCACAACCACTCACACAGACACAGGTTAGTGCAGTTTTGCTTAAGCCAAGTAAATTCATAAGCTTACTTCTCTTTCAGTCTCACTTGACCAGTTTCAGTTTCACTTATAGCCTGGCTTTACAATCTAGCTCTCTTGTTTCTCTTGCTCAATTCTAAAAAGTGTAAACTTTCAAAATCTACCGTAATCCTTTCTCAAATCTAGCTACTTTTATATATTTTTTTATTCTTCGTCAAAATTCGTTGGATAAAACCAAAGAAAGCTTCTTATGTGATAAGAAAGATTACGGTAGTTTTGAAAAGTGTTAGGCTTTCGAAAAGATACCATATCTCAAACAAATCTCAGAAAAAAGTCGACAATCTGAAGGTATTCAGGTAAACGAAGAGTCCTCAGCTGATCATCGTCGAGAGTCTTCTTCACCCCAAGAAACCAATAACAATAACAATTAGAATATGGAAATGATTTGCATTTCAAAACCAAACTACCCACAAAATGTTGCCTATTCGGGTCAAAGTAATTTTGTTTTTTTTAAAGCTTATATGTAAAATTGACTCAATTTATGCAAATTTCTAAATTTTCTAAATCTCTAAATTTATGTATATTCCTCGAAATTTATGTAAATTCCACTCAATTTATGCAAATTTCCCAATTGTATACACCGTACATGATCTCTTTTGCTGGTAAATTTGCAGTTTTTTTCGTTTTTTTTAGTTTTTTCTCGTTTTTTCTCGTTTTTTTACAATTTTCTATATCTTGTAGGTCAATCAGCGGGTTTTCTATGTTTATTTTCTTTTTGGATTATTGTATATCTGTAGTTATTAGTTTTTTCTTTTAAAAAAAACAATGCCTATCCGGTGATTTGTCGACGAAAAAAAGAAGAAAAATTCGTAAACCGGTGTCAACTTTTTTCTTGCAACAATATTTCAATTTTGATTGATGATTTTAATGATTTTAATGATGCCATTAATGATTTTTGCTTTTTAATTTTTGATTTTTGTGTAGAATTTGTAGAAAAAAATAAAAATTCGATTAAAAAGAGGGAAACGGGGGGTGGGACAAATGCGACCTTTTTTTTCCCGCACCTGGACATTAGCATAGTATTAGTATTAGTATATATACTTTATCCGACAAGGAAAAGTGACAATGCAAACAGATTGAACAGCGTAGACGAAGAAAGATAATTGATATACAAACACAACTACAATTCGACACGTGTATATATGACATTAAAAACTAATTTAAAATTGACAGAGCTACAAGATCGAGCTTATATATTGAGGATTTAAAATAGTTCAGAGACGAAAAAATATCACAAGGTAACTTATTCCAAATACGAGGAACACGAAAAGCAAAAGAATGATACAGTTGGCGGTTATGAAAGCTTTGAAAGGGGGTAATCTGAAAGTTGTGACTACGAGTTCTTCTGGCGTGATTCGAAATGATGATTTTTGCTTTTTAATTTTTGATTTTTGTGTAGAATTTGTAGAAAAAAATAAAAATTCGATTAAAAAGAGGGAAACGGGGGGTGGGGCAAATGCGACCTTTTTTTTCCCGCACCTGGACATTAGCGCACCTTTTTTTGCTGGAAAAGGCCTTAGGCAAGGCCGTTGAGCTTCAAAAATGTTTCCATACTGGGGAATCGTATGCGTAGATTCCGAATTTCGACAAATCAGACCTCGCTGACACGTCAAATTTGGGCTAAAAGGCAAAAACTACGCAACTTAACGCTTTTCCGCAGTTTTTGCCTTTTGACGTGTCAGCGAGGTCTGATTTGTCGAAATTCGGAATCTACGCATACGGTTCCCCAGTATGGAAACATTTTCGAAGCTCTACGACCTTTCCTAAGGCCTTTTCCAGCAAAAAAAAGGTGCGCAAATGTCCAGGTGCGGAAAAAAGGTAGCATTTGTCCCACCCCTGGGAAACGTGATCAAATTTTTGGTGAAAAGAAGGAAAACGCATGGGTGAAATTTGAGAAAAAACGAAAAATAATGAATCTTTTTTATGGCCAATAGCAAAATATGCAAAAAATTCGGATTTAACGGTTCAAATTTATATTTAAATTTGCTTTTTACTGTTTTTTTTTTTTTTTTTTGCTTACTAATTAGAAAAGCAAGATTGGATTTCAAATTTCTATTTACATTTACTATATATTTACTTGTTACTATTTTTTTTTTGCCTACTAGTTAGACAAGTAAGATTGGATTATTGAATTTTTTGTATAAGCTATAAAAATTTGCTCTGGATTATGAATTATTTGTGTGCTTTTTCTTGAATTCACTAGAAATGGCTAGATCTATGCGCTTTTGCTTGAATCAATAACACTTGTGACCTTTCTCCGAGAAAATCCTCGGTTGGCACTTTAAAGCGTGGTAAAACTACCGTACCCCTCCTGATTTGGGTGAAATTGTTTCATTCATTTCATTTTTTCTCATTCTTGTTCATTTCATTTTATTTTTTTTGCGTTTTTCTGATGTGATCGCGTTTGTTTTTGCAGGAAACAAAGAGGATAAAGCTGAGTTACGTTTTTAACAGCATTTCCTATGGCGGAAGCTTTGTTTATAGTTTTTTTTTTGATTCACTTGCTTCCCGACGATCTACTTTATGAACTTGATGCCAACTAATGTTAAGTTAAGTGGTTTTTATCATTTTCTATGGCGAAAGCTTTGTTTGTAGAGTTTTTTTAAATCCACTTGCTCACTGACAATCTATTTCATGAACTTGATGCCAACTAATGTTAAGTTAAGTGGTTTTTATCATTTCCTATGGCAGAAGCTTTGTTTTTGTGACTTTTTAGTCGTACTATCTTTTATAAATTCAAATTAGGAGGGGTGCGCTAGTTTTTGCAAAGCACCAATCCAGAATTTTCCCGGAAAAAGGTCGCAAGTTGAAGAACAAAACCAAGTTTATTCAAGACACGTGGGGCAAAGCGTGTGAAAATGTTTCAACGAAGCTTCAAGAATGAACAATATGTTGACTTAAAGAAAAAAAGGAATCGCTTTGATGAAATTTGTGGAAGTATCTCTTTGAAAACAACTTTCACAAGACGAAATGAGAGAAAATTCAGCCTAAATGTGGAAAGAGGCATCCTTATATACGCATATGAGCGCGACATTGTTTAGGATACGGTATTTCTGATGTCTTATTAGATTGAGGTAGCTTTTTGGTGACTCGTTGTCAACTCCGGCCCTTTTTCAGTCCATTTCCCGTGGTAATCTACGAATTTTGCTTGTACCTTGATTGGGTTTGTTTTTATAACGTTGAATTTGCTTTCTTTCGATAGAAAATTTGATTTCAAGTCAAATGAAAGCAAATCCAACGTTTTTGCAAACAAATCCGGCTAAGATACGATGCAGGAAACAGCTTGAAAAGGGACGGAGTTAAAATGCCATCGTCATAGCCATACAGTAGCGGACAAAGACTTAGGTCTCTCGGACTGCTAAGTCTTTGTCCGCTACTGTATGCGCTTCGTTTGATTGAGAATTTCGATAAAAGTTACAGTAAAATTTACAAAGATTTAGATAAAAACCTATCAAATCAAATGCACAGATTCAGTTTAATGTTTTCTGTTCTTACAGATACTGTAATGCTTGATTTTTGCAAATCCGAAGCTGAACAAGAAAAGCCGAAGAAAAGCTGAACACTAAACACCAAATTCAGATTTTACATTCGGATTTTCGATTTTAAATATGTCACTTTGTGTCAGCTGTAGACTCTACAGCTTAGAACAGCTGCAGCAGTTTAGAAAAGATAGTTGGCATTAGTCCAACAAAGTCGGGTCACGGGTCGGGTCAGCGGGTCATCCGGGAAAAAAGCCGGGTCGCGGGTCGGGTCAGCGGGCCACTTTTGACCCAACCCGACCCGATCCGACCCGCTGCCCATGTCTACTGTAGAGATATTAAAGTTCAAGTTAAAATCTTGAAGTTTTAACTTGATTCCAAAGTATATGATAGAAAATATGTTTAAAAAGATATGCCAACTTTTCAAAGAAACATTCCCCGTATTATTTCTTAATGTTAAGCTATTTTTACTCAATTGATCCCTAGAACTGAACTAGAACTAATCAGATTGAGGTTTAAGACACTAATTGGGTGACTAGATTGAAATCAAAATCTAAATGCAACGGAGAAGTTACACTGAATTGAGTGCAATGGGTGTATGAAGGGGAAAGAAAGAAAAGAAAGAAAAGAAAAGAAAGAGGGAATTTGTTGGTGTGTTTCTTTTCTTTCAAAGGGTACCCTTATGTCCCAAATCCCTTTTATTGCCCCTTCCTTTTCTTAAATCTATGACTGGCTTCTCTTTGTGACATCCCATTGACATTTCCACTTCCACATCACATTCAAAGTTGTCACCAATTCACCTACAAGAGATTTACTTTTGACATTTGCCATTTTTACTTTAAAACTACTTAACCAATGAAGCTAAAGCTGAACTTCTTCACTCTAGCTGCAACAATTTTCCTTTCCTGTTTTTCTTCAGCAAACACTACTCAAACGTCAAACGTAGATGAATTAAATTTTCAGAGAAAGTCAAAAAAGCCCATCCGTGACTCGATTCCGTCAATCTTCTTCACCCAATTTCCCAATTTTCCTCAATTTTATACAATGTTGATCTTTTCCTCTCTTTTCCTTTTTCTTGTTCTAATTGCTCTCGGGGATTTCGAGTGCTCTTGACAGGTCTTCTTCTTTTCCTTTTCTCTTCATCTCACTTAGAGAATCTCCTTTCCTGTTTCCCTTTGATCGAATCTTTTCTTTACTCTCAATTAGGAATCAGATCCCCATTCCGATTGCTGATACTTTATCTCTTCACTTTACTTTTTGTGAATCTTTGTGTGACAATTTTCTTGGTACTTTAAGCAATTTTTTGGTTTATCAAGAATGTTTCAATCAACTCTAGGGCCTGTAAGCTCAGACCAGAACAATACAAGTCAAAATCGGGTTCAGTTTTTGCTGAAAAAGAGCTTTTTTATCGGCCAAGCCAAGCTTTTTATCGGTCGCGTAAAACAAGGCCAGAAGTAGGTCAGAACCAAGACTACGATCCAAGCCCGACCAAACCGATTAATCAGGGCAGAGCCCGACCAGAAGTCAAAACCAAGCCTGGTTACCGGGCTAGAGCTAGAGCAGAAGCTATTTTCTGATCTAGCATTGATCTTTACTTGTTCTTTTTCAAGCAAAACAATCATTTCTTCAGCTATTACTTTACTTGAAATTGAGTTCCAAAATCTATACCCCAAAAGTTTATGGCCTTTCGAAAACAAAAAAAAAATTGTAGTCTTCCTAGAGATTCGGTTTCAAATCTATAGCATTCCGAAAAAAAAATATGAAAAGCTGAGCTACGGGATTAGGAATTGGAGCCGATTCATAGAGGAATGGATTTGAAAAAAGGGGAGGGAAGCGACAGAGTTGAACAAGAGTGGAAGGAAGGAGAAGGGGGGAAAGGAGAGTGACTCAAAAATTGGGTATGCATATTTGCTGAGTTTTTCGGAAAGAATCAAAATTTGCATGTACTACGTTTTACACTAAAGCTTCGATTATTGTTTTTCATAGCTTCATTTGAGCACTCATCGTTGTCTAAAAGAATTTTTGTCTTTTAGATTCGTTTTTGGCTGCTTTTTGCTTGACTAGACTTCAGAAATTAAGGAAAATTTTGGAAAACTGACTTATTGAGAGGAAAACGTTCGAAAGTCATCGAAAGTCATCGAAAGTCGTGCTTTGGTACAAGCAACGTCTTGTATCGAACCATACAATCATACAGTCAAATGTTTAGTGCCAAATCATCAAATCTGAATCACCGAATCACCGAATCATGCAATGAAATCTTATTTTTCTGTCATCTTTAGCAGCACTTCGATTAAACCTCCTTTCAATCAATTTTACCAACTTTTCTTTAACATTTGCTCACAATTTAGACACAATTTAGCCACAATTTTGCCACAATTTCAGATGCGGTATCGTCAGCCATGTCTCAAATCGAATTTCTTCCCATCATCGCGCTCTTGACGCAGCTTGTCACCTCTCAAAAGCTTCTCGTTGTGATCAGTTGGTTACTTCGATCAACTAACAATTTATATCTGCTTTATGATCATCAAATTTCTAATCAATGGAATACTTTTTGGCCAAACTTTTAGAAATCTTTTAGACTTTTAACCTAGATTTTATCCTACACTTTTATCGACCAAGGCTTGTAAAACTACATAAAACAAGGCCAGAAGTAGGTCAGGACCGAGACTACGATCCAAGCCCGACCAAACCTTTTAGCCTTTTAAGCCTTTTAAGCTAAACTTTTAATCGAAACTTTTAGAACTTTTCTAATCAATGGAAAACTTAGAAAATCAATAGAAAACAATGGAAAACTTTTCTAATCAATTTACAATTGTATCAGCAGATTTCAAATCAATTTCAATCAACTTTTAGCCGAGGGAATCTCTGGCTCAGATTTCTATCGTTTCTCCGGTAAACCACCGTTTGATACATTCGAGAATGAGGGCGTTTGGTGAGTTTGGTAAAAGAAATTGTGTAAATATAAGTACTAGGTACTGTACAGCATTGTTTTAAAGGGTATTTTTTCCCAAGTTAGGTCAAGTTAGGTCAGCAGGCTAGACCCTCAAAAAGTGCTTGGTCTCATCAGAAACCGGCCCTGACCCTGGTTACAGTACAATCCAATTTTGATGCCTAAAAATAGTAATATTCAATTAAAAGTCGATCTGCAGTACATTTCCTAGTGCTGTAAATAAAGTATCATTCTTAAAATTGATTGAAATATCGAAGCTTTCACTTCTAGGTCCACCCGAGTGGTGCCCGTTTTCCCGACGCTGCCATTCCCCAATCGGCACACGATGCTTACAGGTAATATGGTAATTTTGGCAAAATATGGTCATTTTGAAGTCACTGCTATATAGTAAATGTTTCAAATTATATAAATAACCAAGATTTCCAGGCGTTCTCCCCAAAAAACATGAGCTTATCGATGAGTGGATGTTGAATTGGAAAACGGGGGAAACGTTCGCGAATTTCACTCAACAATCCGACTTTGATGCACAAAAATGGTAATCTTTAATCAAAAAAGATTCTATAGGTTGATAAAGATTAATAAAAAGTTTAAGGAGATTAATAGTTTAATAAGAATTTTCTAGGTGGAATGTGCCTCCAGTTTACCTCAGCGCGACACGAGCTGGCGCCAAGACTGCGCTCTTTTTCTTCCCGGAGTGCTTTGTAAGTTGGAAAATAATAAGCAAATTGTTTTTGATTAATATAATTAAATAAATTAGTCATGAAGTTTTCTAGGTTTTCTATAGATTAATCTAGGTGGAATGGTCTCCGCAACTCACAATTTGTATCCCACCAAGAGAGCCACCGAGTGATGAAGAGGCTGACAGCATTGCTGCCTCCATTCTACAAGCTACAAAGTATAAACTTTTATTTGAGTATAGACTCTTTGGGCTTTCTATTCTCAATCTTTATATTAATTTGTTAGATGGGCCGACTTGACAATGGTTTACGATTCGTGGATTGGAGCCGAGATGGCTGACGAGGGATCGTTGAGGGGAGACTCGCCCGCACTGCAGCGACTAGCTAATGTAAAGATGAATGCTTATCAATTATAGTCTGTTATAAATCTTGTGAACCTTTAGTTTTACAAGTTTCAATATAAAACATTTAATAGCTAGACTGCCGATCGCTTACTTGTTTTAGTGCTTTTTTTTGGGGGGTTTTATTGAGTCTAAAAACTGTCGATGGTTTAGAGAACAGTTAACCTAAACCCAATGAATATATTATAACTTTATAAAGAAATATATTATAACTATATTACCGTACTTTCTCTAATAGTAGTGCACCCCGGTGAGCCCAGTTAGGGACGATTTCACGGTTTCCAAGCTTTTGCAGAAGCTCAACACTCTAATCCCCGGCAAGACCTCATTGTCAGCTACATTTTCCGACCCCACATCGATAGGTTCTGATAAGCGGTTCTCGAGATTTCAAGGAATTTAGTCTACAATACTGCTAGTAGGGGTAATTCTAAAATTGTTGACTAGAACCGACTATTAGAACGGGTTATTTCGGGTTATTTAGTGGGTAAGTACCGGTAACCTTTTCCTAACCAGAAGCACATCGTTTAGAAATGATTTACCGTATTCGCTCTAATAGTAGAGCCGAGTTGGTGACGATTTTACGGTTCTAAAGTTTTCGCAGAAGCTCAACACTCTAATCTCCCACTAGATCTCATCGTCAGCTACATTTTCCGACCCCACATCGATCGGTTCTCATAAGCGGTTCTCGAGATTTCGAGCAACTTAGACGACGCTCAGGGTGCACTACTATTAGAGAAAATACGGTATAGGGAAATCTCATATCAATTACATCAAATTTTCAGTGGCTCTATCGCTTTTCGGCGGCTGCTCGGGAACGTGTCGATCTCAACTTGATCTTTGTCTCAATGCATGGAAGAATTCAGGTAATTGAATGGAAATCTCAAGTGGACAAGACGCTCAATTGTTCTCTCAGTTTTGTAGTAAAAATTGATCACAAAAATTCGGGCATAGTGACGAAATCAACGAAATTAGAAAATGAATTGAAATCTAAAAAGATTTATGAATCTCATTTAAAGTCGCTGATTCAAAGCCACTCATTCAAAAGCCTCAATGAAGAGGTGTTTTTGGCTCAAAAAAAGCGCCCAATTGCCCATTTGTGCTTATTTTATTTTCAGGTTCCAAAGGAAAACGTTCAAATTCTCGACAATTTCGTTCCAATGGAGATGATCGAGAAAACGGTCGGACGTGGAGCAATTCTTCAGATTAAAGCGACTCAAGGGAAAACTCATCAAGTGAGCTCAAATAATATTTTAAAAATAGATCAGATGCAGATTCTAATAATATATTTTCAGGTCTACAGTCTCCTCAACGAGACGAATCCGATCCCGAACGTGAAAGTGAGCTTTGATATCAAATTTGTGCTCAAAAACTGTAAATGCACCATTTCTAGTGCACTAAATTCGTCAAAAGAGAAATTGAAAGACTTAGTGGACTGGAAGGGTTGTGTGGAATTTAAGAAGAGCACAAAGTGCTCAGCAGACACAGTCAGCAACCTTAAGAATAGCTCATGAACTAGAAGAGTCAATCAAATCAATCAATCAATCAACCAATGAATCAATGGATCAACAATTGTGCAAATATGTATTTGATTGATTTCCGAATTGATTTTAGCAAAAATCAAAGGATTTAAAGCATTCAAATTCAAAAAGAATAAAAGTATTAAAGAGCTAAAAGAATAGTTTTTAAAAATAGAAAAGATTTTCGAAATTATTGTTAGAAAAGAATAATGAAAAAGGGTGGAAAAAGGGTTTTTTTTGCTTGTCATTGTCGATTATCCATAAAGCATCCATAAAGTCATTGTGCTTGTCATTGTGCTTGTCATTGTGCTTGTCATTGTGCTTGTCATTGTGCTTGTCATTGTCAGCAGTCTATTGGTTCTCCTTTCCGGATAACTTTTCTTCTTCTGAGATCTTCTGAGATTCGGATAACATATGAATTTTTTAATACTTTTGATAGTTTCAAATTCGGTTGACTTTGAATGCTTTAATTTTTGCTAAAACTAATTCCAAAACTCGATAGTCGACCAGATTACGCAAAATGGTGGATCCAATTCGGTCCCATACAAGACTTTGCTTGTACCAAAGCTTGACTTTCGATGAAAACGTTTTTATATACGGATTTTACAATCGCCTAGAGATTCTCAATAAGATTGAAATCAGGTGAGAATGCGGTGCTTTGATCAAAGCAACACCATTTATCGTAAACCATCCTGGAAATCGTATTCGACCTTCATTCGAAAGCCTTCCTGCCCCATCAGAATCTTACTCGTACTGGAGGGTTATGCTGGTAATACGATTATCCATAAAGCAATGTTTCGAAATTATTCTGGTAGTACGACCATCGATGAAGCAATGTTTGGAAAGTATTCTGGCAGTACGATTATCCATGAAGCAATGTTTCGAAAGTATTCTGGTAGTACGACCATCCATCAAGCAAATAGAAGTAGACGCTGCTCCAATATTGATATGTATTGCTAAGAGTCCATCGTAGCATTCACTATCACAAGTGGATCGACCAGATTCTTGTCATTGCTCCTTAAAAACTAACAATTAAACCATAAAACATAAATATATCTATCCCAACACGTTTTACTTCCACTGTCAAATCGAACATTAGGTTTGATGTGATTGAGTAGAAGATGGTTTCCAATAGATCGCTTGATGAATGGAGATCCATCTGATTGATAGAGATTCACCTTTGTTTCATCAGAAAAAATCCGTTGTTAAAATCCGTTAAAAAATCCGTTGTTAAATTGTTGTTAATGCTAAAAACAATTTGAAAACCAAGGCGAAAATATATATTTCTACCACTGTATAAAATCAGATTAAATTCTAAATGAAATTGATTGCTAAGTATTCAAATTTTAGGTTTTCTTCACAGCGCCCCGTGCCGGGAATCTTCCCCGCTTTTTCCACTTTCGAAAGAGTCACTTGGTGGCCGATCTCTTGTTGCTGGCGAATCCGGGATATGGGATCGTTGTGGTGAGTTTAAAATTCAAATTTCCTTCTAAATATGAGTTTTAGAAAAACGAAGAGAAGCGCTTTCCACCCTCAAACAGCTCATCTCAATTAGGGAAATCTCTGGCCGGCTACAACCCTCATCTCCCGTCGATGAGCGGACTGTTTTTGGCGATCGGGCCAGGTTGGTTTAGGATTTAAAACTGTTTCTTGCCACATTAGATTTCTTTCCAAACTTACCAATCAACTCAATCACAATCTTGTAGCTTTTCGCCCGTCTTTCCGCAAAGGTTCAATTGAAATTTGCGACATAGCGGCGCTGATTTGCTCTCTCGTTCATGTTGAGTGCCCAAAAGTAAGTTAAAGAAACTAAAAACTAAATTGTTTAAATCAAATATTTAAATTTTAGACTTGTTAAACGTCAGCATCATGTTGAATACATGATTAAATGTTACCTGTTAAACATGTTAAACGTTTAGGTTGGCTGCGCTCGAATCAAGCGGATTGACGACATTTTGACGAGCGACGCGCGGATGGAGGTTTGTTAGAAGATTTTGCTTAGGTTGTCAATTCAGGCAAGGCTAGAGCCAGTCCAGAAGTCAGAGCCAGCTCCAAGCTTGGTCCAGTGCTGCTGGGTCAAGTCTGAGTTGATTTTGGGCTAACTTCTGGCAGGTTCGGGTACTTTTTGTGAACTAGGCCTTAAAGTGAAGGCCTGGTTCACCAGATTCACAAAGGTCAAGCCAAGCAATGCTAAAGCCAACCCAAGTTGGCAGTAAAGCAAGACCTGGTTGCTGGTTGAGGCAAGACCTGGTTGCTCTGCTTGGACGGGTTCATGAGCATTCAGAATCTATGTACATATATCTTAATTTGAAACTGAGTATTTTTTTGAAAGCCGAAGCCTGATTTACTCCTTGAAAAATAGCTCTTTAGACGAAAAATTCTCTTTTTAGGTGCGACGCGCCTTTCAGAACGCGTCATTCTCGAGGCGAAACGGGTTCTCGCAGTATATTATCACCATTTTCATCTGTTTATCTTTATTTCATATCATTTTGTAAAAGATATTGAAATTTGAAATAAATTTTATTAGCTCTTTGATAGCTAAATTTTAAAAAAAACCCTCCTATTTCTTTGATCTCAACCTTTTCCGATTCGAAATCCCGATTTTCTTATACTCATTTTTCGAGAAAATGCAATGGAAAATCGTTCGAATCGTCAAAATAATGATTACGATAAGAAATAAAAGAAATAGAAAGAGAATAAAGAAAATTTCCAATAAATAATATTGAAAGAAGGAGAGTTGTCGACCGTGTGGATCAAGGATGGTGAGAGGACCTGGAATTCAAAGTTATCGCACATTTGATGCGATAGTATTGATGCACATTCGCGCTTCGCTCCTTTTCCCATTACCAATCTAACTTTAAGCTCAAATATCTTGATGTTGGGCTGTTTCATTTAAATATTCTTGGTATTGTTAGATGCGGCAAGTCTTTCTCTATCGATTTGTACAGAAACTATTTAAATTGAACAGCTCAACACGAAGATATTTGAGCTCAAAGTTTGATTGCTAATGGCAAAGGAGCGGGGCGCCCACCTTTTATACACGCCCCGCCCCTTTTCCCATTACCAATCTAACTTTGAGCCCAAATATCTTGATGTTGGGCTATTTCATTTAAATATTCGTTGTATCATTAGATGCACCAAGGCTTTCTCTGTCGATTTGTACAAAAACTATTTAAATTGAACAGCTCAACACAAAGATATTTGAGCTCAAAGTTGTATTACTAATGAAAATCGATCAAATCTTCTACAATCGAAATTCAAGAAGTTTCTCTTTACTAAACCCGTTTTCTAAATGTGCACTTAGAAAGAAGCTACCGTATTCTTATTTCTTTTTAAATTTAAGCTAGAAGTTAGCCAGTAGTCAAGTACAATAGTCAAGTACCAAGCTATCAAGCTTCCGATCCGATAATTTGATCTTTAAAGTTGTCTATTCAAATAGTCGTTACAGTAATCTTGCTACTGTAGAAGCTCTCGGGTTACTGTATCATTTCTGATTGTTTAGGATTACGATAGCTGAGCTGAGCTGAGCGCTGAGCCAGGCAAAGCTTTTCAACAAACCAAATTCCGCTGCATACTCTGTGAATTTCACCACAGTTTCGTTTACTTTATGCGGCCGTTTTGCCAACATTCGAGCATATTTTTTCGCGTTTTCACTCATTCTAAAACTGCTTTTCGATTATTTTCTAGTGTATTTGGCTTTTAGAAATGATATTCTATTGGAAATTTCTTAAATAATAAATAAAAGAGAACGAGGATGATTGGATAAAGGAAATGGTTTCCACAATTGGCTTTGCTGGGTAAGAATCACTTCAACTGTACCTCGAGTACTCGAATTTTAAGTGTAACTTGTTTATAAAGAAATAATGTTAATAAAGAAATAATAAATAAAAGACTAACTTTTCATCGGTGATCAACCTCTTGAAAGCATTCAAGATCTTCTCTTCATCAGTCAAATCACTTTTCGAAAGATAAATCGCAACTCCAAGCTAAAATTATTTTGTTTTCTTGATTTTAGATGTTAGTTTTATCTTTAAAACCAACTCTTTCAAGCTGGCGTGCATAGGTGAACTGATCGGCGAACAGTGGGACGCAGATTGCCTGGAAAATTAGGTTCGATCTTCACAAAGTGTTAGCTGATTGTAATTAGATGGAGAATTGATAAAAAACAAATCTAATACCTTAAAAAAATAAAGAAACCTTTTTTCCGCGAGTCGTCAACTCGTTTAGACTCCCCGCACCCGTGTGAGTCATGAAACCGGTGAGACGATCATCTTCTGAAAGAACAAAAAGCTCATTACAAGTAATTTTAATTGTAACTGAGTATTACTTGATTTAATATATCCGTAAATAATCACTTTAACAGCTTCTAGGAAGCTTGACTTTGTCTCTCGAATCACTCAAAGTACAGTGGAACTTCTGTACAGAGTTGAGCCGCTTGTGGAAACTTCGTTAAACCATTAACCCTTAACCATCACCCACATGGTTAATGTTTTAACTTCTGCGGTAAGAATCACTTCAACCGTGTCGAATCGGATCGGATCGAATCAAATCGGATCGAATCGAATCGAATCGGATCGGATCGAATCAAATCGAATCGGATCGAATCGGATCGGATCGGATCGAATCGAATCGGATTCAGATCATCATCCTTTTTACAGTTACTCAATAGTCGAGGATCAACAAGTTACACTTAAAATTCGAGTACTCGAGGTACAGTTGAAGTGATTCTTACCCAGCAAAGCCAATTGTGGAAACCATTTCTCGCGATGCACATTCTCAGGCATTTCCTTTATCCAATCATCCTCGTTCTCATATTTCCACAAAAATGTCACTTCTGGTAAACTAAAGATTTCTCTTTTTTCAAAGTCCAAACAACTAAACCAACCGTTTCATAGCTTCAATCAATGGCCTCTTATATTTCTCGGGCATGTCGACACTCTTTGACATCGAGCCGAATGAGATGAGCACATTGAATTTTCTCTTCTCAAGAACTTGGATCAGATTCTAAATATAGAATAGAATAATCTTGACGATAATATCAAAACATTTTATATATATTTTATAGATTTGCACTTGTAAAAGGTATAGGTAAAAGCGCTGTAGTCTGACGTTTTTTAAACCAATTGACAAATGGCTTCTTACCGCTTGAGTCGTTTTAAATGAGATCAAATTTTGTGTGTGGGATTGGGGTTATTCAATTCTCTAATCATATGTAAAATTGTTGCCTAATTAATAAGAAACATTTGTAGAGAAATAGAGACAAATCTACGGCAAAAGTTGTTCCCGAAAATTTCGCCATAGTGACGCTAAAAGTTTGGCGAAGTTCGCTCTTCGCTCAGAGCTTATTTCACTTTTATACCGAGATGGCTTGCCAGAAGGCGAGCAATTACAAGGCCGCACAAAGAACACCTCGTCATTTTCATAGGGATTTCTCTTTTGCTTTGTAAATGTCACAAAAAGAAGATATTGAGATCTAAATTTGTACACGGGGGTTTTCGGGATCGGGGAATCGATTGGAGCTACTCGCTTTATTGAGTCTATCAGCTGAACTTGGATTTAATTGATCTAAACTGAGACTTGACCGAGATTGAATACATCTTTTCGCCCGAATTCATCCAAGAGTCCTTGCAAGACTTTATCTTCCCATTTGTTGACGTGGTCGTGAATAGTATCGGCGGCTTCTCCTTGCAATGTTCGAAAACCAATCCCATGTCTTTGTTTGTAGCCCAGTCGTTTATCGCTTCTTCCCTTTTTTCCCCTGCGGGTTCTAAAAGAGAACACCTATCTATCGGGGGCGTGTGCCAGACGGCGAGCGATTACAAGGCCGCACAAAGAACACCTCGTCATTTGTACCGGGATCGGGGAATCGATTGAAGCTACTTATTTTATTGTGTCGATCAGCTGAACTTGGATTTAATTGATCTAAACTGAGACTTGGTTAGTTAAACAAGTAGCTCAACTAAGCTAAGCTAACAAGCAAGTAGAACAGTGATTTGAGGGTTTTTTCTCTTGATTTCTTTAGGATTTGTTATTCTAGTTAACTGATTTTTAAACATTCATTGGTATTATTTCCATTACCTCATCCAATCTCATCGTTCCCATTGGAGGCATTGTGATCCCACCGATGAACACGATTTTCTCAAGGAGTGGCCGCGGGAAATCCATTAGAGGATCAGAATTTGTGAAGAGGTAACTCGATCGACCAGCCATTTCCTAAAATTTCCATTTTAAATCTCAAAAAACTTCTCAAAATTAGCTTCAAAAGCTACCTTGCTTCCAGGGTATTCAGGGTATTTTCGAGTCATGAAAGTGTCCATCTCTTCGAACTCCGAACAATAGAGATATCTGGGGGAAATTAGAATATACGTCTACGTCTTTAACTACAGTCTTTTTAACTAAATTTGTTCTTTTTAGGTATCTAGATATGCAAATGAACCGTTCTTCAGCAGTGACGAGGAAATTCTCGAAGCGCTCGAAAACATTCATCACATCGCCGTGTCTTGAGTGCATCGCTGAAATGTTTTGCGTAAAAGATATCCAAAAAATAGTTCTTAACTGACTTTTAATCTAACTTTTGACTAACAAAGATATTTGAGGAATTCTTTTTCTTTCTACCAGGCACATAGCTGGGCGTCAACGGTGCCCCAATCAAATGCGAGTATCCACTGCCGATTGTGCTCGAGGCGACGGTGATGTACTTGGTGATGCCCAGCTCGTAGAATAGAGCTGAAATTTGAATTTGAATCCTAAGCCAAGTAAAGGCAAATTCAATGCACTGAAATTTATCAGATTAAAGTAATATTTAGGTCTATCAAAGTAACGGGAATAGTAAGGATTCAATCTGACTACCGGAAAGGCATTTGGATTTGGATTTGGATTTGGTAATTGCTGTAAGTTTTTTGATTTTGATTCTTCCAATTATCTATGATATCCCCTACCGTATCCAGCCAAGTATCTACCGTATTCTTCAACCTTTTCCAGACAACTGTCTACCGTGTCCACCTACCGTAGCCAGTCCATTATCCACCGTATCCTTCTAGCGTATCCAGACAACTCTCTACCGTATCCAGTTAATTATCCACCGTATTCTTCTACCGTATCCTTCTACCATATCCAGACAACTATCTACCGTATCCCCCTACCGTATCCAGCCAATAATCTACCGTATCCTCCCCATTCGTGTGGCTGTGTGAAGGCGATGTCAAAGCGGAAATCCCTCAATCGTTGCATCAATGGCTCGTCAATAAGAATTCCTGAATAAACTTCCAGATTCATTCGCTAATCTTAAACATATTCGAAATCATACAAAGATTTCAATTTTATAAGCTTACAGTTTTCTGTAACTTTTGCCCTATTACAGTAAAAACTCTCACTTTGCACGGCGTCGAAGCCCGATTTTCGGATGAAGTTCAGAATCTAAAACAAGACAAATGAAAGAAGCTCAATTTGGATATTATATCCTCTTCCTCTTCCTTTTCCTCTTCCTCTTCCTCTTCCTTTTCCTCTTCCTTTTCCTCTTCCTTTTCCTCTTCCTTTTCCTCTTATATCCTCTTCTTCGTATGTAAATGCAAAATGTGCATACAATTTTTATGGGCTTAAAATCGGGCCACCACGTCTCCTCCCATCTGTTCGAGCCTTGTCCCATTGAGGTCAACTCTTTGTGCATTTCATCAATTTTATCGGATCGATCAATGGAAATGATCTGAAAAGCGTGAAAAATACTGAATATTTTACAAATTCTAAAGTGAAAATAAACCACTTGAACAAGTTTCGGATCAGCTGATGAAGAGACGTGAGTCATGAAAATCGGTTGGAGAAAAACCTGTAAAAGGCTTAGGCTTAGGGTTTGAAGTTTCAAATTAAATTCGAAACTAAAAGAAGTTCAAATTAAACTGTGTAATTAGTTAAAGTTCTAGTTTAATTACACTAACTATTGATTATGTTTGCTTATATTGAAATATTAACTTTCACAAAAGGACCAAAGGACCAAAGGACCAAAGGACCAAAGGACCAAAGGACCAAAGGACCAAAGGACCAAAGGACCAAAGGACCAAAGGACTAAAGGACCAAAGGACTAAAGGACCAAAGGACTAAAGGACCAAAGGACTAAAGGACCAAAGGACTAAAGGACCAAAGGACCAAAGGACCAAAGGACTAAAGGACCAAAGGACTAAAGGACCAAAGGACCAAAGGACTAAAGGACCAACACAATTCCATAAACACCCCGTTTGTATCAAAGTTGATATATCCTAATTGATTTAGTTAAGGGTTTTTGTATGTAAATTGATCTAAATTATGAATTTATTATAGGTTTATTGATTCACAAAGTTTTGTTTCAAATCATTGATCGAAAAAAGTGATGGGCTCTATTCTATCAGTCAGAAAATTTTTTCACAAAGGTCACAAACTTTTATAGCACTGGAACTTGATTTGAGTTTACCCTTTCAGCCTTTCACTCCAGTCTTCCTACCCCTTAACCGATTCTTGAGTCTACTTATCTCCTTAAGAACGTAGAAACATAGAACTTCCCTAAATGCAACCAATTTGAAACAATCTTGATTTGTCTAGAGAGAGTTAATCTTGTTTCCATTTTTTTTCTAAGAAATTTTGGTCTTTTCCGCTTTCCTCTCCATTTTTTCTAAGAAACGGATCTAGTTTAAGTGAAAGGTGAAAAGAATGACACTTCTTTAAGAGCTTCAAGAGCTTCAAGAGCTTCAAGATCTTCAAGATCTTCAAGATCTTCAAGATCTTCAAGAGCTTCAAGAGCTTCAAGAGCTTCAAGAGCTTCAAGAAATTCTGAAAAGTTTGCGTTAGTTAAGATTTTGAAAGGTGTAAAGTCAAGTATTCAAAAGCGATGAAACTCAAATTCCTGCTTGGATTTGTTTCAAAGCTTCTAATTTGTCTAAAAATAAGCTAAATGAAATAGTTAATCTTAAAATAGTTTTTATTTAAAGTAAACCACATTTATTGTCTGAACATTCATTTATAAATGAAGATTTCAAGACTCTCTGAACTTTCAAGACTTTCAAGACTTTCAAGACAACACTTTCCGATGAAACCAATATCTTTAATAGTGTGGGATCTCTCCAGAAGTTTCTCTTGTATTTAAACTTCTTTAAGCATATCTTATAACTCAATTCTTGTTTTTATTTTTTAGTTTATCACAAAGCCTAAGCAATCAAGTTCACGATTTTGAGAAATCCTTCAAATAAACAAAAATCTTCTCTATTTTTTGGATGAAAATTCAAATTCATTGGAGAATTGGAGATTCAAATTTTTGTTTATCAGGCGATAATTTTGCAAATGCATTGAAGAATACTTTTGTTTATTAAGCTTAAACTTTTCAAAACTCACGACTTTATGCCCGGCTTCAGCCAGTGTGTCACCGATTTTTCCCATCAAATTTGTATGCGAGAATCCGAAACGATTCGAGTAGATTAAAATGTTTAATGAGAAAATAGAATTAAGTAAAATAGTAAATACTAGAATAGTTTTCATTTTCATCAAAAAAAAAAAAACACTACAATGAGGAAGTGATATCTTGGTCTTCGTCTTTTGAGTGATCTCTTATCAATGTTAGGATTTTAGGCGGGAGGGGAAAGAATCATGTGAATCTCTGATATCATATTGGGGAAGAAAATGAGTTTTAAAGGTGTATTTTGGTGTAGTTTTGAATGATGTTAAAGACTTCTCATTGATCTTTTCAAGTACTGCAACTTGGCAGATTGTAAAAGTCAATATTTCGATGGCTCACGGCGATGAATGCTTCGATGGTTCTATTCGAATATTCTAATACAGCATTTACAGCTATGTTTTGTAGACTTACGACTTAATAAAGAAAACTCGTTCTCCAATAAATTTGAATTGATCAGAAATAGAGAAATTTCTCATTTATTTCAAAAATTTCTCACTATTAGTAATCATTAGATTACCAAGAAGATTAAATTTAGATCATTAGATTATTAGATTAAATTCCAAGACTTCTGTAGCCTTTTGAGTACTGTAAATTATTGATATTTGTATTGGTTTTAAGCAAGCCATTTATTAAAGCAGTAATAAAGCCAAAAACGAACCCGTAACTGGCAATTCGTAGCAAAAAAAAAGTATTTAATTCAATAAAATGTTTAATAACAAGTTTTAGAAATAGTTATGTATTAGTTAAGAGACGTTGTTGTAGAGTAGGATCATCGATTAGGGAAAGAGGACGTTCTCGGACTGCTGGTCGGACGATTGGAGTCGAAAGCCGCTGTAATAAAGCAATGAATTTCTGGAGATTTCTGGAGACGGGATTGAACCCCCTTTTAGCTTAGCAAATGCTCTAACCACTGAGCTATTTGGTATCTTCTTGCCAGAGAAGAAAGAGAAACAAGGGAGATCGGATGAGAGATCGGAGTTGATGAGGTGGCTGATTGGTATGAAGGGAGGCTGCAAAGGTTTTTGGAATTTAAAATCCTTGGATTTGCTTTGCAAGTTCAATACTTGTTACGAAATCGAATTGAAATTGAAATTGAAATCCCTTTGTCCCTTTGAATTGAAATCTCTTTATCAAATCTACCTCATATTGGAGACGATGCTGAGCGCATTGCTGTGTCGATTCGATGAATTTCCAGGAGTTGATCGATTCGTTGACGGGTGAAACGAGGCACGAGAGCGACAAGAAGACACCGATCTCAACATAACCAATAAAGAAGAGCTAAACCAGTTGAAAAGCTTTATAGGTTTACTTTTTAATACTCAGAAAAGACTTACCGTCTACTCGATCGATGACTCGGGCCAGTTGGCATCCACATCATTATATTATAGCCTGGTTCAAGATCTCCTGCTCTAAAATCTCAATTTTACAATATAATAAACGAAGAAGCTTCACATCTAGAACCAACTTTGGTCTTGTTATCCGATTGAGAGTAAGTGTGGCTCCGAGAGCGACAAGAAGTAACAATGCGACACCAAGACAAAAAACGAGCGGCTCATCACCGGTTGTCGGATGATCAGCCTCTTCGATCAATACCCAAGAAGGCTGAAATTTGCTTTATTTGCTTTATCTCCCGAAATCTACTTTATTCACTTCTTTATCTAATCAAAAAACGAATTCAAAAACCTTTGATCGATTTCTGATATCTTCTTGATCCAACAGCAGCCACGTTGGATCACATTGTGGTATCTGCAAAGAAGAAACGGCTTATTTTGAATCACGGGAATATGCTAGTTCAGGCTTTACATTTTAAATGTTAATTTGTGAGCTGACGAATGAGATCTTGTTTCAAAACTCTGTTGTTTCTAAAGGAATCAAAACAATTTACAATCTCATACTTTTGCTTAAACGCATCTTTTCGCAAACAATTCTTTGATCAAGAGAATTCAATCAAGAAAATCAATTCAATCATGAAAATCTCCATTCGAAAAGCTAATTAGAAAATAGAAATCAAGTAAAGGGCAAGCGTTTCTGTCAGCAGCAAGGCACAAAGGCACTGTTGGCATCAAGACGTCTTGTCAATCTTGTCAATTCGTCAATCTATTAGGTTCGTATTCGACTTTTAATCGTAATATTGAATTTCTTGAAATTGGCTATTGGTTATGACTATTTGAACATTGTATTTGTGCCTTTTATTCCTACAATTTAATCTAACCCCAACCCTCAACGTGTCATTGAGCATCAAGACGAGTTGACAGCACGCCAGCCGGGACATGTTCATCGGACGAGCGCACAAATGCATTTTTGGCACTGAAATTACTCTTTAAACTATTAGATATGGTAAAAGAGAAAGTTTAGAAAATGTTTTGTAAAAAGAACCTTCAAAAATGCGTCTACATAGTCCAATAAAGGTTAAATATTGGCCCGGAGATCGAGAACGGGATTATTTTTGGCTCTGTCTAACTATTATGATATTCAAATTCAGTAAAATTTTAAGATATCATGTAAATGTGTAAATTTATAAATTTAAAATGTTAAAAAGATGGGATGATTTAAAAAAATTGAAGAGTAATAGGTGATTTTGATGATAAGAAGTTATAAAGTTTGTTATAAAATTATAAAGTTTGTTAAAAAGTTATAAAGTTTGTTATAAAGTTATAAAGTTTGTTATAAAATTATAAAGTTTGTTATAAAGTTATAAAGTTTTTTATAAAGTTATAAAGTTTGTTGTAAAGTTATAAAGTTATAAAGTTTGTTATAAAGTTATAGAGTTTGTTATAAAGTTATAAAGTTTTTTATAAAGTTATAAAGTTTGTTATAAAATTATAAAGTTTGTTATAAAGTTATAAAGTTTTTTATAAAGTTATAGAGTTTGTTATAAAGTTATAAAGTTTGTTGTAAAGTTATAAAGTTTGTTGTAAAGTTATAAAGTTTGTTATAAAGTTATAAAGTTTGTTATAAAGTTTATTTTTTAAATTGTGCTTTAATTTCTTCAAATTTCTAAAAGTCTCGAGTCTAAAATTAACGTAAATTTCTGAATTTTTTTGATAGTTTTTAGATTTAAGATTTAAGAAAGCTTTGGAGAAGTGAATGGAAAAGAATAGAGCAGTGGAAAAAGGACAGTGAATGGAACAGAGCTCGGCTGCTGAATGGAGAAAGAACAGAGAATTCAATTTCTTCTCGAGACCAGATGGATCTTCCTTGAAAAATCGAAAAAGAGAAAATATTTGTTTTCTGTTAAAATATCTTTTTGGTTTTTGGTTAATTTCTTAGCTTTTTGGTTAATTTCTAAGGGAGAAGATTCCTGTTTCTTTGAATCTAAATGAGTGGAAGTGTCTGAAAAAAAAACCATGAAAAATTTACGAGATTCAAGGAATTGCAGAGAGAAATGTGTCGAGAATTTTTCGATCTTTTCATGATTTTTGTCTTTCATTTTTGTCTTAATCGAAAGTTTTAGAATTATAAAGCTAAGAGTGAAGGAAAGGGTTTAAAAATAGGCTCTCGTTGATATGTGATAAGGTAATAGGGACAGGCAACTCAACAGAACTCTAGAGAACTTTATAAAGAAATTTTGAAGTTAATTATGCTGGAGTTGGCATTTGCTGGAGCTAGCATTTGCTGGAGCTAGCATTTGCTGGAGCTAGCATTTGCTGGAGCTAGCATTTGCTGGAGCTAGCATTTGCTGGAGCTAGCATTTGCTGGAGCTAGCATTTGCTGGAGCTAGCATTTGCTGGAGCTAGCATTTGCTGGAGCTAGCATTTGCTGGAGCTAGCATTTGCTGGAGCTAGCATTTATGCTTTATAACATCAAAATCACCTATTACTCTTCATATTTGGCTGATAATGAAGAAATTTTGGTTTTCTATGATTTCGAATTCAAGACCCAATATTTTCAAGTGATTGAAACGCTAAAAATCATCAAGAATTCTTTGAGAAGCCAAGAAACTACCACAAAAACAACTTGAAGAAAAGATTTTTGATTGAACAGGGAGCACAGCTTTATTATTTGAGATGACAGCAGAAAAATGACAACAAAGAGATGCCAGCGACGAGTGATGAACCGAGAAGTGATCTTTCATCTTTCAGCTCTTACATTCAATCTAAATTCAACGGAAATTTTGGAGACGATGCTGAGCGCATTGCTGTGTCGATTCGATGAATTTCCAGGAGTTGATCGATTCGTTGACGGGTGAAACGAGGCACGAGAGCGACAAGAAGGCACCGATCTCAACATAACCAATAAAGAAGAGCTAAACCAGTTGAAAAGCTTTATAGGATTGCTTTTTAATAATGATTGAACAGGGAGCGCAACTTTATTATTTGAGATGACAGCAGAAAAATGACAACAAAGAGATGCCAGCGACGAGTGATGAACCGAGAAGTGATCTTTCATCTTTCAGCTCTTACATTCAATCTAAATAGAACGGAAATTTTGAATTCGACACAACATATCTATATAATCTCTGAAACTCGCTTACTAGTCAAAGTTTTGGATTTGAAAATCAAATCTAGAAGAAAAAGAAAGATCAAAACAAATTTGGTAAAGGCAAAATTCGAACTTAATCGAACAATTTTCAGTTTCATAAACTCGATCACGATCTATAATGCCATTTATTCGACGATAAGACAAGCGCCAATATGTGCAAAGAATAGGGAAATCTGTTAGACGAAGTTAAATCTACAAAACTACCCTAAAGTCTCGAGTATAAGTTCATCCGAGTATAAGTTCTGCCTTAATTTACATTTAAAGGGCTCTAAAGGAACTCTAAAGGAACTATAAAGGAACTCTAAAGCCAGGGGGGATCCTTAAGACTGAGCACCGGAGAGGAGCAGGGCGGACGCGCCGAGCCACGCCCGGAGCAACAAATAACAGCATAAAATTGCTATAACCCTCAATAAATTTACTTCTATTATTGTTCTTAAAAAGCAAAAAAGTTATGCTGCAGCGGGGTTTGAACCCTCAACACACCGCACCGGAGACAGCCGTCAATTTGCATGCGAAAACCAAACAGAACTTATACTCGCGACTTTAGGGTAGTTGATTTCTTGTCTGCAAGATGAATGCAAATTAGCATATTGAAGTCGAATTACTGGAAAGATTTGTGATAACACAACTGCTTAAACAATTTTCAAGCTATTCTTTTTCAAAAAACATTCTCTAAAAAAAGGTTTCCTGTCAAAGCTAGGCAGAAGAAAATCGGGCATTTGACTTGGTGGCCGTGATTTGTGAAAGAGGAAGGAAAAAGAAAAGAAAGGAAAAGAAAGAAAAAGAAATGTCTGATTGGTCCCCCGAGAGTGGTAAAGAAAAGGGAAGAAAAGGATTCACAACCAAGAAAACACTAAAGGAGAAAAGGAATCCATCTAGAGTTTGGCTTGGTCAACTTTTAGATAAAATTTGATAGCGTGTTGTTTAGCTGTACCTCATCTACCTGTATCTGTTAGCTGCAATTTACTTATACTAGAAACTTTGTAAGATTTACCGACACTGACTGCCTTTTATTACTATTTGATTCCCAAGAAGGAAATGAAAAATTAAGTGCACTAAGGTGTACGGGCTAAAGGCGGGCTTACACTTTTCTAGCCGCTACAAATTCACAGATGAATAGCATTTAAAAGCTGCAAATTTCCGAATCTCCAAGATAGGCTGATGAGTTTCATCTAAAAGTTATAGGAAGTCCTATTCCTTTATCGTTTAGAGGATCAATTCTTGCTCTAAATTCGGCCGTATTTTTCGTACAAATTCCGCTTCGTATTGAGCCAACATTAGCTGATATAATCAAGGTTGAAACTGAGCCGAAAAACTGATTGCATCATTCAATACAAAATCACATATAATCATACCTTAAAAATTACTAATAAACCGATTTACTTTAAACATAAGCGACACCGGAGTCACATCAGTGACTCCGGAAGCACATTTCAAATAGATACAAAGTGAATTTGCTCAAGACCAAGAATCCAAATAACACGATAGACTGATGTGCTTGTTAAAAACTCGCAGAGATCTAGATGGTGCTTTATTTTCTTTAGTCTACTTCAGAGTTTCCCTCGGAGAGAAGAGGTGCAAAATGGGGAATGGAAAAGAAGACAAGACAAGACGAGGCTAATTTTAAGTGGAAGTGAAGAGGATGAGGTGAAGGGAAAGGTTTGGAGATTTTGAGAGAACTTTCTAAAAAAGTAAACATTTGAAAAAAGCTTTGGCGATAACACTTGGAAAGAATCTGTAGTTGTCTAGAGAACTTTTCTAGTGAATTGGAATTTGAATTGAAAACTTTCAAAACATCGTTAAGCTGTTTTTCATCTTTATACTATGGTCTCTTTATAATATTGACTACGGCCTCGCCACGTTGAAACACGTTATCCCGTTAGATCTGCCAAGTTAAGCAACGTTGGGCTTGGTCTCTGGTTCGAGTCCAGCAGATGAGTCAGAGATATCTTCCCCAAACCGAGTGCTGTAGGTAACCGCACCCATATGGTGAACTGGTTCCCAAGACCGGGCCCCCTAGGCCCTTAAGGGACCTAGGGGGGGCCGGTCTTGGGAGCCAGTTCACCCTAGGCCCTTCCTCTCGGGATTGGGATAACAGGGATCCAAAGGGTAGACTTGTCTAAGGCGTAAGCTCATATAAAGCGGGTAGCCCCCTACATCCTCTCCTTCACAATAAATATGATATTTGAAAACGGTTTGTTGTTTCGCGCGTTTGTGTCTCCCCTTTTTTTTAGATAAAAAAATAAGAGTAAAACTGAACTCTTTCCAACAAAAAAAAAGAAAAAAAAGAAAAGAAAGGCTCCCCCCCCCCCCCCCCCCCCCCCCCCCCCCCCCCCCCCCCCCCGTCCCAAAAAAAAAAAAAAAAAAAAAAAAAAAAAAAACAAGAAAGAAAGGGAAAAAGATAAAATTAGAAGATTAAAGAAAAGAATTTTTCAAGCTATACAATAAAGTAGATATGCCAGAAGAAAGAGTTTCGATCTAGCAAAAAGTTACATTGTCAAAGATCAAAGAAATGTTCAAAGTAAGTGGAAAAATCTTTAGTTTCAGGATAAGTTAGGAGAGCAAGTCGAGCAAAGGAGTAGAGGAGATCGGGATACCAAAAGCGAGGAAGATGAATGGATGGGGACGGGGCTCTAGCCATGCCCCTCCCCTCTATCTCCATCGAAGCCTTGCCCCTCCCCAAGGGACTCCAAATGCCCCCATCTTTCCCCATATCTATACCCACAAATCGCTCTCCTTTTTACCCTGAGCTTTTTGGATATAAGCCTTTTTCCTTGTTGGGAGATCGTTTTGAGGTATCGTTTCGAAAGACGCGTGTTTACAAAATGAAGAAAACTTCATTTTGGTGAATTTAAATTTGTTTTGCTTAACCAGTTGAAAAAATCGAGTTTGTGGAACTTGTTTTTGAATAGAAAATGATTGGAAGGCTCAAGGAAAAGCTTGATAAGGACAATGCTTTCTAAGATGTTGAAAAGCTACCGTAACCTTGTCTTTAGTTTTATCCAATCTATCTACTTTTGTTTTAATTCTGTAAGGGTTCACAAAGAATATCGAAAATTACAAAAAGAATAAATTAAATTAAAATTTCGAGGCAAGATTACGATAGCAACGGGAAAGGAAACCCTTTGAAGGCCTATAACTTTCTTTAGAGATGATATTTTGTTATCTTTCTCTATCAGTTTATTGAAAAAAAAACTTCAGGCTTTCAAATGATACCAAATATTTGATACAATTTGATTAGATAATCGAGTCCAGGAAAATCAAAGCCAGCTCTAAACCATAATCGAGTCCAGGAAAATCAAAGCCAGCTCTAGACCATAATCGAGTCCAGGAAAATCAAAGCCAACTCTAGACCGACCCAACTCGGGAAATGCCAATTTGCATGAGAATCAAAAACCCAATCAAAATGTATGAATGTATGTATATCAAAATAAAATCCTGTCATTTGAAAGCCCAAACTTCCCTCAGTCTAACGAAATAAAAAAAGTTCTGAATAATAAATATCTCTGGATAATCTCTGGATAAAGTTATGAGCCTTCAAAGCTGACGCCATTCATTCAAAATACCCGGAAAGCCGATAAGAGCCGAAACTTCGATGTTTTTAGCAAATTTTTTTGAAATAAAAAGGCAATTTTGTGTAAATAAACAGAATTTTGCATACATTTGCTATAAAAATGAATAAAATGGAGTCTTCTTTTCTGCCAAAAACATCCAAGCTCACATCTCTCAAAAAACGAGAGTCCTTTAGCAAAGAGAGTAATTCGATGCTGGCTATTTGTCTTTTTTTAGTGCATAGAGGAGGAAAAAAAGGACAAAACTACATTTAGTCTTTGTTTCTGAATCTAAAAACGAAAGAGAAACGTTGACTTTGATTGTTGTTGATGATTGTTGATTGTTATTGATTGTTATTGATTATTGTTGATTGTTATTGATTGTTGTTGATTGTTGTTGATTGTTGTTGATTGTTGTTGATTGTTGTTGATTGTTGTTGATTGTTGTTGATTGTTGTTGATTGTTGTTGATTGTTGTTGATTGTTGTTGATTGTTGTTGATTGTTGTTGATTGTTGTTGATTGTTGTTGATTGTTGTTGATTGTTGTTGATTGTTGTTGATTGTTGTTGATTGTTGTTGATTGTTGTTGATTGTTGTTGATTTTTATACTATTTCTTTTTGTGCTTTATGCTGATTTCCAAAAAACTGGAACAATAACTTTTGAAAGATGACTTGAGACAATCAGATAATAATAAATAATAATAAATTACAGCGTTTTGAGTATTTCATTTTGTTAGTAATCATCATTTTGCGGTAGATCTTCGTATTCGATGACGCCTACTTCTTGGTCCTCGTGTGGCCCCTCGGTCTCTTCAGTTTCTCCCTAAAAACAAAATTTGAGTTGAAAAAACTTGAATCAATATTACAGCATTAAACTATATTATTTCTTGGCTTTGTTCAGCTATAAGATGACTTCAAATTATCGGCAGATTTCTAGAAATTTGACTCAGAACTTGACTGGATTTAGCTAGAATTTTTTCAAAAATATAATCAAGCTTTTTATAAAGTTTATAGAGGAGATTTCAGGCTTTCAAATGATATAAAATAAAGGTTGATTGGACTAACGAATCCTGAGAAAATTGAGAGACAAAACTCGTAAAACAGATCGCTCTCTTCTAGCTGCTTTGTATGCTTAACATCGTGTTTTTTCGTTATGATTATTGTAAATAAGTTAAAACAAAACAACGTTCATTCGTCAAATTTATATAAACTTTTGTACTTGGCTCTAGGTCTCTCTTATAAAAGTTAAATTATCGATATTGATAGACTTTTCACTCACAACAATCTCGATTTCATCCCCGGGCTCGAGCTCGAGTTGACCAGAGTCGATAAGCGTTTGCAGATAGCCCTCTTCTGAAAAGAAAAAAGAAAATGAATAATGAATATATATATATATAAATTATAATTTAGATGTAGATTTCTTAAAGGATCTTTCCATTTGAACTTGTACTCAACACAGAACTGTGATTAGTTTCAGTCGAACTCACCGAATCCTTCGATCATCACTTCCACAAATGTCCCATTCACTTTCTTGATGTGAATGATTGTGGATTTCGTTTGTGTGATTTCGCTTTCACTTATTAGCGTCTCCTTTTGTGAGATTTCGGTGGTTGTCGGTTCAGATGGATCGATTTCCGGCTCGAGTTTCGGTGGCGCTTCTTCGGCATCGTCTTCTTCCTCCATTCCACCTGAATCCATGAAACTGATTGATGTATATATCCGATTCATATTGAATCCAAATTGAATATCTGCTTTGGATTGTAACATTGTTGCACAGTAGGGTATCATGTTTTTAATCATTTTCTCGAAATTTTTTAGAAGTCTAACTCTGACAACCTAGAAAAACCTGTAAGGAACCAAATTTAGACAGTTAAGGAACCAAATTTGTTGAGATAAGGAACCAAATTTAGAGGGATAAAGAACCAAATTTAGACAGTTAAGGAACCAAACTTAACGAGATATGGAACCAAATTTAGATAGTTAAGGAACTAAGTTTAGAGATAAGGATATCTGATAAGGAAATTTTGCCAAAAGAAATGGTTTATTTACGCGTGAATTCACAATGCAAGAAAGCTATTGTTTTTCGGCAAAACGTGGTGCTAACTTGTTGTTCTAGATTGCTAGAGTTAAACTTCTAAGAAATTTCAAGAAAATTCTTTAGAAACATTTAAAAAACATGATACCCTACTGTGCTTTTAATCCAATCTAATGTTTCAATCAAAATCGAATACAACATATATAATGTTTGATTGAATTTAAACGCTTTAACTTTTAAAAAAACGACATATTAGGGTCAAATTTGGCTTGTAGAAATGACTTGTATCAAGATTTACAGTAAATTCTGACCTGAAAACGCACTCTCGTACGCACTCTCGCGTTCTTTCTGTGCCAGATAATCTTCCCAAGAGACTGAGTGAGCTCTTCGCATGTGCAATTCGATCGCCGTTCCGTAAAAAACGATTTCTGAAATAGGATTATAGAAGTTTAAAAGAATTTATGAAAAAAATCTTTCAAAGACTCACGACAAATCGGGCAATTTTTCCCGGTAAGTCCATTCTTTGGAACGGTCATTATCGGCGGTGGTTGATGATTGGCTTTGCCCAGCATTTGTCGACGAACCATCTCATCGTTGCCTGAAAAGTCACTTCAAATGTACACAAGAGTACCCTTTAACTTACTTGAAAATCGAAACTAAACGTTTAAATTGAACCTCTTTTAAAGCATTTTCTTCTTTAAAGCTTACTTATCATCGGGTTTTTCGTGCTGCAAAACATTCGATGTGATGTGGTGATCGTTGGGGTCAGCTTCACTTCACGTTGCGCGAGATTTCGAACCATTTTGCGAAGAGATTGAGCGTCCATCTATAAATTTCTCGAACTTATCTACCACACGTCTGCCTGTTTGTACGGGCATTTTCTCGGTCATTTTTTATCCAATAAAGCTAAAACTTCTTTAAAAAAAACCTTAGATTATATTCTAGTTATGTTATTTAAAATAAAAAATTAGATCAAACGACACTACGGGGGTCGAACCGTGATCCTGTGGGCTGTAGAAAAACGCACTCCCAACCGCGCCACGGCGTATACCTACGTCTACCCAGAAAAACCCGCTGTTAACTGGTTTTTAGCTGGTTTCTTCGTAACTTGAAAGCGCCTTTAGCTCTGTTCTTTGGCACGTACTTTGTGCTGATAGTCAGTTGGAAACGCACAGTGTCTAGTGCACAGAAAATTCATATCGTTATCGTTAAAAACAATGACTTGAGTACGTCAGAAAGGGCGTGTTAGTCAAATAATTACTGAATGAATTCTCTCACTTGTTCCCTAACATCTCTCATGATGAACGTTCTCGTGTACGGGCAGCTGTGTCGATAATGGTACAACAAATTGTAATCGTATTTGAATCTAAACAAGAGTATCAGTTGTAATCTAAAAAAGGCGTTTACCGATTTCCACAAAGAATGCAATGATGTGCGCCATAAGATGCATGGAAACCCGCCAAGTGTCTCTCGAGACGGCCCGCGTTCGCAAATGATCTGAATCGGTAGTTTGTGCTTGTTTGCTTCGCAGCTAGGAATATTCTAGCCAGGACCAGTAGCCAATTCAGCCTTGAATTCTAACGGGCCAGGATTGTCCTAAAGGAAATTTTTAGAAACCAAGTCTGGCCTGACTGCTAGCCTTGCCCTGGCTTTACCTGGCCTTGCCCATCAAAATCCTTGGGCTCAGCTATAGCTTTTAGCTTACAATACCTGACCTCTATAGCTGGGCTCTGGCTTGGTCTAGCCTACAGGTCCAAGGTTTTGATTGGAACATCCCTATCAGGGACTTTGGTCAGACAGGGCTGCACCAGGCCAGTAACTTCTAGACTTTGCTCGGAGAATTACCTTGACAATCTTTTTGCACTGTATACACCATCCTCTCAAATCTGTTAATTACACTCACCGAAAGCATTCGGGACAATTAACAGGTTGTGAGTCCATTGACCATTTCTCTTTCTCACCACTCCGACTCGAGCTCGGCATTTCACCACTCACATCCTCATCGACGAAATCGTCAGCAAAGACAAGGCCCTAGACTCGTGATATTAGACTCGATGAATTGGTTGACAGATTAAGGATTCCAGTAACATTTTACTATTCACCTGTTCTTCTGTATATCGTTGATCTTCATCAGCAAGTGTGCCCACGTCATGATCGAGCTGAAATCAATGCCTTCAGAAGAAATCTTGAATCACTTACAATTTCATTTCGCTTATAGTAGCCCAAACCGGATGCGGATGGATCTGAAAAGTTGATTATTCTAAAAGAAAATAACTTCTTACTTCTCATCATCGGCAGTTTGTAATCCCTCTCCTCAACGTGATTTGTGGCCGCTTTTTGAATCAATTCTTTCACCATTTCTTTTAGTTGACGATCATCTAGGGTTAGCTCGCAGTTCTCTGGGAGATTTGCCTGCAAATTATTTGTCTATTTTTAACATTGAGTAATAGACTTGTTAACATTTTAAGGAACTCATTCTTGCTTAAAAATGAAACACTTCCTCCCTGGCAATTTGCTGCAACAGTGAGCCAGAAGGGATGTGTTTACATTTTGTGTTTGCACCTGTATCTCTGGACAAGCCGTTCTCCAATGTTTAATCAAATTGAAGTGCTGTCGGAACATCAACCCACAAAGATCACAAAAGTATCTAAACGATTTTAAATGGAAAATTTGATTTCTGAAGCTCAAACCCTCCACATGCGCTCCGTTCGTCTGGTTGTAAATCCCCTCGATGGATTCTGATGTGCCTCTCCATATGTGAAGTGAGAACGATGAGGCCACAGGCTTGACAAGCGGTTCCACGATGTCCTTTAAACTTGATATTACTTAAACAAAGTATTTTTGTATTCTTCCAAACCTAATGTACAATATTTCGATGAATAAAAAACAAGATTTATTCACACGAATCTAGCCGGCGGGATAGACTCGACCTTCCGACTAGCTAGCTCAAAAGCCTCCATTAGGAAAAAATAAGTTTCTTAGAATTCGATGGGGACGTTTTGTAGCTCCGGTTTCAAAAATCCGGTTTCAAATCCGGTTTCAAAAATCGGTGGTAAGTTGAGAAAGTTCCCTAGTAAGATACAGGGCCCTTAGCCAGTCGGCCATGGTCGCAAGTCGATAATTTTAAATTTTTAAACCTAATACAAACCTAGCGGATTTTTCGGAATCTCCAGCTTTGCAACTGGACCATTTTGAAAGAGAAGCGATCTCGAAATCCCAATATCGATTGGACCAATCTCGGCTTTTTTTGAGGCAACCTCGTCAACGAGAGCTCGCAAAGCGTTCACGTCCATTGTCTGAAAAATCAAGTTTTCCAAGTTCTACAAGTTAGACCTAACTGGAAATAGAATTGAAAAATTGCTCAACGTGTATTGATAGTATTTTAAATCATTTATCTATCATTTTGAAATTTACCCGTCTCTCCTCAGTGCTTCCAAGTAGATCATTCAAATCTCGGCACGTCCTTCGCCAATGATAGAATAAATTATACTCGTACTTGTACGTTTTCCCGCAAAGTGGACACAAATATGAGCCAAAGACCTAAAAGAATTGGGTACTATTGATTTCATTGCTAATCAGAGTTGCTTCAGAAGCTTCAGAAGCAGCCAAGTCTGTCTCAAGCCTGGTCCTCGAAAAATTTCAGGTCTTGAGTCAGGAAAAATTTGGATCTGGCTTGGCTTTGACCTGATCTAGCCCTAACTATTAGAAGTTAGCTATTCATACTAGTAATCAACTTGTAAAAGTACCTGATGTACAGCCAAGTGTCTCTCCAAACGAGCTGCATTAATGAAAGTATCACCGCACTCGGGGCACTTGCATCCACCACGTTGCCGATTTTTTCTGTACTTTAGACCTAAACTTGTCATTTAAATGAAGTAAAACTCTTATAAATTAAATCTTTTAAGTTTCTAGATCTAGATTTTATTGTACCTTGAGGAATCGGTCCCATTAAGTCATCCAAATCCTGCTCGCCTTCCATTTCAGCTGTGCCTTGGTCTAAAGTGAATGATTTTAACTTTTAGAAAGTGAACAATTCTAAAATCCTAAGCCTAACACTGTTCTTGAAAATGTTAGGCTTATAGAATTACATATTTCTTGTATTAAGTTTTTACCGTTTAAATCCAAAGGTTGTCCAGCTCCCCGTTGTGCGAGAATGGTCATCGCTTGGATTCCATCCGGCGCCTCGGTGATCTCAATCTCCATCACGTCGGCCATATCTAATTTCAAATTTCGATTCTAAACCATCTTTAAACCATCTTTAAATCATCTTCTAACGAACACTAAAAATTTCTTTATTCAATTTCTCAAAGCAAACGATTTATTAAACATTCAGTGACTTTTTCCACTGAACTTTTCCTCAAAACAGTATTAGATTCAATAATGCATTACTACTGTAAATGTCCTTAACATAATTTTCCAAAAAACAAACTAATCGGATCGTTTCTCGCATGATTATCAAAAGCAGCATAAATCTCTCCATTTTCTCCTTTTACAAGCACTCCTTCGAAGTCATCATAATAGCCGGATGTGTCCTGAAAGTTCAGAAGTAAAATTTACATTAATATATGATTGTAATATGTAAAGTCTACTTTTTTATAAAAAAAAAACTCACTTGTGACGTAGTTGGTAAATCTGTTTCAATTAGTTTTCCCGTTTTCGCATCGAGATCATTTCGGTAGGCATAGGTTAGATTAGCTAAATTAGATAATTAAATACATTATTAAAATTAGAACAAGCAAGCTTTACAAGTACTGTAATACTTTTAAAATAAAGCTAATGCTTTTAAAAAGTAGTAAATGATCAATAAACCAATGACAACACTATTTTCTTTTCAATGTTTTAAAACCAATAGCTTACGACAGTGAAAACCACTCACCCATACTTGTAGAAGAGAAATTTTTAAGCTTGGCGCGTTCCCTGCAGTTCCTGAAGTGGATTGCCCCTGAATTTCCTTGAAAACAGCCCTGTTTCCGATTGACGCTGCAGGGAGAAAATGAAAAAGAGAAGAAAAAGACGGAGAGGGGTACGGTGGACGGGATGGGGAATAGTGTGGAGGGGAAACGGGCACAATTACGGGGGGTAGTCAAAACAGCGCCATAATAGAAAACTTTCAAAACAGCGCCGTCAAATTTCTCAAAATCCAAAAAACCAAGCCGGTTTAATTTTTATATCAAAAAATTCCTTGCGTTCTTGGCTACATGATGGGTGAAACAGTTTTTTAGAAAAGTTAATATTTCATGTCGTGGATGAGAACGATCTTTGACTTGGAGGGCATATTCTATATCTACCAAATTCTATATAGTTTTAGCCTTTGTTTAGTCAAGTGCTTAAATGTGCGGTGGGTAAAACCCAAAAGAAGTAGTAGCAATATGTCAAAAAAAGTTAATTACAAGCACACGATGTTAGTCAGTACTACATCACAAGTCACAATCTCATAATATCATCTCATTTAGCTACCAGTATGCTTTTAAAACAAAGAAAGTCAAAGTGAACAACAACAGAGCAAATTTTAGCAAGGTGCACTAGTCACTAGTCACTAGTGCACTACTATTTTTTCAACCCCCCTCCTGCCTGCACTACTATTACAGAAAATACGGTAAATAGTTTCTTCATTTGCAATTGCTTGTATTTCAAATGTTCCATTTCATGTGGTTTCATTTTTTTCGTTTTATATATTTATTCTTAACTTCTTTTTTGTCTGAATCGTTTATTCGTTACTCGTGAATTTCTTTTCTAAAGAAAACAATGAAAATCTTGTGAGAGAACCCAGAAAAGGTACAAAATGCAAACAAAAAAAAAATCAAGGCACGAGGTGCTAAATTTGATTTGGTTTATGGAAAACTCCAAAAATAAAAAAATAAATTAGATTTTTAAAAAGAACCTCAAAATATTAGGTTGGAAAGAAAGTTTTCTGAAAAAGTTTGACTGGAATTTCTTCAAAACGAATCCACCAATTCAAGAACATTTTCTTCTCTTATTTACAAGTCGACTTCAAGAAATTATTCGTAAAAAAATGAGTGCAGCTTTCTCTTTAAAATTTTAGAGCTTAAATTGAGCTAACTTTTTAGACCAGAAAAAGGATTCCTTATGAGGTAAAGCTAGCATAAATGAGCATGAGCATGAGCATGAGCATAAGCATGAGCACAAGCATGAGCATAAGCATGAGCATGAGCATGAGCAATATGCTTTCTAATCTCTATTTTTGGCCAACAGAGATTTTTTACAGAGAAGCTGTATTTCAAAAAATATCTTTTTAAATCTCATCTTCTCGGCACAAAGTGTTTACTAAACTGTTTACTGTTTACTACCGTAAATACTGTAATAGTACCCCACATCCCATAATGACGGTGCGGAGTGTTGCGTAGTCTAGCTTTGGACGAGTTTTTCTCGACACTGCTTTATGCTACAATGCGCGCTTAGGTATCAAACATTACAGAAAACACATTACCCAAAAAACGATCGTTTATAACTTGCCAACCTAATATTATTCTTATTATTTCCTTATTATCTTTCTTATTATCTAAAATAAAAGAGTACATTTAGGTATCAAAAATCAAAAATCGCGTTTAGGTATCAAAAAAATAGCCCTGAATTTCAGCTATTTTTTGATACCAAAGACGCATTTTTTGAAAGTACAGGCGCTTTGAAAAAAGCTTTGATTAACAAAATACTAAAAAACTTTTGCGATTACGCGACTGTACGAGGGGAGTGGGGCACTATTACCGTATTTACGGTAGGTGTTTCTGAAAAGTTAATCTCTATTTTTTTGTCACTATCTCTCTACACTCTATAATCTTTATTTTTGGCCAACAGTGTTTTTTTACGGAGAAGCTGTATTTCTATAATTTGATCTTCTCGGCACTGATTGTTGTGCTAAGGCTCAGGCTCAGGCTCAGGCATTGAGGTGATTCTGAAAAGTTAAAAGAAATTAGATCAAAATTTGCCTTAATCACAAATTTTCCCTATTTTATGTACTTGATTTTCGGAGGTTTGTGAATGGAATCCATTACCTATTCATTAACCCATTAAAAACTTGTCGAAAGGTTGATCACTCAAAAAGTGACCAAGTCACTTCAACTGAAGAAATCTCTTAATCTCTTTTTTTTGTCAAAAACTTTTTGAAATTTAGTCAAGCTTATCAAAAAAAAAAAAATCTGGGAAGAATTGATGGCTTCGTTTTTGAGAAATCACCATGCAAACTTTTTCTATGAACTTTCTTTCTAATTTAATATAAAAATATAAACCGGGAGAGTACTTTGTGATCTCAAAAAAATGGCATTTTTGATTGAAAAATGGATTGAAAAACGGGAGTGGGACAAATGCGACCTTTTTTTTGCGCACCCGGACATTTGCGCACCTTTTTTCCGCACCTGGCCCATTAGCGCACCTTTTTTCGCGTTTTAAAAAAGCTCTAAAAAGCTAATATTAACCAATTTCTATTCCAAAAGTTGTTTTTCTAGGTAATTGAGGGTGTCGAATTCAAATTTTGACATAACAGAGCGTGTGGAACCAATTTGAAAGACAAAACGGCTAGATCAAATTACAGAAAATTGTCGATCTTTCTCTTTGTATAACTCCGTCCGTTCGCTTCCACAAGCTCTGATATGTCAAAATTTCGATTCTACGCCCTAAAATTAGCTAGAAAAACAACTTTTGGAATAGAAATTGGTTAATATTAGCTTTTAGAGCTTTTTAGCCTTTTAGAGCTTTTTTAAAACGCGAAAAAAGGTGCGCTAATGGGCAAGGTGCGGAAAAAAAGGTGCGCAAATGTCCGGGTGCGCAAAAAAAGGTCGCATTTGTCCCGCTCCCTTGAAAAACAGTTCAGTCACACTATTGCTGTAGAAATTTGTCTTCAGATAAAGAAATTCAGTTGTGAGATAAAGATATTCAGTTGTGAAATAAAATGCTACAAATTCTCAACGGATATCCGCACGAAAAGCGTCGCTGAAGTGTCCAGGGTGTGAGCATAGCCCGTGTGGAGACGCATTGAGGAATAGCCTGGAAAATTGTTGTTTATTTGAGGATTTTTATAACTTTAATAGTTCGGTATTTGTTTAATAGATAGTAGACTGATAGATGGAGACTGATAATAAATTTTAGATAATAGATTTGATTGACTCATTTAATTTGCTTTTAAAACTTTCAAAAGCACCCTTTCTGGCGCACTCAAAGTGTTTTTTTTGTGCGTTTTCCTGTGTGCACCGCGAGAAAATCAAGAATCCAGTGCACCAGAAAGAATAAAGAATACTCTTAGATTCAAATTATTGTTGTTAATTTGATTCATTTGATAATTGATAACTTGCCGGGTCTTAAGCTCTGCACTGGCAACGAGAACTCGCCGACAAAATCATTTGAAGAGGTCGCGTCAAAATCCTGAAATTTTGAGGTTTCAATAGCTGAAAATGATCTTCTATGATATAAAAAGTTCAGAAATACTCTTTTAGTTAGTTAGCAGTTAGCAGAGAGTTAGTTACCCTTTAGCAGAGAGTTAGTTACTCTTTAGCAGAGAGTTAGTTACCCTTTAGCAGAGAGTTAGTTACTCTTTAGCAGAGAGTTAGTTACCCTTTAGCAGAGAGTTAGTTACTCTTTAGCAGAGAGTTAGTTACCCTTTAGAGAGTTAGTTACTCTTTAGCAGAGAGTTAGTTACCCTTTAGCAGAGAGTTAGTTACTCTTTAGCAGAGAGTTAGTTACCCTTTAGCAGAGAGTTAGTTACTCTTTAGCAGAGAGTTAGTTACTCTTTAGCAGAGAGTTAGTTACTCTTTAGCAGAGAGTTAGTTACTCTTTAGCAGAGAGTTAGTTACTCTTTAGCAGAGAGTTAGTTACTCTCTTAAAACACACTCCATTAGCAACTGTCTCATTCTCAATGAGATAGTTGCTAATGGAGTGTGTTCCTTGCGAGTCATTAAATGCATGAGTAATTTTCATTCGATTCTCGGTGGCTGTTTAAAAAATCGCCGTGTACCAACAGCGCCTGATGGCAATCTAACAATCTAACAATCTTGAGCTCAAATTTCTTGGTGTTGGGCTGTTCAATTGAAATAATTTTTGTATCAATCGATAGAGAAAGAAAAACACCCAATGATACTTATAATATTTCAATTCAACAACCCAACACCAAGAAATTTGAGCTCAAGATTCGATTGCTACTGGGAAAAGGTTGCTACGATTGCTACTTGCTACCGATTTTCTTTAAAAGTACGGTAATTTTTATGTGCTTTAAAAAAAAAACGCATTACTCGTGAGGTACACACTACTTTGACCTACTTTGACAACGAATCTGATCAGAGCCATCTCCGGACAGACCAACTCGTGCTCGAAAGACTCATTCCAAACCGGATTGAAGCCTGGAAACGATATAATTGTACTAGAAATTATGGCGATGGAAAAGTTGCTGGCAAACGCTTGACTGAGTGATATATGTTGTCTATCTGCCGTATCGCCAATCCACACGGTTATAGTAACTTTTTGCAACAACTTTTTGGAGTTGGCAAAAAAAAAAAAAAAAAAAAAAAAAAAAAAAAAAAAAAAACAACAACAACAACAACAACAACAACAACAACAACAACAACAACAACAACAACAACAACAAAAAGCAACAACTTTTTGGAAAACTAGCTGGGAAATGTCTAATTGATTTCAAAAGTGTCAAGTGTTATATAGAAAAATAAAGCCCTTCATTTTGGCATCATTTATCTATAAAGAACTTCCCGATTGCAATTATAAAACTCATTTAACAAGCTCTCGAATGAGCTCAAGGGAAAATTGAGCTTTTTTAAAGAAGATTCAAAGATTTGACAAGAAAATCTTGCTGTATAAGCTTCTAGTGTTATATTTTGTTGAATGATACTTTTAAAGTCAAATATCACAAGTTTTATTGAAGGAATCCCTTTCTAGGTGAAAATATTGTATCAAAAATAACAGATCGCCAAAAAGAGGCCGAATTGAGCTCATTTGAGAGCTTGTAAAATGAGTTTTATAATGCTAATCTCGAAGTTCTTTTTAGATAAATGATGCCAAGATGAAGGGTTTTATTTTTCTATATAACACTTGACACTTTTGAAATAAATTAGACATTTCCCCAGCTAGTTTTCCAAAAAGTTGTTGCTTTTTGTTGTTGTTGTTGTTGTTGTTGTTGTTGTTGTTGTTGTCCAACTCCAAAAAGTTGTTGCCATAACCGTGTGGATTGGCGATACAGCAGATAGACAACATATATCACTCAGTCTGACGTTTGCCAGCAACTTTTCCATAATTCACAGTGTGATGGCTTGGCGAGGAATTGGAACTTCGAATCGAACTTTATGACTACTACCGTATTTTCTCTAATAGTAGTGTACGCTGAGCGCCGCCTAAATTCCTCGAAATCTCGAGAACCGCTTGTCAGAACCTATCGATTTGGGGTCGGAAAATGTAGCTGACGATGAGATCTAGTGAGGGATTAGAGTATTGAGCTTCTGCAAAAGCTTGGAAACCGTAAAATAGTCATCAACTCGGCTCGGTACGGTACACGACTATTAAAGAAAATACGGTAACTTAGAGAGAGAATACTCACCATTGTCCTTGATAGTCTTCGTTTTTACTTTCCACTCATCTCTTGGAACTCCGAAGACCTAAAACTTTTTAAAAAAAGTACGTTTTAATAATTTACTTGTATGCTGACATAGGGATCAATGATATCTTTTCCTGTATCGGGTTTGGGTAAGTATTGAGCACTGATGATGCCGATTCCGATCCTCATTTTGGGTCGAGCCAACGTTCGGAGATCTAGCAATACTATTGTATTTCAAAATTATTAAAAATTCACAAAATTATTGGGTTGGTGAATTGAAAACTGCGGGCTATTGTTATATGTGACAGTTTGAGCACTTTCTTCAAAAGAAACCCATTTTGGTGTGAATGGAAAAGTTGTAGAGAATCAAAAATCAAGCTTAAATCCAAATTTTCAGAATGATACAAAAACTGGTTCCCAAGAAATGTCAAATTTACCAATTTTCACAAAACTTGCATTTTAAGCGAAACTACTAAGTGTATCTTTTTGGAAATTTGGCTATAAACCTCATTTTTGATTCTCTACAACTTTTCTATTGATACCAAAATGGGGTTCTTTTGAAGAAAGTGCTCAAACTGGGCTGACAGCTGACACCTCCGGTCCTCGATTTTTGAGTCTCACACTTGTCTCACACACAAACCAAAATCCTACCACGAAAGAGGGATCCGCAAATTGCCTGTAAAATGGGCAGAAGTCGTCAATAATAATGGAATATATTTAGAATGAATTCATGGTTTTATGTTGAATAAATTTTAGTTCAAAGTCCGGCAGTTTTCAATTCACCAACCTAATACATCGTTGATCTTTTCGTGCTCGAATTCTTACCTTTTCCATCGATCAGCTCTTGTGGTTTCAACACGTAACCGCAATTACCGTTTGTCCGAAATTTTCCCACATTTAAATCCACGGGCTCTCCAGAAGTCTAATTTGTTTTTGGAGTTGAATGAGAAATTTGAATAATACCTGAAAATTCAGTGCCACTCCTTGGATACCGATATTCCATAGGGAAACCGGGTGCACGTTTGAGGAGTCTTGACGTAAACCCTGAAAACTTTGACTTTGACTTTTCTCCTTTCTTTCCTTCTTTCTCTTCCTTCTTGTATTTCCTCTTTCTTCTCTGTCAACAAGATGCCAGATCCAATACGGTTTCAATATGGTTCTAATTTGGTTCCAAAATGGTTCCAATATGTTTCGGATACGGTTCCAATATGGTTCTAGTATGGCTCGGATATGGTCCCAATATGGTTCGGATACGGTTCCAATATCGTTCTAATATGGTTCGGCTCAGTGGTTAGAGCAATTGCTCGGAAAGCAAAAAAAGGGATTCAATCCGCTCTCCGGAAATCTTTCTTTCCCATTCTTTAATTTAGTTTAAACATGAGTTTAAACATGAATCAGGGATGAATCTGTTTCGGATCTGTACACAGCTAGATTCAAGTGTTGCTATTGTCTTTATTTCTGATAAAAATTGTCGAGTACTAGTCGATTATGTTTATGCAATTATGCAATTAGCTCTATCCCCAATTTAGTGCATTTTAAGGAATTTGATCGACTTTTGAGTTAAACTCTACATCAACTAGTAGCTAGTGTAATTTGTTTTAAATTTTTTAAACATTTCTGACTTTAGTTTTTGAACGCTAAATTGAGCTAAAGCCCTTAATAAGCTTTGTAAAACAAGGAAAATTTAACTTTTTCCTTTGAGATCAAGTAAAGAATTATTGAAACCGCCTGAGGGTATCAAAGGTTAGTTCTAACAACTTAAGAACCTACTACTACATACCAACTTAAGAACTACTAGTACATACTTAAGCACCTACTACTACATACTTAAGTACTACTACTACATACCTAAGAAATTACTGAAGAAAGATCTTCTTTCGTTATCAAAAAATCACTTGAGGATTTGGCTTTGGTGTTTTATGCAGAATGTTGCATAGCACTTTGCTTATGCCACAGTTTATGCCACAGTTTATGCTACAGTTTATGCTACAGCTTATGCCACAGCTTATGCCACAGCTTATGCCACAGCTTATGCCACAGCTTATGCAGAATGATGCAGAATAATGCTTATGCACACAAGGCACTGGCACAAGCAGCGTTTTCCCGATTTGGCCACCTTTAGTAGCCAGCCTCAAATCCCGATCTTAATCCGATCGATTTCAGTCTTTGGAATGTTCTTAAAGCAAAAGCGTGCTCAAAGCCGCAATCCAGGATCGTTTCGCTTAAGAAATCTCTTCAAAAAGCATTTGATAAACTCGATTCTGTTTACCATTTGGTCAAGTTGGATGTATTTTTCAAATATCACCAATCTCATTTCTGTTTTTTCAAAAAAGAAAGTCATTTTTCTTGTTTAATATCTCTTTAAAACTGAATTGTTAAAGTTTTTGAGTTGATTTCTCTTATCGGTTATCTCTTATCTCTTATCGGTTTTATCCTTAAAAATATTGGTTTCAATAATCCTACCTCATCTTGTACATTGCTCGGATTGTTCAAATATTTCTCTTTCTCAGCTTTTTTAAGTTGATAAACTCGATTCTGCTTACCATTTTTCAAAATCTCAACGGATTTAAGATGCTAACCTTTGGAAAAACTTTCACAAAGTGATCAGCTGTGTAGGCGGCTAATGGAGCCCCTGAATCATATAGAGAGAAAGCTTTTGATTCGACGAGTGACGGGGAACCATTTTGAGGATCTAAAAAGGAAAAGATTTGTTAGAAATACTGTGAAATCTATGATCTTTTGAAATCTTTGCTCTTTTCAACACAAATTTCCCATCACCTTTCCCAAATTTCCCATCACCTTTCAACACAAATTTCCCATCACATTTCCCATCACCTTTCCCATCACATTTCCCATCACCTTTTCCATCACCTTTCCCATCACCTTTCTTTTCCCAAAAGCAGTGTGTTTATGTGTGTGGTTAAAATGAATGAGTACTTTGCGTCGTTATTCACTCCACTTTTTCTCTGCGTGTACTTTGTGATCAAATTTGAAAACGCACAGCTCCTAGTGTACTGTGCTTCTGGTTATTTTCTCAGTTTTCTCCAATGAAATGCTTTAGTGCACCAGAGCGGATGTGTTTACAATTTTTGAGCAAAAAAAGTATCGAAGAGCGGAAGAGAACGGTGTGCTTTGTGGTTTTGAAAACGCAAAGCCTCTAGCGCAGTTAGTTCTTGATCTTCTTACATCAATCTGCTACACTAAATAGAGAATCAAGTGCACCAAAAAGCGTATGTTTACAATGAATTTTCGAGCGCAAAGTACACCCAAAAAAGCAGCAGTTTTTTCGGGGTGGGACAAATGCGATTTTTTTTTTGCGCACCTGGACATTTGCCCACCTTTTTTTGCTGGAAAAGGCCTTAGGAAAGGTCGTAGAGCTTCAAAAATATTCCCATATAAGGGAATCGTATGCGTAGATTCCGAATTTCGACAAATCAGACCTCGCTGACACGTCAAATTTGGGCTAAAAGGCAAAAACTACGCAACTTAACGCTTTTCCCGCAGTTTTTGCCTTTTAGCCCAAATTTGACGTGTCAGCGAGGTCCGATTTGTCGAAATTCGGAATCTACGCATACGATTCCCTGATATGGAAATATTTTCGAAGCTCTACGGCCTTGCCTAAGGCCTTTTTCAGCAAAAAAAAGATGCGCAAATGTCCAGGTGCGCAAAAAAGGTCGCATTTGTCCCACTCCCGATTTTTCAATAAAAAAAAAGAACTCACATTCGCTTTCTTTTAGCTTTTCTTTGGCTAAATGTTTTTAAAAAAAAAAATTCAAATTCCCAAAGAAACATACGATTTTTACAGTCAGCATACATAGATGTGGCGCTTAATTTCACCGATGGAAGAGCCATTAAAGAGGAGAGAGTCTCGTCGACAACTGAGGAAACCTAGAATCGGTTTTGGTTAGTTAGAAATGTTTCTCATTTCTGTTTTCTTAGAATTTAGAAGTTTTTCTTTTTCCAAATTTGCTTAACTGAGCTTTAACTGAGCAGAAATTGAGCTTAAAACTCTCTAAACGATACTAAAGGTTCAAAATCGACTAAGTTTTTGTTTGTGAACATCTTTGAAAGCTTTAAGCTTAGATTTAGTGCCTAAAAAGTGTTCTTTTAAAAATTTGAATCGAAAATTTGAATCGAAATAGTCATTTAGCTTATCTACACTACTGGACAATGAAATAAAAAAAACGATAATGAGAAAATCGATCGTCACTTTCGCGCGTCTGTAACTCCCTTGTCTTTACCGTTTTTCTAAATATTAATATTATCATTGTGTGGCCCTTGAAAAGAGCTTTCAGAAAATGTATAACACTAATAGTTTAAGCTCAAAGACAAGGGATTTACAGACGCGCGAAAGTGACGATCGTTTTTCAAATATCATATTTCATTGTCCAGTACTGTACATCTACTTTTGGCTTAAAAATCAATTTCAAACTTTAGAGAATTCCACAAGAGAAAAGAGGCCGAATGGCATGAAAAGCTGAAAGAATGGAAAGAGATGTGGATGAAGAAATACAAGAAGAATAAGGAAGAGACAAAAGAGACAAAAGAGGCAAAAGAAAAGAAGAATGGTGAGGAGATTTGCAGATTTTCTCATAATAATGGAATAGTATCAAAATTTGAGCTTTTTTTTTGGCTATAAAAGCTTTTCAGAATGTTATCGTAAAATTGCCCCACTTTTGGTGCATGTTCCTGCTGTGCTTGTTCATTTTGTCGTCATCATCCTCCTCTTCATGGTGGGCGAACACGCCTCGTTTACCCCTAAAATTGTTTAAAGATAAAATATGAGACAATAAAATTATCTGCATTGACTTTTCAACTTTTTTTCAACTCCACTCCTCTTCACCTGATGATAAATTTCCTCTTCAATTGATTCGGTGATGGGAGTGGATGTTTATCAGCATCGGGAGGTGGGCGATAGAGCTGATCGCCGAGGATCTGGAAGATCAAAAAGGTACCGTTCATTTAATAATCAGCTATAAATAATTTCATCAATAAAAGTTCATTTAATAATTCATTTAATAAAGAGCTTTGAAGAAGCTTAAGTTTAGATTAATTTAGATTAATTTAGATTAATTTAGATTAGCGTATTCTCTCTAATAGTAGTGCACTCTCTAATAGTATTGCGGTCCAGGAGGGGGTTGAAAAAATAGTAGTGCGCACTACTATTAAAGAGAATACGGTAATTTAGACAATTTCGACTAATTTAGACTCATCATTAAATCCATTTTCCTCAAAAAATGCTCACTTTTTTCGTGCTCTGAGCATTTGATTTATTCAAAAAAAGCACAAAATGATCTACGAAATTTGTATTGATCAGTTTACAAGTATAAATTTGAATTTTTAACTTTTAACTTACCGTAAATACTGTAATAGTACCCCACCGCCCATAATGACGGTGCGGAGTGTTGCGTGGTCTAGCTTTGAACGAGTTTTTCTCGACACTGCTTTATGCTACAATGCGCGCTTAGGTATCAAAAAATAGCTGAAATTCAGGGCTATTTTTTGGTACCAAAGACGCATTTTTTGAAAGTACAGGCGCTTTGAAAAAATGAAATACTAAAAAACTTTTGCGACTACGCGACTGTACGAGGGGAGTGGGGTACTATTAAAGTATTTACGGTAATACACGTCGTCTATCCGCCTTTACGGTAGTCACTTTTTAAAACTACTAGTGAATTTCGTGTTTCCAGTAATAACATCGAGTTTGGCCCACCTCAAGAAACAACTCAGCCATCACTTTCTGCTGGGCATGACCACAGTGATTCTCAATCGTTAAAATCACTGGATATGGTGAGGTTTCAAAGGCGGTTCTCTAAAAGAAAGTGATTTTAAACTATTAACAAACTATTTCAGAATTGAACCAGCTGAAGAAAATCAGCTTTTTGGTTTAAAGACGGCTGAGAAAAAGTTCATATTGATGAACGGACGAACGGACAGACGTTTCTCTTTTATATAGTATTTTATATCTAATATTTGATATCTAGTATTTCAATATAAACCTGAATCGATCTGAGAGCGTGTCGAAGCGAGAGTGGAGTGATCAGGGTATTCTTGTGGGTGATGATCGGTTCGCCTTGATCTCCGCTGAAGACGTCCACTGAAAATTGTTTACTACTTATCAAAAGGTTTAGCAACAGCTTTTAACAGTTTAACAGACATTTTGAGCATTTAAACTGAATTCTTTGCAGCTTTTGCCCAACTCACACTCCAACAATCTCGCTCCTTTCCTCAACGCCAAAATATATCCCTCAATCGATGCTTCGCCTTTCAATTGTGAGGCGATTAGATAAGTATTGTGTGAAGAGTTACAAAAGTAGTGAGGGAGTGGATGATCCATATTCTGAATTGAGTATTAGCAATGAATGTATATCAACTATGTTTTCATAATGAGAACTTTTAAGCGCCTCAATTAAAGCTATTATGTTCAGTATCGTCTTCAGAATCTTTGTTTCAATAGATTGTATTGGATTGGTGAATTGAAAACTGCGGGCTATTGTCAGATGTGACAGTTTGAGCACTTTCTTCAAAAGAAACCCTTTTTGGTGTCAATGGAAAAGTTGTAGAGAATCAAAAACTAAGCTTATATCCAAATTTTCAGAACGATTCAAAAACTCGTTTTCAAGAAATACTAAATTTAGGAAATTTTCACAAAACTTGCATTTTAAGCGAAACTACCAAGTGTATCTTTTTGGAAATTTGGCTATAAGCCTCATTTTTGATTCTCTACAACTTTTCTATTGACACCAAAATGGGTTTCTTTTGAAGAAAGTGCTTAAACTAGGCTGACAGCTGACATCTCCAGTCCTCCATTTTTGAGTCTCACACTTGTCTCACACACAAACCAGAATCCTGCTACGAAAGAGGAATCCGCAAATTGCCTGTAAAATGAGCAGAAGTCGTCAATAATAATGGAAATTATTTGGAATGAATTCATGGTTTTATGTTGAATAAATTTTAGTTCAAAGTCCCGCAGTTTTCAATTCACCAACCCAATATTATGTTCAGTATCGTCTTCAGAATCTTTGTTTTAATAGATTGTAGTTTTAAGCTTAAAACTTACATAAAAAAGAAACAAAATGAATAGATCTAATGTAAAGCTATAATGAAATTTAAGTATTAATAACTTTTATCGAATCTTTTTAATCGTTTTGTTATGTAAGCATCAAGCTTAAGGATACTTTAACGTCTAATCATTGCTACAGTCTACGGCAAGAGGGATTCCAGTCTAACAGAAGTTTAGACTGAATATCTTTTGCTTAATTGCCTTTATCCTAAAGAAACTTAGATATAGGCAGTCTACTTTTCTTTAGACTAAAAAACCTTCAAACCTGAAATACGGACTCATGATCAGGCCTCAGAATGTCGCCCCATCTTGATTGGAACAATCGACGGATCCCTGAAAATTTTAACTATTATTGAAAAAAAGCTTTCTTGAAAGTAATCGATACTATAAAGTACAGTGAATTTCTTTGCATAATAACATATGATAAAATTCTCCCACCAACAATTCCCATTAATTTCTCGTGTGTCCCATTCTGCTGTACTCCTTCGAAAGTCTCCAGAATTGAGGCCGCTTTTGACTCGTTTACGTCAGTGAACTGAAATCATTAGTTTTAGATAATCTTCTAAATAGGTTTAAGACTAGATATCATAAATAATTATGGTTTGATTTTGAAGAATAAACCTGTTGTTCTTCGGTCAAAAATCGATGCAACTCCTTGGCCGTCCAGCTCTCGACACCCGATTCCGAGTAGGATCTGTAGGGATTGATTTTCGTTGAATAAGAATTGCATTTGTATGAGAATTATCGAGTGAAATCTAGATTTATTATAGTTTATTACCTAAGCACAAACGCCAAATCCGGTCTCTCAGTTAACATGTTGAAAAACTTGAGAAACTCCTCCTCATTTAGTCGACCATCTTTTTTTAGCACATCGGATTCCTAAATAAAAATCGATCACTGTAATGCTCAATGATAGATTGAGAGTTTGAATTATTGTATTCTTCTTGATTAATTATTGTATTCCTTTTCTAAAAAGCATCTACATTCATTTTCGACTTTCGACCATTCCGAGAAAAGGTTGGCGCTTTAAAGAGTGGTAAAACTACCGTACTCTTTCTAATTTTCAGGAAAGAAAGCGCAATTTCATTTCTTTCATTCTTTTTTTATACATATTTCTCTGGTTTTCTTTCAAACTCTTTAAGATATTCAGCTTGTCGCCAGAATACTGTAGTATAGGGGCCGACCCCTTTACACCAGAAGAAGTGTGGAAGCGACTCGTTAGATGCTTCAACACGGCTTCTGGTCCAGACGGTGTCCGCTACGCGTTATGGAAGAAGTACTCAAAATAAACAACGGTGACCGTTTTTTCAAACTCTTTAAGATATTCAGTTTGTCGCCAGAATACTGTAGTATAAGGTGCATTCTTTTCGGCTAACGCTTTTTCAAAAGAAACCTATTTTAGAAAACTACCGTAATCAGGTAAATTTAAGCTCAATTTCTATAGCATTTATCGAGTCTTTTGATGCTTTCATCGAATAAAACAAAAATTGAATTAATTAAATGAAAACTGACGTCTTACGCTAGTTTTCTAATATTTTGATCTTTTAGAAAAGGCATTTTTTATTGTGAATTGGCTTCCAAGGGTTTTTCTTTGATTTTTGAAAACTTTGCTGACTATTCACTTGAGAACTGCTGACTGACTGACTGCTGAGAACTGCTGACTGGCTGACTGCTGAGAACTGCTGACTGGCTGACTGCTGAGAACTGCTGACTATTCACATTCATTTAACTGTACTTTAAGAACTTTCCCTTCTTGTCTTTCATCTCCAAAACTTACATTAAACACAGCTTTCGCGTATTTCTCCGATAGCTGCAAGTTGAGTTTCTTCAACAATTCCCAAGTCTCTCCAAATGTGAGCATCCCTGAATTTTCTATAATATTTTTCACATTTTGAAAGCACCGGGAAAAGAATTTTTTTTGTTCGATAATAATGGGTTGAGTAAATATTTGAAGTGGGGGAAAAAACCGGGGAATCGACGAAAAAATTCCGGAAATTCTCTTGTTTCAATGAAACGGAAAATTCGTGATGAATATTTGATGAAATCGACCTTTAACGGAGAGTTTTCCGGGTATTTGACAAATTCTTAGGTAATATTTAATGAAACAGCTAACGTACTTAAAATAGAGCTAGAGTACGACAAAGGTACAGTAAGAATCTAGTCTCATTGTGTATTAGAGTAGATTGAAAGTCAAATATTGAGGTGTCAAATTTGAATTGAACATTTAAATGCAAATTCAACAATAAAAGTCATAAGGAAACTGAAAAGCTGAAGAGCTGAAGAGCTGAAGAGCTGAAGAGCTGAAGAGCTGAAGAGCTGAAGAGCTGAAGAGCTGAAGAGCTGAAGAGCTGAAGAGCTGAAGAGCTGAAGAGCTGAAGAGCTGAAGAGCTGAAGAGCTGAATAGCTTTTCAGCTTCCTTATGACTTTCAGCTTCCTTATGAAAAGCTATTCAGCTTTTCAGTTCGTTTAAGCAAAAAAATATTCAGCTGTCTATCATTTTGGCATACTATACTGAATAAAAAAAACTCTATAGTACCCTAGTAAAGACTCTATAATATCCAGAATTGTAAAGAACTCATTTAACTTTACAAAGGCAGATGATAGACTGTTGATTTTACAATTTTACTTGTCACTATTTCGGGTAAATACCATTTTTGTTGACATCGGCACGGTGAAATTGCTCGATCAACCACAATTTCTCATTAAATTGCGCTCTTTGTGCTTTCTCGGCGTTGATGAGAAACGTCAATGCGTTCACCCAAATGTCGCTAAAAGTAAATAAAAGTAAATAATAGAAAAATATGTAAGTAAGCAATAGTAAGCAAACAAAAAAAAGTAAAAAGTGCGGTTTTGCAACATTTGAATGAGTCATTTAAAGATTTAAAGTCATTCTTTTCTGGGTCAACGAGAGATCGCTTTTTTGAGTTCAAGTAGCTATTCTAAACCTGAAAAACTAAGAGTTTCTAAAAGTTTCTAAAATTTTCTTTTAGATTTCCCTTACCGTATCTCTCGACTTTGCGCTGAAAAGTCAACGGATTTGTGGAGGAATTTCGAGTGCGTGAAAATGACGGAGAAACACGTTTCCTCCTGAATACTTTCATTTACTTTCATTTGAAAAGTCAATATGATATTTATGATTTATCGACATTTCAAAGAACAAAGAAAGAAGAAAGAATTTTGTATAGAAAGAAAAAGTCTATAAAGAATTTTTACATTTGCTTTCTCTTTTGACTGACTTTCATTTCGTTTTTGAAGAAATTTGAGTACGGACTGAGTTGGCGAAGTGCTATGCGAGTACGGACTGAGTTGGGCAAATGCTATGCGAGTACGGACTGAGTTGGGCAAATGCTATGCGAGACGGACGAGTGGGCAAATGCTATGCGAGTACGGACTGAGTTGGGCAAATGCTATGCGAGTACGGACTGAGTTGACCAAATGCTATGCGAGTACGGACTGAGTTGGGCAAATGCTATGCGAGTACGGACTGAGTTGGGCAAATGCTATGCGAGTACGGACTGAGTTGGGCAAATGCTATGCGAGTACGGACTGAGTTGGGCAAATGCTATGCGAGTACGGAGTGAGTTGGTCAAATGCTATGCGAGTACGGACTGAGTTGACCAAATGCTATACGATCTATACCATTCGACGCAGAATTTTATGCTCTTTCCGAATATCTATCCCGTTTTTGCTAAATAACAATCTAACAATTCTGATCGAGAAATTGAGTTATATGGAATGAGATCATTAGCGCCAATTGCATGATGTCTTGTGCTCGGTGCGATATAAAGTTGTTTCTTTCTATTTTATCGATGATTGTCATCAATGTTAGCTACTTTTTGTCTTGTTGTAAGAGTGTAAACAGAAGAAAAACGAGTGTGACAACAAGCGGACAAAGAACACTAGTCACTCGTTTTTCTGTTCTTGAAAAAAGGAACAGAAAAATCTAGAGTGGGGATCGAACTCGCTCTGCAATCGAGCGCTGTACCACTCGGCCACAGCTGCACTGAAACAGATCCGCAAGGAGACTGTTAAGGTTCAAACCATTAAGATCAAATTTTCAGAGTCCTAAGAAAACTTTAAAAGCTTATAACTCCTGACAGATTGTCATTTAGCAAAAACGGAATAAATATTCAAAATCAGCATGAAATTCTGCGTCGAATGGTATAAATAGCATAGTATTTGACTGGTTCAGTCCTTGTAAAATCTCCGTAAATCTCCGTAAACCCGGAAAACCTCAATTTCATAACCGAAAAGTCGCAGAAAAGTCGAAAAAGAGTAAAATTCATTTTTGCGGGTAAATAAAGCTCAACATGATGCAGAGAATCTTATACTTAAAGCACAAAGAGCACCTCTACAGTCAATTGATTCGATTCGATGATCTTACCGGAGCAGCTTCTTGAAATTGTGATTTCCTGGCGGCTTTGTGTAAATTATCCGTTCGATAACCCGGTCGAACCTCCAAAATCTCGCTGATTTCAACTAAAATAGTTGATGATTTGAAAAGCGATATAGATAATTTCAATTTAAACTCAAAAAAAATATAAAATATATTCAGGGGAACACATTTACTCAGCTTTACAACGTTCAATAAGCTTTTTTGTATAAAACAATGAATAGAATTAGCTCGTTTAACTGAATACTTTTAAAATACCTTCATCATTTTCATAATTTGCCCAACAAAACGCTAAATTTATATAAGAAATCTATAAAAAAAGAATTAAATATTTGTTACCTGATTTTAGTCTGTCAGGAAGAAAGCTGAAGTGATAGCGGGAGTGGTAGTTGAGACGGCTAAAAAGGGATGGGATTGGGATTGGGTAATGTAAATCCCACTGTAATGGGATTGGGTTTTTGAAAATGTTAAAGAAAAAAGTCGAACCTTGTTAGTGAATTATGGAAGAAATCCTAAAAAAACCTTTCACTATCGAGGGTTTGATTTGTACTAGATCAACTCAGAGGGATCATTTAAAAAAACCGGTTACTATCGAGGTTAGCTCAATATCGAGGTTAGTTCACTATCGAGGTTAGTTCACTATCGAGGTTAGTTCACTATTGAGGTTAGTCCACTATTGAGGTTAGTCCACTATCGAGGTTAGTTCACTATTGAGGTTAGCTCAATATCGAGATTAGCTCACTAACGAGATTCGACTCTAGTTAATGTTAATGTTAAAACACTTTTACAATAGTAGACCCTTAAAAAAATCGGTTACTATCGTTAGTTCACTATCGAGGCTAGTTCACTGTCGAGGCTAGTTCGCTAAAGAGGCTGGCTCAATATCGAGGCTAGTTCACTGTCGAGGCTAGTTCGCTAAAGAGGCTGGCTCAATATCGAGGCTAGTTCACTGTCGAGGCTAGTTCGCTAAAGAGGCTGGCTCAATATCGAGGCTAGTTCACTGTCGAGGCTAGTTCGCTAAAGAGGCTGGCTCAATATCGAGGCTAGTTCACTGTCGAGGCTAGTTCGCTAAAGAGGCTGGCTCAATATCGAGGCTAGTTCACTGTCGAGGCTAGTTCGCTAAAGAGGCTGGCTCAATATCGAGGCTAGTTCACTGTCGAGGCTAGTTCGCTAAAGAGGCTGGCTCAATATCGAGGCTAGTTCACTAGCGAGATTCGACTCTAGTCGAATGCCTGAAATAAGAAAGCTTCAAAACTTTTCTCACCGTTCTCTAATCGAGACATGATTCGACTCTCGAAGTGATCCATGTTTTATTCTCTTCAACGAGAAACCCTTTTCACACGATTTAATGTCTTCCAAAGCCTAGAAAAAGAAATCATTTTAGAATTGACTTATTTTCTAATCATTTTATGTCCTTTGTTCTCACAGATGCTTGCTTTTCTTTCCTTTCAAAGTTTACTTTGGATGCAAATTCTTGTTGAAATCTAGTGCATAGCTTAATGATGTAAACATTTCCATTCTTACCCTCGCTTTCTCATCCTCAACTCGTTCTGTTTCGGCTTGTGCTGGTGTTTGATGATGTCCATTTGTGCCATTGATTTCAGGGGGCATCCCTGAGAGATTCTGTTTGAGAATTGAGGACTGAGGATTGAGGATTGAGGATTGAGGATTGAGATTTGAAATCTTTCGTTTAAATGCTTCATAATAAGATTTTTTTAAATAATTTAAACAGAATACAAGCTTAAAAAAAGATAAATTAAATGATTATTGTAATTTTTGAAATCAATTATTAGAATCAATTCTTTTATGCTAAAGCAAATCGACTTATTAATTGAATTGAATACTTTTAGACAAAACAAAGTTAACTTTAAATGTAAATTCGAACACGAGAGTCAAGTAAACAAACAAAAAAAAAAGATCGGAACAAATAAAGAGCTGAAAAGGAAAAGCTTTTGGAGTTGATTGAAAGAAAAAAAAGAAAAAGAAAAAGAAAAACAAATAGAATGATTCCTTGGTGTATGTCAATAGGGAAAAGGAGAGTAAAACGCGAAAAACGAGAGAAAAAGTAATTGGATCAGTGTTCTGGAAAAAAAGTTGGCGTTCAATCATTTGAAATTATCAAATATGTGTAGCTTTGAACAATGAAAATTGAAAAAAGCTTTGTTTTTTAAATTTGTCAATCGAAAAGTGAAACAAATCTTAGAAATTCACAGAAATTACGATTTATTTTGAAAATTTGAATTCTTTGAATTTAGCGAAAAATCACTAGCTTTGTCAGAAATTCGGAAAAATCAGAAAAATCACGAGCGCCGACTTATACATATACTAAATACAAAAACAAAAATTGTGATTATAACTATATACTATAAAAGTTTTTTTTACATAAAAAGGCCACTTGCTTGAATGTGCTTATTTACGACGTGCAGCACGAATCTCATCAATCTGGGCTTGCACTTCAGGAGGAAGAGTTCAGGAGGAAGAGTTCAGGAGAAAGGGTTCAGGAGAAAGTGTTCAGGAGGAAGAGTTCAGGAGAAAGTGTTCAGAAGAAAGGGTTCAGGAGGAAGAGTTCAGGAGAAAGTGTTCAGAAGAAAGGGTTCAGGAGGAAGAGTTCAGGAGAAAGTGTTCAGAAGAAAGGGTTCAGGAGGAAGAGTTCAGGAGGAAGAGTTCAGGAGAAAGGGTTCAGGAGGAGGTTCAGGAGAAAGTGTTCGAAGAAAGGGTCAGGAGGAGGTCAGGAGAAGTGTTCAGAAGAGGGTTCAGGAGGAAGGTTCAGGAGGTGTCGGGGGTTCAGGAGGAAGAGTTCAGGAGGAAGAGTTCAGGAGAAAGGGTTCAGGAGGAAGAGTTCAGGAGAAAGTGTTCAGAAGAAAGGGTTCAGGAGAATGTGTTCAAGAGGAAGAGTTCAGAAGAAAGGGTTCAGGAGAAAGTGTTCTATTAAAAAAATAAATAAAAAAATAAATACAAATAAAATACAATTTTTCTGTTAATCTTTGTTTTTAGCCTATGAAAGTCTGAAGAATATTGGAAAATTCGTGTTTTGATGAACTAAAAACTAATAGCATTGTTGAATTCAATTCAATTAAACAAAAAAAAACTTATTTTAAAGTCGAAAAAAGGTTAAAAAAAGGTTAACAAAGGTTTAAAAACCAAAAGCCAAGCTGATATTTGAAAAGTTGAAAGTTGAAAGAGTTCCGAATCTTTTGTAAGATAAGATTAATGCTTTAATAAAAGAAAGAATAAATAATAAAGACAAAAAAATTTATAGTAGAATCGCATTCATAAAATAAACTGAAAAACGTGCTGACAGATTGTCATTTAGCAAAAACGGGATAGATATTCGGAAAGAGCATAAAATTCTACGTCGAATGGTATAGATCGCATAGTATTTGGCTGGCTCAGTCGTTGTAAATCATGGGAGAAAATGTTGAATGGTATAGATAGCATTTAGTCAACTCAGTCCGTACTCAAATTTCTTTCAAGAAGGAGATGAAAGAATAAAGAATAAAGAATAAAGAATAAAGAATAAAGAATAAAGAATAAAGAATTTTATCTTAATCGGAAGGTCGAGGGTTCGAACCCCACATGCGACATGGTCACCCCCTTCGGATTTCCTTTCCCTTCGGGTTGAGAGGTTTTCTGGAGGGCAGTCTGGTGGTTGTGGCCCCAGTTCTTTAAAGTGACAAGCCACTCCTTCATCGTCACCTTCCCTTCACCACCAAAAAAGCTATTTAGTTCCCCATTGAGCTTAGGGTTAGGGAGCCGTCTGTCATGACGTGGGTTAAGTTAAGATATAGCCTAGTATTGTGTGTGTCGTTGTATTGTGATTGATATATTTCGTGTATGCGATAAATTCACCACTGGTAGCCCCAGTCGGTATTTTTTTTTAAAAAAAAGAATAAAGACAAAAAAAACTTATACTAGAATATTTCATTCATAAAATAAACTGAAAAACGTGCAATAAAACAAACAAAACGAAAAGAAAACTTTGTAAATATGGAAGCGCTGTGGAATTTTTCGTCTTTTTTTGCCGTGTTGGTGATGCTGGGATGGGGAAAAGAAAAGAAAAAGGATGAGGAAAATGAAAAAAGATTCTCTCAATCTTTTTCTAATATTCCTTTCTCTATTTTTCTCTAATCTATTTCTCTAATCTTACTCTATAATCTTTTTGAATCCTTTTCTCTCTTCACTATTCCCAATATTTCGTTGTCTTTTACCTCTTTTAATCATTTTTTTTCCTAAATTTTTAAGCCTTTTAGTTTAGTTTTTCGGGGAAATCATGGGTTTTTCTTTTGAGTACAATGATCTGCTGTCACTGAGGGAAAAGAAATGCACTTGAAATGCAGAAATGCAACAATGATTTGAAGATATTCAGTGAACAAATGACAAACAAATGTAACCAATCAATGTAACCAAGCTAATTTAGGCTTATGTTTCCTCTAAAAGCTCTTACAATTTCTTTTTAATCGATTTATTAAATTGTGAAAGCTTTTACCCCCGTCATTTTCGTTATCTTGGCTAAATTTAAAGCCACAACTTCCACAATTGATTTAACTGCTCTGTGATTCTTTCTTTAGGTATCTATTGATTTTTTGGGTGTGTTTTGAGTGGTGTCCCGGATAATTATTGTGATTTTGTTTTGTCCCTATTCAACTGAATAATATATTCTCTGGTTCATTTAGCAATTGAGTTTGCTTCTAGCTTTTGGTCCGGTCTGATCATGAGAATTTCGGTTTAAATCAGCATTTCCTGGGGTCCATAGCCTACAAATGTAATATTAAAGTATAGAATTTATAAAGTAGAGTATAAAACTTGATAAAGAGAAGGTGTACGAAAAAATGTTTAGCAAGGAATTCGCTCGATCGGCTTTTCCCCAAGGAACATTTTACCCCCTCATGTTCGTGATATTCCCACCTTGGCTAGATGGCTAGATGGCTAGATGGCTAGATGGCTAGATGGCTAGATGGCTAGATTTAAAGCCGCAACTTCGGCAATTGCTTTGACTACTCTGTGATTCTTTCTTTAGGTATCTTTTTATCTTTTTGGGTTTGTTTTGAGTGATGTCCTGGGTGATTATTGTAATCTGGTTTTGTCGCTATTCAACTGAATAAAGCATATCTATATAAGTAGATCAATTCTTCACTCTAAAAGATCTAATTTGTAATTTATAATTTGTGGCTACAGCTTAAAAGCATAGAAAAGCTGTTTATGCAAAAAAATGTCTAAAGTGAAGTATTGTTTGATAGCTACTAAAGAAATGCTCCAGCATTTTTTGCTAGTATTTTCACTACATTGTAGAAATATTTTCCTCTTAAACATTTGAAAACAATCAAATCTACATCTCCAATAGCAAAGTATAAAGAAATGTAACGTTAGGTTACTTTTAAGATCGATTAGAATTGATAGAACAAATTCTAAGCCAGACCTGCCTCTGGAAAATCAAAACAAAAGCTTTTTCATGTAAATTCTGTGCTATTTGGCTAAACTAAGCTTTAGAAATTGTCTCAGAACGTCTTCTGGCTTTAGAAAATGGAAATAAAAAAGAAAATAAAAAAGAAAATAAAGAAGAAAATAATAGAATAATGCAAAAATTCTAGCATAAAGCTTATCTCAAAGTGAATATTCTTTTCAAACACAATTGGGTAGATTGTTTTGTAAAAGAAACTCTTTGTTTTTGAATTCAAATCATTTCTAGAAGCATAAAAGACAAAAAGCAAAAAGCAAAAAGATGAACGGATGTTTCCATGGGAGACAATAAAAGAAAACAGAAAAACGCAAAATTCTTTGAGTCTAAAAGAATCTTTTCACCGTTCTATAATAATAATACTTTATTCAAACGATAAAGTGAAAGAAATCATAGAGAAATGCACAGTGATACTTAATCATACAATACATACTGAAATCAATAAGCCAATTACTTACGGCAAAGAGCCACTAGATCTAAAGCATCGATACGTTTCTTGAATATGAAAAGCGACTGAATTTCTCGTATGTCGTTTGGGAGCAAGTTCCATAATCTAGCGGCTCTAACGGGAAATGAATTTGATAAAGAGGCATTGGAAGCAAAGGGAATTTGCAAAAGGAATGAGCCACTTCTGGGCCCTGACCGCGGTTTAAATTTGAAAAAGTCTATAAACAAAGGGCACATTCTATGCACAATTTTTGACCTAGATTGTTTTGTAAAAAAAAAGGCTTGGTTTTTGAATTTCTAGAAGTTGAATTTTAGAAATTCAAATCATTTCTAGAAGCACAAAAGATGAACGGATGTTTCCATGGGAAACAATAAAAGAAAACAGAAAAACGCAAAATTCTTTGAGTCCAAAAGAATCTTTTCACCCTTCTATGCACAATTTTTGACCTAGATTGTTTTGTTTTTTGGCCTAATGCAAAAAATTCTAGCATAAAGATTATCTCAAAGTGAACATTCTTTTCAAACACAATTGGGTAGATTGTTTTGTAAAAAAAAAAGTCTTGGTTTTTGAATTCAAATCATTTCTAGAAGCACAAAAGATGAACGGATATTTCCATGGGAGAAAAAGAATAAAAGAAAAAGACAATAAAAGAAAAAGACAATTAAAAGAAAAAGAAAAATAAAAGATAAATACCGTTTTCTATCTAATAGTAGTGCACTCTCTAATAGTATTGCGGTTCGAGAGGCGGTTGAAAAAATAGTAGTGCACCCTCGAAAATTTGAATTTCTGGTGCTTCTTTTTCATCTGAACCTTTTTTTACTTTATGTTTATGTGACATTCTAAAGCTATTCAAGCAAGCAAAAGTGAGGCTTTTTTATTCATTTATTAACTATTCTTCACATGAAAAAGTTAGCAAAAAATCTAAAAAATCTAAAATTGTTGTGCAAAGTGGAAAAAAATCTTTTTGTTGTTTGTCAAGACACAAATTGTCAACTCGCCGGCCCACAACTGTACGTCAAAAGGAGCCAAAGGAGTAAGTGAAAGAATTGAAAGAATTTTTGGAATAAAGTTTATATCTGTCTTACTTTGGTAAATGATAAAACTCTTTAATAGTATTGCGGTCCAGGAGGGGGTTCAAAAAATAGTAGTGCGCACTACTATTAGAGAGAATACGGTATTCGAATAAAAGAAAAAGACAACCGCAAAAGAATCCAAAAGAATCCAAAAGAATCCAAAAGAATCTTTTCGCCGTTCTATGCACAATTTTTGAGCTAAAATGGGAAAAATAATCTAGATTCTAAAAAAAAGGAAAGGAAATGATAAGAACGAGAGAGAAATCCGTACAATTTTTTTCTCCATAAATCCGTCTCAATGTCAAATCCTATTATACTTTTTTTTAAAGTTTTATTCTTTTAGGTTACCACTTCCGAAAGTAAAGCTATCAATTTCTTCAAAATATTCTTCGCTGTAAGAACTTTATCTTAATGATTTCATTTGAAGTTCACTAGCACTTCAATCGATCTTCAATCGATCTTCAATCGATCAATTCCCCGATCAGATCAGATCAGTTACCTTCAAGATATCCTATGTTTTGAATAGAGTGTGTTCCTTGCAGACAACGCGTTTTCTAAAAAGCGCGCGCCAAGGATAAGCTACCGTAACCCTATGCTTTGCATCAGCAAATTTTTCAAAATGCAAATGTACATTAAAATCTTGCGCTCTTTTTTTCTTCTATTACTCTTTCCTTGACTCTACTACTCTTTCCTTAACTCTATTACTCTTTCCTTGACTCTACTACTCTTTCCTTAACTCTATTACTCTTTCCTTAACTCTATTACTCTTTCCTTGACTCTACTACTCTTTCCTTAACTCTATTACTCTTTCCTTAACTCTATTACTCTTTCCTTGATTATATCTTTCCTTAACTCTATTACTCTTTCCTTAACTCTATTACTCTTTCCTTAACTCTATTACTCTTTCCTTGACTCTACTACTCTTTCCTTAACTCTATACCTTTCCTTAACTCACTCTTTCCTTAACTCTATTACTCTTTCCTTAACTCTATTACTCTTTCGCTAAAACTTAAAGATTTTTAAATGCTATTTAAAATTAAAGAAAACATTTAAAACGGGAAAAGTTAAGAAACACTATTAAAAAACTATATTATTTATGAATTTACCAGGCCTATTGTCTACATTTGCACTAGAACCATTCCAAAAAAAAATTCCACGCCCTAAAAAACCTAAATCCTTAAATAAAACTATCCATTACTATATTTTAAGAAAAGTTTGCAAATTTTTTTCGCGCGACCTTTATAGCTTTGCTTAAAAAGCGCACCTTTTAGAAAACGCGTTGTCGGAAGTTTGTCGGATCAATTGTCTGACAAAAAAGTTGTCAATGAAAATTTGTCTGACAAATTGTCTGTCAACAAGGAGCACACTCTAGTTTTGAACGGCGCTGTTTTGACTACCCCCCCCCCCATTTTCCATATCGTTTTCGCACTTTATTTCTTTCTAAATAAAGTATTTATATATTATGATTATCTGATTTTCTTCTATTTTCCCCCATAAAGCATATATTCTTTTGATTGAGATTTAAAAAGTAGAAGTAAGTTTGTTAAAAAGTAGAAGTAAGTAAGTTTTACTTTTAAAAGTAAAAAGTTAACCTATCCTCAAGATAGATTAACAATAAGTTTCCGAGTTTCTCTAAGACCAATTAAACAATAATTTTCCCGAGTTTAGATCAATTAAAAGTATATTTTTTCAACACGAATAATCAATTACAACAAAATGAAGGCAATTTTTAATTTTACAATAAAAGCTTTTACTTTTAGCATTTGGGATATAGCTAAATTCTCAGAGAAATTCATTCAATCAATTTTTTTGTAAAGGTTTTTACGAAAAACCCGTTTATCCCTCTTCAATTTGCTTGTAAGTGAACCAAAATTGACTTTAAAAAGATGAAAATAGAACAAGAAACACTTTTTAATAATCAATTACAAAAAAACGAAGGAAATTTTTACCCTTTTTTACCCCTATTACCCAAATGTTGTTAAGAAAAAAACCCCAATAATGATGGGAAAAAGAACCAATTTTTCTGACCGCCAGGATCGAACCTTTGACAAGACAATTTTAGTTCAAAGTCCCGCAGTCAACCGGTTAGGAGACAAGACTCCTATCCGGTTGTCGGTTACGACCGCTTGAAATCAATTAAACCCAATTTCCATTGTAGACTTAATAAAATAAATAGCTTTAATCGATTCGCCGACCGTGAAAACCAAAGAAAACCAAAGAAAACCCAATCTTCGTGTCAATAGAAAAAAGATAGAAGATAAAAATTGAAAAAAAAAACTTTTTCAAATTTAAACCGCGGTCAGGGCCCAGAAGTGGCTCATTCCTTTTGCAAATTCCCTTTGCTTCCAATGCCTCTTTATCAAATTCATTTCCCGTTAGAGCCGCTAGATTATGGAACTTGCTCCCAAACGACATACGAGAAATTCAGTCGCTTTTCATATTCAAGAAACGGATCGATGCTTTAGATCTAGTGGCTCTTTGCCGTAAGTAATTGGCTTATTGATTTCAGTATGTATTGTATGATTAAGTATCACTGTGCATTTCTCTATGATTTCTTTCACTTTATCGTTTGAATAAAGTATTATTATTATAAGATAGAGGATATTTTTGTATAGTTAAATTCTTTTCTCAGAGAAATTCATTCAATCAATTTCTTTGTCATTCATTTGCAATTCATTCAACAAATATGCAACATTTGTTTATCTATCTAACTATCTATATGCAAATTTTAAAAACAAATGTTAATTGGGTAATATGCATGCAAAAGATTGAAGTACCAAATCGATTTTTAAATGTCTATGGATTTTCTTTTGTGAGTATGAAGTCGGGTAGTGAAAAAGGACGACTCGATGATGCGATTTAGAGACTTTACGCTAAAGAAATCTATCTTCATGTCAATAAAAAAAAGATAGATGATAAGATAGAGGATATTTTTGTATAGTTAAATTCTCAGAGAAATTCATTCAATCAATTTCTTTGTCATTCATTTGCAATTCATTTGCAATTCATTCAACCAATTTCTTTCTTTACGAAAAACCCGTTTAAAAGTATTAAAAGTATTCTTTGTTGTAAGAACTTTATTTTAATGATTTCATTTGAAGTTCAATAGAGCTTGAGCACTTGAATGAATTTGCCCTCTTCAATTTGCTTGTAAGTGAACCAAAATTGACTTAAAAAAGATGAAAATTGAACAAGAAACGCTTTTTATTTGGAGAAAACTATAAGCTACTTATGGGAAATTTATTATTTTTCAATGAAAATCTGAAAAGGAATGAAAAGACTTTCAGGGAAATATTTTTCTGGGAAATATTACAATCCCGAAACAATCTATATCCCAAAAATCTCCGGAAACTGGTCAAGAACAGCTCTGTCTTGAAATAAATCAATTGAACAAGTGAACAAGATCAAAATTTAGCTCAAAATGATTATTATAATATTATAAAAGTTTTGTATTAATTGTATTAATTGTATTATTTGAAATAGCCAAGTCTTTTACGTTAAAAAGTCTTTTACGATTCCCGCAACTATCGCAAAACAAAAAAAATTGGATCAAAAACGGCAAAAAGGCCCTTCCCTTTTTGCCGTTTTTGATTGGGAGGCAAAAAAAGGGGAAGATCGGGGAATTGATTGATTATTTCCGTACAAACATTGAGCATTTCCAATCAACAAAAAGCAAATATTGTTTTTGATTGCTTTTTATTGTATTTTTTTGTATCATTGTTGACTTTTAGGAAGTAAAATTGAAATTCCCATTGCTGTCCCATTGCTAAACGCCTTTTTTTCGCTGAAACTCCGAAAGTTCTTTGAGAAATTTTCAATAAGGTTGGAAAAATGGCGAGAGGTTAAAGCTGTTGATCTATCATCAATATATCATCTAAACATCAATGAATTTCCTTCTTTCCTTCTTTCCTTCTTTTCTTCTTTCCTTCTTTCCTTCTTTCCTTCTTTCCTTCTTTCCTTCTTTCTTTCTTTCCATCTTTCTTTCCTTCTTTCTTTCTTTCTTTCTTTCCTTCTTTCCTTCTTTACTTCTTTCTTTCTTTCCTTCTTTTCTTCTTCTATTTTCCATATTCTATTATATCTTTTTGGATTTTAAATTGTATACTAGAGTTAGATTTTCGGATTTAAAATGGCTGAAGACATTGCGGTGACGAGATTCCGTGAATATCTTAGAATCAAGACTGTTCAACCGAATCCAGATTACGGTAGGTGTAGAAAGTTATAGAATTCCTTATAGAATCATTTTGTTTTTACAAAATTACATTAAAAGATAAGAAAAGCTAAAACGTGAAAACGATTATGATAACTTTAAAATTTAAAATGAGGTTTTTAGAGGGATGCGTGAAATTTCTCTTTGGACTGGCTGACGAGTTGGGTATCGAAAGGAAAAGATATGAGGTAGATCATTTTTCAAATTTCAAAGCTAATTTCAAAGCTAAAAATCCAAAAAACCTTTAAGAACTTTATGAAAGGAACACTAGGAACACATGTAGGAAAAAGCAAAAGCGAATGAGCAATAAATTGGGGCTGGGAAAAAACAAATGGTCGCCACGGGGACTAGAACCCGCGACCCCTCACTTCCCGGGCTAACGCTTTACCAGTAAGCTGCACTGAGAAGCTGCACTGTTAGCTAAGCTAATTATGAGCCAACAAATAACAATTTTATGTTCTCACTTCAAAAACTTACGTTTCATTCAACTTTTCTCCGTCCAAAACAAAAAAAATCTTATTTTATACACTTTCTGAAGAAAAGGAATGACTTTTATTTGAAAGTAAACTTTTCAGCTTTACGAAAACTGCTAACAATAATGATAAGAATGAAATTTTTGTCTAATACAATAACCCAAAATACGCTATTCAGTTTAGCTAGGTCAAAAAATGCGAAAAAAAAAAAGTCTACAAAATTTCAATCCAGTGTGTGGCCGGTCGTCCATTTGTCGTGATGACGATACCGGGTGAAGAGCCCGATTTGACATCGATTCTTCTCTACTCACACACCGATGTTGTGCCTGTGTTTCCAGTAAGTAATAGAAAAATTTACACTTTTATTGAACCTAAATTGTTATACTTTTGATTAGCTTTATTAACATCAACTTCTATTCAGGAACACTGGAAATACGATCCATTTTCAGCGCACAAAGATGAGAAAGGGGACATTTATGCGAGAGGTGAGATGATTGATTTAGAGAGTTATTTCCTTTTTCTTCTTTCTTTCTTCCTTTCTTTCTTCCTTTCTTCTCCCCCTGTCTTTTCTTCTTTCTCCCTTTCTTCTTCCGCCTCAGATTCTTCCGCCTAGATGAGAAAGCTAGACTGGTATAAAGATAGAAAATTTTATCAAGAAAGTATGCAATAACTTTAGGCGCCCAAGATATGAAATGCGTGGGAAGTCAATATTTCGAGGCGATACGGAGACATTTTCTCCACGGGAAGAAGCAATTCCGAAGAACAGTGCATATCGTTTGGGGACCTGGTAAGTTCAAAATGTTGATTGAACTATGTATTTCGGGAAGAGATGTTCCGACCGTTCAGGTTATCCAGTCCAGGTCCAGGAAATGTCAAAGTCCAGGCTTGGCTTCCTTTCCAGGCCAGGATTTGACCGTTGTTAAAAAGTTACCGTTGGAATAAATCTGGCTTAAAATATTGATCTCGAGTAATCTTTAGATTTTAAACCTAGATAACTCTTTTGCTTATCAATTGTATGAAATTTCAGATGAGGAAATTGGCGGGACAAACGGGATGGAGAAGTTCATCGAAACCGATGAATTCAAGGTGCTCGTTTAATTGATTTCCAAATTCATCTAATGAATCTAATAAATCTAATCAATCTAATAAATCTAATGAATCTAATGAATCTAATGAATCTAATTAATCTAACAAAACTTTACAATACACGGCGACTGAAAAGTTCTATCCGCATTAATATAATAAAATTTATAATACGCAACTTATTATAAGTTAATATTATAAATTAACAAACCCACTTTATAACAAAATTCCATGAAGATAGAGCAAAATAAAACGCAAATTTAGAAAATTTAACTATTTTTACCTTTTATATATGTTTATTTTAAAGGAATTTGTTTTTCAGGAATGTTTTTTTCAATCAATTCTTACGAAACACCGTTAAACTCCCGCTAAGCTCTAACAATGTTTGTCTAACAACGTTCTAACAACAACAACTCTAAGCACTTCAATCGATCTCCAATCGATCTTCAATCGATCTTCAATCGTTCTCCAATCGATCTCCAACCGATCTTCAATCAATCTTCAATCAATCTTCAATCAATCTTCAATCAATCTTCAATCAATCTTCAATCAATCTTCAATCAATCTTCAATCAATCTTCAATCAATCTCCAACCGATCTTCAATCAATCTTCAATCAATCTTCAATCAATCTTCAATCAATCTTGAATCGGCCTTTCATAATCAATAACTTCAAAAGCAATCTGATTTCTAGTTTAGTTTTAAAGAAAAATCATTCTTCTTTCAGAAAGATTATCAAAATTTCCTTTTAAGGAAACGAAAACTGGTTTAGAGAATAGAGAACGAATAGAGAACGAAAAGAGAATTTTAGAGATTTGATAAACGATCAAACGGAAAAACGATATTAGTTCACAGGAAATAATACTCAAAAAAAAGTTTTTGCATCTTATCTATGCAAATTTTGTCTATTATTTTCTATTTTTATATCTCCAGATTTATATGATTGGCGTAGAGTGAAAAATTTGAAATTTTAGATCCTTTAAGCTTTTACAAGTTTTATTTTACAAAGTTCTACTGATGCGGACAGAGATTTTTAATCACTTTGTTCAGTTTGATATAATATTGATATAATAGAAGAAGTATACTTATCTAAAGCTATTTTTTTTTTTTTCGTTCATATAATAGTTTAGGCTTTGAACGTCGGTTTTGCGTTGGATGAGGGTTTAGCGTCGGAGAGCGAGATCTATAAAGTTTACTATGCAGAGAGATGTCCATGGTGTTCGTTTTTGAGTTTTAGATTTAGAATTAGATTTAAGCTATGATTTATAGACTTAAGTATATCAATTTTCAGCTATAAATTCTAGGGATTCGTGTGACATTTCCTGGACAACCTGGTCATGGATCGAAATTTATTGAGGACACAGCTGCCGAGAAAATGGTGGATCATTGAATAGTATTACCGTAATCAAATGCATAGAGTACAGTAATCTATTAGGTTGATGCATAAGTCTTTCGTTTTTTTCGTACTTCTGTTAAAAAGTAACAAATTCACGAATTAATCTATAGTTTGCTCTATAAAAAAAGTGTTTTTTTGGTTCAATTTGCATCTTTTTAAATGAATTTCGGCTCACTTTCAAGCAAATTCGAGAGTGAAAAACGCCTTTTTCGTAAAAATCTATAAAAAACTCTACGGAAAACTTGGCTGAATGAATTTCTATGAAATTTTGGCGAAATATCAAACGTTTTTTTTCTCTATCTTTTATCTATTGACACGAAGATAGGTTTTCTTTAGCTAAGGTGTCTAAACCGCATCATCGAGTTAGCCCTTTTTGACTACCCGACTTCATACTCTCAAGAAAATCCAGGCATTAAATATTTTTAAACCCGTTTTAATGTTATTTTGCAGAAAAATAATTGCTTTTTCTAATGAAATCAACCGTAGTTCGTGCATTTGTTGGCTTGAAACGGCAGACGAAAAGGAACAAAAAGACTTATGCATCAATCTAATAGATCAATGATTTTATGTCTTTATATTCAGCAATCCTTTATCAACAGCAATCCTTTACAGCAATCCTTTATCAACAGCAATCCTTTACCAACAGCAATCCTTTATATTCAGCAATCCTTTATCAACACCAATCCTTTACATTCAGCAATCCTTTATCAACAACGCTCTCACTTTTCGAGCCGAACAAAAATCATTATTGCAATCGGATTCATCGAAAACTTTGGGTGATGTCACATCGTTGAATCTCACAATTGTTAGGGTAAGTGGTGGATTGTGAAAGAGATCAAAATTCAAGAGTTAATTCAATTTTGAAGCTTAAAAATTGATTCTATTTCAGGGCGGAGTCCAAACGAATGTTTTACCAGAAAAATTCGAGTGTGGTGCGTGTTTTGAAAAAAAAACTATACCTAATTTTAAGTTCCAATTGGCATAAACTCAAAAAATGCCAATCAATCAATTAATATTGAGATTTATAATAGCTTTATTTACATAAATTTCCTTTTTAGAGTTTGATATTCGAGTGCCACCCACTGTCGATTATGTTCAATTCGAAGCAATGCTCAACGATTGGGCTAAAACAGCCGGAAAAGGGACAAAAATCGAGTACACTCAAGTGAATTTTACAAGAAAGTTTATTTTATTTAAGTTCATAAGCTTAATTCATAAGGATAAAAGAAAAGCTAGAGGCAAATTCAAATAAGAAATTCAAATTTAGAAAGCAATGATCAAAAACATGACTCCAACTGTGATGAGCGATCCATTTTGGGCGGCTTTTGAAGGAACATTAGTATCGGAGTTTGTTTATTTCTTTCATTCAACTGAATGAGATAACTGAATATCAGATTTTCAATAGTGGAATTGAAATCGAGCTTAAAATAGTATTTCTTTTTGTCTATTCATCCGGTAAATTTTAGAGGCTGCGAGTTCACGAAAGAGATTTTCACTGGCGCCACTGATTCGCGTTTCCTTCGATCGGTGAGCGCATTTTTATTCAAAATATCGCTATCTGACTATAGTAAACATTACCTACAAGTTACAACCAAAATATAGACTATAATTTTCGAACAACATAGCTTTTCTAATAATGTAGCTAATAATTGTTGGTCTGAATCAGCGGATGCACACTTTGAAGCAGAGATAGCAGGTCAATGATTTTCCTGTAGAGCCTGTAGGTGCATGAAAGTGGTCACCGGTCACGTAGCTGCGTTTCTTGTATGCTGGTTGTTAGCCTGTTCAACTTGCGACGTTGTGGTGCAATCGGGAGCGCTCTAGGGATCACACGCTCCGGGTTCGAGCTCCCCTAATAGAAATGCAGAATCAGGGTCAGGCTTAGACATGGGCTTTTTGCAGAAAACTAGTCAACTTCACGTATTACAGCCATTATACAGCCAAAATAATACCCAAAAAATTGTTTTCTAGCGGTAGAAAAGAGAAAACTTTTAGAAAGGCCTTCGCTCGATCGGTTTTTCTCCAATGAAGAACACGCCTTCATTACTGCATGATCACAATGAGTATCTCAATGAAAAGGTATGGAAAGGAAGTTAAATTAAACAATTAAACAAAAATTAAAGTAAATAAAAGAAAGTTATACTGTAAAATTGATTTACTATTTACATTGATTGATAAAATTGATTTACAAAGCAGAGCTTCAAAGCTTCAAGGCAGAGCTTCAAAGCTTCAAGGCAGAGCTTCAAAGCTTCAAGGCAGAGCTTCAAAGCTTCAAGGCAGAGCTTCAAGGCAGAGCTTCAAGGCAGAGCTTCAAGGCAGAGCTTCAAGGCAGAGCTTCAAAGCCGAGCTTCAAAGCTATAGGTTTTCCTTCGCGGTGTCGAGATGAAAAAGTAAAGGATTTTAGTCGGTCTATTAGTCAAGTCAAAAATCTATTATATAATTGTAATTAAATCTTTAGTTAAGAATATACTTTCCAAATTGATATATCTCAATTTTTCTTTAAAGGTTTTCCTTCGCGGTGTCGAGATCTACGAGAAACTCATCGAAAATCTTGCAAGTGTGCCAAAAGAATAAAAATTCATTAAATTCTTTTAGAAACTTTTAGATAATTACATTTAAATATGAACTTATTTATGCAAATTTTCTTATTCTATAGGCCATTTTTTTTGTTTGTTTTAAAACGGGCTTTTTATTGTGATACAAAACCATAAATTTTGCTCAACTGATAAACTTTTGATGTTAGAATTGAAATGTTTACAAATGACATGTTGTGTCCGATTTAGATTTCCGTCCGATTTAGATTCAATCTAAATCGGACGCCCAATATAGACTGTAATCTAAATCGGACGCCCGCGATAAGTTCAATCTAAATCGGACGTTCGATTTAGATTAAATCTAAGAAAGCTTAACTCAATCTTCAAAGCTATAGGTTTTCCTTCGCGGTGTCGAGATGAAAAGGTAAAGGATTTTTCTATAGAATTGAAATATTTACAAATATACATATACATTTTATAACAAATACTTTAAAAGAATTAAGCTTAAAATTGAGATTGGCAATGAGATGAAGGAACCGGCTTGATCACGAAAAACTTGCGTTGTGCTGCCGACGAGGAGCCGCGGGATTTGGCAACAACACTGGAATCCACTATATATAAAAGAGCAGTGTATGTCCGTCCGTCTGTACGGGCTTTTTCTCAGCCATTTTTATGCCAAAAAAAGTGAAATTTTTAAAAAGACCAAGTTGAGTGGGGTTGAACCCGGGGCGTGCACGGCCGTAGACAAGCGTGCTCTTGATTGCGCCACGGCGACATTGCCCCTAGCTAGCAGTTAGTATACGAGACTTCTACTGGTATTTGGAAGAATTTTCAAACTCCGAAACTTTTATCCGCTTAGCGGAGCTGGTTGATGCATGAAAGTGGTCACCGGTCATGAAGCTGCGTTTCTTGTATGCTGATTGCTAGCCTATTCAACGCCGTGGCGCAGTCGGTAGCGCTCTTGTTTTTTCAGACGACACGATCCGGGTTCGAGCCCCCGTAATTCCACTCAATTTGCTATTTTAAATGACACAACTATATCGTATTTCAGACTTTTTAAAAAATTTCAGTTTTTTTTGACCCAAAGATGGTCTAAATATGCCTTCTGGTGTACATTGCGCTTAAAAATGGAAACGCAACCTTTCTGGTGTACGCAAGTGAACAAATTTTTGAGCATTTAAAAAAAATGAACCACAGACAAGCTCAAAAAAAGCTTAAGACATTGTATTCTGGTTTATTTTCTGGTTTAATTGAAAAGTTTACCCGCAACTTTCTTTACCTGTTATCATTATCGGTATAATTACGACTCTGGCTTTAGCTATGACTTTCTCAACTCTGACTTTGTGCTTTGTAACGAGAAAACAACTTTCTAGCATACTTAACTTTTATTGCATAATTTCTAAATTTAGAACATGCTTGTCATACTGAAGGTTACTGTATTCTAGCCTTCTGGTGGACATTGCGCTTAAAAATAGAAACGCAACCTTTCTGGTGTACGCAAGTGAACAAATTGAGTGCATCAGAAAGAGAGTGTTTTAATTTTTGAATTGAATTTAATTGAAAACTGCGGGCTATTGTTATATGTGACAGTTTGAGCACTTTCTTCAAAAGAAACCCATTTTGGCGTCAATGGAAAAGTTGTAGAGAATCAAAAATCAAGCTTATATCCAAATTTTCAGAACGATTCAAAAACTGGTTTTCAAGAAATGCCAAATTTACGACTTTTCACAAAACTTGCATTTTAAGCGAAACTACTAAGTGTATCTTTTTGGAAATTTGGCTATAAGCCTCATTTTTGATTCTCTACAACTTTTCTATTGACACCAAAATGGGGTTCTTTTGAAGAAAGTGCTCAAACTGGGCTGACAGCTGACATCTCCAGTCCTCGATTTTTGAGTCTCACACTTGTCTCACACACAAACCAAAATCCAACTACGAAAGAGGAATCCGCAAATTGCCTGTAAAATGGGCAGAAGTCGTCAATAATAATGGAAATTATTTGAAATGAATTCATGGTTTTATGTTGAATAAATTTTAGTTCAACGTCCGGCAATTTTCAATTCACCAACCCAATAGAAACGCAACCTTTCTGGTGTACGCAAGTGAACAAATTGAGTGCATCGGAAAGAGAGTGTTTTAATTTTTCAGCTCAAAGTCAACTAGAAAGAAAGTTTCGTTCAGAATTTCGCATAATATTTTTAAAATCTTTCTATTTGACTGATTGAAACTAAAGTATTCACCTGATTTAAGCACAATGAATTCGGGAAAATCTGCTGGCAAGTCGTGTTGTCCTGGCACTGAGGCGCGTTCGGTATTCGGAAGAAGCCGTTCAGGCAAAGTTGATAATTCGAGCAAGCTAGAAATGAAAAATGATTGAAAATGAAAACAGAATAAAAGATTCCGTTAGCTTTATAGTTTTATCTATAAAATAAGGTAGGATATGCAATTTTAAGCCAGAAAAACCGACGCAATGCCGAGTAGAAAGTCCATGGCTCGACGCCGCAAATGAATTGCTGGGATTGTTGAGTGGAAGCGAATGTTAGAAATGTGAAAAATGAAATGATTGACTTTAGAAACATTTCCATTTTATTAAAAAATATCAAATGAATAGATTTCGATGTATTTTATTTTTATAGAATTTCCCAATTTGCATTTTTGGACGTTTCAACAAAGATTTCCACAGAGAACAGCTGACAAAACATTGACTCACTTCTCGTTTTCATCTGGAAAAAGGGAGGCATATTTGATTTGCGATTTAGAACAAAAGCAAAATGAAAACTATGTATTTTAGAAATTTTATTGAGTAGAAAATAAGTTGATACCGTATTTTCTCTAATAGTAGTGCACCCCGGTGAGCCGAGTTTGATCACTATTTTACAGTTTCCAACTCTTCACAGAAGCTCAACACTCAAATCCCCGGCAAGATCTCATCGTTAGCTACATTTTCCGACCCCACATCGATAGGTTCTGATAAGCGGTTCTCGAGATTTCGAGGAATTTAGGCGACGCTCAGGGTGCACTACTATTAGAGAAAATACGGTATTTGTAAAGAGAGGCTCGTATAGAGTTTTTGAATGATTCAATCAACCAGGCATAAAATCCATCTATTTCCGTAATTAAACTATCAATTTTCATTTCGATCAGCTCAATTTTGGAATCATTCGATGAGTTTTGTGATTCTTCCTCAAATGATACCAAAATTTAGCTTATTGAAAGGAAACTGGTAGTTTGATTACAATAGTTCTCTCAAATAGATCCTCTTTAGAAAACGGGTTGAATGCACTCTATGCTACACAGTATGTTGCTACATAAACTCTTGTCTCAAGAATCTATCTAAATAGTGGCCAGATTTAGGGATAGATTTCAACGAGAGCTTTGAACTTTTGCAACAAGTGAAAGGATCGGAGATCTAAAAACAGCCATAATTAATACTTCTGCTTTGCTAAGTAACACAAAATTAGCAGTCTGAAGAAAACTATTTGTGCATTTGTCAAAAAAGGATTCAATCGGTGCACAAAACTTTCTAACAAATCAAAGCTCATTTCTATATTTTGCACTCGGTTTCTAGAGCCAGTTAAACTAAGCTAAACAAGATTGAGGATTAAATGACTGAGTTAACTGAGAAAGTGTCTCGGATCAATTTGTACAAGGTGATCGCCATTGTGGCAATCACTTTTCTCACGATAAATGGTATCTTAGTGTGTTGAATATTTCGTTTTTCACTGAAAGTGAAGTGAAGAGTTGATACATTTCTTGAGAAATCCCGATAACAAGGAATTAAAGCATCAAAGCTTCAACTCATTTCACATTCTCAGGCTCAATTGTGCATCCCCTAGCGGGGACGCGTTCCAAAATTTTTTCGAGACACTGTTGGAAGGTCTCGGGGTCAATGCTAACCTCAAACTTGGGTAATTAAACCGAAGATTGGGGTCTCTGTCGCGCTATCTGGACGAGCCGTGTGCCAGCTGCCGCTTTTCTCTACGAGACACAGGAAAGGTACACACAGTCGTGCTGTCTCGCGTCTCTGCGAGGGCTGATGCTCACTCGTGTTCGCTGGCGACCGCCTATCTTAGTGTGTTGAATATTTCGTATTTCACGTCACTTTGGTGGCTCTACTAAATTTCGGGGAATTTTAACAATGATCTTACTAATGCATCGTTAAGTGCTTTTCCCAAAACTTGTATTTTTCAGTGCTCAGTGGAGAAGAGTCAAAAAGCAGAATCGTTCCTTTTTGTTGGTGGTCTGTATGTGTAGAGCATACTCGATCGCGTTGTTTCAACTGTTCAACAACTTCGACATCTATTGTTTCGTCGTTCTGAATAAAAACCATTAAATAAAACCAAAAACCGACGAAATAAGTGAATAAAACAAAAACAAACATCAATTTTCAGGTTGAATTCGTCAGAAATTCTTTTCTTTTAGATCTTCTTGCGTTATATCATTTGAAATGGATAAAAGACGTAAAGAAAACCGCACAAAAGAAGCGGCCTACAATGTGAACAAAGTAGTAGTAGAGACTTTGGTGTGCCCAAAACAAAAATTTACACATTTTCTTGAGCCCAACAAAGTCACAAGTACATTATAGCGTACATGTGACTCTGCAAGGCTCACAGTTATGCAAAGCAATGAAATACTTCTCATTCATTTCTCAAATGAGATCCAATTTACTGCTATGCAAATTTTTGTCTTGGTTCCACGAAATTTCTTGTTATGGGCCATCAGAGGCAGATATACCGAGATTTCTTTAGCTTTGGCTTTTCAACACTAGGAGAAGCCGTATTTTGCAAAATTTGCTCCACCATATAGTGGGCGATCTCCCATGTGGTTCTGGGACACCGTTTCAGTGAAGTGAAGTGAAGACACATTTCTTGAGAAATCCCGATAAAAGGAAATAAAGTATCAAAGCTTCAACTCATTTTATATTTTCAAGTCCATTTGTGCATCCCCTAGCGGGGACGCGTTCCAAAATTTTTCCGAGACACTGTTGGGAGGTCTCGGGGTTAATGCTAACCTCAAACTTGGGTAATTAAACCGAAGAGTGAGGTCTCTGTCGCCCTATGTGGACGTGCCATGGGCCAGATGCCGCTTTTTCCTACGAGACACACGAAGGGTACGCACCGTCGTGTCGGTCGTCTCGTGTCTTTACGAAGGCTGATGCTCTCTCGTGTCCGCCTATTTCGTGTCTTGCTTTTTTGTTTTTTGACTCTTCTCCACTGAGCACTGAAAAACACAAGTTTTGGAAAAAACACTGTTAAAATCATTGTTAAAATTCCCGAAATTTAGTAGAGCCACCAAAGCGACGTGAAACACGAAATATTCAACACACTAAGATAGGCGGTCGCCAGTGAACACGAGAGAGCATTAACCCTCGCAGAGACGCGAGACAGCACGACTGTGTGTACCTTTCCTGTGTCTCGTAGAGAAAAGTGGCATCTGGCACACAGCTCGTCGACATAGCGCGACAGAGCCCTCAGTCTTCGGTTTAATTACCCAAGTTTGAGGTTAGCATTAACCCCGAGACCTTCCAACAGTGTCTCGAAAAAATTTTGGAACGCGTCCCCGCTAGGGGATGCACAAATGAACTTGAAAATGTGAAATCAGGTGAAGCTTTCATGCTTTGATGCATTTTTATCGTGATTTATCAAGGAATTTGTCAACTTTTCACTTCACGTTGAGCGAAACGGTTTGTCATTATAAGGATTGAAGTCGATATCGTGGATAAAAATATGATTGGCTAAAGTCAAATTGATACCAAGTCCTCCCGCACGCGTCGAGAACAGAAAAACAAAAAGCGAAGGATCGTGGTTAAAAGAGTTGATCATCATGCCCTGTCTAAATAGAAACATTCCAACTCTTTAAAGCCCTAAATAATTAAAGCAATGTCATGATGCCAAAACAATAAAAACCTTTCTTTTGATTGGGGCCTTTGATCCAAGAATTTACACTTGCCACTTTCGACTGCTACACTATCATCGATGCAGAATTTTGAAGTTGACATCGAAGCAAAATTGACAAAACCTTTTTGCAGATCTTATGTATTTGATAGTCCGACAGGCAAAGAAGATCTTCGGCGACATGTTCAGCTCGTTTCTTCGCATATTCTTTCTCCTGAAACCATGGTACAAGCAAGTATTTGTATACGTCATCCACCTGTCGAACTAATTTTTTGGCAACTTCGGTGCAAGTGTCATCATCAGCAGTGGATGATTTGCAGCCTAAATTTCCTGGTTTGATAATGTATACAAGAAAATATACTTGACGTAAACGGATAACGCTTGACGACGCAGTTGAAGAACTATCACCAGCCATTTGAAGCAACTAAAAAAGATAAATCTGAAATTTGGGCATCAATACCTCTAATTGATAATCATAGATATCCGCCTGTTCTGCTTCCATGTTTATTGTAGCAACTTCTTCAGTCTTCTTCGGCAATTGATTCAAAACCTGCATAAATATTGCCTAACACCAATAAATGGAAGCAGACTTGGTGCTTTAGACGACGCAAAATATAAGGTTCGAGAATTGCTTTCGCTTGTTCAATACGATCTTGTTGATACAGAGCTTGCATGCCTTCGATAGCGCTTCCTATTTGCTGAAAATACATAACCAATTTGAGGTCCTTCCCAAATATTACAAGTTATCTAATTTGCCAATATTATGTAAAATGTCCTACCGGCTTAAAATGAGAAAGCAGCTGTGCCATGTTGTCACAATAACGATCAAAGATTTTCCTCATCACAAAATACATCAGCGAGATCAGTTCAGTCAAGTTATTTTGGAGTGGTGTTCCAGTAAGTAGAATCTTCCGGCTACTCTGAAAACGAATTTAAGTAAAGGGGAAGAAGCCTCACTTTGATTTTCATCAAAGACTTGTAGCGTTCAGTCGAACAATTTTTCAGCATGTGCCCCTCATCATAAACGACGTAATTGATCTAAACTGACACATAAATATAAAAGACAAGTCTAACAACCTTGAAGTTTTTGAAAAAGTTCTTGTCGTCCGATTTGGATACAACCATGCTATATGTTGAAAGCAGAACATCAACCTAAAAGAATGATTAAATAAAGAGCTAGATGACCAAACATTCGTTTTCTTCTTCCTGGCCATGTGACGAATGCTACGGCGTTCCTCTTGCGATCCGTAATAGGTAATCATCTGACAAAAGTTACATTGTTTAAAGCAAGTTCTTACTTTGATGCCAGGACACCATTTGCTCATTTCATTCATCCAGTTTTCAATAGTCGATGCTGGAACGATAATAAGGTGCGGACCGGGAACTTTCTTCTCTTTGAGCCAAGCAAGAAATGCGACGATTTTAATTGTTTTTCCAAGACCCTAAAATATAGTCAAAGATTCTGAAAATGCAGACTAAAGGACCATTTCGTCTCCGAGAATGCAGTTCAACTTTTTCTCGCAAGATCACCAGCCAATTCAAGCCCTCTTTCTGGTAAGTGTGTAGGGACATACTAAATACAGCAACTAAATATCTAAATACCATAAGAATGAACACCTCTTGTTGAGCAAATCAGGAACATTTTGACTATCTCGATAATATTTAAACTCCGCAGCAACCTCAAAAAAATTACATTTTGCAGTTAGTTTAGACTTAATTACCTTAGTCGAATCTCCTTTACAGTCGTCAAGAATGAGATTCAAAACATCACGATTCTCCAGATACTCCATGTAAAACTCAAGCAATAGCTTTCTATCCCTCTGCGATGGGAGTTTCTTCCTAAAAGTTGAAATTAACGCCAGTTTGTTTACATAAACTAACCAATTCTTGAAACGTATCAAAAGATCAATTTGCCAAAAGAAATTCAGCCAACTTTCCGCTAATCCGCGGTGCTAGCAATAGCTCATCATGCGATGCCGTGCTGAAAAAGCGAACGCGCTCTTGATTCATTCGGTTTTCAGATCGTTTTTGTCGAGCATCATCCTTGTGAAGCTTGAGAAGTGCTGAACGAGTCGAGATCTGGCTCTACAAAAACGGTAACAGTTCGCCTCTAGATGAGGTTTATTATCTTGTTAAAATTAAAGTCTATACAATAATTAGACGTCTAATATTTTTAGTACAACAATGAGCGCCTTCGATTCGCTCTCTGGATGTGCAACAATGACAAGGAAGAGCGCCCGCGCAGCGCCGAAGTCGATCAACACCGATGGGAGAAATACCGAGAGTTGAAATGATATGTTGAAGCTTTGGCTTTTACAACCTTTTATAATAATTCACTTTTTCTAAATCTCATGTCAAGAGATAAACTATCAAGTATTTGCATTTGACGCAATTTTCGAGATTGGTTTCCAACATTCATTTCCTTGCTCCCTTCTCCTTTGCTTTCGTGAACCTCTTTTGCATACGGATTGTTTTTTGTTAAATAGATTTTTTGGAAAAGGGGAAAGAACAAGAAAAACGTTCTTTAGATATGGTTTTGGATGTGTGCAAAAACTTTTGAAAGAGAAAAAGAGGAACCACGGAGAGACCCATCAACATCCGAAGACGAGAGTTTGTCGCTCATTGTACGTCGATCGATTTGGTCTCTAAGCCGAAACCACTAATATTTTAAGTCACAACAATTTTGGAAAATCAAAATCGATTCCGTCAGCTCAACGATTTAAACCAGCAGACCTTTGTGGAAATCGAATCGTCGTCGTAAAGATAAGTTGGAATTTTACCTGGGGATCGGATCGACAAGTTGCAGGTTAGTTAAAAAATGTGTGCTTGTAAAATTTGTATCTTTATTTTAATCTCTTTATTAAAACAGTAAAGCTAGAGTGGAGGCATTTTTATTTTTTTAAATTTATATTTCAAAATAGGAAGCAAAGCTTGCTATTTAATAAAACGGTTCGATTTCAGGTAGATCTGTAGCAAACAAAACCAAAACCCCCGTCTTTTAGCTCTAGATCTGAAACGGTGGGATCGCAGAGACACAGTCCTCGCAGAGACGCGAGACGACACGACCGTGTGTACCATTCGTGTGTCTCGTAGGGAAAAGCGGCATCTGGCACACGGCTCGTCCAGATAGCGCGACAGAGACCTCGTTATTCGGTTTAATTACCCAAGTTTGAGGTTAGCATTAACCCCGAGACCTTCCAACAGTGTCTCGAAAAAATTTTGGAACGCGTCCCGGCTAGGGGATGCACAAATGAACTTGAAAATTTGAAATCAGGTGAAGCTTTGATGCTTTATTTCATTTTTATGGTGATTTATCAAGAAGTGTTACAACTCTTCACTTCACTTTCAGTGAAACGGTGGCGCGGAACCACACGAGTGATCGTCCACTAAATGGTGGAATACATTTTGAAAAATACAGAGGTTCTCCTAGTGTTGAAGATTGATTACCGGCAACATTTTGTTGTTTTCAGATGAGTGAGTTCCTTGAGATTTCGAGTTGTTGGTTTTGGAATTTCGGTGAATAATCAGCACCATTAAGATTTATCAATTGAAAAACCTTGCATCCATACTTCTAATAAGATTTTGAAAATTTGTCACGGTTGGATTTTGTGCAAGAAAAGGCACGAAGCATTCATCCAGAACAGTGCTGCAATCTTGGCTGTTCATCCGCTTTGACACGCCTTTCAAATCGACCACAACCACCCTGGGAAGAAAAACCGGCCCAAAACCACAACGTTACCTCCTTTGTGCAAAAATTGATTCCCAAGTCTCTAGCCCGATCCAAAAAAATGCAAAAAGCTTACGGCACTCGGGATTCCCAAGCCGTCTCCGATCCAAGTACTAACCGAGCCCAACGTTGCTTAACTTGGCAGATCGGACGGGATGCCGTGTTTTCAACGTGGTATGGTCGTAAGCGAGCGTGCTGCTGTGAGAGACGGCTCAAATAGAAGGTCGCGAACACGAGAGAGCATCAGCCCTCGCAGAGACGCGAGACGACACGACGGTGTGTACCTTTCCTGTGTCTCGTAGAGAAAAGCGGCACCTGGCACACAGCTCGTCCACATAGCGCGACAGAGACCTCACTCTTCGGTTTAATTACCCAAGTTTGAGGTTAGCATTAACCCCGAGACCTTCCAACAGTGTCTCGAAAAAATTTTGGAACGCGTCCCCGCTAGGGGATGCACAAATGAACTTGAAAATGTAAAAGGAGTTGAAGCTTTGATGCTTGATTTCATCATTTATCAAGAAGTATGACAACTCTTCACTTCACTTTCAATGAAACGGCGGCGCAGAACCACCCGGGAGATCATTCACTATATGCTGGAGAAAATTCTTTAATTTAGGCAAAAATTGATTCCCAAGTCTCTAGCCGTATCCACAAAAATGCTCTTCCCTTTGCTGCAAAATGCAAAAAATGCAATTCCTTTACTTGTTTATGATTTCTGAAATGATCCACCCAAAAAGAGATTCGGAGTTTAGCCTCGAAAGCCTCGAATGATTTTTGACCTTTGTGCACATACATAAGTATTATTTATTCCAAAACAATAATTCATTCATATTTCATGAAAAACAAATACTCTCCACATGCACCGTACTGATGCAGAAGATAAATGATTTAGCCCTCGATTGGAGGGCTAAATCGTTTTCGAAAACATCCAATGTATTTCCATTCTTCTTGGAGCCAATTCAAATTAGCTTAGTAGCCCAATTGACTCGATGTTTACATTCAAAAAACTCCTTTGAAAGTTCGGTGAAATCGATTGTTTCGGATTTTGTAAAGGAAGAGGATAAATAGACGGGCAGCTCTCGACGGAAATCGGATTGGTAGAGAACTTCGGGGACGAGTGCTGCATTCGGATTTCGGCTCGGAATACCTGAAATTAATCAGTGCATGTATAAGAGATGGATCATTTTGAACGCCGCCGTAGTCCTTTCTTCATTTTCTTTTGGTAAACTGTGCTTGTAAATCAAAAATTTTCACTTTCTAGAACCCTTATACACTCTACAGGGTGTCTCATAAAAAACTCTTTTTCACCATATCTTGATACCCTGTTACATGGAGGATAGATTATGGGTACCGCCACGGCTCCCACCACCACCACAACAACCACCACCACCACACCAGCCATGCCACCACAAACACTTGTATTTTACTGAGAATTTGCGTGTACCCAGAGTGTGACAATTGTTTTTATTGTATACACAGTGCTAGCGAAATTCAATCAGTCAATGAAAAGGCAAAAAAAAGGGCAAGCGAACTTTTCACTCAAGAAAGGGAATGAGTCATTTGCCATGTTGCCATGCAAATTCTCAGTAAAATACAAGTGTTTGTGGTGGCGTGGTTGGTGATGATGGTAGTGGTGATGATGGTAGTGGTGGTGGTTGTTGTGGTGATGATGGTAGTGGTGGTGGTTGTTGTGGTGATGATGGTAGTGGTGGTGGTTGTTGTGGTGATGATGGTAGTGGTGGTGGTTGTTGTGGTGGTGGCTGTTGTGGTGATGGTTGTTGTGGTGGTGGTTGTTGTGGTGGTGGCTGTTGTGGTGGTGGCTGTTGTGGTGGTGGTTGTTGTGGTGGTGGTTGTTGTGGTGATGATGGTAGTGGTGGTGGTTGTTGTGGTGATGATGGTAGTGGTGGTGGTTGTTGTGGTGGTGGCTGTTGTGGTGATGGTTGTTGTGGTGGTGGTTGTTGTGGTGGTGGCTGTTGTGGTGGTGGCTGTTGTGGTGGTGGTTGTTGTGGTGGTGGTTGTTGTGGTGATGATGGTAGTGGTGGTGGTTGTTGTGGTGATGATGGTAGTGGTGGTGGTTGTTGTGGTGGTGGCTGTTGTGGTGATGGTTGTTGTGGTGGTGGTTGTTGTGGTGGTGGCTGTTGTGGTGGTGGCTGTTGTGGTGGTGGCTGTTGTGGTGGTGGCTGTTGTGGTGGTGGAGCCATCGTGGTACCCATAACCTTCTTCTCATGTAACAGGGTATCAAGATATGGTGAAAAAGAGAAAAAATGTGTAAAATTCCTGAGCACAAATAAACACTTTTGACACCAAAGCGGTCACCTGCAGCCACTAGAACTTTTGAGGAAATTCGATTTGAAAACGTTTTGTTTTGAGACACCCTGTGTAAAATTAGGTTGGTGCATAAGTCCTTGCAATTTTTTTTCCAAGCGTCTTTTAAAAATAATACCGCCACCAACAAAAATTCTATTTGAACTATTGAGGAAAATTTCGAGGAAAATCCCATTTCTCAAAAAAGAAACTCGAAGAGTTCGGTTCATTTTTGGAAAACTTGCAAGAGTTTTTGGGGGAATTGAATGCAGCACGGATTCCCTCAACTCAGAGATTTTCGAGGGGAAAGTGGGGAATGTTAGGTGATTTGGGCATTTGTTAAGGAAATTCATTCATCCTCAAAATACTCCTCTTTTAGGTCGAGAAGTTTACGCAAAGTGCCGTAAAATTGCCCAATAAGGCTCTTATCGTTTGGGGAGAAAGCTAGAGAGATGGAAATTGTGACTCGTAAGGGAAGCCTTCGATCTGGTCTTTTCTAGTTTCAAATGACAACTCGTTGATATTTTTTATAGTTTTATGTTTTATCTTAGGAAAATCATCTAGAACTTTTTTGGACTTCAACGCTTTTGAAACGTTGAGCTTGATCAAGTTGATCGCAGATGGTTGAGAAATGTCTTCAGCGATGATTTTACCAATGCTTCCTCAAAGTACTAGCAAATTTTTTTATTGAACAAATTTTGGTTATTGTAAGGCAAACTTCCAAACTGTGTGCGGCTGTGAGAGACGGTCGAAATAGGCGGTCGCCAGCGAACACGAGAGAGCATCAGCCCCCGCAGAGACGCGAGACGACACGACTGTGTATACCTTTTGTGTGCCTCGTGGGAAAAGCGGCGTCTGGCACACGGCTTGTCTAGATAGTGCGACAGAGACCTCAATCTTCGGTTTAATTACCCAAGTTTGAGGTTAGCATTAACCCCGAGACCTCCCAACAGTGTCTCGAAAAAATTTTGGAACGCGTTCCCGCCAGGGGATGCACAAATGCGGTTGAAATGAAATGAATTGAAGCTTTCGGGCTTTAATTCCTTTTTAATCGTGATTTATTTTTTATCGTGATAAATTTCTCCGTAATTCCAAAACCAACTACTCAAAATCTCACAAATCTCACTCATTTGAAAACGACAAAACGATGCTGGGAATCAATTTTCAGCGCTAGGAGAACCCGTATTTTACAAAATTTGCTCCACCATATAGTGGACGATCTCCCGTGTGGTTCCGCGTCATCGTTTCACTGAAAATGAAGCGGTAGCTCTCTTTCCGAAAAACACTGTTTTTTTGTCAGCAAGACGCGAAATAGGCGGTCGTCAGCGAAAACGAGAGAGCATCAACCCTTGCAGAGACGCGAGACGACACGACTGTGTGTACCTTTCGTGTGTCTCGTAAGAAAAAGCGGCATCTGGCACACGGCTCGTCCTCATAGCGCGACAAAGACCGCATTCTTCGGTTTAATTACCCAAGTTTGAGGTTAGCATTAACCCCGAGACCTCCCAACAGTGTCTCGAAAAAATTTTGGAACGCGTCCCCGCTAGGGGATGCACAAATGAACTTGAAAATGTGAAATGAGTTTGACCTTTGATGCTTGATTTCATTTTTATCGTGATTTAGCAAGATGCAAAATGCGAAAAATACAATTCCTTTTGCTACCTCTACTTGATTTCTGAAATGATCCACCCAAAAAGATACGGGTCCTGCTAGTGCTGAAAATTGATTCCCAGGGTCAAAACCTGCTGGCTTGAATTGCACCTCGTGTTCCAATAGCCACCTCTTTCTCCAGCTGTAGAAAGAAAATACAAGGAAATACAGTACCGAGCAAAAGTCTTGCAACATCACTTTTTCAAAAAAATCGATGAAATTTTTTTATAGAAAATGCCACCCGTTCGTAGGGCTTTTTTGTTTTTAATTAGAATAATACATGTACACTTTATTTACAAAAATAAATTCGAAGTTCAGCGTAAAACAAAAAAGTAAATGACAAAACTACTAAAAAATACCCTAAAAACTGGGTGCAAAAGTCTTGCAACATTATACAGAAACATGAGAAATTCCTTTTTTTCTTGCTTTCATGATTTTTTTCTCTTTCGGGAGTCGTCAATTAGGTACCTGGCATCTGAAAAAAACAAAAATTAGTGTAAATTAATAAATTTGAAAACAATAAAAATGAGAAACATATAATGTTGCAAGACTTTTGCTCGGTACTGTATACTTGACGTAAACGGATAACACTTGAAGACGCGGTTGAAGAACTATCGAAGCAACTATTGGGTTGGTGAATTGAAAACTGCTGGACTTTGAACTAAAATTTATTGGGCATAAAACGATGAATTCATTCCAAATAATTTCCATTATTATTGACCACTTCTGCCCATTTTACAGGCAATTTGCGGATTCCTCTTTCGTAGTTGGATTTTGGTTTGTGTGTGAGACAAGTGTGAGACTCAAAAATCGAGGACTGGAGATGGACTGGAGTCCCAGTTTGAGGACTTTCTTCAAAAGAAACCCATTTTGGTGCCAATAGAACCGTTTCACTGCAAGTGAAGTGAAGAGCTGACACATTTAAAAATGAGACAAAGGAAGGATCAAAGCATCAAATCATTTTACGTTGTCAAATCCATTTGTGCATCCCCTAACGGGGACGCTTTCCAAAATTTTTTCGAGACACTGTTGGAAGGTCTCGGGGTTCATGCTAACCTCAAACTTGGGTAATTAAACCGAAGATTGGGCTCTTCGGTCGCCCTATCCGAACGAGCCGTGTGCCAGATGCCGCTTTTTCTTACGAGACACGCGAAAGGTACACACAGTCATGTCGTCTGGTGTCTCTGCGTGAGTTGATGCACTCTCATGTCCGCTGGCGAACTTCAGCCGTCTCTCACAGCCACAAACTCGCTTACGACCATACCACGTTGAACCCGTCCGATCTGCCAAGTTAAGCAAGACTCAAGTTATCGGTTATCAACAAGGCAATGATTTGCTATGATTCATAATTCCAAAATGTAGATTCCTGATAATTTTATCAATGATCCTTGATCACAAAGTTGGCTTCTGCAAGACAAGGAACTATCGCAGGCACATTTGCACGTCGAGTCGAGTGTTTATATATCGGGAAAACACCGTGAACACACAAAAACATTGTGTTTTCAATATAAAAGTAATTTTTTTTCCATCAAAACGGTATTACGTGATCATTTTTGTGACTTTTTCGATTGGTACAGGTACAATTACGTTTCGCTACTATCCTTAAAAGTTTAAAATCTTCATTTCAATCAATTCAAACTGGTTATTTTGCAGAGCTTTTCCAATCGCTGCAGGACTGTTCGACATCGTTGATCTTTGAGGCTACGAAAATAATTCAACTAATCCAAAGAAATCTTTGGACGTGTTAACTTCGACATCTTTAATCTTTGAGGCTACGAAAATAGTCCAACTAACCCTAAGAAATCCACAAATAGATGTTTCAATTGTTCACTCTCTGAAAACTTCTTGCGATAAACAAACAATTGTACTTTATTTGTCACTCGATTTTCTTCTTTGGGACAATGGTTCTTGTCCATTTGTCCAGAAAAGACTTGTCTAGACCAACTTACACCCAACTTTTTATCGTCATTTTATCGTAAATCGAAAAACAGTCTTGGTTTCTGATGTTTGATGACTCCGGGTAGAGCCGGTAGAATCGTTTTGGCTTTTTATTCTTGATCACGTTTCTTTCAACTATAGTTATGGGCAAAAATTTTCCGAAATTTTCGGATTTTATGCTTTTCTCAAAAATTAGAGACTTTTATTTGTTTCCCAAAGAATTTTTTTCTGGTCCTAACTATCTGCTATAACATGTAGAAACGCCAAAATGATAATATATTCTGTAAAAAAATAATAGATCATTCAGTTAAGCACCTCGATTTTTATAGGAAAAAAAAGCAAATTTTTTTTGATTCATTGCCATTGTTGTTTTTTTATATTTTTCTTTTGAGCCAGGTATAATAGTTTATTTTCGATGCCACTCAAGCGATTACTTGACACGCTAGTAAAGGAAAAGATTGTAGATGCAAGAGAAAGGGAAGGTAAGTGATCGACATTGCGGGCGAGTTTAAAATAGCACGAGCCACTGTGTCTCAGCTCGGCAACCGAATGAAAGAACGAGGAACCGTAATCAGAGCTGGTAAAAGTGATCGTCCACCCAAAACCACTCAAAGTTAGGACAGAATGCTTGCTACACACAGTTGAGAAAACCAGAATCGATCAGCTTCCGATGTTACTCGACTTTGGGACTCAATATCAACGCAAAAACGGTCTCTCGACGGAATTATTTGTTCGAAAGCCTCCCAAAAAGCCCCTAATGATCGCTCAGGATCGTAAACTTTGATTGGCTTTTGCAAGGAAGTACAAAGATTGGACGAGTGATCACTGGGCAAAGTTTCTCTGGAGCGACGAAACAAAAGGCAATCTTTTCAATTCGGATGGAGGTTCTTGGATTTGACGACAGATGAATAAACGTTACAAAGGCAAATTCATTCATCCTACAGTCAAATTCAGTGTCGGAAATATCATGGTGTAGGGTGAATCAATGCTTTTTCTGATCTGAATATTGTGCATCTGTTTGGGTTGCTTTTCAGGATTCTTCAGTGCGTATCCAATGAAAAATGAATGCCATTCAATACAGGGACATCTTGCAGCAAAAAAGGCTTCTATTTTCAAATCAAAACATGCCCACCGGATGAAAGTTTCAACAGGATAGCGACCCTAAATACCCCAGTCAACTGATGGGACCAATTCGACTTCCGGGTGGCCAAAGAGTGCGATTACCCGGCTGGTTCTCTCTTAATGGAGTAAAATTGATGCGGGCACTTCCCTATTCCCCCGATATTTCACCGATCGAGCATCTATAGGCTCATATTAAGCGAGAATTACGAGCAAAGAAATTCATGAAAAGTGATCTTCTATGGGCTGAAGTACGATGAATTTGGAGTCGAATTTCGATCACAACTGTTGCTCGACTCGTTAATTCACTCCCAAGAAGACTAAAAACGATTCGATTGGCCAAAGGAGGTGTCACAAAGTATTAGTTTTTGCTAGTTTTTGTTGATTTTAATAAACTTTTGAATACTTTTGTCTATGTGAAAAACGAGCTGACCGAGTAGAGACTTGATATTCTTTAAAAGTGCATCTGATCATTCTGATTTTTATGTTGTTGAGGGCATTTGGAGCTAGAGAAAACTTGTTGACACCATGGGTCAAAAAAATGTTTTGTTTTTGAGAGAAATTGAAAAGGTTTAAATACTTTTGCCCATGACTGGAGATTTCTGTGGTAAAATTGCTGTGCTCTGTCATGCTTGTTTTTGCTGTTTTTTTGCCGTTTTTTGCTGTTTTTAGGCTTGTTTAGTCAAGTTATCTTGGATTTTATATCAGATTTTTATATTCTAGAGGAATAAATGATACATAAAGTGCTTTAATTTCTACATAAAGCCCGGAATCCTCAATAGAAATGGAAATAAACAAAGATGGAAAGACAGGATTCGAGCCTGCTCTTTTTTTTTGTCCTATTGGGTTGGTGGAAAAGTCCTTTCGGATTTTTTGGGAGAGTACCTTAAATTTGTCGAATTTTGACGTTTTATAGCTCATCCTAAAGCTGAATTCAAGACGGATCGATTGGTAAAAACCGTTTTGAGATACCTCTTTTCTAAAAGTTTTTACAACTATTTTAGTAAAGGGCGGCAGAGCCAAAAAATGGCTGTTTTCACGTTTCGTTGGTTTTCCGTGCAGAAACCTAGGCTAAAAACATATGTTTCGTGATCAGCGTCAAAAATAACCCGTAGACACAAATTTTCAGAATCTTAGCAAAAAATTTTTGACAAATATTGTCACCGGTGGAAGTCGAACCAGCGACCCTCAGATCAATAGCCTTTCCGCCGTTTTTCGCGATTTTCCTTCGTTTTTCTCGTTTTTTTTTTGTTGTACCCTAAAAACAACATCAAAAAAAAATGATAAAATGATAAGCACATGTTTTTAGCCTAGGTTTCTGCACGGAAAACTAACGAAACGTGAAAACAGCCATTCTTTGGCTCTGCCGCCCTTTACTAAAATAGCTGTAAATACTTTTAGAAAAGAGATATCTCAAAACGGTTTTTACCAATCGATCCGTCTTGAATTCAGCTTTAGGATGAGCTATAAAACGTCAAAATTCGACAAATTTAAGGTACCTCCCAAGACGAGGCCCCAACCCAAAGAACAGCCCCCCGTTCTCGTTCAGCTTTAGGATGAGCTATAAAACGTCAAAATTCGACAAATTTAAGGTACTCTCCCAAGAAATCCGAAAGGACTTTTCCACCAACCCAATAGTTTGGTTTGCTTTGGTTTGGTTCGGCTGATAAAAGCCGATTCTTCGTTTTGCTAGCTATTGATGGAGATTGATAGAGTCGTTCTTTTAGAGAATAATTAAAACCAGAAAAACTAACTTACTTGCAATAAGATTGTTTTCAACTTCGCCAGAACCCCGGCGTTTCTGCTTCATTGAACTCTCGCCGAAGCGCCGAAGCGCCTCAAAATTGATCCGATAACTCTCAAATCGCCGCCCATTTTTCGTATGGAGTTCATCGCCGAAATTTGCATAAATCGTCCCAAATAACATTTCTCTGTTTGACACAAAAAATACTTTTATTCCACTTTTCCCACAAATGATTCACGCAAATTGTGCGAAGAAAAATTCCGAACGTTCATTTTATTGGAAATTCGATAGAATTCACCATCAAATTATAAAAAAAAACGCATAAATTTGGAGATATTCTTTGTGGAGAAATTTCCTTTCTATTGAGACCTTTTGCTTACTTGTACTTTGCGATCAAAAATCGAAACTGATCCTTTCTGGTGGGCTAAATTCTTTTCTCGAGTCTGCCAGAAAGAGTGTGCTTGCAAGAGCAGCATTGACCTCCAAAGCATAGTCATACTTCAATATCATTCTCTTAAAAACATCCTAGCAATTGTTTTCAAATTTTACCCACGATCAAGTCAGTGCCGTAATCTAAAACGCAAATTTCTCATCGCTTACTGGAGTGGGCTTCATTAAGTAGCTATGGATAAGCGAAATGATCACGATATTTTGAAATAATTTAGCTATTCTGACATGTATCAAGATGAATATTTTGAAAAAGACTAATCTATTAGGCTAGAGCCGATTTTTCTGGCTTTTTGGGACAATCTAGTGATCATTTTTTGATGTAACACCTATATCTCTCTGTTACCGATGATCCTTCCCATAATGAATACGAAGAATTCTCTCTAATAGTAGTGCACCCAAAGCTTTGTCTAAACTCTTCGAAATCTCGAGAACCGCTTATCAGAACCTATCGATTTGGGGTCGGAAAATGTAGCTGACGATGAGGTCTTGCCGGGGATTAGAGTGTTGAGCTTCTGTGAAAGCTTAGAAACGGTAAAATAGTCATCAAACTCGGCTCGATCGGGTGCTAATATTGGGGAAAATATGGTAGATTAGTTAGTTATGGTAGAAAATATGGGAGACTAGTTTCGAATGCATAAATGAATATCTATTCTGCACTTGTTGATGCACTGGACACCAGCTGAGATTCCCTGCAGCAACAAGAGCTTGAAGTACAGCGGTTGGAGCGTCGTGAGTCCCATCTGTCAAGTACAGTGCACCATAACCGGCTTGATTGACCGTCTTGTTGCCGACTTTAGCTCTAAAAACAATTAAGTAGAATCTTTTGAAGTCTTTCTAAGAAAATGAAGTTGTGTTTCTGTTTTTGAAGTTTTCTAGAATATAGAATTGTTTTAAATGCTTAAAGAATACCCGGTAAAGTGCACGTTCGAAAAGGATCCGCCTCCAAATCTCAGCTGGTGTCCAGTCCATCCGCCTTGACTCCAAAAGGATCCTCCATATGTTTTATACCATTTATTACGGGATTAGAGTGTTGAGCTTGTGCGAAAGCTTAGAAACGGTAAAATAGTCATCAAACTCGGCTCGGTCGGGTGCTAATATTGGGGAAAATATGGTAGATTAGTTAGTTATGGTAGAAAATATGGGAGATTAGTTTCGAATGCATAAATGAATATCTATTCTGCACTTGTTGATGCACTGGACACCAGCTGAGATTCCCTGCAGCAACAAGAGCTTGAAGTACAGCAGTTGAAGCGATTACTACTATTCGAGAGAATACGGTATTCATCAAATTTCAAGAAAAATAGTTTATTTCCCCAAAAAATCAATAGATTTATTGATGTTCGTTAAGTGAACCTGATGGTGATTCCTTAACAGACAGTCTCCTCAAAAAAATGCAAACAAAACATTATGTTTTTATTTCGAAAATGATTGATTTGAATCAAATTTTTTTCGTTCTTTATTCGTTAAAAACTTTCAACTTTCGTTATATTTTAAAATCTTCTTTCTTTAAAGTTTATGAAATGAAATTGAGATGATTTGTGTCAATTTTAAACTCACAATCATCTCGAAAAGCTTCCTGGTATTGAACTTGTTCTAAAAGGTGGCCAATTTTCGAAAACGATCGTAATCTTTACTTCAGTTTTTCCCTGTTCAATTTGTTTACAATATATCTTAAGTTTAAAGTACTCCTAGCAGCTTAAAGTACTCCTTTAAAGTACTCCTTTAAAGTACTCCTTTAAAGTACTCCATACTAAAAACTACTTCTTATAGCTTGGAGCTTCTTACAGCTGAAAGCACGATTGCGGTAGCTTGCTAAACTTCCAGAGAACTTCTAGATATGAAACTCTAGTTCTAGATAGAACTTCTAGTTCTAGAGAGAACTTCTAGGTTAAACTATTTCAACTGTTCAAACTGTTCGAAACTTCTTCTCTTCTTGAGGTTTTCAGATGGAATTTGAAAGCACGATTGCGGTAGCTTGCTAAACTTCCAGAGAACTTCTAGATCCGTTTTCTAGAATGTTCTCGAAAACGGATCTAGAGAGAAATGCAAAATATCGGTGATGTTTTTATCATTTTTCACATCGTCACTTAAAAAATAGTGTAACAGACAAATATGGCCTTGTTGAAATGTTTGAATCAAAATGTTTTCTTTTCGGGTTAAACTATTTCAACTGTTCAAACTGTTCGAAACTTCTTCTCTTCTTGAGGTTTTCAGCCTCAAATCTTTTAACACTGAAAACTTTAAGATGAAATTTGAATTCCCAAATCCCTCGTTTTAATTTCCAAAGACTCAAATCGAGAATTAATATTCAATCAATCTGAAGAGACAAAGAAAAGAGGGCAGTTCGAATTGAGAGATCGGAATTGAGAGATCGGAATTGAGAGATCGGAATTGAGAGATCGGAATTGAGAGATCGGAATTGAGAGATCGGAATTGAGAGATCTAATCGGAATCCCTTTCATTTCATGCCTTGACCTGAAATTTGTTTTTCAGTCTTTCTTTAGATTCTTTTGTGTTATTCAAATTTCAGATTTCATTTCTTTGCTATCGAATGTAAAATGACGGTTTCTTACAATTTGGCCGTTTCTTCGGTGGGCTCGCTGACGTGGGCGAGAATACTTTTTCGGTGGCGTGGATCGATTTGGAAATCGGTAAAGAAATCTTCGTCTAACCATTGTCTACGAGAAAATGCGAACAAAATCTTTAGGCTACATTTTCTCGTAGCCTAAAGAGCCTAAAGATTTTGCATAAGGCTAATGAACTCTTTAGGCTAGTGAAATTCACTCGATTTGCATTTATGTGAGAGAATTTTGAGAAGAAGAGAGATTTTAGACTCTTAGCCATTATCCAGGAAACTTTTAACCGCCACCAAACAATTCTCCAAAACAAACAAAACAAAACAAATCGATTTACATAGAAATCACAAGCTACAAAGCCGATTTGAAGCTTGTGGACCGAGTTAGAGGGGTTCAAAGTTAAGCAGAGGCACAAAAAAAGCTCAACTCAACTTTAAGCCCCTCTAGCTCGCTGAAAAAGCTTCAAATCGGTTTTCAGCTGGTTTTCTAGCTGAGAATTGTTTTGGAACCTGACCAGGATCAAGTCCTGACCTAGCTTCTGACCTGGACTAACCCAAAAAAGTACAAATCTTCATTTCTGGCTATTTGGGGACTGTTCTAACTGCATCAACCAAGGCGCAGTCAGGCCAAAAATAGGTTTTGACTAGACATGATCTCGGACCATGTTTTATTTTCTAATCTCGAGCCATGTTTTGTTTTCTGATCACGAGCCATGTCTTGGTTTCTAATCTCGAAACAAGTCTTGTTTTCTGATCACGAAACAGTTTTCTGTCTTTCTTTGGTCATGGAATCGCTGAAATAGTCAAAATTTGCCTAACCAGTCCAATCCAATTGTTTGTGTCATGTTGATGCTTACAACTAGGCCATTCGGATATAGTCAAAGTTGAAATCCTGGTCCTTCTAGGTCTCATCCGAGCTCTTCACCTGGTTAATTCTGTACTACATTGTGATGTTCATTTATCGAAGTGACTTCTTTTTAACGACTGAACAGAGAAAGTGAGTCTTGAGGAATCGTTTAAAATGAGAAATGGAAATCCCAAAATTCCAGAGATTTCGAGAGTTTGGCGTACTATTTGAATAAAAACACGGATCGTTTACCGCTCACTTTCATGCTCGGCTTCTTTGTCACATTGGTGGTTGATCGGTGGAGACAAGTTTTCAATAATATGGGATGGATTGAGAAGTGAGATTTTATCGGATACGTGAGAATTGTTCCACAATCAGCTGGGACAAGTCTTTTGTTAGAGCTTTCACTGACATCATTGTCTCAAAGTCAATTTTTTCCGCACCAAACTAAAAGACTAGTTACCGCTCTAACTTCTGACCTTGGGTTTTTGGCTTTACTGCATGACTAATCCACAAACACTCTAATAGCAAGCCGGCCAGGAGCCAGACTTGAATCTAGCTGGTTCGGCTTACAGGCTCTAGAAGAGGGCTAGATCCTAAACTCCGGATCGGATTCGGATCTGGATCATGTAAATGTTTCTATGCTAATTTCAAACAAGTTCAAAACAATCTTTTATGTTCTCAATCGTATCCGCTATTAAAATCGTGATATTATCCGGATCCGAATATTTTTAAACTTTCGGATCGGATCCGGATATCCGCCCAGTGCTGATCTAGAGTCTAGACTGGGTTAGAACATCCCCATTCACTTCTCATCTCTGCGTTTAGCCAAGCGCTAACAATTGCCACTTTAATCCGCGGCAATGATCATGAAACGATCACCACAAGAAGAGCCATCGTCAGATATATCTGTTTGACACAGGTGAGTCATTCCTGTTGTAGTACAAGTAAAGCTTCAGTTAAAGATTACTGACTTTCAATACAGATTACGTAAAAACTTATAATACTCAAATAACGTTCCGTTCAGGTGTTAGTATTCCGAGATATTTCGATGCGAGTTCGCCGCCGTTTCCCCACGATGAACTCGATCGTTGATGCGGGTAAAGTAAAGAAATTAATGGCAAAGAATTTGGAATCGAGGAGGAATTGAACCCTCAACCTTTTGCTTAGCAGATGCTCTACCACTAAGCGAACGGCGCCTTCTTTCCCCAAGAAGAAATAGGAAAGACGAGGAAAGAAGAAAGGAAAGAAGAAAGGAAAGAAAGAAAGGAAAGAAGAAAGGAAAGAAGAAAGGAAAGAAGAAAGAAAAGAAGAAAGGAAGAAAGAAAGAAAAGAAGAAACAAAATTAGAAAAGTTAAAAAGTCATTTAAATCTGGATACATAGGCAAGATTATGTAGCGTTAGAAATTCAAAATAAAAATCAATTTAACCTTTAAACTATTGCGTTAAGTTGTATCTAGGTTTTCTACAAGAGCACGAGGTGAAGATGTTGGATCAAATCGAGGTCCCCTACAACAAATATTGGGCTCCAATCAATTGGGCCATGGGATTAGTCTATAAAGCGAGAGAACAAAACAAGATCACCTCAGAGCCGAGTCTGCAAAATGTTTTGAATGTAGATGAATTTTTTCGAGATTTTCGACAATATTTTCACAAATTCTCTCTAGGAAATCAAAGCTTTCCGGTCGAGTCTGCAATTGTTGAGCAATTTCGATTGGGTACCGATACCATTGGCCTATCCACAAGTGAGTGATTTGTAAAAAATAGATTTGATTTGATAGATTTGATTCATCAATTCCCATCAAATAGATAGCCAGCTATGATAGCCAAACCTGATAATCTTAATCGAAAGTTTGTGAAATTTTAGTCTGGCACAACTTCTAAGACTTGCCGGTAGACTTGCCGACTTGCTTTCCTGTTTATCCATTAGCGATCTGACAGTCTAAACTAGACTTTTAAGCTAGCTTTCTAAGCTAGAGCTAGACGAAAACATCTACCGGTTCGTTGTTTGCCGTTAGCAATTTAAGATTTCCCGTATTTTCTTCGCACCAAGCCTTCTATTTTGACTACTTTGACTATCATTCGATGCAGAATAAAATCTCGCGTCGAGTGATACCAAAATTAACTCAAAATATAATAACCATCTAAAGTTATGAGGCAAAAGGTTAAGCCCCGCCCGTAATAGACGGGGTTTAGGTTTTTAGCCAACAACTTTACGAGGATATTACATTTTGAGTTAATTTTGGTATTATTCGACGTGCAAATTTATTCTGCATTAAATGATAGTCAAAATCGAAGGGTTTGTGCTGAGAAAAACACGAAAAACATTGAATTGCCAATGGCAAAAACCGACAGATGTTTTCGTTACAAGTTTAGTCCAAACGATACCAATTCCATAATGGTTCTGATATTAGACCCGTAAAGCAGTTCAGTCCGGTCATAACGTTGAGCTGAATGAGCTGGGCTGAGAATTTAAACCAAAAAATCTAGCCATTACTGGAACCGTTTTTAGTCTATACTTCAGCTAATCATTTGGACTAGGGCTGGACGCCATAAGCCATGGCCAGACGGACCAGGCCAGGGTTAGGTCATGTCCACGGCCCTGGACTGGACTGGCTTGGCCCTGGTCTGACCTGACTCGACCCTGGTCTGGCGTGGCCTGGGTTGGCTTGGCCCTGGCCTGGCCTGGCCTGGCCTTGCTTGGCCCGAAAATTTGGTTCTAGAACCTGGTTTGGACCGTTAAGGAGTTGGTACTGTTAACAGTTCAGGACCGTTAATGATCGTTTGCCAATACCGTTCAATTCATAATTGCCACCCCCAATTCCAGGTTGTCTTCTTCGCGGTGCGTGTCTACTTCTATTTGTGTCTTGTCGGGCGCCAATTTCGCATAGTCGACGACTCGGATATCCGGTCACCTGTAGGTATTCCCGAAATGATTGCTGTAAACTTTCGGAAATCTCTAGATTGATATGTATTTCCCGGTGACCACCGCTCTGCAATTCATTTGTTTAATTGGGTGGATGAAGGTTTGTCGCTGGCAGAGAGGTTTCTTGGCGTTAAAAAGTAACTACCGTAAATACTGTAATAGTATCCCACTGCCCATAAATAATGACGGTGCGGAGCGTTGTGTAGTTTACCTTTGAACTAGTTTTTCTCGACACTGGCTTATGCTACAATGCGTGTTCAGGTATCAAAAAATAGCTGAAATTCAGGGCTATTTTTTGATACCTAAGCGCGCATTGTAGCATAAAATCGGGCTGAGAACGAGGCATCTAAAGTTGATCGAGGGGGGGCGGCGTTTATTAGAATAAATACGGTAGTCTAGCTTTGAACTAGTTTTTCTCGACACTGGTTTATGCTACAATGCGCGTTTAGGTATCAAAAAATAGCCCTGAATTTCAGCTATTTTTTGATACCAAAGACGCATTTTTTGAAAGTACGGGTGCTTTGAAAAAAATGAAATACTAAAAAACTTTTGCGACTACGCGACTGTACGAGGGGGTGGACTATCCGACTTTTACAGTATTTACGGTAGATGCATCTAATCGACTAGTTTTTTTTAAAAAAGAAAACAATGGTTGACTGAATATCTTTTAAAATGACGATAAATTTTAGCGTAAGCGGTAAAGAAAAGAATCTTCAGGTAGCCGAATCGTTACTGAATCCGATGGGAGAAGATGATGACGATTTCGAGTGCAATTACTTAATCGACAAGAATATAGCTGTAAATATCTAGATATTTTCAATTAGCTAAGCTTGATCTAAGTTCTAAAAAGTGGATAATTTGAGTAGTCTTTTGTCGGTGTCGATTTGATCGATTTTGGTCAATTTTTCTTTAGATTTTTTTCCGTTCTACTCAATTTTGATCTCATTTAAATCACTGTGAATTAAATAGAATCAAAATTAAATAAAAAAAAAATAACAAAGAAAGATTACAGCTTTCAAAATAGCTTTTAAAATAGCTTTCAAAATTATCGAACTTTACGAGAATCTAGACCGGTATGGCAATCGTGGATGAGGAGTACGACCAGCTGCCTGAGATCAAAATGGATACGTTTAAGGTGGCAAAAATCGTGTTGTCTTGAGAATGATTAAACTAAGATATGTTAAGGTTTTTAGAATTTGATCCTATTTAGACCAATTGGCCTCCGAAACCGCCGATCAATGAGGGCGAGCTGGTTGGCTCGGTTTCACAAGTGATGTAAGTGGTTATGGCTTTATGAAGCTTATAAAGTCAACAAATATATTATCAAAACAAAGCTTTAGTATTAGAAATTATAAAAATCAAGTTATTTAGTCTTTTATCTTTCAAATTTTCAGCCTTCCTGAGGCTACTGACCCGCCGAAAGGCCAGGATCAACGGAAAGCCTCACAGTGCACGAATTCGAGTGAATTTGGTGGATAATTTTGAAGAAATTTTTACATTTATAAGTACCTTTTACATTATTAACTGAATATCTTTGAATTTTTAACCTTAAAATGCAAATTTTCTAGGTCAAAGCCGTCTACAACGCCTCAAGAGTCGAATGCGGCTTCGCTCGTTTAAGAGGTTTTTTTTTCGAAAGCTTTTTTTGCTTCCAGTACAAAATTTAGAGCCAATTCAATTCATGTGGATAATTTGGAGTAAGTTTAATGTGAATTTTGTGCTTAAATTAGATGATTATAGTAAGCTGTCGCCGGCAAAATTGCAAAAACTCGACCCAAACGCCATTTTTCATGTTCGATCGCAAAATGAGATCAAAGATTTAAGGAAAAGTTCGTTTTGAGATTTCAATAATGTAGTTTGTTTGTTTTTTTTTTGATTTTGATTAAACTAAACTTTTTCAGACACAACCCCAGATACGGTAGTTGAAGAAGACGAGGAGCAGTTGACGATTACGAGTCTCAAGGGGCTAAAGGTTGAGCTTGAGCAACGATTACTGAATTTTCAGCCTTAACAACTATTACTGAATTTTCAGCCTTAATCAACTATTACTTAGGCCCAAGCCAGTAAAGTCTTTTGTATCACCAAAAATTCTTGCAAACTTGCAGTAAAATGTGACCAGGCAAGCTTAATCTGATTACGAGTCAGAACTAGATCAGAGAACAGTTACGTTGAAGTTGAAGTTAAAGGTGATTGAAGAAAACGAAGAGCAGTTGACGATTACGAGTCTCAAGGGGCTAAAGGTTGAGCTTGAGCAACTATTACTGAATTTTCAGCCTTAACAACTATTACTTAGTAAAGTCCCAAGCCAGTAAAGTCTTTTGTACCACCAAAAATTCTTGCAAACTTGCAGTAAAATGAGACCAGGGAAGCTTGATCTGATTACGAGTCAGAACTAGATCAAAGAACAGATACGTTGAAGTTGAAGTTGAAGGTAGTTGAAGAAGACGAACGGCAGTTAACGAACTAGATCTTTGGAAAACGGTGATGCGGCTTCTAAAACCCTGCCCCATTTATCTGTCTTTGAAACAACAACCCCGATTTTAGAATGTTCTTGTTTTCAGGGTCAAACTCGAAGCATGGATATGATAGTCGGCGGTGGAGGAGGAGCATTGGGTGATCCATTCGATCCACCGCCATTGGACCGACTTTTCCCGAGGGTTTCCCAGTCAATCCACTCCACTTCTCCATCATCTGGTAATAGATAAACTCGTAGAATTTTTATATGTAAATCGTAAAAAGCTTTACTAAAATGCTGTCGCGTGACAACGAGAGTGAAGTTCTATTAGTAATTTGACGGTAGGGATTACTGTGTGCACTTGGTAATGGGTGAACTTTTCATCGGATCAGAGGAAACCGAATTGAGCTGATAAAATGCTTTGAATTGAATAGATCTGATTCAATACAGGGTGAGCGCGAATTATGGTCAAAAAAAGTGGATCAAAAAGTGTCAAAACAGACAAATCGCCGGAGAGAGGCCGACTTGAGCCCATTCGAGAGCTTTTAAAGTGAGCTATATAATTCCAAACTTAAATTTTCTTTGTAGATAAATGATGCCAAGATAAAGGGCTTATTTTTCTATATAACACTTGGCATTTTGGTAATAAGTCTAGGCTAGCAACTTTTCCCGAAAAAAGTTGTCGTCATAATGTCGCGGTCACCCTGTGCAGAAAGTCTTTTTGTTCCTTTTCGCAATTCCATTTAAAAGCAACAAATACACCAATTGAACTACTGTTTATTTGTTATTTTTTTCACCGGAAATACGAAAAGAAAAAAAAGAAAGCCTTTCTGGAGAGTTTCATTTTTAGTAAATGTCTGTTTGTATGACACGATTTGTTTGCATGCCTTTTGAACGTTGTCAGAGAAAATCCGGTGATGGTAGTATACAAAAAAAACAACTCTAATTACGTTTTGGTGATAGTTAAAATGAAGTTTTATATAAAGAGTTTAATTTGAATGAATCTTTTGAGGTACTCACCGTAAACTCACAAACTCGACATCCGAACCCCCACATCCATCACCAAGATCTCCGAAAATCCACGTTCTTTCACCCAGCTTTGATTCAGAAAAGTTATTTGATGAGAAAAGTTTAGAGGAATTGAAAATTTGAGTTTCTAGATTTCTAGATTTCCAGATTTCTAGATTTCTAGATTTCTAGATTTCTAGATTTCCAGATTTCTAGACTTCTAGATTTCTAGACTTCTAGACTTCTAGATTTCTAGATTTCTAGATTTCTAGATTTCTAGATTTCTAGATTTCTAGATTTCTAGATTTCTAGACTTCTAGATTTCTAGACTTCTAGACTTCTAGACCTCTAGATTTCTAGATTTCCAGATTTCTAGACTTCTAGACTTCTAGATTTCTAGATTTCTAGATTTCTAGACTTCTAGATTTCTAGATTTTTCGTTTCTCCTCCGTTTCCTTCTTCATTTCTCCTTCATTTCTCCTTCATTTCTCCTTCATCTCCATCTCCGTTTCTCCTTCATTTCCTTCTCTGTTTCCTTCTTCTATCACATAATTTACATAGTCTCACTAAATGTATTATACGAAAAACGAAAAAAGTATTGTACTTGTAAATGACAAGTCTTTTAGACAAATTTATCCCTTTTCTTGGCGGAAAGTACCGTTTTTACATAATTTTCTTGGGTTTATGTTATTTCTTTGTGTGATGAACTCTCTGTGATTGTAGTCATTGATGCCTTAAGTGTATAGTTTCATTGTGATTCCTGTGATATTTCAGAAAACTAATGCAATAAGATTTATGCCAAAACTTTCTAATAGATAAATCTAATTATATTTTATTCTTTTGGCACATTTGCGAGCGCCTCGATGAGTTTCTCGTAGATTTCGACACCACGAAGGAAAACCTTTAAAGAACATTGAGATATATTGGGTTGGTGAATTGAAAACTGCGAGCTATTGTCATATGTGACAGTTTGAGCACTTTCTTTAAAAGAAACCCATTTTGGTGTGAATGGAAAAGTTGTAGAGAATCAAAAATCAAGCTTATATCCAAATTTTCAGAACGATTCAAAAACTGGCTTTCAAGAAATGCGAAATTTACGAATTTTCACAAAACTTGCAACAAAACTTGCATTTTAAGCGAAACTACTAAGTGTATCTTTTTGGAAATTTGGCTATAAGCCTCATTTTTGATTCTCTACAACTTTTCTATTGACACCAAAATGGGTTTCTTTTGAAGAAAGTGCTCAAACTGGGCTGACAGCTGATATCTCCAGTCCTCCATTTTTGAGTCTCACACTTGTCTCACACACAAACCAAAATCCTACCACGAAAGAGGAATCCGTAAATTGCCTGTAAAATGGGCAGAAGTCGTCAATAATAATGGAAATTATTTTGGAATGAATTCATGGTTTTATTTTGAATAAATTTTAGTTCAAAGTCCGGCAGTTTTCAATTCACCAACCTAATAGTATCAATTTGAAAATTATATTTTAAATAAAGATATATTTTCATTTATATAATAGATTTTTGACCTAAAATCCTTTACCTTTTCATTGAGAAACTCGTTGTGATCGTGCAGAAGCGAGGGAGTGTTGATCATTGGGGAAAAGCCGATCGAGCGAATTCCTTGCTAAACATTTTTTCGTACACCTTCTCTTTATCAAGTTTATACTCTACTTTATAAATTCTATACTTTAATATTACATTTGTAAGCCATGGACCTCAGGAAATGCTGATTTAAACCGAAATTCTCATGATCAGACCGGACCAAAAGCTAGAAGCAAACCCAATTGCTAAATGAACCAGAGAATATATTATTCAGTTGAATAGCGACAAAACAAAATCAGAATAATTACCCGGGACACCACTCAAAACACACCCAAAAGATAAATAGATACCTCAAGAAAGAATCACAGAGCAGTCAAATCAATTGCCGAAATTGCGGCTTTAAATCTAGCCAAGGTGGGAATATCACGAACATGAGGAAGTAAAATGTTCCAGAACCTAAACTCTCAGGATCAGATCCGACCAAAAGCTAGAAGCAAACTCAATTGCTAACTGAACCAAAAAATCTGGCTATTTTTAAGGAATTTTGATTTTTTCTGATCTATTTCTGATAATCTAGCCAAAAATTTTGGCAGAAAATGAAGAATTGATCGAAAAAGCAGTGATTTGAAGGTAGCTATTGACCATAAGGAATTTGATTTCTTCTTAGGAACCTGATTTCTTCTCGGAAAAAGCTATCATATCCAGGACCCAAAGCCAATGACGCTTTTTTCTTACAACCCACCGCTCGAATGTAACTCGAATCAGTGCTCGCCGGGAAAATCTCCTTTGTAAATTTGCAGCCTCTAAATTTATCAAAATTGCTTTTAAATGTTCAGCTTTTAACTGAATACTGAATAAAAAAAGCTGACTCGAATTTGAGTGTGCCCTCAAACGCGGCCCAAAAAGGATCCTCCATTGTGGTTGGGGTCATGTTTTTGAATATTGTTTTCTAAATAAAAATCCCTAAAAATCATCAATTTTCTATTATTACCATAGTGTACTCGATCTTTGTCCCATTTCCAGCCCATTCGTTGAGCTTTTTCTCGAATCCTTCATAATCGACAGTGGGTGGGAGACGAATGTCGAGCTCTGAAAGGGAAATTTTCAGGAATTTCAAGAATTTCAAGAAATTCTTCAAAGCTGGATTGAAAATTAACAAAATTCACTTATAAAAATGCTTTAAAATACCCAATGATTGCTTAAAAAGTTAAAAAATTTGTTTTCTAAAAGACACAAATTTTAGAAATCTACTCAAATCAACGATTCGATCAGTTGGACTTGGCTAGGAGTTGTGTCAAAGAGCCAGACCCAGCTCTACTGCAAAAATTCGTTCCGAGAATTTGGCGCCAAAATTTGACGACAAAAATAAGCGCAAAAACTTTACTTTAAAAGGAAAGCACTCTATACTGAGACCGTTTGCCAGATCGCGAACGATTACGCGGCCGCACAATGAACACTTCCCCAATAATTTACACAAGGATTTCTCTTTTGCTTTGTAGATGGCACAAAAAGAAGCTTTTGAGCTGTAAATTTGTACCAGGGGGTTTTCAGAGAAGGCGAATCGATTGAAGCTATTTTTTCTTAACCAAATTTATGCTAAAAGAAACTTAAAATTAGCTACTTTATTCAAAACACGCACCACACTCGAATTTCTCTGGTAAAACATTCGTTTGGACTCCGCCCTGAAATGGAATGAATAGGAAACTCGATAGGCTTTCAAAATTGAATTAACTCTTGAATTTTGATCTCTTTCACAATCCACCACTTACCCTAACAATTGTGAGATTCAACGATGTGACATCACCCAAAGTTTTCGATGAATCCGATTGCAATAATGATTTTTGTTCGGCTCGAAAAGTGAGAGCGTTGTTGATAAAGGATTGCTGAATGTAAAGGATTGGTGTTGATAAAGGATTGCTGAATATAAAGGATTGCTGTTGGTAAAGGATTGCTGTTGATAAAGGATTGCTGTAAAGGATTGCTGTTGATAAAGGATTGCTGTAAAGGATTGCTGTTGATAAAGGATTGCTGAATATAAAGGATTGCTGTTGATAAAGCATTGCTGTTGGTAAAGGATTGCTGAATGTAAAGGATTGCTGTTGATAAAGGATTGCTGAATATAAAGACATAAAATCATTGATCTAGATTACTGTATTCTATGCATTTGATTACGGTAATACTATTCAATGATCCACCATTTTCTCGGCAGCTGTGTCCTCAATGAATTTCGATCCATGACCAGGTTGTCCAGGAAATGTCACACGAATCCCTGAAAATAAGATGCCAATAGGTTATAAAAAACTTCTTTTATGCTTTTTGATATCATTTCACTTACACCATCCACATCTTTCCGCGTAAAAAGTTTTGTAAACTTCCGTTTCAGAAGCAATTCCCTCATCAAGAGTAAAAGCCACATTTAGACTCTAAAATTGAGTTCAAGAGAATTTTGACGAAAACGAAAACAATTTATTCGTTTTTTTGTGTGGTTAATCTAATTAAATATTTATTAATATTTAATAAAAATCTAATAGAACTTTACGCAAAACTATCAAGAGATCCACCTTGAAAACTGAGCTCTCCACGAAAGCCTTGATCCCATTTGGTCCACCGATTTCTTCATCTAGCAAATTTTATGAAATTATATAAAATTTAATGATCTAGCTAAAATCTAAAGATTACTTATCGAGATGAATGCTTTAAGCCAGATTTGTTCCAACGGTAACTTTTTAACAACGGTCAGATCCTGGCCTGGAAAGGAAGCTAAGCCTGGACTTTGACATTTCCTGGACCTGGACTGGATAACCTGAACGGTTGGAACATCTCTTCCCGAAATACATCGTTCAATCAACACTTTGAACTTACCAGGTCCCCAAACGATATGCACTGTTCTCCGAAATTGTTTCTTTCCCCGTAGAAAATGTCTTCGTATTGCCTCGAAATATTGACTTCCCACGCATTTCATATCTTGAGCGCCTAAATTTGTCTTATTTCATTGTCTTAATAACTTTAGCTATAATAAAATAGTGATAGAGTTGACAAGAAAAAGCAGATTTCTGGAGAGGGTTGTACCCTCGATCTTTTGCTTTACAATTGCTCTAGCCACTAGGCTATCTGGTGCCTTAACTTGCCAGGAGAAAAAAGGAAAGACAGGGGAAGAAGAAAGGAAGAAAGACAGTAAGAAAGAAAGAAAGAAAGAAAGAGAAAAAGGAAATAACTTTCTAAACCAATCCCACCTCTCGCATAAATATCTCCTTTCTCATCCTTGTGCGCTGAAAACGGATCGTGTTTCCAATGTTTCTAAATCTCAATCGTTCTAATTGTTTTGAATCTAAATGTTTCTAAATTATTAAATATTTTTAATAATTAAACAATCTTAATATTGTACAAATCAAATTTATCGTTTATCTATTAAATATATTTTTGCATTAACCTCAAACACAGGGACAACATCGGTGTGCGAGTAGAGCATGATGGATGAGAGATCTGGTTGAGAGCCTGGGATTGTCATCACGACAAATGGATAGCCAGGGTTCGTCTAAATCAATTAAATCAAAACTAAACACTATCTAAATCTAAGTGATAAACGATAAAATTAAATGTGAAGCTAAAAAGAAAGTCATTCTTTAAGCTATATAAACGGGGTAGGCTAATTTCCGCAATTTTTTTTGCGCAACTCTCCATAACTTGCTTCTAAGTCAGCTAATCTTTATGATTTTGGTGTCATTTTGTTGCACTCATTGAGATCTACAAAATGACAACAAAATCATAAAGATTGACCCACTTTGAAGAAAGTTATGGCAAGTTGCGCAAGCGGCCCAGTTGCGCAAAGGACCCAGTTGCGTAAAGGAACCAGTTGCGCAAGCGGCCCAGTTGCGTAAAGGACCCAGTTGCGCAAAGGGCCCAGTTGTGCAAAAAATTTGGCGAAAAGTAGCCTACCCCATCTAAATCTGTGATCCACTTACATCATATCTCAACCGCTCAATGCCCAGCTCATCGGCTAATCCAAATAGAAATTTCGTACAAGATTCTAAATTGATACTGTAAAATCGGACCCTTTTTCTTTTTATTATACTTTGTTTATATCTTACCGTAGTCTGGATTCGGTTGAACAGTCTTGATTCGAAGATATTCACGGAATTTCGTTACTGCGATGTCTTCAATCATTTTGAATTGTGAAAAAGCTGCAAATTTTTCTATAAACTAACAGTTTAGCCGAAGAAAAATAGAGAAAACAACACAATGAAACACTTTGAATAGCATTCAAAGTGTTTAAAATATCAAAAGTTCAATTAATATTTTGTTTATTGATCTCAAAGAGAGCTTCCAAAGAAAGCTTTCACTCTTCTTTCAAGAGTCGATCAATTTGCAATCACTAATCAAAGAAAAGTTCTCTCTCAATAAATCATAAATTCTTTCGTCGAAAAGTCATAAAATGCTCTTATGAAAATGATTTTTGAATTTATCTATTGAATTTATCTATGATAAAGTCTTGATCCCTTTCTTTTCCTCGTTTACTTCAACAGTCTAAGTCAGTCAAAGTCCAGTCAGCTTTCGTTTGGATGATAAATTACATGCTTTGCCCAATAAATAGGAAGATGTCATACTTGCAAACACTTGCAAACAATACCTTTCACATTCGTTACACTCTGAAATCAAGGGGAATTAGTTTGCAACAATCCAACAGCTCACTTTTCCCCAGAATTTCTCTTTGTAGCCCTTTTGAATGATGGAGGAAAGCACAAATTCGGTCACATTGTGGATTTTTCTGATTACATGACCCCGTAAATGAAAAATTCATCGCGATAAAAATGAAATCGAGCTTTAAGACATTTCACATTTTTAAGTTTATTTGTGCATCCTCTAGCGAGGACGCGTTCCAAAATTTTTTCGAGACACTGTTGGGAGGTCTCGGGGTTAATGCTAACCTCAAACTTGGGTAATTAAACCGAAGACTGTGGTCCCTGTGGTGCTATCTGGACGAGCCGTGTGCCAGATCCCGCTTTTTCTTACGAGACACCCAAAAAGTACACACAGTCGTGTCGTCTCGTGTCTCTGCGAGGGCTGATGTTCCCTAGTGTTCGATGGTCACCGCCTATTTCAGCCGTATGTCACAGCCGCACCATTTTGAATGATGGAGGAAAGCACACGTTCTGTCACATTTGTAGATTTGTTGACGAGTCAAACGGTGGCAAGAGTTCGTGTTTCCTAACAAAGCAAAATTTCGAAGTGTTCCCCAGCTGCTGGATTTTTCTTGGCAATTGACAGTCAAATCTGACTGTGAGAGTTGTACTTTGGGGGACTCACAATCGCTCGCCTCCTGGCACGCGGGGCGGATAGATACCGAGAAGGAGACGTTCAGGGTCGGTTTAGGGTTAGTATTACCCACGTTAAAGGTTAGTATTAGCCGCACGGCTGACATAACTTGTCTCGAGAAATTTTAGAAAGGATTTCTCTTTTGGGAAGTCTACTAATTTCATAGATAGCAATCACTTTGCATCCTTTTACTCTAATCCAAAAGAATCCCGCAAAAGCCAACGTGTTGATCTTATATTGTAAACTCCGAGAATGAAGAAACTCAAGTTGAAAATTCAAAAAAAATTAATCGATCCACTCCGTTAATTTGTGCAAAAATTGAAAAACCGATCCACAAAATGCAAAAAGCTTACGGCACTCGGGATTCCCAAGCCGTCTCCGATCCAAGTACTAACCGAGCCCAACGTTGCTTAACTTGGCAGATCGGACGGGATGCCGTGTTTTCAACGTGGTATGGTCGTAAGCGATCGTGCTGTGGTGAGAGACGGCTGAAATAGGCGGCCGCGAACACGAGAGAGCATTAGCCCTCGCAGAGACGCGAGACGACACGACTGTGTGTACCATTCGTGTGTCTCGTAGAGAAAAGTGGCATCTGGCACACAGCTCGTCCTCATAGCGCGACAGAGGCCTCAGTCTTTGGTTTAATTACCCAAGTTTGAGGTTAGCATTAACCCCGAGACCTTCCAACAGTGTCTTGAAGAAATTTTGGAACGCGCCCCCGCCAGGGGATGCACAAATAAACTTAAAAATTTGAAATGAATTGAAGCTTTCATGCTTTGATTCATTTTTATCGTGATTTATCAAGGAATTTGCCAACTTTTCACTTCACGTTGAGTGAAACGGTTTGTCATTATAAGGATTGAAGTCGATATCGTGGATAAAAATATGATTGGCTAAAGTCAAATTGATACCAAGTCCTCCCGCACGCGTCCACAACAGAAAAACAAAAAGCGGAAATGCGTCCCCGCTAGGGGATGCACAAATGAAATGTGAAATCAGTTGAAAATTTGATGCTTAATTTCATTTTTATCGTGATTTATCAAGAAATTTGTCAACTCTTCACCTCACGTTGAGCGAAACGGTTTGTCATTATAAGGATTGAAGTCGATATCGTGGATAAAAATATGATTAATTAAATATAAAAATATGATAAATTCATTTTCTTCGTGATTTATTTTTTATCGTGATAAATTTCTCCGTAATTCCAAAACCAACTACTCAAAATCTCACAAATCTCACTCATTTGAAAACGACAAAACGATGCTGGGATTGAATTTTCAGCACTAGGAGAACCCGTATTTTACAAAACTTGCTCCTCCATATAGTGAACAATCTCTCATGTGGTTCCGCGCCACCGTTTCATTGAAAGTGAAGTGAAGAGTTGTCACACTTCTTGATAAATGATGAAATAAAGCATCAGCATCAAAGCTTCACCTCATTTCATATTTTCAAGTTCATTTGTGCATCCCCTAACGGGGACGCGTTCCAAAATTTTTTCAAGACACTGTTGGAAGGTCTCGGGGTTAATGCTAACCTCAAACTTGGGTAATTAAACCGAAGACTGGGGTCTCTGTCGCGCTATGTGGACGAGCCGTGTGCCAGATGCCGCTTTTTCCTACGAGACACACGAATGGTACACACAGTCATGTCGTCTCGCGTCTCTGCGGGGGCTGATGCTCTCTCCTGGCGACCGCCTATTTCGACCGTCTCTCACAGCCGCACACAGTTTGGAAGTTTGCCTTACAATAACCAAAATTTGTTCAATAAAAAAACAAAAACGATCTGAAAACCGAATGAATCAAGAGCGCGTTCGCTTTTTCGGCACGGCATCGCATGATGAGCTGTTGCTAACACTGCGGATCAACGGGAAGCTGGCTTAAGTTCTTTTGGCAAATCGATCTTTTGATACTTTCCGAGAATTGGTTAGTTTTATGTAAACAAACTAGGATTAATTTCAACTTTTAGGAAGAAACTCCCATCGCAGAGGGGTAGAAAGCTATTGCTTGAGTTTTACATGGAGTATCTGGAGAATCGTGATGTTTTGAATCTCATTCTTGACGACTGTAAAGGAGATTCGGCTACGGTAATTAAGTCTAAATTAACTGCAGAATTTAATTTTTTTTGAGGTTGCTGCGGAGTTTGAATATTATCGAGATAGTCAAAATGTTCCTGATTTGCTCAACAAGAGGTGTTCATTCTTATGGTATCTAGATATTTAATTGCTGTATTTAGTATGTCCCTACACACTTACCAGAAAGAGGGCTTGAATTGGCTGGTGATCTTGCGAGAAAAAGTTGAACTGCATTCTCGGAGACGAAATGGTCCTTTAGTCTGCATTTTTCAGAATCTTCGACTATATTTTAGGGTCTTGGAAAAACAATTCAAATCGTTGCATTTCTTGCTTGGCTCAAAGAGAAGAAAGTTCCCGGTCCGCACCTTATTATCGTTCCAGCATCAACTATTGAAAACTGGATGAATGAAATGAGCAAATGGTGTCCTGGCATCAAAGTAAGAACTTGCTTTAGACAATCTAACTTTTGTCAGATGATTACCTATTACGGATCGCAAGAGGAACGCCGTAGCATTCGTCACATGGCCAGGAAGAAGAAAACGAATGTTTGGTCATCTAGCTCTTTATTTAATCATTCTTTTAGGTTGATGTTCTGCTTTCAACATATAGCATGGTTGTATCCAAATCGGACGACAAGAACTTTTTCAAAAACTTCAAGGTTGTTAGACTTCTTGTCTTTTATATTTATGTGTCAGTTTAGATCAATTACGTCGTTTATGATGAGGGGCACATGCTGAAAAATTGTTCGACTGAACGCTACAAGTCTTTGATGAAAATCAAAGTGAGGCTTCTTCCCCTTTACTTAAATTCGTTTTCAGAGTAGCCGGAAGATTCTACTTACTGGAACACCACTCCAAAATAACTTGACTGAACTGATCTCGCTGATGTATTTTGTGATGAGGAAAATCTTTGATCGTTATTGTGACAACATGGCACAGCTGCTTTCTCATTTTAAGCCGGTAGGACATTTTACATATTATTGGCAAATTAGATAACTTGTAATATTTGGGAAGGACCTCAAATTGATTATGTATTTTCAGCAAAAAGGAAGCGCTATCGAAGGCACGCAAGCTCTCTATCAACAAGATCGTATTGAACAGGCGAAAGCAATTCTCGAGCTTTATATTTTGCGTCGTCTAAAGCACCAAGTCTGCTTCCATTTATTGGTGTTAGGCAATATTTATGCAGGTTTTGAATCAATTGCCAAAGAAGACTGAAGAAGTTGCTACAATAAACATGGAAGCAGAACAGGCGGATATCTATGATTATCAATTAGAGGTATTGATGCCCAAATTTCAGATTTATCTTTTTTAGTTGCTTCAAATGGCTGGTGATAGTTCTTCAACCGCGTCGTCAAGCGTTATCCGTTTACGTCAAGTATATTTTCTTGTATACATTATCAAACCAGGAAATTTAGGCTGCAAATCATCCACTGCTGATGATGACACTTGCACCGAAGTTGCCAAAAAATTAGTTCGACAGGTGGATGACGTATACCAATACTTGCTTGTACCATGGTTTCAGGAGAAAGAATATGCGAAGAAACGAGCTGAACATGTCGCCGAAGATCTTCTTTGCCTGTCGGACTATCAAATACATAAGATCTGCAAAAAGGTTTTGTCAATTTTGTCTTCTCACATATCCATTTTTTAGTTTCCATCAACTTCAAAATTTTGCATCGATGATAGTGTAGCAATCGAAAGTGGAAAGTGTAAATTCTTGGATCAAAGGCTGCCCCTAATCAAAACAAAGGTTTTTATTGTTTTGGCTTCATGACTTTATGGCTTTAATTATTTAGGGCGATAAAGTCTTGATTTTTTCGCAGTTTACTCAAATGCTTGACATTTTGGAGGTTTACTTACGGGTTCGAGGTCATTCATTTTGCCGAATGGATGGAAGCACCCCAGTTATGGAAAGGTTCGTTCAAATATTAGTAAAAGAGTTTGAATGTTTCTATTTAGGCAGGGTAGGATCAATTCTTTTAACAACGATTTGTTTTTGTTTTTCTGTTGTCGACGCGTGCGGGAGGACTTTGTATCAATTTGACTTTAGCCAATCAAATATTTTTATCCACGATATAGACTTCAATCCTTATAATGACAAACCGTTTCGCTCAACGTAAGTGAAAAGTTAACAAATCCCTTGATAAATCACGATAAAAATGAAATTAAGCATCAAAGCTTCACCTGATTTCACATTTTCAAGTTCAGTTGTGCATCCCCTAGCGGGGACGCGTTCCAAAATTTTTTCGAGACACCGTTGGAAGGTCTCGGGGTTAATGCTAACCTCAAACTTGGGTAATTAAACCGAAGACTGAGGCCTCTGTCGCGCTATGTGGACGAGCTGTGTGCCAGATGCCACTTTTCTCGACGAGACACACGAATGGTACACACAGTCGTGTCGTCTCGCGTCTCTGCGAGGGCTGATGCTCTCTCGTGTTCGCGACCTTCTATTTCAGCCGTCTCTCACAGCAGCACACTCGCTTACGACCATACCACGTTGAAAACACGGCATCCCGTCCGATCTGCCAAGTTAAGCAACGTTGGGCTCGGTTAGTACTTGGATCGGAGACGGCTTGGGAATCCCGAGTGCCGTAAGCTTTTTGCATTTTTTTGGATCGGAGGCGGAATCAATTTTTGCACAAAGGAGGTAACTTTGGTTTGAGCCGGTTTTTCTTCCCAGGGTGTGGTCGATTTGAATTACAGCCAAGATTATAACAATGCTCCGAATGATTGTCTCGTCCCTTTTCTTGCTCAAAATCCAACAGTGACAACGATGTAATGCTTCCATTCGCAAGAGTCAGAAAAATTTCTCCGAGATTCCAAAACCAACTACTCGAGATTCACAAATTTCTCTCATTTGAAAACGACAAAACCGTGGTATGGTCGTAAGCGATTGTGCTGTGGTGAGAGACGGCTGAAATAGGCGGCCGCGAACACGAGAGAGCATTAGCCCTCGCAGAGACGCGAGACGACACGACTGTGTGTACCATTCGTGTGTCTCGTAGAGAAAAGTGGCATCTGGCACACAGCTCGTCCACATAGCGCGACAGAGACCTCAGTCTTCGGTTTAATTACCCAAGTTTGAGGTTAGCATTAACCCCGAGACCTTCCAACAGTGTCTCGAAAAAATTTTGGAACGCGTCCCCGCTAGGGGATGCACAAAAGGACTTGAAAATGTGAAATATCTTAAAGCTTGGTTTCATTTTTATCGTGATGAATTTTTCATTTACGGGGTCATGTAATCAGAAAAATCTCCAAAGAAGTCAAAAAGTTGTGACGCCAAAAAACGACTTTGACACCAATACCACCACCTTGACCCACTTAGGCTTTTTCAGAAATTTGAGTTGAAATGGGGGACTTTTTTGAACACCCTGTATGGAACAGAGGTGATTTATCTTTTTGGCTTTGACACCAAGAAACGTTGTTGCTGGCAAAGTGCCTAAAAAGGACCGGCTTTAGGCCGAATTACACTTGGAAAAAGACGCTTTTGACTGTTCACGTTTACACCTTAAAAAATCTGCAAAATAGCCAAGCTAATAAAAGCTTGTCAAATAGCTGTGCAACAAAACTTGCGGACACTTGCATTTTATTTAGTCTTTTTAGAACTTGCTAAGTGTAAAAGCTAGTTTTTTCTTAAAAATTTTGTTCCATCAGCTGGGAAACGCTTCTAAATTTTGCTTTTTTAGGAAACACGACGAACTCTTGCCACGACTGGTCAACAAATCCACAATGTGACCGAATTTGTGCTTCCCTCCATCATTCAAAAGGGCTCATACAACAAGAGATTCTGGGGACAAGTGAGTTGTTTGATTGTTGCAAAGTTTTTGGGTTCATTATTTACTTGTGAGGGTTTAACTGTTACAATCATCTTAAATTTTTTTTGAGGTGCTCTCTCTACAATTGAGGAGAAACGAACCACTCGGTGGTGGATCTATCCCCGAAAAGGAGTAATCTGAAGCGGTCAAAGTTTGGCTCTCCTGGAAAGTTTTCGCAGTTTTACTTGGTGGGTTTTTTCGTGCTCCTGTATCTAAATTTATTAACTTTAGCCATCAAGTTCATGATGATCGCGTGCAGTATGTTTGGCATTTGCGTCGGCTGCATTATCATGATTTATTGGTGAGCACTTTACATCTGTATCATTGTTTAAGCTCACCTTTTTACTCTGATGATGATGCAAAAGAAGGAAAAGGAAATGGAGCAACTGCGTGAATCAGTGCTGGCTCACAAGAGAAGAGGTACATTTTTGTTTAGATAAGAAAAGAGAATCTGTCTAAGGGAGGTTTTATTATTTGCCTAGAGTAACACAATATAATCATTCTTTTTCAATTTACCCATTTTTAGACTCCAAGAGCGTGCTCGTTCTCAATCTTACGCTGGATCGTCTCCACCCGAGTCTTCCCCATCTGCAAGACAATCGTCGAAGTCGTCACGTCGTTCATCCCACCGCCGTTCATCTCGCCAGGTCTAGATTATTGCCTTCGCGGTCATCTATTCATCACACAAGGTGAGCATTACTTTTTATAGTGTTTGTCAAGTAAATTCCCGAAAATTGATTAATTACAGCGTATTTCAACGAAATTTTATTTAATTGACAAGTACCTTCCTTTTAAACAAGTCTTTAGCTTATATAATCTATTTCAAGTTCTACATTTCTAACTTTAGATTTTCGAGAAGCGATGTCCGGTTTTTGTAGCTTTTCGAAGGACTCTCGCCTTTTGATGTCTCTTCTCTGTCGTCACGTAGTCATTCAATGCAATGACTTCACCAAAAATGTGCTCGATATTTGTGTCCTCTACATTCTGCCTTGTCGAATAAACCTTTGTTCTAAATTTTTCGGGGTTTTGTGCTTTGTATAGCTTTAGTTGTTATGAAAAGATGAAAGATCGAGTGGTTGAAAGTTAAAAAAGATGGAAAATCTAATTGGCTTCGCTGATCGGCGCTGAGTTGGACCTGAAAACGTTGTTCTTTAAAGACCCGGGATTCGCGATGAAGGTGGTGATGAAAATCGGATTTAAAATTCCCCAAAACTCACACTTTGGGCTGGTCCGGGAATCAAAGGAGTTTCATACTTTAAAAGAAATTTTCCCAAAAAAGCAAAAAGTCGGGCCAGTCCGGGGATTGAACCCGGGACCTCTCGCACCCTAAGCGAGAATCATACCACTAGACCAACTGGCCGTGAGAGGAGTGACTAAGATTGGGGTAATGTTTTGAGCGCTTCGCATTGCCTGCGGCTAAAAGCCGGTTTTGATGTGAAGGGTTTGTCGATCGAAGAAAGAGAGACATTACATAAAAAGGCACGGTTGGAAGAAAAGACTTTGAGCGTTATTGTTAGAGTTCACTTTGAGCAAATTTACAAACCCGATTGAATACGTCAAAAACTCAGCGAATTTATGTTTAGTATCAACCTTGAAGATGAATCTTGAAGATCAAACTTTATACTCAAAACCTTTCCGTCACCCAATTGCCTTTTTTCAAGTTTTCAAAATGGAATCAAAGAAAAAGGCGAGACTAGGCTGGTCCTTCAGCCCAGTAGGGTCTAATTGATTTCAGTAAAATTTTAAATTTCTTAAGAAAAACAAAACTATGGGCTAGTCCGGGGATTGAACCCGGGACCTCTCGCACCCAAAGCGAGAATCATGCCACTAGACCAACCAGCCGTGGAAGATCTCGCTAAAATTTGGCTGATGATGGTTGCTTGGGGGAAAGCCGGTTCTGATAAGCCAGTTCTGAAAGAGGATAGTCGATCGGTGAAAAAGAGACATTCCAAAAAAGTGAAAGTGAAGTTTGTCAACGATTTAATTAAGTTTGAAGTTTATCTTTAGCATTGCAAGTCACTTTATTTCCTAAACCTAGAATTTGTCCAAGATTTCTGAAGTTTCCCTTTTCCATTCCGAAAATTTGCTCTTTGAGGTTATTAAAAGTGTCTAATGGTCATTGTGATAACGAGTGGAAATCAAAAAAATCGAACCACAATCAAAGGAAACGTTTTTTTGTTTTTTTGTTTTTTAAAACAACCATGCAAGCTATATTTGTATTTCTTTTCGCATTTCTTCTTGGAAAATCGTTTGCTTAGTGAGTTGAAGAAATGATTTCAAAAATTGTTTGAACAAATTGCTGAACATTCAGTGTTTACACGACTCCCATCTACAATGCAACTCGCGATCCGGCGATTATCGTGAAAATCGGCTCACCGAGTGAGAGCTTGCTGTACTTTATGTTCCGAAAAACGGAAACACACTCATTCTGGCGCACTTATCATTTGATTTACATTTACAAGAAGTGCTGCTTAGTTTACACTTTTCTTCCAAGTATACTTTGTGCTTAAAAAGTCAACTTTTGAAAACACTATATTTCTGGCGCACTTAAGTTTAGTGTTACGAGAAACAGGCTACAAATGAGTAAACCAGAAAGGAGATGTTTCTATTTCGAGTAGATCCTGGCAAACAAGTAGGTGCGCCAGAAAGGGTGCGTTTCCTATTTCTGAGGACAAGAACAAGAACATAAACCTGCTTTTTTTCGATTTTTCTACATTCAGCTCAAACGGTTTACTGCAATTATCTGGATGTTGATTACTATGGAATGATCATCATTGATGGATACAATCCCTCGTAATTTTCTCGGCTCTGAAAATTGAGTTAATGTCATTTTTAGAAAATCCATTACGGCCAAGAATATCTCCGTGACTTCGGATCAAGAATTTACAATTTTCAGGTAGGAACTTCAACTTGGAATAGGAATTAGCAATTGGATTAACAACTAATAGGTTGATACATAAGTGTTTTCGTTTTTTTCGTACTTCTGTTAAAAAGTAACAAATTCACGAATTAATCTATAGTTTGCTCTATAAAAAAAGTGTTTTTTTGTTCAATTTGCATCTTTTTAAATGAATTTCGGTTCACTTTCAAGCAAATTCGAGAGTGAAAAACGCCTTTTTCGTAAAAATCTATAAAAAACTCTACGGAAAAATTGGCTGAATGAATTTCTCTGAAATTTTGGCGAAATATCAAACGTTTTTTTTTTCTCTATCTTTTATCTATTGACACGAAGATAGGTTTTCTTTAGCTAAGGTGTCTAAACCGCATCATCGAGTTAGCCCTTTTTGACTACCCGACTTCATACTCTCAAGAAAATCCAGGCATTAAATATTTTTAAACCCGTTTTAATGTCATTTTGCAGAAAAATAATTGCTTTTTCTAATGAAATCAACCGTAGTTTAATTCGTGCATTTGTTGGCTTGAAACGGCAGACGAAAAGGAACAAAAACACTTATGCATCAACCTAATATAAATAAAAAAAGACTATGCAATATCGAAATCAATCAACCTTGTCTACTTCCTTCAGTTACTACAGAGTGTCGCAAAAGTATCCGGACAACTTTTTGGAAAACTTGTTTTCGCACGCTTAATTTATTTCAAAATGTCAAGTGTTATGTAGAGGATTGTAGCCCTTAATATTGGCTACATTTCTCTACTAAAAACTTGCCAATCAGGTGTGTACAGCTCATTTCACAAGTCCTTGAATGAGTAGTCGATCCTTATGCTGCGCGGTGAGACTAGTGCTCATTCAAGGACTTGTGAAATGAGCTGTACACACCTGATTGGGAAGTTTTTAGTAGAGAAATGTAGCCAAGAAAGGGCAACACTCTACAAAAACCTTGACATTTTGGGAATTAAAGGGGGGAAAACAAGTTTTCCAAAAAGTTGTCCGGATACTTTTGAGACCTTATACTATTAGTTTTGAATTTCCCAGAGACACCGTTTACATTGCAAATGTGCCGATGCCAAACTATGAGTTCCAAGTTTTCAACGGACCACAATCCGATTTCATCAAGAAGAGAATGTTCTGGGGAAATTGCAATCTCTTCATGGGAAGGAATACAAATGTGAGCCTAGGTCTAAGCATACCGTAAATACTCTAATCGAACTCCCCCTACAACCACTTCTAGCTTCTTTTTAGCCATTTTTTTGCTCAGTCCCTAGATTTTCCCAACTGCACTTTTGGCACCAAAAAAATACTAGATTTCAAGAGCTATCGTTTGGCACTCAAGCCAACACTGTAGCATAAAGCAGCACGGAGAACGACCCGTTCAAAGTTAGGCCTGACTGTACACCTATCATTATGGCGTTCTAGTATTACGGTAACTTGTTTCTAGTACTAACTTTGCCAGGCTTGGCTTTGATAAAAGCTTTAGCGAAAGTTCTCCAACCTGTTTTCCTTTACAGGGAACAATGGTGGACCCAGTGCGAGAGTTGCAAAAGTACCTTGATGAGCCGATTCTCACCTACTACATACAGAACTTGTAAGTTGCTAATGTCTTCATTCAAAGCTTTCTCTAGTACTGGAGACGATGTGATGGGCCAAATGACTCTCGGAGCCATCGATTCGGAACACTGTGAAAACTATAAATGGTATCAAACGTATGGAGGCGGATCCTTTTGGAACGTGCACTTTACCGGGTATTCTTTAAGCATTTAAAACAATTCTATATTCTAGGAAACTTCAAAAACAGAAACACAACTTCATTTTCTTAGAAAGACTTCAAAAGATTCTACTTAATTGTTTTCAGAGCCAAAGTCGGCAACAAGACGATCAATCAAGCCGGTTATGGTGCACTGTACTTGACAGATGGAACTCACAACGCTCCAACCGCTGTACTTCAAGCTCTTGTTGCTGCAGGGAATCTCAGCTGGTGTCCAGTGCATCAACAAGTGCAGAATAGATATTCATTTATGCATTCGAAACAAATCTCCCATATTTTCTACCATAACTAACAAATCTACCATATTTTCCCCAATAGTAGCACCCGACCGAGCCGAGTTTGATGACTATTTTACCGTTTCTAAGCTTTCACAGAAGCTCAACACTCTAATCCCCGGCAAGATCTCATTGTCAGCTACATTTTCCGACCCCAGGGGCCTAGAAGAGGAAGGGCCTGCGGTCTATCCCGTCCGATCTGCCAAGTTAAGCAACGTCGGCGCGGGATAGACGCGGGATAGACGTCGTCGTGGGTTCGACTTTTGTGGGTTCCCCTGCGAGCGCCCCAGCCCGGCCATCGGAGTATCATCGGCTACGACACACTTACACTAAACACTAAACTACACTTCTGCCTCAGTACCCCGCACGGCCTCCCTGCTCTCTTCCGGCATCGAGGGATCAAGCAAGGCCGAGAGGCGATCTAATCACGGGACATCAGGATGCCATATGGACAACAATCAAGATAGCATAGCATAGCATAGCATGGATGGCAATAGCAAGGGATAGAGAAATGTGGAAGCAGGAGAAATGTGGAAGCAGGCTGCGCAAATAGGAACACCTGAATGCGAAGACAGATCAAAAAAAAAATTTTTTGACCCCACATCGATGGGTTCTGAGAAGCGGTTCTCGAGATTTCGAGGAGTTTAGACAAAGCTTTGGAGGCACTACTATTAGGGAAAACAGAGTACAGAATAGATCTTCATTTATGCATTTGAAACTAAGATAGTATCTAAGAGTCAATGAGAGTTTCTATAAGTTTGGTGCTTTCAGTTGAATACTTGAATATCAAATTACTTCTTGGCATATAGCATTACCAAAACTCTTTTCCAGTACTGCTTCCCTTGCTCACAAACCGCCAAAATGCCTTCACTTACATTCTACATTGAGGGTGATCCGGTTGAGCTTCAGTGGTACGATTACATGGTAAATGAAGGAAATAAAAGATAATTTAAATGATAATTATAATTGAATCTTTTCAGGAACCAATCGACGATGATTGCTATTTAATCATGGACGATGAAAATCCTCTCCCATTCATCTATACAATTCAATATTATTTCCAAAGATATTTCTGCTTGGCCATCAATTATAAGACATTGCAGGCAGGGTTGGGAAGAGTGAAGGCACAATTTAGAAAATAAATATTGACAGCGAGATAAATATTGACAAATTGATCATTTTATGATCTGTGAATGACTGAAAGTGACGATTGTCGATCGAAAATTGAAAGAGATAGCAGAGAGTCGGTGAAAAGAAGATAAAAGCAAATGGAGATATCGTTTTTGATCATAATATTCCAAAAAGTTTATCGGTTTCGTCTTTTCTTTGTACTCTTCAGTAATTCAGTACTCTCTAACAGTCTATTTACTCTCTTTCACAATGCAATGCAATTCAATTTACAATTTACTTTCAATTTACAACCAAACCTGAGCCTAAGCCTAAGCATAAGCCTAAGCCTAAGCCCTAAACTTAAAACAAGCCAACTTTTACAACCTCTCAACTGTACAAAGAGTATCATCAAAGATATTTCTCAAAAAAAGTTTAACAAATAATCTTCATAACATCTAAAGCCTGCTTCAAAAGCCGTTTCTCTGGAGTCTGGCTTTAAACTCGACCCTGGCCTCGCCTGACCTGACTTTAATCCCCTCTTTGTGCCCCCAGAACCTCTTTGTGCAAAAGTTTTCTTTCATTTCCCCTATTTATCCTAATAGAAAACTATGGTCTTCTATTTTTCAAGCTTTCCAAAATCGGTCGATCGAAAAAGTAGCTCAGAATACATGGGGATGTATGAGAAATCATAACAAAGTTTTTAATTGTTAAAAACGCTTTTAGCCTTTGGCTTTGACCTTTGGCTTTGACCTTTGGCTTTGACCTTTGGCTTTGACCTTTGGCTTTGACCTCTGGCTTTGACCGTTGGCTTTGGCTTTGACCTTTGGCTTTGACCTTTAGCTTTGACCTTTGACCTTTGGCTTTGACCTTTGGCTTTGGCTTTGGCCTTTGGCTCAAAAGATGTCAAAAAAACGTGTTGAAAAATCAAATATTTCCCTAACTAGACACCATAGAAAATCTACAATCGACCAAAAAAGTCCATGTAGGGGACTACATGAAATTTTTTTCGAATTTTTAGGAAAAAACTATGTTTCCAATTTTAATGCCAAAGCTAAAATACATCTATCTGAAGCCATATCTATAGCTTTAGTTAAAAAGAAGTTCTGAAAAGTCAGAGGAGACAGGTTCTTCAATTAGAATAAATGCGGTATTAGATCCGTATTAGATATTAGGTATTAGATAAATACGGTATTCTATTATTAGAATTTTACTTATGTAATATTTCTCCGGGTCAGGCTAGAGTCTAGCTTCAAATTTGACCCTAACCTCAACTGGAAATTCGTTTCTTTTAATGAAGTAAGTCATTTTAAAATATTACCGTAAATACTGTAATTGGACCCCCTCGTACAGTCGCGTAGTCGCAAAAGTTTTTTAGTATTTCATTTTTTTCAAAGCGCTCGTACTTTCAAAAAATGCGCGCTTTGGTATCAAAAAATAGCCCTGAATTTCAGCTAATTTTTGATACCTAAGCGCACATTGTAGCATAAACCAGTGTCGAGAAAAACTCGTCCAAAGCTAGACTAGACTTAAAATAAAACGCTTCATCGATTACATAGTTTCCCAAAATTTCAGAACAATTCAATCTTGGGAATGTTGATTTTCAAATTAGGCTCAAAATGCACTTTTGTGCTAATTTAATCCATTTTCGTTTGAATTTAAGCAAGATTAAAAAAAAAAGATTAAAAGAAAGAGAACGGTTCGATCGATTGGATTGTATTTACGTATTCCAATTACAATATTTATGGTAATATTTTAAAATGACTTACTTCATTAAAAGAAACGAATTTCCAGTTCAGGATTAAATTAGCACAAAAGTGCATTTTGAGCCTAATTTGAAAATCAACCTTCCGAAGATTGAATTGTTCTCAAATTTTGGGAAACTATGTAATCGATGAAGCGTTTTATTTTAAGTCTAGTCTAGCTTTGGATGAGTTTTTCTCGACACTGGTTTATGCTACAATGCGCGCTTAGGTATCAAAAAATAGCCCAAGTTGAAAGCCTAATTTGAAGGCTTTGAATCTGAGCCTAATTTGAAAATCAACCTTCCCAAGATTGAATTTTTCTGAAAGTTTGGGAAACTATGTAATCGATGAAGCGTTTGATTTTAAAAAGTATGCAATCACTCAAAAATGGCTCAAAAATATATTAGCTCATGAATGCTAGAAACCAGGATTTTGAACTCTTACATTACAAAATGCCTGAAAAAAGTTCTAAAATAAAACATTTTTCAAGAATTCAAAAAAGCCATTTTGTAGATTAAGGATAGGGCTTTTGAATGAAGCAAACCGTTTTCTGATTGGATAAGTCGTTTTTTCAGAAAACACATTACCCAAAAAACGATCGTTTATAACTTGCCAACCTAATATTAAGTAAACTTTTTGTCGTTGGAAATTGTGGTTAATGTCGGGACAACGAAATGGACTTTGAGAGAGAGCCGAGAGAGGATTTAAATCTCTTTTTAAATCTGGTTCTAATTTATAAAAGCAAATTGATTTGAATATCTTTAGTAAGCATTCTAAAGCTTTCAAATTTGATAAAACTTTTTATTCTTTACAACTTTACAACTAAAAACAACTTTACTTCTTTACTACTTTACTTTACTACTTTACTTTACTTCTTACTTTCTTTCCTACTTTACAACTAAAAACTATCATTTCTTCATATAGTCATCACGAACCAAATATAGAGAGATCACGAACCAAATATAGAGAGATCACGAACCAAATATAGAGAGATCAGGAACCAATCTAGAGAGATCAGGAACCAATCTAGAGAGATCAGGAACCAATCTAGAGAGATCAGGAACCAAATTTAGAGATGAAGTCAACCAACTAGTCTTTCAAAATTTGTATTTCTATTTTTACCCTCAAAAATATTCTCAAGTTTCTACCGTAACCCTAAAGAAATGATGAATCTCTCTAAATTTTATGTTCCTTTTTTTATGTTTAATCTTTTACTAAGGGCAAATTTTACGATTTTCAAATCTCGATTTCTTGATTACATTTCAAATTTCAGTTTTCATTTAACTGACATCACTTTCGATGACGTCACTGTGCACAACGGGACCATTACCCATAAATGTTCCGAGAGAAATCTCTCAAAGAATCAAAAAGAAAAAGAGTTTCGCTGATCCGTCGATAATCCTCTGATTTCTCGACTCACCCAAAATTTCATGGATCTTTTTCGCAAACGAAACGGGAAAGCCTTGAGAAAACGAATAAAAAATGTTTTTGGTGGGAGGAAGAAAAAGAAAGAAAATAGAGAAAACGAGAAGGGAAATTTGACCTTTTGTTGAAAGAATTTTATTAAATTTCCCCGAAAAACTCAACTTTCTTAAGATTTTGACTCAATTTAACTGCCTCTCGCAAAATCTTGTCGACAACGAATCCCGCAATGAACATGGTTGGTTTTGGTGAATGTTCTGAACTTGATAACATTCATATTGAATCCTTTATTTGATTTAAAATCAACTTTTCTTTCGAGCTTTCTAGAGCATAGTTTGAGCACTGTTTGCTGTACTTTGAGCTCTTTTAAATGTGTAAATCCATCCTCTCTGGAGCACTTGGTTTTTAATTTTCTTTAAACCCCTTTTCTAGAATAAAGAAAGAGAAGGATTTGGTTCGATTTGGTTAAAGAAAAGTTGCGTTTTAGATGAAATAAACGATTTTTTAATGAATTCCACAATTTTACTGTAATCGGAGAACTGTAAAGTTATGATTTGTATTCTGTAATTTTTAAGATTATAATTTGTAATCAGAGAACTTTAAAGTCTTGAAGTTAGCCTTTGTTAGATTAATATAACTTGAGAACATGTTGTTCCAAGAGCTATTTTTGCCAAGTCCTGGCTTCTGAGCTTGCTTTAGCTTTGCTTACAGTTCTTGCTTGATACTTTTGTGAGCCTGGCTGGCTTAGTGGCTGGCTGGCTGGCTGGCTGTGCCTGGCTGGCTGGCTGGCTTTGTGGCTGGCTGGCTTTGTGGCTGGCTGGCTGGCTTTGTGGCTGGCTGGCTGGCTGGCTGGCTGGCTGGCTGGCGTCCTGGCTGGCTGGCTGGTTTGTGGCGGCTGGCTTTGTGGCTGGCTGGCTGGCTTTGTGGCTGGCTGGCTGGCTGGCTGGCTGGCTGGCTGGCTGTGCCTGGCTGGCTGGCTGGCTTTGTGGCTGACTGGCTGGCTGGCTGGCTGGCTGTGCCTGGCTGGCTTTGTGAGCCTGGTTGGGCCAAACAAAGCCCTGGTCTAGATCTAGCCTCTAGGCTCATCAATTTGTCATCCAGAAATTGAATATTCAAACTATTAAGATTTTTAGATTTGGTTAGATTTGATTACAGAAAAGTTACATTTTAGATGAAATATCGATGTTTTAATGAATTCCACGATTTTAGGGTCATCAGCCACCACTCACCGCTGATTCGAGTATTTCTGGTGAACAAAGTAACGGTAAAACATTTGGAAAATGATTTGATTATGATTTCGAAAAGCTTTTTCCATTTCTCAGTTCAGTTTTCGAGAAAGCTTTCGCAAAAGCTGTCGAAGAGAAACGCCGTGAACAATCACAGGAAATGACCGAAGCAGATTCAATGCAAAGGAGGTAGAAAAACAGATTTTAAAATACACTTATTCACACAAATCATTTGGTTTTAGTTATTTATTTATTCAAATTTATTCATACGAACAAGCAAAACCCTTAAACTCTAAATTTAGTGAAAACCCATATAGAGAAAAGAAACTAGCAATCTAGCCGGCGGGATTGAACCCTTGACCTTCCGACTAAGATACACGGCTTTTATCAACCATGATAACCATAGAGATCTGAATCTGGAAACCATTTTTGACATCGAGTGTATCTGTTACTCAGAGTCGGACGTCCGTTTCGGAGGAGAATGAATCTCCTCAGATTCGGACGTCCGGATCGGAGATGGACGTCTCCTCAGCTTCGGACGTAACATATCCACATTCCAGTGTCTCCACAGCAAAACCACCTCGACCAACTCGACCACCCCGCAAATACGGTTTCCTCTTTTTGTATCGACTTCTATGCACGAGACATCTTACAATTTGCATTCTAATGATGGCCTGTTCATTGGGTGGAGGATATTTGTTTTGGTTGACTGAGGGTCCAGCTGAGGAACAGGTGATTGGAAAATGGAAATCAAATTCATCATATTTTCTAGGCAATGGAGTCTAGCTTCGCCTCGGTGGAGGCAAAAAATATGGAGCTGTCAGCGAAATTTGTTGAGATCATGAAGAACAATGAGTCGGCTTTCCGAAATGCATCAGACATACAAGATTATATAAAGGTTGATTGATCAAAGCTTTTTCGATCTAGTAGTTAGCTTTATAAGTTACATTTACGTCTCTTACTTTTTAATCGGAGAACTGTAAAGTCTTGAAGTTAGCCTTTGTTAGATTAATATAACTTGAGAACATGTTGTTCCAAAGACTATTTTTGCCAAGTCCTGGCTTCTGAGCTTACTTTAACTTTGCTTACAGTTCTTGCTTGATACTTTTGTGAGCCTGGCTGGCTAGCTGTGCCTGGATGGCTTTGTGAGCCTGGCTGGGCCAAACCAAACCCTGGTCTAGATCTAGCCTCTAGACGCATCAATTTGTCATCCAGAAATTGAATATAAAGAAGATCAGCAGTTTTGTATACCAACTCTCTATCCACTACACCACTCGACCATGGGTTTCATCATGACAGAAAGAGGCTTTGATCTCTTTGTTCTTTTAAAATTCTCCTCATTTCAAAATCAAAATTTATATTGAAAATTACATTATAACTTTATGAGATCTAAAGCTTTAGAGTTGAATTTTTCCAAAAATTCTGTTCAGAACCTTTTCTAATAACCCATAAAATTTGGGCCCGATTCTAGTAGAGCCCCCAAGTAGTTATGGACTCGTTAGACTTTAGCTCTAGCCTGGCTAGGCTTAACTTACAGATTTAACCCTGCTGGATATCCCTGTTGATAACAATCGCTTTCCAGAATTCCTACAAATCGATGCTAAAAGAGGAAGCTTTATGGACGGGTTCCTCTTTTTACAAAGAGCAAGGAGCCGATTTCATGACTTGGAACTTCTGGTCTGCTACCTTCTATGCATCGAATATCTACATGACTGTCGGATACGGTAGTTTTCTTTTATCTTCTAGAATCTCCATTCTCTAGGATCAATCCAAGGCTTCACAAGTCTCACGAAAGTCTTGACGATCATTTTCGGTTTCATTTCGATACCCTTCTCTTTTGTCGTGATTCGTGATCTTTCACAGTGGATTCTCGTCGGTTGCACCAAGTGTTATGCGAGATTTTTGATTAATTGGAGGTGAGAACCAATGAAGAAATGAATTTTCAAAGTAAAACTAAGTAAACTCTTTAATACAGGATAATATTTTAGTCCTTTATATAAGCTGGGTGTTTAGGATTTCTTTGATAGCTAGAACTCTGTGCATGATCTGTGAACTTTGATCGAATTTTAGCATAAACTCGATGAAATGAATAGCTCGAATTAATTGTTAGCTTAATTGAGACTAGTTGAGCTCTGAGTTGAGGGTTTTGTCTCTTGATTTGAGGATGTGATTCAATTGAATTCTATTGTCATTTGAAAGCCTCTATCCTCTATAAAACGATCTCAAAAGTTAACATTATTTCTAAATAACTTTACGGTCCTTCAACGCATGATTATGCATTGAAAAGTGTGACTTAAGACTATTAAGAAAGACTTAATCTTGTCTTGTCTTGTCTAATCTTGTCTGTACTTTTAGAAAAGACCACGGTATTTTGACGGAACCCGACGAGGACATCTCCCTTCCTTACAAGCTCACATTGGTGATTTGGGTCGGTGAGTGATTGCAGGAAATTCAAAATCAGGATCTAGCTATCAAAGAAATTGATTGATCTGATTGAATTCAGTGAATTGGTTGGCTGTCTCATTCCTCACGTGGATCTACGACTCTCACAATTACGAGGTCGATTCCGGGATCTCCTACTATGGCTCAATGTATTTCACGTATATTACATTGACCTCAATTGGCATGAGTGACGAGATGCCGAAAAATGTTACGGTAAACAAATCCAGGCAATAAGTTTTTAGAGACTTCAACTTTTAGACCTCTCCACTGATAGCCTTTTGGAATGTGATCGGATTGCCAATCTATAAGGTTTGAGTTGAGTTTGGAGGCTTTTCAAAGGTTATACCCTATTGTAATCTGCATTTAAATCGTAATAGTATTAAAAGAGATTCATTTAATTGTTCCAGATGGGTTTTCGAATCTTATACATCGCTATGGAAAACGGTATCCTCGGCACTTTATCCGTTTTCAAGCACAAATTGGCTCACTTAGATGGGATCACTGATGTAAGATTTTGGAAATATTCATAGCTTTTGATTGAATTGATTGATTGATTGATTGAACTGATTGATTGATTGATTCATTGCTAGCTTTTTATTGATCTTCTTTTTAAAGTCATTCAGCTATGGGGTTTACAGAAAGCCTCTAAAGCATTCTAACGCCATTCTAACATTCTAAAGCTAGCATTCTAAAGCCTCTAAAGCATTCTAACGTCATTCTAACATTCTAAAGCTAGCACTCTAAAGCTTCTAGAGCATTCTAGCCAAATCTCATCCACAGTACTCTTGCATACAATTTAGAAGTGTTTTCAGTGATTTGTGGCACTTCAAAAGTATTTGAGTACTTCAAAAGTTGAAGTTTTAGCACAAAATACTGAATAAACTTTTTCAATGTCAAACTTTTCAGCTCGACACTGCTGCTCTCGAGAAATACGCACCTCAAAAAACCTCTCAACAGCAACAACAGCAAGACGTTCAACATTTCGCCGCATTGAATGCAGAGGTTGGTGAAATAAAAAGACAAATTCTTAGCAACTATCAGCTTTTTTCGATTTAAGCTTAAAACAAAACAGAACTTTACAAAACCACAGCAAAACCATCTAAACATCTAAACCATCTAAACCAGATACCAGAGCTTCTAGATAAGCTTCTAGATCATTTTGACTAGAATCTTTGGTACAGCTCTTTTATTTTTCGAAATCTCGTATCAAATTATCTTTTTCTTATTTTAAAACTTTGACTTTTGACTTGATTTGGGCAATTTTAACAGTCAAGTTTCTTCATCTTTTCTTTAAAACCATAAAAATAACAAATTTTACGATTTCTTTGTTGTCTTTTCTTTTCTTTTTCCTTCTTCTCCTTCTCCAATCCTCTGAGTGAACTTTCCTGGAAATTTTGGGAATGATGTGATGAGAAAGGAGAAAGGAAAAAAATAGATTTTATTGTCTCGGGGATCACTGAACTTTCTTGCACCAAACAAGCACCGGAATCCACGTGAACAGCTCATGAATCCAAGTCTAGAACAAAATTCTGCATGTACTTTGGGATCAAAGATGAGAACACAGTCCTTCTAGTGCACCCAACTAATCTACCTGAGTAATTGAGGTTTTAGGAAGAGAAAGATCAAATCCAAGAGATGGTCAACAATTTCACCGTTCGCTCTATTGCCACTTTCATGAAATCTCATGCCGACGCGTATGGAGGAGGATATGGACGTGTTAAGGTAAAGAAATATTTTAGGATAGAGAATAAATTAAATGCTTATTTTGTATTTTATATAATCACAATCTAGTTCATAGTTATTTATCGATAAATCAATCGGTAAATCAATCGATTATTAATCGATTATTAATCGATTAGCAATCGATACATCAATCGATTATTAATCGATTATCAATCGATTAGCAATCGATTAGCAATCGATTATCAATCGATAAATCAATCGATTATTAATCGACTATCAATCGACTATCAATCGATAAATCAATAGATTATCAATCTATTATCAATCTATTATCAATCAATTATCAATTGCTAATTGCTATCTTCTAGAATATCAATTCTCTAGGATCAATCCAAGGCTACACAAAATTTTCAGGTGACTCGAGCTTCGATGGTGGGTCGAGGTGAGAGTCGTGATGAGTAAAATGGGATAAACGAGAGTCCAAAGATATTTTGATCTCTGAACTTTTAAAGAAAAATCTAGTTTTACTTTTTGCATTCTATTTTGCTGTGATTTTGAAATTTCTTTGCTTTAGACTTGCTTATTTTACATTACTCATTGTCTCTCTAAACCATACTCATCGCCTCTCTGAACCAAATCGTTTCCAGTAGATTGCTTGGAGATTTTCTACGCAAATAAATCGATCAATTTAACATTTGATTTAAGCAAAATATGGCTTTTATCTCAATTTCTCGATAAAACAAAGAAAAAAGGAAAAATTAGAGTTCTAAAGTTTCAGAGAGACTTCAAAACAAAGCTAATCAAAATGGCAGCTAGTCATTTGAACAGTTTCTTTCACATAAATCTCCATTAATGATAGAGATAGATATTAAAGAAAGATAGAGTATACTCAATCACAAAAGTTGTCAAACTTTACAGACTTTTACAGAAATATCCCCTTCAAACGTTTTCTCTCGATCATAGTTTATAGGTTTTTATAATGAATAAAATTGGTTTGTACGAGGGTTGTTTTCTCTGAAATCTTTGAAATCGGCTTTAAACTCAAAGCTTTGAACTCAAAGCTTTGAACTCAAAGCCTTGAACTCAAAGCCTTGAACTCAAAGCCTTGAACTCAAAGCCTTGAACTCAAAGCCTTGAACTCAAAGCTTTGAACTCAAATCTTTGAACTGAATCCAATCTTTGAGATGCTTTCTCTTTCATTGATCGTGATTGTAAAGAGTATTGTATTGTATTGTATTCTTTGCGTGCTTGGTACTCTTCACTCTTCACACGTTATTTCTTGTTTCGAGATATCTGAACTCACTTGATCTCACTTGAACTTTATTCATTTTTCATTCAATTCAACTTTCTTCAACTTTCTTCAACTTTATTCGACTGACTCGGAGATTTTTCGGCTCTCACTTGAGCAATTTTCACACAAAATCAACAATTGAATTAAAAGCGACGATAAAAACAGAAAAAATATTGCGATTTGTTGATTTTGTTGCAAGATTTTCGTACGAAAGGAACTTTTGGATGGCAATGGGACAATACTTTTGTGGGCCACTGTATATCATTAGCCATGCAAAGAATATATTCTTTGCGTGCTTGGTAGGAATTAGGACACACTCCTAATTAGGACACAACTCTCACACGATGAAAAGAAAACAGAAGAAAGTAAAATCACATCAAATGAACAACAGTTGCCTTTTAACACAAGATATTCAGCTAACAAGCTACAAAGCGAATAAATGGCGCGAAATATTGGGTTGATGCATAATTATCCGGACTTCTTTTTGCGTGCTTGTATCTTTTTTGTTTTGAAAGCTTTTTGTCTATTTCTTTTTTTAAAATATTCGTTATTCTTTAGTGAACAAAATGCGTGTCGACAATCATATCCATCTTCGCCATATCATGCTCTACCACTTCGAAAAGGGATGGTCTGCCGCAGAGTCGTTTCGCGATCTCAAAGAACTGGAGAAGCCCCAACGGACTACCACGTCAATCGATCGCTCAAAAATTGGCAAACAAATAAGATCTACAACGATTTGGATGACTTGATAGACGATGTTAAAGCGTGGATTGCCTCCAAAGATCGTTTATTCTTCGCTCGTGGAATCGATCGTCTTCCAAGCAAATGGCAATCAGTTATTGATGTAGGCGGTGAATATGCTCCAGAATAATCAATTAAACATATTTTTCTAACTATTTATGTTATTTTTTGTTAAATAAAATCATTTATAAAAGAAGTCCGGATAATTATGCATCAACCCAATAGAATGAAGGCGCACGGTTTTCCGCAATACTTTTCCAATTTTTAGGCTGTCAGAGTTAGGTAGCTTTTTCTTGGCTATTCGCCAGTAATATCTGATTTCAATCGACAAACTTTTTCTCAAATTGACATGCAATCTGACCAATCAATTTGAAAACAATAGTTTTATTCGATTTACAAGAATTGTATCTCCTTTGTGTGAATGAAAAAAGAGAGGGGAAATTCTAGCAACAAACACTTAACTAATTATTACTTAACTTACTTAACATTTTTTGTAAAATTTGATTGCTTATTATTTGTTTGATTTGTTCTCGATTATTTGATTGTATTAGGTTGATGCAAAAGTCTTTTTCATTTTTTTCGTACTTCCGTTAAAAAGTAACAAATGCAACAAATTGAACAACGGTTTATTGCATTCGAAAGGCCAATTATTTTTCTGCAAAATGACATTAAAACGAGTTTAAAATGTCTTATGTCTAGATTTCTTTGAGAGCCTGAAGTCGGGTAGTCAAAAAAGGCTCGAGGTTTTAGACGGTTTTAGACGTTTGATGCATTTTAGACGCTTTAGCTAAGGAAACCAATCTTGATTTTAATAAATAAAAGATAGAGCACAAAAAGTTCGATATTTTTTCAGACTTTCAGAGAAATTGATTCAGCCAATTTCTTTATAGAGGTTTTTATAGATTTTTATGAAAAACCCGTTTTCACTCTCGAATTTGCTTGAAAGTGAACCCAAATTGACTTGAAAAGATGGGAAATTGAACAATAAACACTTTTCATTTAGAGCAAACCATGGGTTAATTGATGACTTTGTTATTTTTCAAAAGAAGTACGAGAAAAATGAAAAAGACTTTTGCATGAACCTAATAAAATTGTCAATTTTTCAATCAATTCAATGATAATTTGACAATACAATTACAATACAATTTGACAATACAATACAATTACAATCAAAGCCAATCCGCTGACTATTGAGCCAGAATTAGCAAAACACTTTATCGCAGGGATTTCGACTATAAGTGATCACTTGAAGGATGTTGTAAAGGTTAAAGAAACTGGAGAAGTGGATAACTCATCAATTGGACGACTGCCAGAAGTTTACACGCTTACACTGGCAACAAACATAGATGAAACAACGTGAAAGATATTCAATAAACGGGCTAAATGCTCTACACGATCGGCATCAATCGGCAATAAAAAAAGGCAATTGATTGTTTAGATCCCAAATTTAAATCTGGTGAATAATTGGCACAGATTTTGTGTAAAAAAAATGGCTTTTTATTGAGCTGTTGAACCTTTTGAGTTCTCTTTTAAATACCATTTTATAAAGAATTATTTAACCTTTAACAAAGTTTGCTAGTTTTAAAGTTTGCTAGTTTGCTAGTTTTAAATTTCTTTGATTTTCGGCTCCATTCCAATCCAATAGTTGTAAAATTCGTATTCTCATTCATTCTTGAGCTCCTCATTCATCCTTGAGCTCCTCGTTGAGCCAATTTCTCAAAGCACTAAACTCACCATTGACTTTTGGCTTTTCATTTGAACATGACGCTTTTATTTGTCCTTGATCAGATGAAGGTCTGCCTTGTAAATGTCCAATTGCACTCATCATTTTCTTTTCATTTCTTCTTTCATTTCTTCTTTCTTTTCTTTTCTTTTCCTTTCTTTTTCTCACGTCATTGATCACAAAACAGGCAAAAGTAAATCCCCGATTTCCCCCATAAAACGGTCTCGTTTTACGCCGAGAAAAATAGGATCATGAAATGGGAAAAAAAGAGAGAAATCATTTGAGAACTCTTCGACAAAACACTCACAAAAATACCATCATCTCTAGAAAATCTGTCATTTATTCTTCTAAAACAACTTTGAATTGAATGATGGCGAATCCGACTCCCGGTAGCCCGCAACTCCTTTCAGTGGTAAGTTTTGTTCATATTGTTTTGTACTGTAAAGAAGAACGCAGCCTTTCTAATCCGGGATTTCTAACCCGGAATTTCTCGCCCTAAAGCTGTAGGGTTGTCAAAAGAGTCAAAATCAAGGCTAGATCAGCTGTAGGGTTGTCAAAAGAGTCAAAATCAAGGCTAGATCAAGGCTAGAACAAGCCAAAGCCAGCGTTTTTCAAGTTTTTAGCCCAAAGATTGAGATTTCAGATCAATGAAAGCCATTGAAAGCTGCCAGTTTTGTGTGGCTAGCTTTGTCTTTTGAATTTTTTTACCAATCCTGTTTGTAAATCAAGTAAAGACTGACCAATCATGATAGAAATTAGGCCAGGACATGGCTTTAGTTTAGCTTTTGACATGCCCTAGAAAAAAGTTGCTGCAAAAAATAATGAAATTGAGTAGCTAGAAAGCTAGGCTTGTTCACACTCAAAAACTCTAATTTTATAGAATTTCCCAAAGTTTTCGCAAAAAAAAAAGAAAGAATTCAATTCATTTTTCAATTTCAATTCAAAAAAAGAAGAATTTCATTAACATTAAAAATTTCATTAAAAATTTCATTTGAAATTGCAGGATCGAATGCCTCCCAGTCATCCATCGACGATTTTCGAGGAAACAAACTCTGAGAATCAAGCGATCGACAATGGAAATGGAAAAGAGGTTTCGTTTGGTTTTTGATTTTCTTATTATCTAAAAAATCGATTTTATTTCTATCTATTATATTTTTGAGTGATTGCATAGTTTTTAAAATAAAACCCTTCATCGATTACATAGTTTCCCAAAATTTCAGAACAATTCAATCTTTGGAAGGTTGATTTTCAAATTAGGCTCAGATTCAAAGCCTTCAAATTAGGCTTTCAAATTGGGCTATTTTTTGATACCTAAGCGCACATTGTAGCATAAACCAGTGTCGAGAAAAACTCGTCCAAAGCTAGACTAGACTTAAAATAAAACCCTTCATCGATTACATAGTTTCCCAAAATTTCAGAACAATTCAATCTTTGGAAGGTTGATTTTCAAATTAGGCTCAGATTCAAAGCCTTCAAATTAGGCTTTCAAATTGGGCTATTTTTTGATACCTAAGCGCACATTGTAGCATAAACCAGTGTCGAGAAAAACTCGTCCAAAGCTAGACTAGACTTAAAATAAAACCCTTCATCGATTACATAGTTTCCCAAAATTTCAGAACAATTCAATCTTCGGAAGGTTGATTTTCAAATTAGGCTCAAAATGCACTTTTGTGCTAATTTAATCCTCAACTGGAAATTCGTTTCTTTTAATGAAGTAAGTCATTTTAAAATATTACCATAAATATTGTAATTGGAATACGTAAATACAATCCAATCGATCGAACCGTTCTCTTTCTTTTAATCTTTTTTTTTTAATCTTGCTTAAATTCAAACGAAAATGGATTAAATTAGCACAAAAGTGCATTTTGAGCCTAATTTGAAAATCAACATTCCCAAGATTGAATTGTTCTGAAATTTTGGGAAACTATGTAATCGATGAAGCGTTTTATTTTAAGTCTAGTCGTAGTCTAGCTTTGGACGGGTTTTTCTCGACACTGGTTTATGCTACAATGTGCGCTTAGGTATCAAAAAATAGCTGAAATTCAGGGCTATTTTTTGATACCAAAGACGCATTTTTTGAAAGTACGGGCGCTTTGAAAAAAATGAAATACTAAAAAACTTTTGCGACTACGCGACTGTACGAGGCGGGTCCAATTACAGTATTTACGGTAATATTTTAAAATGACTTACTTCATTAAAAGAAACGAATTCCCAGTTGAGGATTAAATTAGCACAAATTTTATTATTTATTTTAAAAAGTATGCAATCACTCAAAAATGGCTCAAAAATATATTAGCTCATGAATGCTAGAAACCAGGATTTTCAACTCTTACATTACAAAATGCCTGAAAAAAGTTCTAAAATAAAACATTTTTCAAAAATTCAAAAAAAGCCATTTTGTAGATTAAGGATAGGGCTTTTGAATGAAGCAAACCGTTTTCTGATTGGATAAGCCGTTTTTTCAGAAAACACATTACTAAAAAAACGATCGTTTATAACTTGCCAATTCTTATTATTTCCTTATTATCTTTCTTATTATCTAAAATAAAAGAGTACATAGTATAGTCGTTTGAAAATTGAAGTTCAAATTCAATTCAAGCTTTATTCGAATTCAACTCAATCACCAACAAAAAAAAGTATCAAATTCCACAAGGCTAGAAGTTTTAATTTTAGTTCTTTAGAAGTTTAATGCTAAACATTTGGGGAAATCGGTATTTCAGTGTAGAAGCAGAACTTAAATCTGTCATCGAAATGTTTAAGTAATCCATCTAGATGTCCCCTATCTCTTTCTATCGTAATCTCGTCTATATCTTTATCGAATTTATCCACTAACATCTAGATCTAGATCTAGATGAGTTTTTTAAACTTTAGAACGGTATCAAAAGAGAAGTATCGATTGATGAGACTCGAAATGGAGGCGACGATTTGTGTTGGTTAAAGAAGATTGTTTTAATTTCTCTAAAATTTTAGCAAAACCCCGCCGAAAGCCGACAAATGAAGATCAAAAGTGAAAAATTGAAAATTTTAATCTTTTAAATTAAAGAAAACTTTAGAGCAATTGATAAATATTATGATAACAATCACTACACGATTAGCGGGAGATACGCGAAAAATGAGGACACCCTCAATCATATACCGAAGAATTTTCAGAGAATCGTTGATGGGCACAGGTTGAGAAGGTTTGTGGAATAGAAAAAACATCATTGATGAGGAACTTGTTAGAGGATATTTAAGGGTGATTTTTGAGCTTTTGTAGCTTTCGATAGGAATTATAAGATGAAAATGATTGTTGTACTAGTTGAACTTTTGGCTTTTTCGGTTTCTAGACAGACCAGGATCAAGTCAGAGTCCAGAAGAAGTCCAGAACTCTGGACTGGACTCCACAGAGTCCCCGAACTTGGCAGAGTCTAGAAGAAGCCCAGAACTCTGGACTAGACTCCACAAAGAAAAAGATTTATATCGAATTTGCATCACTTTATTAACTTTATCCCCTTTATTTCACTGTTAAAGGAATTGTGCTCGCATTTGTGCTCGCAAAATGTCAAAACAAATCCTTTCTAATGCACTCATTCTTCCTGTAATCCTCAAATACTTGAGTGTTCTAGAAAGAATGCGTTTGAAAGAATGTATAAAAATACTTGAGTATTCTAGAAAGAATGCGTTTAAGCAAATCTGAGCACTTCAAAGTTGACAAATGTTCGAGGAAGAAACAACTCTAAGAATAGTTTCTTATAAAGTTTACCAAAGGCTTACTAAACATAGGGAAATTCCAAGCCAAACCTAATTTCACCTTGGTCAATTTTGGCCGATTTTAGCCGATCTGAAATTTTGTCTACGACATTTTCGCTTGTAGACAAAATTTCAGAGCAATCAGCAAAGAAACAGCTGAGAAAAGGGCAGTGGAATTAGGTTCGGCTTGGTATTTTCCCATGTCTAGGGCCTAGAAAGTCTATTTTCTGATATGTTATCGACTTTTCCTTTAAGAGCCGCATCAATGGCCGAGAAATCGACTGTATCGAGAAGAAGCACCAAGTCGACACTGCCAATTCCTGGAGCAAATGAAAATCGTTGGTTTTTTTGGTTTTCAAAGAGGACATAGCAATCAGCAAACGTTAAGGATTCTAGAGTAACTAAAACGGACGAAGGAATCTTTTGTGGGTTAAGTAGACAATAGAGCCAATTACCTTTTGTATTGCCGATTGATGCCGATCGGGTAGAGCATTTAGCCCGTTTACTGAATATCTTTCAAGCCAATTCAGTCTAGGCAAGCGGAGAAGAGCTTGGCTTTGCCTTTGAAGCCTTGACAATATTGCAATATTGCTTATCCTTTAGGTTTCCTCGATTCAGTCTACTGGCTTGTGCACAGTCATTCCCTTTTCGGATTCCGCCATTTGATGATGATTCTCGCGCTTGCCTTGCTCACAATGGCCGGTGGAGCGATGTTTTATACGATTGAGAAAGATGCCGAAAAATTGGTTTAAACGAGAATCTTTTCAAAGGAAACCCATTTTTCTTTTAGGATCTTGATACAAAACTTGCCGTGATGAGAGGGAAATTGGAGACAATCTCGGCGGAGATGATGGCACAGAGAAATTCCGAGAACAACACGCTCATTGATGAGGAACTTGTTAGAGGATATTTAAGGGTGATTTTTGAGCTTTCGTAGCTTTCGATAAGAATTATAAGATGAAAACGATTGTTGTACTAGTTGAACTTTTGGCTTTTTCGGTTTCTAGACAAGACCAGGATCAAGTCAGAGTCCAGAAGAAGTCCAGAACTCTGGACCGGACTCCACAGAGTTCCTGAACTTGGCAGAGTCCAGAAGAGGTCCAGAACTCTGGACTGGACTCCACAAAGTCCCCGAACTTGGCAGAGTCCAGAAGAGGTTCAGAACTCTGGACTGGACTCCATAGAGTCCCCGAACTTGGCAGAGTCCAGAAGAAGTCCAGAACTCTGGACTGGACTCCACAAAGTCCCCGAACTTGGCAGAGTCCAGAAGAGGTCCAGAACTCTGGACTGGACTCCACAAAGTCCCCGAACTTGGCAGAGTCCAGAAGAGGTTCAGAACTCTGGACTGGACTCCATAGAGTCCCCGAACTTGGCAGAGTCCAGAAGAAGTCCAGAACTCTGGACTGGACTCCACAAAGTCCCCGAACTTGGCAGAGTCCAGAAGTCCAGAACTCTGGACTGGACTCCACAAAGTCCTTGAACTTGGCATAAGCTAGATCTGGACTTCGCTGCTGAATCTGGAAGTGGTTTAGCTTTAGAACACGATTGAGCATCTTCTTTCTGATCACCTTTACAAACCTGTAATTAAACCTTTAACTAACAGAAATATTGTAATTATTGATCTCTTTTAGTCTAGTTCATTTCCAGCGAGCTTACAAAGAGCTACTTGTGGGCGAAAATCGTTACACTCTCTCAGCTTATCACAAAAAAGACGATTTTGCGAAGAATCGCTGGTGGAGTTGGTGGTGTGGAGTGTTCGCGACAACTGATATCTTCATGACAGTGTCATACGGTAAGGAAAAACAATCAAAGAAAGAAGAAAGAAGAAATCGCCTCATCGTAAAGCTCAATTCCAGGTGTTGTTCCCTTCTACAGTAATTTGGGTCGTGGAGTCTTGATGGTGTATGGTCTAATCGCAATCCCGTTGGCCGTTGTTGTGATGAGAGATCTCGGTCAATGGCAACTCACAATTTGCACAAAAATCTACGCTTTTTTGTTGATTCGATGGAGGTTTTATTGGGTTTTTCATCAAAAAAAAAAAAGGTTTTCCTCAGAAAAGCAAAAGGAGTCGAGACACCGGAAGATGAAGAGATCGAGTTTCCCGTTTCACTCTCGTTCATTCACATGATGTGTTAGTGTTTGGATATTCATTTTATAGGCTTCAAGAGATCAATGATCAACCATAATACAAAAAAGTTCTGATACATCAATTAGAAAATTCTTTGAAAAATGCAAACTATCAAGATCACTCTTACGATCAAGATCAAGATTTTCTAAAACGGAAATTTCGTTTATTCTAATTTCTAATCTAATATCTAATCGAATCTCGTTTATTTTCAGGCACTTGGTGCCTTGGAGCGGCATTCATTTATTTCTATGATGGACTTTGGGGACCTGATGGTATCTCTTTCTGGGGATCATTCTATCTCTCATACCTTACCGCGACCACCATTGGAATGGGAGACATGGTTCCCACGTATGCCACGGTAATCAGATTCTATTCAATTGGATTCTATTGAATTCTATTGAATTCTATTGGATAGTATGTAATGGCGACGATTTTCAAAAAAACTTCAATAACATTGAGTAGTCTTTATCAAATAGTAATATCATTAGAAAGGCTTTCTCTATAAATTCTCTACTATCTACTATATATTGGGTTTTCACGACTCTCGCCTCGACCCACCATCGAAGCTCGAGTCACCTGAAAATTTTGTATAGCCTTGGATTGATCCTAGACAATGGATATTCTAGAAGATGGAGAAGATAGCAATTAGCAATTAGGAATTGATTTATCGATTGATATTCTTATGAACTATGAACTATTGGGTTGATGAATTGAAAACTGTGGGCTATTGTCATATGTGACAGTTTGAGCACTTTCTTCAAAAGAAAACCATTTTGGTGTCAATGGAAAAGTTGTAGAGAATCAAAAATCAAGCTTATATCTAAATTTTCAGAATGATACAAAAACTGGTTTTCAAGAAAGGCGAGATTTACGACTTTTCACGAAACTTGCATTTTAAGCGAAACTACTAAGTGTATCTTTTTGGAAATTTGGCTATAAGCCTAATTTTTGATTCTCTACAACTTTTCTATTGACACCAAAATGGGTTTCTTTTGAAGAAAGTGCCCAAACTGGACTGACAGCTGACATCTCCAGTCCTCGATTTTTGAGTCTCACACTTGTCTCACACACAAACCAAAATCCAACTACGAAAGAGGAATCCGCAAATTGCCTGTAAAATGGGCAGAAGTCGTCAATAATAATGGAAATTATTTGGAATGAATTCATGGTTTTATGTTGAATAAATTTTAGTTCAAAGTCCCGCATTTTTCAATTCACCAACCCAATAGATAAAAAATAATAAATAATCTCTGTCCGTGCGCGCACTACGGGCTTTCCCTTTGAGTATTTAAAAAAAAAACGCTAAAACACGTGTCTGATGAAATTTTATGTAGCCTTTTAACAAAGACAAGTGAGGTGGTGAGTGGCGGGGGTCAAACTCGGAGAATATGCGCGTGATGCGAGCGCGCTATCCACTTTGCTATGGGTGCAATTTGCATGGTAGGGTTTTCCAACGTAGAGAAAGCAAAGTTTAAAATAGATCAATTAAAGTTTTTTAAAAGTAGATTCAAAGATTTCCATGAGTCAATGATTTCAGCGAGATCCAACATGGAAATTCGTTCATTTCTTCTTCCTCATGCCTTCAAGAGTAAGTCATTTCAATGCTTCACAAATCGATTTGTACTCTTATTCTTGCAATTCTCGTTCTTAAGTATAAAAAAAAATCTTTCTAGGTACTCAATCGTTGCACATATGTGGCTATTGAGGGCTCGATTTTCTCTTTTGCCACTCGTTGCGAAGAGTGGCTCACCGGCGTCTATCAGACGAAGAAAATTGCTCCGATTTCGGTAGAATTTAATGAAAATTTTCATATTCAAACTATTATTGATGGTTTGAATATTATTGGACATTGAATCTAATATGTACAATGTGTACAATACAATCTAATATGTACAATACTGAACATTGAATCTAATATCTACAATCTAATATCTACAATCTAATATGTACAATCTAATCTGTACAATCTAATATGTACAATCTAATATGTACAATCTAATCTGTACAATCTAATATGCACAATCTAATATCTACAATCTAATATCTACAATCTAATATCTACAATCTAATCTGTACAATCTAATATGTACAATCTAATCTGTACAATCTAATATGTACAATCTAATCTGTACAATCTAATATGTACAATCTAATCTGTACAATCTAATATGTACAATCTAATATGTACTTTTCAGAAGCGCTCAAGAACTCGCTCTCGTGGTACTGGAGAAACTGGAGAGCCGGTGATTTTATCAACATTTTACAGTTTTAAACTACACAGAAATGGAAAGAAATCCTTTTTAGATCACTTTTTGTTTTGTAAGAGAATTTAAAGGCAAGTAAACGATTGAAAAAGAGTACCGGAAGCTGTAAAGCTGTAAGGAAATTCAGTAGTTCATTTGACAGCTTATTAAACAGTTTTCTATTTAAAAATGAAAGTTTATGTTAAGCTTTTCAAAAAGATAATGTTTAAAAGGATATAGAGAAGTGACTTTAGAAAGTTTAACAAAAAAAAAAACAAATAAGAATAAATGATAGTTGATGTTGTATAGTTGATGATAAATACTGTACTAGTATCCCACCGCCCATAATGACGGTGCGGAGCGTTGCGTAGTCTAGCTTTGGACGCGTTGATGTGGCTGAGTAAGGAAATGATGGTTGTGAGTTGAATCAGAAATCGTTGCTTGTTAGAGTAGAAAGAAGTACAAAAGCTAGTACAATTTTTGCAAACAGTCAAGCTCGAGAACGAATATACCGTAAATACTGTAATAGTACCCCAGCCCCATAATGACGGAGTGTTGCGTAGTCTAGTTTTAGTCTAGCTAGCGTAGTCTAGCTTTGGACGAGTTTTTCTCGACACTGGTTTATGCTAAAATATTCGTTTTGGTATCAAAAAATAGCCCTGAATTTCAGGGCTATTTTTTGATACCAAAGCGCGCATTGTAGCATAAACCAGTGTCATCGTCAAAAACTAGCAAACTAGCAGACAGACCTACGCAACACTCCGTTATTATGGGGCTGGGGTACTATTACAGTATTTACGGTATGTAATAATTTATGTATAATTTATCTATAATTTATCTATAATTTGAATAATTCACGTTGCAGCAAAGCGAAGAAGCGAAGACTTTCTCTCATCTGATCGCCGAGCGACAAGACGTTTACAGGGGCGATTTCGGGCGTGTCAAAGTCAACAAATCGCATTTGGAATAACGAAAATTTGTGTTTTGTATTGGAGATTTTATCAATTTTATCATTTTATTAAAAAAATACTTTATCTTAGTAAATACCGGGATAAAAATACAACGAAAAAGTAAATAAAAAGCAAAAAAAACAAAAAAAAGGCGATAAATCTAGACAAATATGCGTTCAAAGGGTGAATGTTTGAAGATCACAAAAGAGATTGAGAAACAAAATGGAAATAGTTCACAAAATTCGAGTATAGAAGTGAATTTTTGGGGAAAACGAATATGCAAAGAACAAATGAAATGCAAAGAAAATCATAGATCGTTTTGCAAAGAGCAAAGAAGATCGTTTTGCTCTTTTTTTTTGGTGAAGAGATCAAAATTTGAAGTGCCGGCAATTTGCATATTGTAATGATTGAAGAAAAAGAGTATCAGCTGATCTTTAATGATCAGCTGATCTTTAATGATCATTTTTTAAAGTAAAATTAAGCATACTGTAGGCTAGATTCGTAAAAACGTAAAGATCGAATGCTTTCCCGTAAATCTTGAACACTTTTTTTCGAAGCTTAATGAAATTTTGCATCAATGAGAGTAAGTTTTGATTGAAAAAACTACTTGCCTTACTGGTTCGGTAACGGATTGTGAGTACGATAGGTAACCTATGGATTACGGTAGCTCATCAACGATTACTGTAAGTTTTAAAGAATTTGAGTCAAAGATTCTTTTAATTGCATACAGTACTGGACAATGAAATATCAATATTTGAAAAAAGATCGTCACTTTCGCACGTCTGTAACTCCATTGTCTTTAAGTTGAAACTATTAGTGTTATACATTTTCTGAAAGCTCTTTTCAAGGGCTACACAATGGTAATATTAATATTTAGAAATACGGTAAAGACAAGGGAGTTACAGACGCGCGAAAGTGACGATCGTTTTTTAAGTATGATATTTCATTGTCCAGTAGTGTATCTCTTTAGAGTAGCGATGATTGTTTCCGCTCTTTCCGTTCTTGTCGTCATTCCCGTGACCGAGAGTCGGATCTTTTCGGTTAGCTAGATAGAAATTCATCGATTAGTAGGTTTTTTATGAATCTAGATATGCACTTGAAGCGAAAAAAAGGGGCATAAAGAAAGTAAAAAAGAAAGAAAGAAAGAAACCTGAAAGAATGCCTGAGTCTCTTCCGATAAAAGTACTCGTTTGTGAAAAGAGAAATGAAAATGCTGAGGATCGAAAGCAAAAAAAAATAGAAACCAAAAATGAGGCAATAAGTTAGGAAGAAGGGTTTAAATACATTGAATGGGATGAGGGGAGTGGGTCATGCAGTCTATCGTTCTCTATCTTACAGTAATCTTACAATAATCTTACAGTAATCTTACAGTAGTCTTTACAGTAATCTTTACAGTAATCTTTACAGTAATCTTACAGTAATCTTTACAGTAATCTTTACAGTAATCTTAAAGCTTTTCCGACCGACTTGTGTAGATGCTAAAGGATATATCAGCTACTGTAACCCGGGCTTAAATCTCTACAATAGACATTTGATATTTGTAGAGCCAACTCCAAGTTAGTTGATGAACCACGATGAAATCTTACGGTATCAACTACTTGCCTTACTGCTTCGGTAACGGACTGTGAGTACGGTAGCTAACCTATGGATTACAGTAGCTAATTAGTACTGTAAGCTGAGTACCGGTAGCTTATCGTTTGTAAAAGCTATTGGGTTACGGGGTACGGTAGCTGCTAAGTATGGGCTACGGCAGCTGCTAAGTAGGCTACGGTAGTTGCTGGTATCGACTACGATAACTGCTAGGTACCGACTACGATAGCTGCTAAGTATCGGCTACGGTAGCTAACTCTTGGACTACGGTAGCTCTTGGACTACGGTAAATGGGTTACAGGATGTAATAGCCGAGATAACATCTACCCAAGTCGATGTTCAGGAATGACAACTCACCGAAAATAGTCGGTAAACTCAGTGAACATGTACTTCTAGTCATTTCCCGGCACTTCCCCCTGCACTCCCCCCGCCACCGCCCATATTGTGGGGATTCGGCATGAAATATGGATTTTGATTCCAAATCAAATCCGGATGGAAAGACGACGGTGGTTGAGGAGCCGGTGCAAACCCTCCACCACCCTGTGGCCACATTTGAGAGGAGCCGGCCGCTTGTTGATTGTTTATCGCTCTCGCTGTGCCCGTTCCCCGTCCAGTGTTCATCGACGAATGCCCATAGGCTCCGTATTGTCCAAAGTTCATCATTTGAGCTAAATCTTGAAAACTTTTCGTAAAATCTTACAAATTTTGAAAGTCATGAAAGTTAAGTTTTCTCAAAACGTGAGCTAAACATTTCTCTTTTTTAAATTCCAAAAAACCGACCAGCACTCGCGCCCCGTCCACCCATTTGGCCCATTTGATGATAAGGATTCTGATAGAAAGGTCCATAGTGATTCTGAAAATTTTTTTTTTCTTGCTATTTCCTATTGCTTGCTATTTCCCATACCGCGAAAGTTGGATCAAATTGCGGGAAGCCGTATTGAGGTTGATATCCAGACATCGGATATGGGAACATGCTTGGAGTCATCAAAGGATTGTTGAAGTTGAAAGAGCCAGAGCCAGAGGGGAGTGGAGCGAATGTAGCGGTTGATGGAGCGGCGGATGTGGACGCTTGGGTGGTGTGCGAGGAGCGATTTGAGGCTTTCTGAGAGGGGGATTTTCATTTGTGCATTAGTTGTGCAAATCCTTTCTGATACAAAATATTTGTGCCGGAATTCTCGGCCTCTCGTTAACGATCTCTTAATAAGCAACCAACACCAGCTACTATCGCCATCTCAATGTCACTAGGGTTGGTTTTATTTTAAAATACAATTAAACAACATCAAGATCATCAACAACCAAATCAAAAGCTGAATATCTTTAAAAGAAGTCGTATATAAGGCGACGCTCGTGATTTTACTCTAATTAAGATTAAGATTAAGATAAACTATTTGTGAGAGTTGTTTATCTCAAAGTTTCTCCTTTCCTCCTTTCTTCTGCTCACCTTTTTCTCTCGTTTAACTGGCTGTGTAGCTTGTGTTTGTGGCGGTGGCTGTGATGGGACGATCGGTTGAGCAATTGGAGGAGTGCCTTGCGACGGGAGATTGCATAAAGGTGATGGGCCTGGTAGCGGCATTCCATACGGACTTGTACCCACTAAAATGAAATTACTATTCTATAGAGGCTTAGGTCAAGAGATTGTTAGACTTGTTAGAATCTGTTGTTGTTAAGTTAGTCTAACAATCTCTTGTTCAAGAGATTGTTAGACTTGTTAGAACTCCATTAGAACTTTCATTTCTTTAATATCCCATTAGAAACCACATACTCGCTTGCGGGAGGTGCCGACATTGGGGTGGTTGCTTGGACGGGTGGTGGTTGTTGCTGCAGAGTTGGCGTCGCTTGATGTCGTAGAGGAGTGGCTGGATTGGAGGCGATGTTTGCGGATGGATAGCTGCCCGATAGATCGTGCCCCGAAGTGTTTAGTTGGGGACCCACTGAATGCACGGATGAACCAACGGAGCCCGGTTGCATGCACTGAAAAGAGAGGTGATTGAAAGCTTGGGTTACTTGTTCTGTGGTAAAATGCTTTACGGGACTTGCTAGAGATTTCTTAAACCAATAAGCTGAATAAGAGCTGGCCTAGCTTCCAACCTTGAACTTGGACAAGGACTGTCTTTATCTAAGGACTTGAACAAAGTCTTGGGCTCGTCAGAAGTCCGACTCGGGCTTGGCTTAGTGGCCAATAGTCTCGATTTGCCTGACTTCTGGCTTGATACGGTTTGTTTTGATCAAGGACCAGAAGCTTGACTAAGACGGGTCTGATCCTGAACTGATTCAGCCCAAAATGACTTTAAAATAGTCATCGGCACTATAAACTACAAAAATGACAACCTGTTACACTACAAACGCTTGTAGCTTGCTTTAAATCTGCCGGATTGTCATGATCTATAGCTTAAAAGATAGAGAATTTCAAGAGCTTTCGAATGGACTAAAGTACACTGAAGAACATCAATTCTAAAGAAAGCTACAGTGATTTATAGCCGTTGGTTTATAGGTTTATAGCGAGTACAATCCGTCGGGCTACAAACCGACGCCCGACGTATTTGTAGCCCGACGGATTGTACTCGCTCTAAACCTATAAACCGACGGCTATAAACCACTGTAACTTTCTTTAGAATTGATGTTCTTCAGTGTACTTTAGTCCATTCGAAAGTTCTTGAAATTCTCTATCTTTTGGTGACTAAAGTAAAAGAATGGGCTAAAGAAAACACCGAAAAATATCACTGCTAAAGAAAATTACAGCGGTTTTTAGTCTGACAGATTGTACTCACGTGTAGTCGACGGCTATAAACCACTGTAACTTTCTTTAGAATCAATTTTCTACTGTTCTACAGTGTTCCAATGTTCTACTGTTCTATTCATTCGAAAGTTCTTGAAATTCTCTATCTTTTAAGCTATAGATCATGTCAATCCGGTAGATTTTGAAGCAAGCTACAAGCTTTTAGAGTTTCTAGTGTCCATATCCACTTTAAAACATCTCTTGTATCATAGCTTTGGTCAATAAAAGTATAATTCTAATACGAACCTGCATCTGTGGAGGGCTCATGAATTGTTGCATTTCAGGAGTTGTTTGATGGACACTTCCCGGCGCTCCTCCACACATTCCAACACTGCCCGGAGTGCCTTGGCCAAGCATTGGGCCAGCGCTTCTAAAATTCTTCTTGTTTTTGGGAGTATTAGAAGCTATAGAGCTATAGAGCTACTGTAGATCTACAGCTTCTAACTAACCCCGGATACTGTAGGGTTTGTTGTGGAGTGAGTTGCATGGCCGCTGTTTGAACGGGATTCAACGGGACACTCGTTGTCATCTCAATATGATGATCCTAAAATATTGCTTTATACTTAAATATTATCCTAGCTATATTAAACGTTAAAATATCAAGGTATTTCCCAACCTCAACCCGGTCATCTTCGACTGGATGATCCAACATTGCTGGGGCTTTCGGTGGACGATCCATGGCACTCTAGAACTTGACGATTTGCCTAATAATTGCTAAATTTGTATTCTAGACTAGAATATTTCTAAGAATGGTAAGTGAAGCATTCGATTGATTTATTTAGAATCTTACCAAACACACCTCAGTCACAACGGCTTCCACGGCAACAGCCTCGGGAATTATGTCCTCTTTTATGTCCTAAAAATCTCATGTTAAACTTATATTTTCTTGGTATAATAAGTTCGATATTTTGCAGAATTTTGCAAAAATTGAATATCTTTTTTAAAAATCGATAGGAAAAAAGCACAAACCGAATAGTTTGGAGAAAGATTCGGCGGCGCATCATCGTCCTCATCTGGACCGAATTGAGGAGCCATTCCGATTAAGTTTCCTAAAACATTAGACACTAGAAAGAAGACAGAAAACAGAAAACAAAAGACAGAAAACAGAGATTTATAGAAATACTCAACCTAAGATTAGTTTTCTAATTTTTTTACTTGATTCTGAAGATGTTAGCTGAAGTGTTTCGACTGGTGGAAGTCCTCCGACTGGCTCACACTCGACCACATTCGATTGCTCGGGTGCTAGTATTGGTGGAGCTTCGTAATTGGAAATAGTATCGCTAAAATAAGAATTATTAGAAGAATTACGAGCTTTGCTAAAGTAGAAACAAGGCAACAACAAACTAGTGAGTTTCAAAGCTGATTAGGAAACGGAGAAACTCCTTTTTTGGCGAGATAACAACTCTAACTTAACTCTAACTCTAATATTTCATTAGTAAATTGAATATCAACTCACACTGTAGCTTCAGCCAGTTCTCCAGCATCCGGTATTCCGCCCATATTAATCATATCATTGTTTGGTCCTTGTTGAGTGGGGAAAAGGTCGCCTAGCGGACGCGGGCTTTCTCTCCATTCACTGCATGATGAGGATGAGGGTGATGGAGAGATTGCATGACTAAAACAATAGCTGAATATCTGAATAACTGTTAACATGAAGTTATCGTTGTTTAGATTATTGAAGTTTACTGAATTGCTATTCCCTACAGTTTTGAGAGGCCTACTCGCCTTCCCTACTCGCCTCAACTCGATACAAAAGTCGGTCCAAGTCTTTGGTCCAAGTTGGTCCAAGTTTTTGGTCCCAGTTGGTCCAAGTTGGTCCAAGTTTTTACAATTCTTTTCCAAACGTTTTTAAAAAATAATGCCGCCTACCAACAGAATTTCTATCTAAACTAATCGTAGGAATTGTTATTCCCTAAAAACTCGACTTGTCCAAGTTCCTATTGAAATCTGTTGTCCATCTGGGGGTGGGACAAATCCGACCACCTTTTTTTTTTGCTGAAAAAGGCCTTAGGCAAGGCCGTAGAGCTTCGAAAATCTTTCCATAAGGGAATCGTATGCGTAGATTCTGAATTTCGACAAATCAGACCTCGCTGACACGTCAAATTTGGGCTAAAAGGCAAAAACTGCGGAAAAGCGTTAAGTTGCGTAGTTTTTGCCTTTTAGCCCAAATTTGACGTGTCAGCGAGGTCTGATTTGTCGAAATTCGGAATCTACGCATACAATCCCCTTGTATGGAAATATTTTCGAAGCTCTACGACCTTTCCTAAGGCGTTTTCCAGCAAAAAAAGGTCGCATTTGTCCCACCCCCGTCCATTTGGCTTACCCAAGAAATGCTAACTTCTAATTCATATTTATATTCACTAGAATGTTTATGTTATTTCATTTATGTTCAACTTGAATGATGAAAACGTTTTCTGAAATTTGTTTCTTCTAAATCTTCTGCTTTCTAAATCTAAATCTAAATCTAGATCTAAATCTAAATCTAAATCTGTTCTGTTCTTCTAAATCGTAACTCTTTCGTCGGATTACTGTAAATTTTGCCTTTATAAGACGATTTTTCGTCATTTTCCCTCACTTTCAAAATCATTTTCTATCACTAAATCTGTTTTGATAAAGTTTTCGTTGCTTTTGAACACTTTTGAACACTTTTGAACACTTTTGAACACTCTTGAACACTCTTGAACACTCTTGAACACTTTTGAACACTTTTGAACACTTCTGAAAACTTTTGAACACTTTTGAATACTTTCAATCACTTTCAAATCACTTTCAAAGCGAATTGTATTCATTCCGATCAAATTCGAATCAAGTTTGAAACAAAGAACACAATTTTGGCATTCATAGCCGCAAAAAAAAGGACTTTACTTCTTACATTCACTATCTAACTTTATATCTTTTTATCTTTTATCACAACAATTCTAAATTAATTTTTGTATAAGAAATCTAGCTGTTAATCTTTATAAGGTTGATTCTCACCTAACCGGCCCGGCTTCACTGTCGTCACTGCTGCTTTCCGCGGAACTGGCTGTTGTCGACGCCATTCCATGCACCGGTGGCTGAGGTGACTTCGCCGAGTGACGAGACTCAGCTCTTGACCCAGAGACACCAGCGTTTATTGTAGAGCCGCGAGATGAGGCTTTCCTCGAGTCGCTTTCGGGTGGATTCGGCGGTGGCCGTGGTAAAGAACCGGGTAAGGGGGGACAGCCCTGAAATCATTTCATGAATTTCATGAGAAAGTAGCTTTGTTTAGGATCTAGTTTTAATAATCTACTTTTAAAGTTGAAATCTGAATCTTTTCTAAACCCACTCCATCGTCAGCCTCGTCGCCAACGTCGGCCATCGAGCGACCACCTCCAGGCGACCCAGGTGCGCCGTCTAATCTCATTGGTACCTGTAACTTTTAAAATTAAGTCTAAACATCTAAATTGTTATTTAAATTGCAAAATGCCTCTTTGTACATCTAGAAGTAAATCAAGAAGTACATCAAGAAGTACATCAAGAAGTACATCAAGAAGTACATCTAGAAGTACATCAAGAAGTACATCAAGAAGTACATCTTTGTACATCTAGAAGTACATCTTTGTACAACTTGAAGTACATCAAGAAGTACATCTTTAGAAGTACATCTAGAAGTACATCAAGAAGTACATCTAGTAGTACATCAAGAAGTACATCTAGAAGTACATCAAGAAGTACATCTAGAAGTACATCTAGAAACTAGAATTAAAAGCTCAAAGCTATTTGCTTTTGAGTAACAGGTTTTTATAGATTTTAGATTTTGTTTCTTTTGAATATAAGCAAGAAAACTTTCCAGTTTTATGGAAAAATCTAGAAAAGCATAATTTGAACATTGTACATTGTAACAGTAACATTTTAATCATTTAAAACGAACCGTTCCCTCCGTTCCAACACTCGTGGCCACACTCAAACACTCCGGGATACTTGTCGGACTTTTTGGTGGCGAAGTCGAAGCTCTCCTTGTTCCATAGTTTTGTGGGAAAACCTAGAAAGGGTGTTGTTCATTTTGGGTCACAATTTACCTTTCCAGGACTTTTTGGGGGATTCTTGTTCCTCGGATAGCTTCTCGGCGGCGGTTTTCTCGGCGCTTTTCCTCGACTTGACGTTGATGTCGTTGGATTGACAACTTTTTGCGAGGATCCCTTTCTTGCGCCTTTTCCTGGGGTGAACGACTCATCTTCAGAGTCTGGAATTGAATTGAATTGAATATTCAAACTTTCTAGTCGATTTTTTTTTGCCTAAACTCACCACTAGAAAGTGTTGCAGAACTCGAGGTATCAGGCGAGTCTTCATAATTCGCTTTCTTTCTCCCCGTTCCTCCTCGACTTCCGCCTTTCTTCATCTGTTTATCACCAGATCTTGCTAAAAGATTTTTAGAAATATTTCTGAGATAATCGATCAAATTTTTAAACCCTAACTCTTTCTCGACTTACTTTTCTTTGCTGCAACTCCAGTACCGTTCGATTTTAAAGCTCCAGAAGGTTTTGGGGGACTCTTATCGCCTTCATCATCTGTCGAATGATCTCTCGGTCGAAAGTTTATAGCTAAAATTGATTATATGAATTTAAATTATACGATTTTAACTTTTCAAGCTCTATCAAAACAAATTCAGAAAACTAGGTAGAAAGAAATTCAATTTACGATCTGTCTGTAATGGAATTGGCAAGAAAAGTAGATTTGCAGAGAGGGGATTGAACTATCGATTGAACGGGATTGATTGAACGGGATCGATTGAACAGGATTACTGAGCAATTGCTCTAATCACTCAGCTATCCAGTATCTTAACTTGCCAAGAGAAAGAAGAAAGAAAGAAAGAAAGAGAAGGTCAAGAGCTTCTGGCCGGCCTAGCTAGCCAGGGAAGTTCCCTTAAAACAACCGAAAACCCTAAAAAGTGAGTTGAATCCCAGTTCTGCCTAATAGTTAATCTTTGAATCAAAGCCAATCTTTCTTTCCACCATCACAACATACTTGGTTGACAAGGTCGTCCGCCTTTCTTCGGCAATTTCTTCATCTCCTCATCCTCTTCAGTGCTCTCCTCAGTGAACTCGTCTTTTTTTTTCGTCTCCTAGAAATTGTTTGCTAAGAATTGAGTTTGTTATGTATTCAAGAATTGCTACTTTACTCTGCACACACACCTTTTTTGGATTCGGTCTCCGCGAGCCTCTCCCAAGCCCTTTTTTGATCGTCGCCCCAATGGCGGCTATGCTTTTCCCGTTTGGAGTCGAACCAGTGCCACCAATTTTCTGGAGTGATGTGGATCGTCGGGGACTTCTAGAATTTGATTCTAATTTTAGTCTTTTGACAAAACATCAATTTATTCTGATAAATACTCAAATGTCAGCAAAGAAAGTTTAAAAAAAGTCAATTAAAGCCTTTAGAAGTCAACAGCCATTAAATTAAAGTCAATTAAAGCCTTTAGAAGTTAACATATCAAAAATGAATAGTTACAGTATGGATTAAGTACCCCAAAAGTTCAACTAGATAAATTGACTCATTAAGAACCAAAGTTTCAATGTGTGAAGAGCAAAAAAACACTAGAAGAATAGAAATTTAAAGTATCACAAGTTCTAGAAGATTTTAAAAGTCAAAAAAACTTTAAATTTCTATAGTTTTCTCTTTTTCGGAGTATTCACCAACCCCAGAGGGCTTCGACTGATCGACTTGCGTGGGGTGCGAATCGTGTGACGAGATGGAGTGTACGTTGATGGAGTCCACTGGAAAATCCGTATGTTTACTTTAAATCAGAAATATTGGTTAGATTTGGCTTTATGGCAACAGTTCCAGCACCATTAACCTCTAAATAGTGGTACTATTGACTATCAGAAGCCAAAGCAAAGCCTAGCTTGGCTTTCCCCGGTCTGGTGTCGTTACAGTCTTAGCCCACAAAAGTCTTTGAAGTAAAGCATAAAGCCCTACCCTGGTGGCAACGTGTTGGTGTAGCTGTTTGCCCGATAAGCGATAGGTCGCGGGTTCGAATCCCAGGTCCGACCAAGCCCCAACCCATCAACGTGTCCAACTCTAGGCTATCTGGTTTCCCGCATGACTCTGGCTTTAGCTGGTGGCTTGAATTATCTCTGTCCAAACCGACTGTACTAGTTTTATTTTGTACTTGCTTACTGTACTTGAATTTTTGATTACTTTTTACTTCTTGATTAACAACTTACAAGTACCCTAGCTTAAATACCTACGTAAATACTGTAATATTACCCCACCTCCCTCGTACAGTCGCGTAGTCGCAAAAGTTTTTTAGTATTTCATTTTTTGCAAAGCACCCGTACTTTCAAAAAATGCATCTTTGGTATCAAAAAAATAGCTGAAATTCAGGGCTATTTTTTCATACCTAAACGCGCATTGTAGCATAAACCAGTGTCGAGAAAAACTCGTTCAAAGCTAGACTACGAAACGCTCTGCACCGTCATTATGGGGCTGGGGTACTATTACAGTATTGACGGTAGCTGTTTACCTGCAAAGCGCTTTCGTCAATCCAAATCCTTCCTTTATTCTTCTTCTCCTTGTTCCAATGTTCTTCAATCTCTGGCCAGTTGATGTTAATCGTTAGCGGTTGATCGGAACTAAAATTGTCTTTAAATCAAAGACAAATGAAAGACAAATCAAAGACCATCTAGTCTTTCCTTACCTTGATCCATCACTGTTCGAAAACCATCCCATATGCTCCATTGTGTTGACAACATCATGCACTCTGATTCCTGTCTCTCGGCAAAGTTCTGAAATTTTAGATAATAAACATTAACAAGAAGCAAAAATACTTTAGAAATTTGAAAGATTCAGAATAAAATCCAGTTTTTCAACTCTCAAACCGTTCAACTTAGTGATGATAACTTAGTTCTCCACTCAACTCACCATCAAAATCGAATTTCTTTGTCATATCCTTTTTTCTCCTCGCTTTCACCCATTCAAGAATCGCTGATCGCCAATAGGAAGCATACGCGAGAAGACCCAAATGAGAGAGCGGCTTTTCAGGAGATCCCCTCATTCCCTCTTTGCGTGACAAAAGAAAACCTGGAAAAGTTTAGGATTAAATTTACATAAGTTTCGTTGGCTGTTTGTCTAAAACACGAAAATAACTTACTGAAATCGATCAAGAATCGTCCGAAACCCTGTCCCTGATAGCAAGGCAATGTCACGATACACGACAAGTTCCACTGTTGATGGCAATACTTTTCCTGAAACAAAATAAATAGAATTCTTTAAGAAATGAAACCTTTGAGAAATAGCCGACAAAGTGATGTCCGTATTCATCGTTTTTTGTTGATACATAGAAAAGAAATGGCTCTACATCGTAGTAGAGAGTTTTGTGATCGAGGAAGAGTTTCGCCAAGAGGCAAAGGTTTTGGCAATAGGTTTTCGAGAGGACACCGTCCACCTAAAGATTTGGTTTTGATTTTCGATAAGATCGAATGCTATTCGTTTACTATAAGTAAAACATGATTGAAATGCGATAAGTTTTATTCTTCGCTTACTATTAGCATTACTATAGAATAAAGTGGTTTTCACTCAAAACTGTGAATACTATTGTACTCCATTGGACTCCATTGAACTCCATTGGACTCTATTGTACTCCATTGGACTCCATTGAACTCCATTGGACTCTATTGTACTCCATTGGACTCCATTGAACTCCATTGGATTTCATTGGACTCCATTGGACTCCATTGGACTCCATTGGACTCCATTGAACTCCATTGTACTCCATTGGGTTCCATTGTACTCCATTGGACTTCAATAGCATTATTGAATAAAATCCTCACTTCATAGACAGAAACATTATTCTTTCGATAGATTTCCCTTCCTGGTGGATGTCGAAGAGAGCATTTGAGCGCGTGTTGAGAGAGTAAATCCTTTGAACGAAGGTATTTCATGCAAAATTCGCAAATGAACAACACAGGCACATGTGCGTATTCGGATGGATACGGTGAACTGTACCAGGTTTCCACCTCGTAACGACCTGAAAAATTCAATTTAATGTTTAAAACTTTGTGAAATGAACCGAATGATATGGATAAATCAATAATCCAATAAATCGTCAAATTTTTTGGTTAACAAAAATGGACACTGAACATTGACATTTCCTATTTCATTTTTCAGCAGCGATCATTTTTAAAGTTTAAATGAAAAGAATGGTTTTAAATTTTTAGACAAAATCATGAATCTAGTGAAAAACTGTCCGTAAATTTGAAATATCTAAACGAAAAAGATTGTCAGCTCTTTTGGTTTTTGAGAAAATCATGGGGTAGGCTAATTTCCGCAATTTTTTTTTTGCGCAACAGGGTCGTTTGCGCAACTTGCCATAACTTTCTTCTAAGTGGACCAATCTTTATTATTTTGTTTTCATTTCGTAGATCTCAATAAGTGCAACAAAATGAAATCAACATTATAAAGATTGGTCCACTTAGAAGAAAGTTATGGCGAGTTGCGCAAAAAAAAATTGCGGAAATTAGTCTACCCCAAAATCATCCTTTTGTAGAGCACAACACTATATCTGTTGTATCTTGTAAATCTCGGTAAGTACTTCTTTTCAAGTCCAATGCTTCGATTCACTAGTTCACTAGTGAATCGTTCACTATTCGTTCACTATATCACTATAATAGTGAACGATTCACTAGTTCGATACAATACTCACCGATTCGAATCGCTTTCGGTATTCGCGGCGCGTCTTTCGGACTCTTCATCTCCATTTGCATTTCTTTCATCGCCGCATCGATCTCCTAGAAATTGCAATTGTTATTAGCAAGTAGTTGATGATAAACCAAATCTTCAAGTCTTCAAGGATTTGTGTCCTTGGAATAGTAGACTTGTGTTATTTTAAAACCACCTGTATATGACTACATATAAGTCTAGAGCTCAAGTGAAATGGAAAAATGAAAAACTCAAACTTGACAAGCTAGTTAATTTTGTTTCTTGATTGGTATCAAAGTATTATTTCTGGAAATTTCATAGATCATTATTTTCACGGGTTTCTCACCAAAAACCAGACTTGCCAAGGTGCTATTTTTTTTGAAATGCTCGAAAGCTACTTTACAGCCGACGACGAGCCATTTTTTTTGCTATGATAACTATGGTGCTCAAAAGTGCTCAAAATTTGTAACTGGGGCTTTCAAAAGTGTTGCTTTCAGAACAGAACATTATTTTTTCATTATTCCCAGGTTAAATAACATATTTTGTTGTTAAACTAACAACCCATCTTTCTCGGTTAAGACTCATAGGAAAGCTCGAGTCTTTTTAGCTCTAGATCAAATATCTGAAGAGAGATGTGCTAAAAAAAGAACGAGCAGAATTTTCAATTTTATGGTTAAAATTGAAAGCTTTTTAGTTGCTAGCCTAGCTCCTGCTTGAAAAAATGTTAGCTTTTATACTACCTCTTGATTTTGCCTCGTGATCTTCGCGAAGAGTGCCTCGTTTTCCGGATCGATTTCATAGGTTTCATCCAAATCATCCACTTCTTCTTTTTCTTCACTTTTCGAGAAACTTTCACTAAAAATCTTTCAAAATTATCAAATCAAAGCAGTCAATTTTTCCTTGTTATTCGTCAATTCATAGAAATTCTTCAATCATTTTACTTGAGAAAATTGAAAGGACAAAGGCTGAGAGAAGAATGAGAATGAGAGAAGATGACCTATTTTTGTGAGTATAAAACTTCGAAGAGTTTCAGGAAAAGCATCTCTTTGATCGATTGTGAAAATGGCAATTCAACGAGTCACCGCTACATTCATTTTACTTACTGGTGCTCTCGCTGCACCATACCATCACGATTCGTACTGTAAGTGATTGGCAAAAGTTTTATCTAGCTTTCTAGCTAGGAAAGTAAAGTAACGAGTTAAATATTGAATTTGAAAGACTACAATAAGTACAGTACATCACAGAACGCTTATAAAGATCCAATAGAAGGCTCGGTTTGACACTTAAAAGCCTATAGCTAATACAGTACACTACTATCCAATTAGATAAAAATTAGTACCGTTTTTCAGCTCCTTACGGCCACGAGAGCCATTACGGTGACTCCTACAAAGAGGGTTATGAGAAAGGCTATGAGAATGGAGATCACAAAGAGTACGGAACCTTCAAATATGATGGAAAAGGTCAGTGTGCTTTAAATAGTAGTTTAATAGTCCAGGAAATAGTTCAATGCAAAAGACTTTAAGTTCTATTTTACAATATTCTAGGCTACTATGCAAAAGGAGGGAAATACGGTAAAGACTATGCACACAACGATCATCACTATTATGCTCCACACAACGATGGTCAGCGATTTTGAGAAGAGAAACACCTCTTTTTGGGCTTGCTTTTTGTAGAATTAGCGCAAAATCGAATCCACCAAAGGCTAGCAGCATCTTGTTTCATTTCCTATTTTGCACTTGTTCACCGGAAAAAAAAGGAGTGCTTTAAAAGATGATCTTTTAACAGAAAACTTTCACTATAGTATTGTTAGGGAATTTAGATCATTACGATCACTATTCTCCCTACTACTTGCACTATGAGCCACACAGTTATGGAGCCGAGTTTCACCACGAGAAGTCATACGGTTACACTCCTTACTCGTACGGATATGGACACTACGAGCCACATTATAACTCATACAGGTAAGAAAAAAAAGAAAAGAATTGCTTAAAGAAACAAAGAATAAAGCAAGTATACTAGGTTTTTAAGCGAAAAATTTGAGAATTAAGTATTCCAAGATTTCTCAGAATATCCCGTTGAAAGTATTGAGCTAAGGGGAAATGTTGGGAAATGCTAAGAATTCAATTTCGGAGTACAATTTGAAAGATTTAAAGAGATAGGGAAAGGAAATTGAAGAAACTTTCAAGTAAAAGAAAATTCTTAGCCCCTACTCCTACCACGGTTACGATGATCATCACCATGATCACCACTACAATCACTATGAGCCTGATCATCATGATCACCATGAACCCCATCACGAATTCACCTATCTCAGGCATCAATAGAGTCCTCAGTTTTGGTTTCACTCACTTTTTATCCATGCCTCTCTTTGATCGTCCTTTCCTCGATGCGTGACTATTCTAAATTTGCAGCTTTTTTTGTAATTTGAATAAAGTTTGAGCTTAATCTTTGTACAATCTTTTATATACGAATCCAAAATAAAAAATAAGCCAGAACTTCAACTAAAATAACTACAGTATCCCCCTCGAGATACGGTAGTCCAGAATCACTTTTAAATCTTAAATTAAATACATTAGCGTCAATCTTTCTATTTCCACTAACCCCTGATTTCGGTGCAGTTGAAGGAGTCGGCGTTGTGGTTCCATCATCTCCACTTGAGCTACTCGCTGCAAGCACCACTGATCGACGTCGTCTAAACAAAATACTTTTTCTTTACATTTCTAGAAGTATTACGGTACTTTCCAGATCATGCAGTACCGATAATTTCATAACTCTTGCCAAAGATTTTTCTATTATTAGATATCTTACCTGACTTGAGCTTCGGGTGAATGCATCAACTTGGGCGTTCGTGTACGTTTACCCGATGGCGGCGCTGATGTTTCACCGTCGCCCTGTAAATGAATTTAAAATGTTAGTTTTTTCTTAAGAACCTCATCTTTATTTTTTGAGGTACTAATCGACGGTCCTCCAAACAAGGCTGCTGAAGCACTGTTCTGTGTGACGCGTAAGCCAACACCCTACAAATAAACCGTTGACGAATCTTATTACAGTGCTTGGCTATCGACAAATTTATGCAAAGACAAATAGATTTTATATTCTGAAATTTGCTACCGGTAGTTACTTTCTATTTTGCATAGACTTATCGATAAAGCCGTCCAGTAGACAAATTGGTGCGTGACAAACACAAAGGTTAATGATTTTTGAGCGGAGGAATTGAAAGATATTCTTAAAATGCTTTACCATTGACTGCCATTCAGCTTCTTTTGTCGACGATCGCCCTTTTCTGCGGCCTGGTGATCGAACTTTTTGTGCCGAATCGACACCGCTCGAGTCGGCGGATCGTTGTTTCTAAAGAGCAACACAGGTTAGCTCAAAATCAGTAGCTTCCCAAAACAGGACCAGATTCTCAACAAGTGTGCTATCAGTTACGGAAGACGGTTAGCATTTGAAGCCGTTCGGAAAGTTTTAGCCACAGAAAGGGGTGGGATGATCATTAAACCTACTCTAGGATTTTTTAGAATCGGTGTTTCGCTCGTTTCATTTTGAGTGCCAGTCAAATGTTTTGAAGGTGACGGTCCGCGAACAGTCTCAATTAACGACGACGCCCGCTCACTTCCCGCCTCTGTGGCAGCTGAAATATTGGAAAAGGTTGATTTTTCTATTTTTTTTTTTACTTACCTTCTATAATTTCTGAAGCGAAAGATGAGTCACTGACAACTGAGTGAGATCCGGGACTGATCACTAAATGTTTTTTGTTGTTTTACTTCTTAATTGGCTTATGATTTTCCGAAACCTACTGCTAGTTGACGGCTTATTTGAAGGCGATCGTCCATGTAGAAGACGGCTAAACTCGCCGGGTTGCACACAACGTCTCTTCTCTGATGACGTAATAAAATTCGGCGAAAGCGCGTCTTTTAACTAAAACTGATCATTTTAATAAGGAATCCAAGGTCATACTTTATCTGTTGCGGTGGGCCTTCTGGATGGCGAAGAATGTTGATCATCTAAACATTGATTTTTTAAGAATCATTAAACTGCATTAATACCTGAACTTTTGCTTGCCCCTTTCGAATCCTCAGTGATGACGATACTCAACGGCTCCTAATGAAACATCATACCGACTCAATGAGAAGCTATAACTTACCGTTTTGTCAGCTTCACTAGGCCTCGGTCGACGTCGGCTGTGTGCTGGTGTGAAGTGGGCGGTGAGGCTGTCCTAAAAAAGATTAATTAAGCAAGAAGAATTATCGTACCTTGAGCTGATTTCTTTCTTTTCCAGTTTTCCCATCCTGCGAGTCGAGTTGCTCTCTAAACCAAAAAGATAACAAAAGCCTTCAAGTAAAACCGTTTTACACTCGTTAAACGTTTAAAATCATTCAAAACTTGCTTGCTTTACTTTAAAAAACTACTTGATTTAAAAGAAAACTTATTTGTTTACCTTGTAGCCTCATGAGAGGTCGACTGCCTCTCCCCCTCTGGCCGAACCATCGTGAGATTGTTGTTTCTAAAAAATTTATTTGAAATTGTCATAGATAAACATAGATAAAGGAAGAATTATGAACTACAATAAGAAAAACTCGAAGATAACATTTCTATCTATAAAACAAGCAAAATTTTTGTTGACATTTCTCACGAGCTGAAAATCACACACAGAAAGATCTTAACATTTTCAAACAGCGGCGGCTCCGGAAATAATTTCAATCAATTCACGGGTAATCACAGCTTGACGCGTTCGGTTGAAAGCCAGAGTCAATTTGCTAATCATCTCTCCGGCGTTCTTTGATGCACCATCCATGGCAGTCATCCGAGAGCTCTGCTCCGAGGTGGCATTCTCCTTCATCGCATAATAAATAAGCTGAGCCAGAGCGTACTCGGTGTACGATTGCAAGACGTCATCATCAACGGAGTCGTAAGAGTTGAGCGCCTCCTTAGCTTTCACGGCCTCCAAGGGAAGAATTGGAAGCTTTGATGTTTGGTAGGAGACGACCGACTTGAACTTGTTGAAAACAATGTTTCCTTCCTCGAAGTCAAGCCCCGAGTTGAGAATGGCATCAGCAGCAATGGCCGCATCCTCGAAAGTTGGTGGCGCACGACCGATCTCACTGCCGCTCAAGACGATGTGCTTTGCGAAAAGGCGTTGCAAAGCGGCACGCGACTTGTCACCAATGCACACGAGTTTGTAGTCAACATCGGCCGGTTTGTTGTTCAAGATGCTCTTTGCCTCCCTGGCAATCGAAGAGTGCACGGCTCCGCAAAGGCCACGATCGGAGGTCATCAAAACGAGCAATTGCTTCTTCTTTTGCTCGGTGGACTCCTCCTTTTTCCCGTCGATGTTGTCGAAAAACGCCGTCGAACCAACTCCGTACACTCTGGCTCCCTTGAGATCTCGTTCGGCTTTCGCGTATTTCGCGGCGGCAACCATCTTCATCGATTTGGTGATCTTCTGGATGTTCTTGACGGACTTGAGACGGATTGAGATGTCCTTCAGGGTAGCCATTCCTCGCTGTTGCTCACACACGGGCAATTGAGCCGCCTGGGCCAATTTGGTTGTTCCAGCTCGGAGCATCCTCAAGCTTGTTTCTGAAATGAAAACAATTAGTATAAGTAAAAGATTTGGAAAAGAAACGGAAAACTTAACGGAAAATGCAAAGATTATGCCATTTACCACAAAACTACCCCAAATAACCTTTACAGGTGGCACAAGGGCGCGACGTGTTTAGGAAAATGGCGTCGTCGTTGAAAAGGCGAACTTTAGCAAACTTGAATTCAAAAACGAAATATCTTTTCGAATTGAAAAGGCAATATAAAGATTTAAACTTCTGCGCAGATTAATTTTCTTTTCATTTTCTTTTTAATTGTCGCCTGTGGCACTTTGCACTCAATTATTGTACTTCTAGTCATTGCCAGGGTTTAAGCTTGGTAAATTTTGGTGGTTGCAATCTTTTTTGACTCTGTTTTTTAAGAAAAGGCAACTTGATTTTTAATGGATAGAATTACAACCCTGTTGTTAGAATTACATCGTTAAGTTAGATTTTATCAAAATTTTACATGCTTATTTTTTACTGATTTGTCGAATTTTGTTGCTTTCAGTTTAAATCTTTCTAATTTTTTTTTATTTCAGGTATGTCAAGTCCAGAAAAGTCTCCAGGAGCAACGAACGAAGAGAAAGTAATTTCTTCGACAAGCGATGAGAAAGTTGATGAAAAGCCGCAAATCGACTACGAGAGTCTCTTCCTGAGTCGATACACCTCGGCGGATCCAGATTACGCGAAAACCGAGCAGGGCTTTGATCCACCAATTTGTCAATATCAATGGCCTATCAACAGAGGTGGTGGTGGTGGTGGAGGAGGAGGATTTCAAGGGAATCGAGGAGGAAATCGGGGCAATTGGAGAGGAGGAAACAATCAATGGAGAGGCAATCAAGGAAATCGAGGCAATTGGAGAGGCAATCAAGGAAATCGAGATGATCAGGGTGGTTGGAGGAAACGAAGATTGGATGACGAGAATCGCTTCGAACGGAGGAATTAAACGGGCGTTAGTAGTTTTTTTTCCCACTTTGTTCTTGTCACTCTTTGAGCATCATTAAACGTAAAAATGAGCCTAAAATTGTCTTTCTTTTGATGCTGAAAGAGTACTCTTTCTATCTAATTTTTGGGCACCCAGTTGATCATTTGTTGTTACTGAAATTATTGATGATTTGTTTTAAAACGTGCAACGCGGCTGTTTTTTCTTTTACTTTCCACTTTGTTCAAATTTCAAGTTGTTTATCAGATAAATTAAGAGTTCGAAATGTTGCAGCAAGGGTCTTCTGAAGAGGCGGCACCATTTGTGGTTTTGGAAACAAGGTGAATATTTCGAAATATTTTTTATGAAAGTTTAACTTTAGCATGGGAAAGGTAGCCGTGGAACTCTACTGGAAGCACGCACCGAAGACGTGTCGAAACTTTGCAGAACTAGTAATGATTCTCTTTCATTAGAGCTTCGAAAGATTTATCTATTTGCAATGTTTTGTTTAGGCTCGAAGAGGGTACTACAACAACACGATTTTCCACAGAATAATCTCCGATTTTATGATACAAGGAGGAGATCCAACTGGAACTGGTCAGTTTGCATTTTAGAAGAATTTTGATTGAACGAAATCGGGATTGAAAAATTCTACTTTGTTGTATAAAATGTAGTTTTCTGTAAATTTGCTATGCAGTTTTTTCTGTTTAGTAAGCATACAAACTAGAATTATGATGTCCATTTGTAAAAGTTAATTAGCAGTAAATTTCTAATGGTTGATTATACAAATTTATCTAAATTTTTGGTTTTAGGGAGAGGTGGAGCATCAATTTATGGTGACAAATTTGCCGATGAACTCGATGAACGTTTGAAGCACACTGGAGCAGGTAATATTTTAAAAAGTTTTTTCAAAGAGTAACATTTTAGGCATTTTGTCAATGGCGAATTCGGGTCCGAACACAAATGGTTCACAATTTTTCATCACTCTCGCCCCAACACAGCATCTCGACGGGAAACATACGATTTTTGGACGAGTGGCGGCTGGAATGAAGGTATGATCTTATGTGTTTAGAGTGGGAAGTATTAATGAAGCGAAAAAAGACAAGCAAAAATCCTTGTTTTCAAAGTTGGTGAAGTTGCAATTAATGCAGTGAAGATACTTTTTTTGCATTTAAAATACTTCCCTATTTGATCACTTTTCTAATGCAAAGATTGATTTTGAAGACCATTGCTTTAGAATGGTTCTAGATAGCAGGAAAGCATTTTAAAAGCCATTCATAATTAAAGTTTTATATTTTTCCTTTAGGTTGTGCAAAATATGGGTCGTGTCGATACGGATAATGGTGATCGTCCTTTGGCTGCCGTCCGAATCATCAAAGCCTACCCAAAAGACGACTCTCGATTTTGATCTCCGTTTGTTCTCTGTATGTTGTTACATTCATATTTTTGAATATTTATTAACAAATGACGAATAAAGTTACACAAATACAGCACAAATTCGCATAAAAATCATTACGAGATCATCGATGCTCTAATAAAATTTGAAAATCTAGGGAAAGCAATCGAAAAACAATATGTAAGACAATATGTAAACAATATTTAAGACCCGGGATAATTTAAAGTCCGTATAATTTAAAGAAAATTATTGAGGCGCGACCTCAACATTATGTTTAGTTTGTTGCTTGAGAGTTAGTTCAAAGTAGGCACCTCGTTGGGCCATCAACTCTTCATGTGTTCCTGAAATGAGGTTATTTTATCTTCTTTCTCGTAATTTTGATAGTTTTAAGCCATTGGATTTAAGCTATATCTTACCTTGTTCCACGACTTGCCCTCCACTGCAGACAAGAATTGTGTTCGCTTTTACGACAGTCGACAGTCGATGAGCGATCACAATACAAGTACGGCCTTCAGAAGCTTTGTCCAAAGCTTCTTGCACCAACTAGAATCGTTTTCATATAAATTTTGTCCGTTTTTGGACTCACCTTTTCACTTTCTGTATCGAGGGCACTTGTTGCTTCATCGAGAAGCAAGATCTTCGGATTTCTGATGAGAGCTCTTGCGATGGCGACGCGTTGCTTTTGTCCTAGAAAAGATTGTGATCAACTTTATCTACATATTTAACTTCTAATCTTAATATTGATTTATCTAGTTCTGTATCTGACTATGAGTAAAGACAATTTTCTATAGTCAACTGGAAAGTGTTTCTAACCTCCAGACAACTGTGTCCCCTTGTCACCAACTCTTGTATCGTATCCATCGGGCAATTCACTGATAAACCTAAAATATCATTAGATTTGTGAAACTTTTACTTTTTTTACTTGTGAATATTGGCTTTTCGAGCAGCTTCAACAACTTCTGAGTCAGTGACTGATCCTTCTGGGAGACCGTAAACGATGTTTTCCTAGAATTTGAGATTGGTAAACTTGCTTTGAGTTTACTGATTGATTTACTGTTGAGTATTTTTTTCTAGTATTGCTAGTTATTTATTTTATTGTATTGAGTTATTGTAACTTTTAAACCTTAATCGACGAGTCGAAAAGAATTGGTTCTTGGGAGACAAGAGCGATGTGTTTTCGGAGATGAAGGAGATTCAATTGACGGATATCCTCACCATCGACCTCCTAAAGAATTTTTTTTGCTCTCAAAGGGGAATAAAATGACAGTAAAAATCTGCGAAGTACTGTAAACTTACAGTAACCAATTTCACTACAGTATACTGGGTATTTCAGTATGCCAGACTATCTTTTACCGTACTAACGATAAAACTGGTACCTTATAGTAGAGTTTTACTCATCAATGATCCAATGCTTGGATCAATGACTCTTACTCACCAATGATCCAATGCTTGGATCGTAGAAACGCTCGAGCAGCGAAACCACCGTACTCTTTCCACATCCCGACGATCCAACCAAAGCCAGCGTTTCACCCGGATTCACTTTTAGAGATAATCCTAGAAATTTTTGTTCTAAACTTGAAAGTCTTTTCCTTTTCAAACCTTTCAACACTTGAACCTCCGCTCTCTCCGGATAACTGAAGTGCACGTTCTTTAAAACGACGGCTCCATTGATTGGCTGAATATTTGCATATTTTTACTTCTTTCTCCTTAAAATTACTGTCAATTTCCCTCCTCTGCTGAGATTGTCGATCTTTGGAGTTTCTGCTAACATCTTGAAGATTAATCCGGCCGCGAATTTTGCTTTCGCGTACTCGGGGAAATAGGCGGAAGCGAAACCGAGAGAGGTTGAAGAGAATTGAATGGCCATCATCACTCTGAAATCAAATTCGAATTCAATATAGATAAGGTTTCTAGAAATTTCGAATACAAGTTGAATAGCTTCTTGAGCCCACTGTTTGTAAATTAGTTAGCGTTTCAATCTCATCAGCGCTACGGTAAGATATTTCAATCTCACCGTAGCGCCAAACTTGGTCACTTTAAAAGTTCTAAGCTTCGAAATTGGCATCATTTAAACCTCATAACGTTGATCGGATTCGACACATGATTCTCCATAATCAACCATCCACCAAAGCGAAACTCGGCAGCGAACATGAAAAACATCATCGAATTGGCCACCGAATAAGCCACACCCTAAATTAAGGATCAAAAATTCGTACTCTAATTGGTATGCCTTTTTGAACACCTATCCTAACACTTGAAGTACCTGTACAATAGCCTTATTGGTGCTTGATCGATGCGGTCCATCGAGATGCTCACAGAACTTTTTATGCAAAACTTTCTCCAAAGTGAGCGCTTGCACCGTGCGGATATTCTCCACAGCTTCCATGGCGATCTAGAAATCAAATGCAACTTAATTCAATTTTTTCACAAACCTTTCCAGAAGTCTCGAGATCCTTGGCGTCGGTGTTGTTTCGTTGGCCTTGAAAGATGCGGATGCGGAGAGATTGAGCGAAACCAAGAAGGGGCATCAAAGCAAGCACTGAAAGGTAGAAATTAGAAATATATTGCAGTGGAGCTAATCTTGAAGAAGGTTCATTTCATTCACTAGCTTTTATGCTACTTTTTGGCAAGATTTCAACCTGGTTCTACTTGGACTCTTATTGTCCAACTTAACCTTAATACGGTAGATAGTACAGCTTTTAAAAACTAATAATAAGTTTCCCTCTCTTTCTTCCTTCTTCCTTGTCTTTCCTATTTCTTTTTGGGAAAAGAAAGTGAGAATAGCTCAGTGGTAGAGCTCAGTGGTAGAGCTCAGTGGTAGAGCTCGGCGGGAGAGCTCAGTGGTAGAGCTCAGTGGTAGAGCCATCTCAGCTAAAGGTCGAGGATTCAATCCCCTCTCGCTTCAAACTCTTTGCCATTCGTTTTTTTTACTTTATAACAACTGTATATGTGAAACTTGTTCACATTCAGAGCTGTTTCAACAACATTTGATACTAGCTTTTTTTCATTGTTTTTCTTTATAAATTTTGCAATTTTATTCATCAAACTCACTCAATAGAGCCATTTGCCATCCATAGTAGAAAGCGATACCAATTCCCGCCGTCAGCGCCACAGCCGCGTTGAACACGGATCCCAAACGGTAATCGATAGCCGCTTTTATATTCGGCGCATCGGTGGCCAAACGAGTGGAGATCTTTCCAGCGGCATGTGACGGATGATCGAAATAGGCGCCATCTTGACGGAGTACATTCCGGAAAACTTTCGATCGAAGTCGCATTGTAAGACGCTCAGCCGCGATTCCATAGAACGTCGATTGGATAAGCATTGTGGTGCCCTGAAAGCAGGGTTGAGTTTTGCAAATTTCCTGCAAATTGCAAATTGCAAATCTCAAAATTCCCAAATTTACATTTCGTAAAATTAGGATTGGAAAGCATAAGTTAATTATAGCTTCGAAAGTCTGCATTTAAAATAGTAAATCAATCAATTTGAGGGAAATAATGCAATGGGGATCTAACTCTAGCAACAAACAATTCAGTTTACGTTTTAAACCGCTAAACTAGTATGCATGCTAATAAGCAAATTTTTCCCGTCAGCTCAGTTTCATTAGCTTCATTAGCTTACATTTACCGATGCCAATTCCAATATCAAAGTTTAATTCGGATCAATTTCATTAGCTATAGCTGCATGGCTGATAATTTGATTAAGCAAATATTTCAAATTTATTTATTATTTATTTAAAAACGAATTTCTGGTAACTCGTCTTGGTAATTAATAATTAGTAATTAGTAATTAGTAACTAGTAATTAATTAATTGTAGATCTTAGTTTAGTTCAAATCTTAGTGTCAAATCAAAAACTAAACCTCCAAAAATCGTTTGTAAAGAGATTTTTCGAATTTCAATGTAAAAAGTTTTTATAATTTTCTTTGCAAAGTCCCCCTTAAGTTATCTCATTTTAAAAACTCCTCAAAACTTTCGCTTTTCTCTTATCAATGAACTCCTTATAAGTTGATCGGTGTTTCTTATCAAAAAGAACTTGTGTGATCAGTTTACGATAGTTTACGACAGTTTACGACAGTTTACAAAACTCTTTTGATCTTTCACGAATCAACTCTTTAACTAACAAATTCATTTCTTTACTGATTTCTCATTTTTACAATTCTCGTATCTTCTTTACCTGAACACCAGCCAAAACGAGGAACATCAACGCCCACATGTGTCCATCTAAAAAGAAAGATTGAAAGACAAAAAAGATTTTTCACATGGTTTGTACTTTGTAGACTTGAGGATTAATTTCTTACGATCTAACTAGCTTACAATTTGTAACTTAATGCTTAATATAACTGCTAAATGATAAAAAGTCTGATAAAAAGTCAAATAAATTACCGTGTCTCATCGTTTCCGGGTCAGGTTCCGCGAACACTTGCATGATTTGCGTGAAAAAGAGCGAAAAGACAGGGAAAACGGCTCCTTGAATGAGGCAAGCGATCGTGCCAATCAACAACAACCACCACTCCGGTCTCGCGTATTTCAGAATTTTGAAAAGACTCTGTTCTTCAACTCCTTCCTCTTCAGCTTCTCTCTTTAATCGTTCAATGTCTGACTCGACTTTCTCTGCCTTTTTCGGATCTTCGTCGGTTTCAACGAGATCTACGAGGTCACTTCGAGCAGTTGATCCGTGAGATTGTTGACGAGAGATTTGACGAGATGTTCGTCGGCCTGGAGTTGACACTTTTCCGCCTGAAATGAATTTTATATTCCTCTGCAGGGGTTGGACTCTATTCAACTCATAGAAAGTGTGACATTTTCTCAGAATTGAGTCCTTTATCTGTTCAAAGTCAAAAGCTATCTGTTTTAAAGCCTACAGTACTCTCTTATCGCCTACAATTTATGGCCTACAGTACAATAGAGCCTACAATACTCTATAAGTCCTCCAAATTGATTAGAAGAGATTTAGCTGACTAACTTTACAAGTTCTATAAAATCCCAAATTGATTGTGAGCTGCTGAAAGAAATTCACTCAAGCACTCCCCTCACCTTTAGCCTCAACATCAGCAAACACTTGAGCATTCACCAATTCGTGGTACAACCCTTTCTTCGCCAGCAGCTCATCGTGTGTGCCCACTTCGACCACTCTCCCATCTTTCATGGCCACAATTTTGTCAGCATTTCGAATGGTCGACAATCGGTGAGCGATCACAATCGTTGTCCTTCCAACTGACGCATTCTCCAAAGCCGCTTGCACAACACTTTCACTTTCCGCATCAAGAGCTGAAGTCGCTTCATCAAGGAGAAGAATTCTCGGATCTCTGAGGAGAGCTCGAGCAATGGCGATTCGCTGCTTTTGACCGCCAGACATTTGTGCGCCTCGATCACCGACAATTGTGTTTAAACCCTGAAAAAAGCAAAATTTTATTGCTAATAATTCGAAAGTTTATTTTGAAATGAAAACAAAGAATTCAAGAGTCAAAATTTTGAAATCTATTCAACTAGTAGAATCACTTTTTATTAGAGTAAAGTATCTTTTTGAATATCTAAAATTTACAGTCATTTTGCTACTAAGAAATGGACGGCTATAATGCAATTTTTGCGCAATTATGTCAAAAGCGCAACTTTTTTTGGAGAAAAACCTCCTAAAAACCTAAATATTGAGCATTTCGGTTTTAGAAGAGTTGATTTTCTATGTAATTTTGGGGTGTAGTGAACCCGAAGATCGACATTTCCGAGTGATCTGGTGAATGGGTAAGGGAGTATGTTTGTTAGGAAGACGCTAAACTCCAATCACGATGTCAGATCGCTTCTAAACGCTTTGAAATGTCGATTTTCGGATTCTACGCCCCAAAATTACGCAGGAAATCGACGTTTTAAACAAAAATGAAACAAAAATATTGAAAAAGTTGCGCTTTTGTCCTGATTTGCAAAAAATGGTTGCAATTGCCCACTATAATATTACAGTACTCTAATTTAGACTGTGATCTGTCTACAGTAACCTGGCTACAATAATCTAACCGTAAAAAAAGCTATTCAGATCTTTATGCTAAATGATCAGCGTGGAAACTTTGTCCTGCTTTGCTTTTTCAACTCTAATCCCACAAACACTTTCTCCAATCTCCATTTTTAGCTGACAGTTAGTTTATTGTATAAAGTAAATCGATTTTTATCTACTTGAATAGTTTTATCTAGTCGTATGTGTCGTATAGTCGTATATATATCGTATTTATAGAATATATATGTCGTAGCTGTTTACGAAATTCAGCTGCTAACGAATCATTCGCTAACGGCCGGCTGTTTACGAAATCCATCCGCTAACGAATCATTCATTAACGGCTACGACATATATAAAATCTACTAAATCTCAAATTTTCAAATACCTGCGGGAAAGAGTTGATGAAATTTTGCGCGTTCGCTTTTCGGAGTGCTGCCTGAATCTCACCGTCGGTTGCATTCGGATTACCGTAACGGAGATTCTAAAAAAAAATGAGATAACTTTTCTAGGTTCAAAATAAGATATTGAGTTAAGAGAAATATTAGCTTTAATCTTTTACCTCAATGATTGTAGCATTGAAGAGAGCCGGCTCTTGACTCACCACACCGATCATTCTCCTTGTGAACTCGATGTTCAACTCTTCGAGGGGAACTCCGTCAATTGTGATCTAACAAAAGTTTTGTATTAATATCAAATACCATAATTATTCTAAGAATTGCTCAAAATACTATTTCTTATCCAGGCTACAGTACCCCAGAGCTTTCAAGAGTTAATAATCGGTGAGTTTTAACAGATTTTCAACTAATCTTCACGTCATTAAGCTTTTTTTTAGTTTATATCTGCTCATTAGAATGACTACAATGGTATATTTTTATATTATTCTTAATTTTTACCATTCCACTAATCGGATTGTAATATCTGAGCAGGAGTTGAACGATTGTTGACTTTCCGCATCCGGATGATCCCACAAGGGCCACCGTTTCACCAGGTCGACACGTTAGCGAGATTCCCTAAAAATATTAGATTTATAATAGAATTTGATACTATTTAGACATACCGTAAATACTGTAATAGTACCCCACCGCCCATAATGACGGTGCGGAGTGTTGCGTAGTCTAGCTTTGAACGAGTTTTTCTCGACACTGGTTTATGCTACAATGCGCGCTTAGGTATCAAAAAATAGCCCTAAATTTCAGGGCTATTTTTTGATACCAAAGACGCATTTTTTGAAAGTACGGGCGCTTTGAAAAAAATCAAATACTAAAAAACTTTTGTGACTACGCGACTGTACGAGGGTGGGAGGGGTACTATTACAGTATTTACGGTAGTTTATCTTCTTCTTTTACCTTCAAGATTGGGACATCTTTCCTTGTTGGATAGTGGAAGTAAAGATTGTCGACTTTCACCTCACCCTTCACGTGATCCAGCTTCTTGCCCGTGGTTGCATAAGAGTCGATTTCGGGTTCCTAAATAGCTTTTATTGAAAGAAATTTATTAAAAAATGATTTTTGTAGATTTCCATCGCCTAGCGTAGCTTGGATAGCTTTTAGAAACAATCCCAATCGATTAGAACAGGATGAAATCTCGATTTTAGCTCTAACATAACTCTTTCACTTACCCGATCGATAACCTGCAGCACAACGCCGGCAGCCCCAAGCGCTGTACCAAAGACGGCGAACTGTTGTCCGGCTGAAAATAACGGTACAAGATGCATTACCGTATTCTCCCTAATAGTATTGCACCCTGCAACCCGCCGAGTCACCAACTCAGCGGATTGCAGTTGGTGACTCGACTATTTTACAGTTTCCAACTCTTGGCAGAGACTCAACACTCAAATCCCCCGCAAGATCTCATTGTCAGCTACATTTTCCGATCCCACATCGATAGGTTCTGATAAGCGGTTTTCGAGATTTCGAGGAATTTAGGTGACGCTCAGAGTGCAATCCTATTAAGGAGGACGGTAAATGTGTGTTAACTCACCTTGTCCCATCGCCATTGAGCCCATCATCACCGAGAAGAAGACCTAGGATTTGTTTGTTTTAAGATCAGTAGATCAAGATTTAAATCGAAATCTATTTAGGGTTAAATCTAGTGAATCTAAAGTCACAGCTGAAGATTTGATTTGAATTTTCAACTCACCGTGAGCACTTTCGATGACGTCGCCATCTTCCAGTAAATATAATCCGTTCCCACCCAGAAAGCCAAGCAATACGAGGAGAAAATGACGATAAAAGTCGATGCAAGCCCCACTCCGATGTATACGGATTTCTTGTATCCATCTAATTTGCCCGCTTCTAGCGCATTATCATATCTCCTGCATTCTCCTTCTTGGCCATTGAACGCGAAAACAGTGCGAATTGAGGTGAGAACTTCTTCGGCGATTTGACCAGCCACCGAGTATTTCTTGATTTCGGCGGCTGTTGCTGACGCCATTAGCTGAAATATTGGTTTAAACTTTACAATTAAACTGAATAAGGAAACTAGGTTGTAGAGTTTGAAAACCGGGCTTTATATACTTTTATATTCGTAGCTGGATTCTTCACAAGTAATATGTTTTCGAAAACATAATTTTGTTAGTATTTTGTTGAATTTTAAGCCAACTGAAGACTTACTCTTGCCATAAAACCGCCACAAATGATCAAAACGGGCGAAAGAGACATCATGATCAACGTCAATTTCCAGTCGTAACTCATCGCCACCGCTAAGCCGCCAAAGAACTGGAATTGAAGAATTAATGAATATTTAAATGACCTAAAACTTGATATTGCTTAAAAGCTGATCATTCTAGATAAAAGAAATGAATGAGTTCTCTCACCTGTGCCGTGAACTGAACCATCAAACCCATTTTGTCACCGAGACCCTCACGGACTCGTTCCATTGAACTAAAAAGATTATAGATTATATATTATTTTATTTTAAATCTTCCCCAACTCACTCGAAAAGCTTTGTCGCTAAGGTGCCCGAGTGATTTCGATCAAACCAAGAAATGTCTTGACGCATGATAGCCTGAAAAATTTTAGCTCTTTCTTTAGCTGAAATTGAAGATAAAGCATTGAGGATTTTTTGAAGTTACCTTGAAAAACGCTCTCCTCATTCGGTTTGTGATATTTTCACAGCTGAGCATAAAACAAGTGACCTGAAAAAAAGTAGATGGAGTCTGTGAATGAAAAATGGAAAGAGTGTATTAAAGCAAAGAAATGAATGGCAAAGAAGGGGCCGAAGGGGAATTGAACCCTCGACCTCCAGCTGAGCTATCAGCTATTACTGAGATCCTCTACTACTGAGCTATCAGCTCTACTACTGAGCTATCAGCTCTACTACTGAGCTATCAGCTCTACTACTGAGCTATCAGCTCTACTACTGAGCTATCAGCTCTACTACTGAGCTATCAGCGCCTTTTTTCCCCAAGAAGAAATAGGAAAGACAAAGAAGAAAAAGAAGGATATAATGCATTTTCAAAAAAGTGCTCAATTTAGAAAACTGTTGATAACGATCGCTATCTGACTGACCATCTTTTAGCAACTGACTATCTGACTGACCATCATTGAATTTGAATCGAATTTTTACCTGAATAAACGACGAGAGCATCATGACACCGCCAATCACCGCGTACTTGATGCAAGCCTGAAATTCGAGAAGGCAGTTTTGATAGATTTCTGAATAGAAAGCTGGCAGTTTAGATAGAAATCTAGCAGTTTTGATAGATTTCTTATGTTTTTTTTTGATAATCTTCTATAAAGCTGTTAGGGTTTTGTCGCTTACTTGAATGACATCATGTTTGAAAGTGTCTCTTGCATCATCGTAACTCATTTCGTCCGTCAAATTCCGCTCCTGTTGCACTAAAGATGATTTTTAGAAACCAATTTTTCTAGTTTTACTCACATCTTGCGTTTTCCAAAACGATGAAAGTTTGAGAGACATTTCTAAATAAAAAAAATGAGTAGGTTTATGATTTTGTATCTTTTTGAGTTAACGATTCTTTTAAAGATTAGCTTTTTAAGCTTTACTGTAGCTAGGATGATGGATTTAGCTTTTATAATATCTTCAACATTACCCAATAATGATCGAGAGAAACGGGAATCCGAGACCAGTAATGATAGCCACTAAACAACCAAAGATCACCATGAAGAGGTCAAGTGGACCCGCATATCGATACTAAACATTGCACTTGAAATCTCTGAGTTAAACGAGAACATATCTATGATCACGGCTGGTTCTAGGTCTAAATTCTAGGCCAGATCAGGCAATGCAACCAGGCAAGGCAAGGCGATCAGGTCTAAATTCTAGGCCAGATCAGGCAATGCAATCAGGCAATGCAAGGCAACCAGGTCTAAATTCTAGGCCAGATCAGGCAATGCAATCAGACCGTGCCAGGCAATCAGGTCTAAATTCTAGGCCAGATCAGGCAATGCTTATGATCAGACTATTTATGTCTTCGGTCTAAATGGCCTAAATTTTATAGACCTGTTCTAACTGATACTTAAATTTTGTAGACTTTGTAGACCTGGCCCTAGCCGGTCTCTATTCATGACTCTATTTATCAATAAAATGAATGAACCAATTGTCCAAGCGAGGCTCTCTTTGCGTCAAGATCCGGCGACTCTGCGACTTTCTCGGCGCTGCTAAAATTTGCAAAATCTTATTCTTTAACAACATATTATCCTTGAATCCTCTGAATAATTGGGCCTTTCTTTTGCTTAACCAAACACTTATGCTTAACCATTTTCATTTTTCAGAGATCATTTTTCAGGGATCATTTTTCAGCAACCTATCTTCAAATCAAGCTTTATTTCTCGAGTACATTGTATAAGACTTGTAAAGCTTATTTTATATGCATATTTTTGAATTGTTTTTTTCTTTTAACTTTAATATTTCTGAGGTTTATCGTTTTTCTCTCAAAAAAAAAGTGATTGGAAAGTCTTTTGGGCACAAAGTATCAGGTCACAAATCAGAAAATCTTCTCTTTTCTTCTTTCTTCTTTCTTTATCTTTCTTTTTTCCCTTTTCAACCCTTTTCAACCCCATTTCCTCCCCAGCACAATGACGCACCGCAAATAAACTTGACTATTTCACAATTTTGTGCAAATTTTGTGCACAATTGAATGTAATTTGACGAGCCAAGCATCAAAGAAATCAAGAAAGAGGAAATCGGTTATCTTTTAGAAATCGGTTATCTTTTAGGTTTAAATTCCTGTAAAATGAAACAATGATTAGTGATATTTTTTTGAAATTACCTTATTTCTTCGAATAGAAGACCGGGTAAAGAGTATCATCGCGTAATCCTGCGTAGCAGCCCTTTTTAAAATTTCTTTTCTGCATAAAAGCTTTCAACGAAGTGCTATGGGGGCCCAGAAAGGGAAGGGTCTGTGGTCGACCCCGTCCGATCTGCCAAGTTGAGCAACGTCGGCGCGGGTTAGTCGTGGGTTCGACTCCCATGGGTTCCCCTCCGAGCGCCCCAGCCCGGCCATCGGAGTATCATCGGCTACGACAACTACACTTCTGCCTCAGTAAATGTGGAAGCGGGTTGTGATCTGCGCTAAGTGCGAAGACAGATCAAATCATTATCATTTTTTTTATTTTTATGAAGTGCTATAGAGCTGGAAAATGGCTCAAAAATCTGTTAGCTCATGTGGTATTTTTGAGTCATTTTCCAGCTCTATAGCACTTGATTGAAAGCTTTTATGCAAAAAGAAATTTTAAAAAGGGCTGCTACGCAGGAGTACGCGATCATACTCTTTACCCGGTCATCTATTCGAAGAAATACGGCAAATACATTTTACCTTTTTTTGATTGAAAAAAATTGATTGATCGTTTTTTCCCCTCACCTATAACCCTTTTTGTTCTTTCGTTGCAACAGCGGCGACGAGGGATCATTCGGGTTTTTCGGTTTCCGTTTCAAGCCCATATTACAATCAAAAATTTCCTTTTTAAAGTTTTCTTTTTTTTGCACAAAAATATAATATGTAAAAAGGTTAGAGTAATGAACTAAAGTAAATTGTTTTAAAAGCAAAGCGAAAAGTCAGAAGATAAAAGGGGGTTACCATGGGGAATTCTAGTCGTTTTTGTGAGGAATTGCTTTGAAAAGAAATTGTAAAGTTTGTCAAATTAATTCATTTAATCAGGAAACGTTTCAAAATTAATGTAAAAATAGAAAAAGAAAAAGGAACGAAAAAAAAAAAAGAATTTAATTAACATTGGAAAAGACTAAGTAGCTAGTTGAAAATCGTTCCCAAAATTACAGGAAACTCAAAAAATAGCTCAAAGCGGCAACAATGATCAACTAACAAGAAATTGGCTACAAACAGGTGCAATAGATTTGCCCACAGGATTCAAAAGATAACTCAAAATCTTACATCAGTCATCTTTCCAAAAAGTTCAGCTTCTTCTAGAGTTATTTTCTAAAGTTTATCTATCTTAATGCCTAAAGTATTAGGGATTAGAAGTCTCATCTATTAGGCTATTCAGAAAGTCTTTTCATTCGTTTTCGTACTTCCATTTAAAACTAACAAATGCACCAATTGAACCAAAAAATAGCTCAAAGCAGCAACAATGATCAAGCAAGAGATTAGCTACAAACAGACGCAATAGATTTGCCCTCAGAATTTAAAAGATAACTCAAAATCTTACATCAGTCATCTTTTCAAGAAGCCTTGCTTCTATCTGGAGTTAGTTTCTAAAGTTAATCAACCTTAATGCCTAAAGTATTAGGGATTAGATCAGGCCAGTTCAGATTGGGAAACGGATCCGGATCGGGTTAGCCTAAACCTAAACCCGTTTCCAACGTTACCGTTTGAAAACCGTTTCCAAATTACAGGAAACTCAATAGCTCAAAGTGGCAACAATGATCAACTAACAAGAAATTGGCGACAAACAGACGCAATAGCCCTCAGAATTTAAAAGATAACTCAAAATCTTAAATCAGTCGTGTTTTCAAGAAGCCTTGCTTCTATCTAGAGTTACTTTCTAAAGTTTATCTACCTTAATGCCTAAAGTATTAGGGATTAGAAAAGTCTCATCTATTAGGTTATTCATTAAATTTCATCAAAAAAAAGTTAGCTTTTAAAAACGAATTGGATTGAAAAATACTCAAAAAAAGACTAAAAAATGAGTTAAATTTAAATTTTAAGAATTTGTAAATAACTTAATTGCTTAAAAATGGGGATTTGATTCAAATTTGATTTGATTTGAATTGAATTTGAATTTGAATTTGAAGATTTGATTCAAATTTGAATTTGTAAGTCATTTAATCGCTTGCGTAATAGAAAAAAGAAAGAAAATAGAAAAACGAAAGAAAATAGAAAAAAGAAAATAGAAAGAAAATAGAAAATAGAAAAAAAGGAGGGGAATTGTGGTAGCTTTTTAGGTGACGATGTGGAGAAAAAAAGCAAAAAAAAATGAGGCTAGGTCCTTTTTTGGGAAAAAAGAGAAGAAATTCTGTGGGAAATGGAGAGAAATGGAGAATTTTGAGGGTGAATGAAACAGAATATAGAGATGGAGAGTGGTTGAAGGGGTTTCCCCGAAAAGGGAGATCAATGAACAAAAAAGAAATGAGTAGAATGCTCGAAAAGGACTCAGCTCACTAACTCACTAGAATTCTATTTTTGCAAATTAACAAAAAGACAAATGAAGCTTCATTTTTCGTTTGCTTTGTTGCTTTGTTTTCGTTTTTTTTTCGTTTTCTAATCTCATACCGTGCTGATAATTTCAAAACTAACAAAACAAGGAAAGTTTAAAGTAAAAAAACATATCTAGAATATATTTAAATTAAAATTTCAACTATAGCAGCTATATTTTGACTATTTTGATTAAAGACTCTTCTTTGTAAAGTTATAAAAATGAAAATAGAAAAAAAAGAGAATGCAGAAAGTTCTGGGAAACAACTTTTGTTGTTTTATATATAAAGTTTTTGATAAAGCTTTGTGATTAGGAGATGATTCGTCTAAATACACAAAAAAGAAATTCGAGATGAGATCATTGATGGACAGAGGAGGGGAGGGAAAGGGGCGTTCCCCAGTCCTCTTTCCCTTTTTTCGTCAACGTTTCGAAACTAGGACTGTCTAGTGAAATGAATTGACGAAGTAGCCAACCGTTTCCAACGTTACCGTTTGAAAATTGTTTCCAAAATTACAGGAAACTCAAAAAATAGCTCAAAGCGTCAACAATGACCAAGCAAGAAATTAGCTACAAACAGGCGCAATAGATTTGCCCACAGGATTCAAAAGATAACTCAAAATCTGGCACCAGTCATTTTTTCAAAAAGTCCAGCACTTCTGCAGTTATTTTCTAAAGTTTATCTACCTTAATATCTAAAGTATTAGAGATTAGCTCAGGCCAGTTCAGATTGGGAAACGGATCCGGGTCGGGTTAGCCTAAACCTGACGATATCTCATGGACCAGTTTGGTGGTCATAAATCTTAGACTTATTAGGTTGGTGAATAAGTCTTTCCGTTCCTTTTCGTATTTTCCTTTAAAACCAACAATGCATTAATTGAACTACGCTTTATTTCATTAGAAAGGCCACTTATTTTTCTGCAAAATAACATTAAAACGGGTTTCAAATGTCTTATGTCTGGGTGTTTTTTTGTGAGGGTGAAGTGAGGTAGTCTAAAAAGGACGGCTCGATGATGCTGGACACTTTAGCTAAGGAAACCTAAGGAAACCTTTTCGTGTGAATAGATAAAAGATAGAGCATAAAAAGCTAGATCTACAGCGAAATTTTGAGAGAAATTCATTGAGCCAATTTCTTCGTAGAGGTTTTTCTAGATTTTAACGAAAAACACGTGTTTTCACTATGAAATTTGCTTGAAAATGAACCAAAATTGACTTAAAAAGATAGAAAATTGAATAATAAACATTATTTAGAGTAAACCATAGGTGTATAGCTAAAATTTCAGAGAAATTCATTCACCCAATCTCTTCGTCGAGGCTTTTAATAGATAAAAACACGTTTTGATTCTCGAATTTGCGCTGTAAGTAAATCGAAATTGACTTAAAAAGATCGAAATTAACTTAAAAAGATCGAAATTGACCAATAAATACTTTTTATTTAGAGGAAACAATAGCTTAATTGTACTGGATTTGTTATTTTTCAATTAAAGTATGAAAAGGAACGAAAAGACTTTCTGCAAAGCCGAATATTGCAGGTATTACGGCAGCTATAAGTCTAGTCAATTCTTTGAGCTCTTCAAAAAGCAATCTCAAATCAATCTCATGCAAACATGTTGACTTGTTTTCTTCATTTCTTTAGTAAATTAAAAGATTTTGCAAGATCAGCTGATCCAAGAATCAATTCAAAATCAACTCAGTTATCAGTTTTGAAATGAAAAAACACTCGAGCTTCGAGCTTTTCCCTTTCAGCTTTTATTTTTGTTGAAATTCTCTAGAAAAAAGATAAACAATTCAAAATTTTCTATACTAGACAATATGTAAATTTTTTACTATTAAAAATTGAGGTTATTTGCGGTAAATAAATAGGTTCAAAAGAGCCCAAAATGCGACCTTTTTTTGCGCACCTTTTTTTTGCTGGAAAAGGCCTTAGGAAAGGTCGTAGAGCTTCGAAAATGTTTTCATATAAGGGAATCGTATGCGTAGATTCCGAATTTCGACAAATCAGACCTCGCTGACACGTCAAATTTGGGCTAAAAGGCAAAAACTGCGGAAAAGCGTTAAGTTGCGTATTATTTTTATTTTTGTTGAAATTCTCTAGAAAAATATAAACAATTCAAAATTTTTTACACTAGACAATATGTAAATTTTGTACTATTAAAAATTGAGGTCATTTGCGGTAAATAAATAGGTTTAAAAGAGCCCATTCCGTTCTGTTTTCCGTTCCCTTTTCCTCTAGCTCAAAAAGTGCAAATGCACCTTTCTGGTGCACTAAATTCTTGCATTTTTCTTTCAAAAATGTCTACTATCGCAAGAAAAATAAAGAATTCAGTGCATCAGAAGGGGTGTGTTTACATTTTTAAGCATAAAGTATAAGAATAAAGTGTAACTAGTGAAGTGAAACATCCAACAACTAGAAATTTACCAGGCAGCACATGATTACGTGTTTAACTTATTTGCTTTTGCTTTCTTGGTGTACTTTGTGCTTTTCCAGTGCATCAGAAGGGAGGTGTTTACATTTTTGAGCATAAACTATAAGAAACTATTAGAAACTAGTTAGAAACTAGTTAGAAATTAGTTAGAAATTAGTTAGAAATTAGAAATTTAGTTTGCCAGACAGTTTTGTGTGTGTTCAAATTACTGTTCAATGTACTTTAACACATTTAAATTATGTTTTTTTCTTCGTTTTGTTTCAGAATTCTCTGCTAATTTCTGTTTTTCATTCTCTTTCTTGAAGTCATAAATCAGAATGCGCAACTCGCCATAACTTTCTTCTAAGTGAGCCATTCTTTATGTTTTTAGTGTCATTTTGTAGATCTCAATAAGTGCAACAAAATGAAACCAACATCATAAAGATTGGTTCACTTAGAAGAAAGTTATGGCGAGTTGCGCAAAAAAAAATTGCGGAAATTAGCCTACCCCGACTTTTTAGTTGAAAAAGCGTTGAAAAGTTGAAAAAAAAATTACTGTTCAATGTACTTTAACACATTTCAATTGTGTTTTTCTTCGTTTTGCTTCAGAATTCTCTGCTAATTTCTGTCTTTCATTCTCTTTCTTGAAGTCATAAATCAGAATTTCCCCTGTGAACCCCGATAAAAAGCTACCGTATTTACTCTATTAGTGGGGTCCCCCACTATTTTTTCAATCCCCTTCCAGACGACGCCACTATTAGAGAGGACCCCACTATTAGAGAAATTTAAAAGAACATAAAGCCAAAGTTTTAAATTGAAAAGATCAATTTTATCAATTTTTCTCCGAAATTCTTGACAAAACAAGTTTGGCTTCATATTTTATTTAGCT